GGGAGAAGTGTGTATGCCCTGCCAGCCACTCCAGGCACTCCTCAATACGCTCAACCGGGACGCCGCTGAGGTCCAGGTGCGGAGGGCGACGGTGAGCCGTCTGGGGTGGATCCTCGGTGTGAGGCAGATCCCAATCCATGGGGGTGGCTGCACCTTTATCGCGCACGCGCGATATCCTGCGTCGCAACTCTCGCTGCGGCACCGAGTATGCCTGTGTCTCCCACTCCATCGGTACCGGCGGCGGTGGCGGCGGCGGCGTGTCTTCCTCCATGTCTGTCAGTGCCTGTCTAGCAGCAGGGAAGACCTGTGCACTTCGCGGAGGGGTGCAGTCCATCGGAGTAAGCGGCTGCGTGTCTCCAGCGGGGCGAAAACGCGGGCCTAATCGCGCTACACTGATGGAGCCAGACGCACCCAGGCCAGAGCGGTCGCCACCGGGCGCGCGGCTGGCTTGTACGCGGGCCTCCAGCTGCTGCAACTGGGCACTGGGTGCTGGCTGTGTCCGCTGCGCCGCGGCTGCGGTGCGCGTGTGGGCCTGCGCAGCGCGCTGCCGCTGACGGATCGGTCGAGGCCCTGAGCGGCGCGACGGCTCCGGAGCTAAGCGCTGCGACTGGAAGGAGGATGGCTGGCTGGGCTGCCGCAGCTGCCCCGGCCGCGTGATATTGATCCGGGTGTCACCGTCGATGAAGAACCGCTTTGGTAAGCGGCCCAAGTGCCGGTCCTCATCCGGCGTCTGGATGTATGCAAGGCACGCATTCCCGTTGCCGACGCCATGGGTGCCCACTGCCAACGGTCCTGGCAGGTCGCCGAGGAATTCGCCGCGAACAACGTATGTGTCCCTGGGGCAGCCAGCACAGTCCAGAAGGGTCTGAGTGAGACCCTTTCTGCAGTACTCGTACGGCAGCCCGTGGATGATGATGCAGGTGTGCTGGCAGTGGAACCGCCCAGCAGTGAGTTGCACCGGCACCGCTACGTCTCCGCTGCCCGGCACTGCACGCAGCCGGACAAGCTGGTCCTCCGCTGCCGCATGCCGCGCCGCAGCTGCTGCCGGGACCGTGTCAAACCAGAGCTCCACGCAGCTGTCAGCTGCGCCGGGCGATCCTCGCTGCTTGACTCCCCCGACATGCGGCGCGAAGTGAGCAATTACTCCTCTGGTGACCTTTAGCTCCAGCTGCATGCGCTCCGGGCTGCCATAAGGAACCTCCTCCTGCAGCTCAAGCTGGCCCAAGGCAGCCAGTAGGAGTGGCTCGCTGTCCCCCCACCGGTCTGGCCGCGGCCGGAGAAGCCTTGGCCGGGGAGTGCTCAATGCATGGGCATCCAGGGCTCTCTGAGGCTCCAACTGCCATGACTTGACAGTCTGCATCGTGCTGATCAGGCTGGCCAGGTGGGGGACCCAAGTTGCTGGGCAACTGCTGCTGCTGCTGCTGTGCTCCTCTCTACTACCTTGTGCTCCCCTGTGCTGATTGCTCCTGCTGATTAGCTCTTTAGGGCGTCCACCGTCCGCCGAGGAGGTCTTGGGGCCTTGTTCAAGAGCTGTGGCAGCTCCCTACTAAAGGCCTTGAAAACCCCTCGGGAAGCCTACAAAAGAGGCTCGTGTGACCTTTCCCCTGCCCCTATTTCCTCCCCGCACTCTTCCTCCCTTGTGACACTTCCCTCCTGCCCCTGAACCCTGTTTAGCTACCACTGGTTGTCAGTATGTGGAATGGTTTGGTGGTTGAAATGCATAAAGTACAGGCACAACTGTTTCAAGAATTCAGGAGAACAACATCGAATCCCATAATATATGTCCCGCAGCGAGTAACCATGGGGATAGTGGAAAAGTGTTAGTCGCTAGTGTAGAGTGAGGAAGGTGGCTGTGCGCATCTGGTCCAGTGGAGACGGGTAACATTCGCGTAAAATATGTATATATATTGTCGATGATGATAGTGGCTGAAAATAAGCTACATTGGAGGCTATCCGGACGTGTGAGCTCGCGGGATGGCAACAGTGTCGTGGTCGAAATGAGTAAATACGCACAAAAGTAGGCAAGTGGGGTATCGATCGAAAGCTGTGAACATTCTCTACACAATGCAAGTGAGAAACTTGAAGATGCTGGTGTATCGGTGGAGAAATCGTGTGAAATCGATGTGATGCAATCTTTCCCGTATCAGCGCGCCTCTGGGGATGAGGTTACCCTCTGGTGCTTGGGACATGTCCATCGCTAGGAGCCTTTCTGTTGCCTTTCTGTGGTATGCCTTCATGCTTGCGCTTCTCTTAAGTATCGCATTATCCTCCTGCGGGAGTGCTCTGCGTGCCCCAACTCTGACAGGTTTCCCCAAATATCCTATTGCATGCGTGCTGGGAAGCGTGCGACTGGCACCTGTGTAATAGCGGGGGCTTCCCCTTTTTAAAAAAAAAAAAAAAAAAAAACCAAGATCCCCGTCTCCTGCTGCCGCTGCCTCTGGGAAAGCCACCTGTCCAGTGCCTGAAGCAGCTCATCCTGCCCCGCATGCGAGACCGGCTGCGCCGCGAAGAGGCTGACTCTCTACTGTAGTAGGCTCGCAGCAAGTCGCCGCCCTGGTCTCGCCCTGCTGGGTGGTCCAGCACCACCCGCGGGCTGTCGGGTGCTGATCCTGTCCTGAGTGCCTGCAGCTCCGTGCGGCCCTGTCGCTCCCTGGCCAGGTGGTGGAACCAGAAGGTGGACTGCTCCCCGTAGAAGTCAGGGTTCTCAGCTGCAGGCTGTAGAATCACAGTTCAGATTATGTCCCGTTTGAATTCGTATTTTGGCCTCTGCCTAAATAGCTCCGGGTAGAGGGACGCTGTTGCAGACAGACGTTGTGTTGTCTTAGGCAGTTTGTGCTCCAGCAGAGCTGGAGCACAAAACTGTGCGCTGCCCGGAATCCTATGTTGTCACTGTTGGATTCGATCGGTATCGTATGCATTAAGGGACATTGAACTGCCACACGATCCCTGCCTGCAGCGCCGCGCCCTTCGCTGCCTCGGTGTGGAGGGCCTGCAGCAGGTGGTGGGCGTCCTGCCATGCCAGCAGGGTCTCCGCGGTGGGTGTCCGCTCGTAGGCTGCGTGCGCTGTCTGGCTGTCTGACTCCAGAGCCCGCTGAGCTCCCACTGGAGGTCCGCTGGAGGTCCATCCAGCGGCTGCCCCGAGTGACTGCATCTCCAAGTGGGCGTGCGGCAAGGAATGCTGGGATCTCCGCTGCGATGCGCTCGCAGAACGGCTGATCATCCAGAAGGTGGAGAGGCAGCCTCCAGGCTGCAGAGCCGTATAGTGTGCTGGCTGGTGAGGTGAGGCTCAGGCTGACTCCCAGGTGGTCTCCTGGGTAGCCCACCACCGTCGCGCGCGCGGAATGGGGCCTCAAGCACGCGGTACCACCGATCGAGGGACCCGCCGAGCTCAGCTCTGCACGGTCCCTGGAGTGCACCCTCCACCCCCGGGACACTGGCCTCGCCCCCCACCAACCGTGCTCGGGCTGCTCACACCATGGGTACCACTCGGCCTGGCGGCTCAGTCGTGGGCCCCGCTACCAGTGGAGATCAAGACCGAAGCGCCGGAGCGCCGCTGCCAGTACGCAGATGCCCATATCACCATGCTCAGGGCTCTAGGATGTCAGTTCTTGTTGGTGCACCTTCGCATGCTTTATGTTGAGCCCTACCAGGCCTTCCGATTGTTCCACCATAGTTTTCAGCCTTCTCGACCATGGCCGTTGCATCATCGTCATCCGTGGCCCTTTACCTTAGGTAAACTTCGGTTGCGTCCTCGGCAGTTGTCTCATGTGCACCACCTTGCGCGGGTGTCTAGGATTTTGCAATACTCATGCCTCCTGCCTATCCCCACCTGTGCAGTCGGTGGGTGTGTTGCTCTCGGGTGCCTTGCCGCGCGGCAGGCTGATGACAGCGGCCTCCAGCTCTGCGGAGATACGCTGCTGTCGCCACGCTCTCCCGCCATTGCCTCTGGTGAGCTGCCTGAGCTGCCTGCAACTCTTACTGCGCCGCAAAGATGCCCGCAGCTGAGGCAGAGCCGCTTGTCTGTAGTACGCCCGATACTAAAGAGCCCGATGCTGCGGGGGTCCAATGGGTAGTAGCATGCCCAAAACCAAACCTAAATGTTGAAATATTGGCTCGGGACGCAGAGCGCTCGCAGCGAGAGCAACCTCACTGATCGATGAAGAACAGAGATTCTGAAGTGTATCGAATCTGATGCAAGGTCCATGTGCGTACCACTCTAGTTGTCCCGAAGGCCGGTGACATAGAAGCTGAGGTGCTGGGAGGGCTATTACAAAACGCTCATAGCGGGAAGGGGAGGGCCCTCAGTTCTGAAGTTACCGCATCACCTGCTGCCGCAAATATTGGGCTTCCTTATGCGGCCCGAGCGGCGCGGTCCCGCGACGCCGACGGGCGCAGCCAGCGCTGCACGCTGGGCGGCGGGCAGCAGCAGCAGATCGCAACTGAAGGCCCGGCGGGATAAAGGGTCTGCCCAGGTGCTGCTGCTGGATCCTCAGGCGGAACGAGCTCCCCTGCTGTCAGAGCAGGCAAGCCTTACGAGTCCTCTGGCAGGCTATCTACGCCGTGAGTCCGGCGCAACATGCCGCAGAGCAACCAGTCCCGTTGGTGCCAATCTGCTGAAGAATCCCTTGACAATATGGCGAGCGAATCATAACGTGCAGCTAGCGTATCACTGCAACGCTGTCGCTGGCGGAGAAGGGTGACATTGTCCTGCCAGCCATTCCAGGCAATCCAATATCACGCAAGCTCAGAACGCCGGATGCGATGGAGCTGACGGAGCAACCTGAGCTTGCCTCGTGTGCAGATCTGGGTGGAAACACCCTCTGAGGGTGATCGCAAATCACAGGGATTTGATGCTGCTGTATCGCGTGCAAGGGCGACCCGGCCGCGCTGGCGCGAATGCATACAATGTGCATGCAGGTCATTCCGAATCAGTTGGAGTCTAGCAGTGGTCCATTTGCATGAACTTCCGCGATTTTGTGTGTAAGATTGACCTCTAGGGTGGGGTTTTTGCAATTTTACATTGAATTCTCGTTCAGTTTGGACCATTCCTTGGGGATTCTTTACTGTACTCTTCTGCTTGACCAATTTCAGTCATTCTGACTGACTGTGCACTTCTGGCAGATACTATTTTAACAGAGTCGAGGCTCCCGAAAGCAGTAGAGTCCCGAAACCAACCAGCAATCCCAACTGCAAAGCTAGCGCAGGATGTTGCTGCCGTCCTAATGGCATCAGTATGCCAACACTCAGGTATAATGCGGCTCCTGCTGCAAAGCTTTCCATCCATGATATAAGAAACTGAGAGGATCCCAGCAAAAGCCTCAAACTATCCAGCCTATAAAGAATGAAAACCAAAAAGGGAGCAATGCTGCTCAGAGCTGCATTGACACCGCAAGCCTTCACCTGGGACATCTTCACAGGCAGACCAGCAAGGCATGCACCTGCAGCGCCTATCAAACCCCACCTGTTGCACAGAAAGGAGAGACTCTATAAGCGCATTTGTGAGTATAGCCACGGACATGGCAGTACAATAAATGCAGGGTGAGCCCGCAGGAGAAGAAGGCTTCGTCACCTGATACTGGCCCCCGCCAAGAGTGAGGACACACCCGAGGACCTCGCATAGAGCGCTTGTGCTGCACGCTCTCCATCAGACAGGCTGAGAAGCAGCAACACTGAGATACACAAGGGGAAGGAATGCCTGAGCAGCTGACTGCTACCACCTCTGCCCTTGTGTACAATCCTTCTGTCTCCTTTCTGGCTGTCACAAGTGCGTTTGTGCCGTACAGCTGCTTCTGTCCTGAATGGACCTGTGTTGCCTCCATTGTGATTTTTCAGCCTGCAAGCAGACATACAAACCTTCAGGATCCGCTCCGATAATAGTCTCCGCTGCAACACGTTCTCCAGCATTGCCAGAGAAATGGAGAATGTACTGGCGTAATCCGTACAATACTTCTGCACAATTTAAAAAGCAGGCCAGCCAAGGCATACCCATTAAGCGGGGACGTCGTATCAACATTTATGATACTGTGAACAGGTTCCCCGCCAGCGAGCATGCTCTGACTCTCCACATCGGCTGGCAGTGCGTCTTTATTCCCCAATGACTTGTCTGCCAACCTGCCCTGCAAGTTCCGCACAACCTGCCATGCTGCTGCAGCTCCAATCAGAGCGCCAAGAGCCGAACGAGTCAGGCTTCCTGCTGCAGCATCCCTTGCCAGAGCGAAGGCCCCCAAGGATGCCATCATGCCCGCAGCTGCACCAAAGCGGACTGCAAGGGGTAGCCCAGCAGCAAGTACTGCTGTGCCTGAAGCAGAGAATTGCAGCTGTCGGTACAATTGCAAGTACGATCATGCAAAACATGAGGACCCTCACCTCAACTTTAGAAACAACTTGTGGCCGGTCAAACCTGCCAGCAGGGCTGGGAGCGTCGCCAAGAACAGCATTCCAGCAAGCAGGAGGCCCCCTTGATCTGTGCTCCTCCCTCCTTCCTTGGACGATTTGCCACTCTGTTCCAGCAGGTTGAGAGCCATCCGCATGGCCTCCAAGCCTGCAGCTGACATTGTTCCGGCAGTGGCCACCTGCACAGAAGGACGCGTCGATCAGTACCCATGAACTTGCACAACACACCTTCACATTACATACAGTCAACAAAGATCACAAACACGCCATGGCAGATATGTTGAGCCAGTCAGAGAAGACAAGCACCTGCGCGTGGGGCGCATCTGCCAAAGCATCCGGCAGCAGCTCTGCGAAGACCATCCACACCATGCAGCCAGCCGCAAAGCCAAGAGCCAGCGGGAGCAGGGATGAGAAGGCATCCACAAACACAAAGGATGGCAGTGCGAGGAGGGGCTGCGGCAGTGACGTGGCGAGCGTCCACCACAGCGCGCGTGACGCTGGAATGCCACGCGCCACCAGAACCGTCGCTGTCGCCAGGCCCTCCGGCACGTTGTGCAGCCCGATTGCCGAGGTCACCAGGATGCCCTGCACCATCGCACTCACATGAACTTCCAAGCAATATCTTTACCGAGAAGCCGGCCGTGTCGACGAAGCAACAAGGCGTGCAAGGTACCTGCGACCAGCCCCGGCGTCCACAGAAGGACACGCCCACTCCAGAGCCCTCCCCAAGGGCATGCGCCGCCATGATGCCCACCACCAGCAACACTTTGCGTGCGCTCGCTCCCCTCAGGCTCTCAAACTTCACGTCTTCAAATTGGTCCAGCCACCTCTGTATTGACCATATGAACAGCGATCCTGCGCAGGTCAGCAGGGCACTCACACCAGGCACCTGGCTTCAGCGAGCTACATAGCGTGATCTGTGCTACAACACCAAGAGTGCAGGGTGAGCGCGTTCTCACCGAGCATCACACCGATGATGACCAGCCCAGGCCCATACGGCTCACCCTCATGCACAAGGTCAAAACTCGCCGCCAGCATCACACCGCAGGCCACTGCATTGGCCAGTGCGCTCCATCGAGCGGACAGGGTGCCCACAAAGAAGAAGGGCACGGCCCCAAGCCCACTGGCAGCTGCCATGAGCGTCGTGAGGCCCAGCACTGCATACGCCGACACATACTGATCCTGCCCTTCCAAGTCCTCTGAGGTGTGCCCCAAGTGGCCTGAGGGCGTCTCCTCTTGCCAGCCCTTGTTGAGGAGCTTCAAAGAGCTCGTTGCATCTTTGGACTCTGCAGCATGTTTGGTGGTCGGATCTTCCTGTTTAAATGAATCATGTGTGTCCTGCAAACTTCTATGCCTGCCTCCTGTCTCCAATAAAGCTGGTGACAACGATCCGTTGACCTACGATAATTGCAGCGAACATCTTTAAGTGTTCTTTCAGCAATGATGACTTGAGAAGGTCCTTTTGAAGCAGGCTGGGATAAAGTAGCAGACCCAAGACGCCCCAGACTGTCATCATCAATCAGAGTGAGGAGCCTAGCGAATCTCAGCTGTAGGATATATTAGGATTACATTGTCACCTTCAGAACATCATCCTGGACAGTTTGAGATGAGCAGACAGCGACTAGCACAAGTATCAACAAGAGAGCGACATGTCTCATACTGAAGGAGCAGAGTCGCTATTATTGGTGGCCAGCATTGCTGACACTGGCCTTATTTACATCTCAAGGGACACTTCATGTATCATTGCAAACAGATGCGTTTCCTTCCAATTCGCGCGAAAAAAACAAAAATATTCGTTTGCCTGTATTCTGCACGTGCTGGCAGTCAGTCAGCGGGTGCCCTGATTGTTGGATCTCTGCCCACGTCTCCTTTCAAAATCTGCCAAAAGTGCCAAAAGGCAGAGAGATCATTTTGCATCGTGCTGGCCTTGGTATATAAAAGATCTCGATCAGAGTCCGCCTCCAAATCGATGCGAATGAACAAGATGATGCAGTTTCACTACGGAGAGATCTGTCATATGCGAACAACATGTACAATGAAAGCATCTGAGTTGTGCCACTAGGATAATTGTGTCGATCTTGTAGAGGGCTTGCCGGCTTGTGAAGACACACCATAGATCCTCAATGCGACACAATTGCTTTAAAACTGGGGCAACATATGGAAGAGGAATGCAAGGTGCAGATTAATGCAACATTGTCAATGTTTACTACAATAGTTTTCACTTTTAAGTTAGAGAGCGTGACAAGTTCCTGGAAATCTATGTCATCAAAGTGGCACCCTTGGCAGGGACAGCGCTCAGGCGGCCAATACCTGTCTGGAGGACTCTGCAAAAGCCTTCCAGACCGCGCTTGTCTTTGCACCTTGCTTGCTCAAGCAAGGCGCATGCAGAGCATCACAGTGCCCTCACCTTCCAGGAGCTCGTCCTATTCATATTCCAACAGGTCTCAGTCAGCACCTCACCCTACTTTCGAATTATGTGTCTGTCCTAGCTTCCCCTTTATAACGCTGTGGGTGCCTATCATGCGCGCAGGAATTCGACACGCAGCTGCAAAGGGCCCTCAATTACGAAGATTATGATCAAGCAAATGATATCAGGCAACGCAGGCAGACCGTTGATGAGGCAATCGAAAAACTTCAGGTTTGTTCTCATCCAGTGCTTGCAGATTGGGTAAAATGATTTGGGTGCATACCATTTGAATTGGCGATGTCCCAACAGGGGCACAAGGGCCCAATCAGTGGGGAAAGCGGTACTGCTGACACACTAAAGGTTTTCCCATCACAAGACGTCCAACTTAGAGTGCAGCTGCAGCGTGCTATTGAAGAACAGCGGTGAGTGCCTTCTTGCTGAAGGTTGCCTCTATTTTTGCTGCCCCCTGCGTTCCCCTGACTAACAATGAGCGGGGAGGTGTGATTGCATCACAGGTATGACGATGCTGCCGCTCTCAGGGATACAATAGGCGCTTTGCAGCAAAAAATGCGGGATGCAGCCTTACAGAGAAGCAATTCTATGCAGGCACAGCAGCCTCGGCGTCTCAAGCTTGGGCAACGTGTAGAGCATGCCACAAGCGGCTATCGAGCTGTGGTGTATGGGTAATGTGGCCATGGGGATTGCTTAGCTTGGCTTCCTGGCTGTCTGTAGTCTTACAACTGCGTGGCTGTTTGCCCCGTGCACTTTGCTTGTTTAGCCTGTGCTGAGCAGCTTAACTGCCTTGAATGACCTCAAACAATATTTGCTGTGCAGATGGGATGATGGGTGCTGTGAGGATGATGACTGGAAGGCGGCTGCAGATTTTAACAATCTGCAGTTTGGGGACCTTCAACCCTTCTATCACTTGCTTGTGGATGTCAGAGATTGGCCACTCAACAGTTCCACACCGCCAGTTGCTTATGTTCCCCAGGAGAGACTGCTGGCGCCGCAGGTGTGCCTGCCTGGCTCGATCTGTTGTGAGATGCAAGTCGCTGTCCATCGCCAAACAGACAAGAAAAGTGAGCATGCAGATGCATGTTGCAGTGGCCAAGCACCTGGGAGTCTGAGAAGGGAGCGGATTTGTTTGACCACCCCATGAAGACAGTCTTGTTTCTTGGCGAAGATGACAATGGTGACCTCATTCCCACACGAGCGCTGCGTGACAAGCACGGCCAGGCGCGGCAGGACATATTCCCGCCAGATGAGAACTTAAATCCTTGAAGCCAGCTGTACGTAAATGTGTAAAGCTATAGCTCAAGCTAGAAAATTTAAACTGGTTGCTATGGTGGCCCCTGAGGTCATAAGGCCTCTGGCCATCACACCATCATTGTAAGCTTTGCTCGAACGAATTCGGGATCGAGACTAATCTTGCATTTCTTGGTGCCACAAGTTACATTCCTTCTGTATGTGCAAGTCATACCCATATTAGCAAAGCATGAAGTACGCAAGCGTTATGGCACATCATGCATAGGGCCATATATCTGACTTGGTAGCAATCGCAACGATCAGTATGCAACCCCAAATAGCAATGCGTGCTCTCTCTTAGCTGACATCTCCACTGGAGAACAATGAGTGCGTTGCAGGACCGTGCAACCACAACGATGCACGCATGCAATCATCGTCCTCGGCCCAGCATCCGCGTTGCATCCTCCAACTCCTGTGCGAGCAGTATATGCTCGTGAAGACATTGACCTTCTGGTTGGTGGCTCCATGCTTTCTGCCAACATATCATCGGCAAAGAAAAGTGCTCGATACGGTACCTACCTTTTGAATCCTCTCCAGCCTTTTCTTTGGCAGCGGTGCAGTAGGCCCGAAACTGTTAAAGTGTCCGGCCAGGGCATTCAGTGCCGAGTAAGTGTTCCTGCGGAAGCACACACTCACTCAGGCTGTGAGATGCATTCACATTAGCAGGCATGTAAACACAAAACAAGGCTCGGACCAGAGCCTCCAGCTCACCCGTATGATGGCCTGCCAGCAAACTTGTTGTCTCGGCGGTACTTTGCCACCCAGGCATTTGTCTCTTTCCGCACATTGTTCATAGCATCCTCCTTAGTAGGATCACCCTTGTCCAAAGACAGGGCTGCTCCAACATCCTTCAAAATGTTGGCCTGCACAGATCAAACAAGGTTTGGCTACCCAGATAGACTTCAAAAGGAGACATCCATAGCAAACCTACCATAAATGGGCATCTTGAGACATAATGAGAATCTAGTTCAGCTCACCGTGTCTTCCTTGTAGATTTCCTCTTTGGAAGGCTCACCAATGCCAAGAAATGCGTTTGCTTGCGAGCTTTGCAGCAGTGAAATTCCTGCAACAAAAGCTCCAAGCGCAGTCTGACGGCGGGTCAGACACGTATGTTCATCCTGCGATCCAGGCTCGCAGAATCAGTCCTGGGCCTTTTGCACTGTGAGGAGGAGGACGTGCTTGGAACGCCATTGAGTTCCTGCAAATCTTCTCTCACTCATTTCAGAAAATATGACATGCTCAAAGAGGAGAAGTTGCGCGCATCCGTGGGCTTCATATCAATTCTTTTGCTCTTTCCAGAGCTTGGTCAGTAATGCTGCACCTGGCCAGCAAGAGCGCATGTCCTTGCTTCATGGCGCCTTTGACGAGGAATTCTCCTGCAACCGTTAATACTCTGCGTAAAAAAACATCCAGTCCAGGACAAAAAGTCAAAATAGAGATCAATCCTGACTAACCGACCTGGCCTGCGAGTCGAAAGGCTTCAAGGTGTAAGAGGCCGTCTTTGACGCAAGTGAGGTTGCCATGCTTTATGTCGAGGTTGCCCTAGGCAAATGCTTATCTGCTCCTTGCAAATGTACATCCGGGAGTGTTTGACGCCGAGGATAAGGCAATTCACCCCCAACAGGTTCCACGTTCCAGGAAGCTTCCGCATGTGCATGTAGGAATCGCAGAATCGAGGACCTTGAGAAGGATATGGGGGGTGAAAATTTCGACCTTTCATCCTTGTTGCCTTGCATCATGTTACCAACACCGCTTTCCTTGTCAAAACATGGCATGCCAACAAATAGCGCTAGCTGCCGGCTGCAGCACTGGCTCGCTGTAAGTGCCAGCGCAAGCTTAAGCCTGCCCAGTGGGGCCCTGCATGCGGTGCAGGCACGCGCCCATATGCACATCTCCATGGACATGCCCCGGTCCTGGCCCCCACTTAGCACAGTATACGATGCATGATGCCACGTGTGACGCATGATGCCATGGAATGCCTTTCAAATCTTTGATTGAATATTCATCATGAATCTTCGAAGTCTAAAAGTTTGTACGAGCATATTGAGCAACAGCCGTGTACAGTTCTCAAAGTAATATCTCAAATCCGAGAAGATTCATTTGATGTTTCTTCAATACCATACAGGTTGTCAAAACTCAAACCTCCCACCAGTGGTACCTAAGTAGAGTTGACAGACAGATCTGGGTTACTGTATAACACATAATGATCATGAATTCTGGCACATACACATATTGACTCTTTTGGCAACTGTGAGCGGCTTTTCCCACGACACATGAACCAAAGTGTCTCCCTGGTTGTTCTCACGATGATGCAGGGCTGCACTTGAGCCGCTGCATGCGCGCCCTGCAGTACAGCACATTATATGCTTATATGCTGGGATTGTGGAAAGACAGACATGCACACAGCAACTGTCCCAGACCAGATTTATTACAGGTCCTGCCACAGTGAGGTTCCTTACCGCAATTGTTCAACGCTTGAAGTGCGCGGAGTCTGCGGGGTCCCATCTCCCCTCACAGATTGACTGGGCTCCATTTCCACGGCAGGCTGCTGGACTGCAACAGCCGTATACAATACACTAAGTTGCTAGCCTGAAAAGGCTACTCGCCATGTGACAATGTCCATCAATCTATGAGTATCCTTAATGAGAAGAGGCTGGATTGTGTCAAGACAGTCTTGGTCAAGGGGTGAATGAATTAAAGTGTTTCTTGGTGTCACAAAGCATGTGATATTATAGCAGCAGAAGCCCTCACACCGCTGTCTCCCCCCGGAAAATTCCTGGAAGCCTTCTTCAGTCCATTGTCGATGTAAGCCCTGAAGTTTGAGGAGGTCTTGGCCAGGTGCGCATTGATGTCCACGTCCGGATTCTTCAGGCGGAACAGGTGGAGTTCCATCAGCCCCTGGTCAGACGCCTTCTTGTCCCCAATCTTCTTGAAGATCTCCGCCAAAGCTGACCTCACATTGCTGCTGCCAACAGCCTGAAATCACCACAAGGCAAACTTGGTCAGTGCTTCCTGTAATTCCATGCAGCACCAGTTCCCAGGAGGAACGAACAGAAATCAAAGAAGCTTACAGGGAAATTGCATGCATAGATAACACATGCATGTGTTCAGAAGCGGCAGCACACCTTCAGGCCTGCATTCAAAACGTGCGCTGCTGCATCAGGGACATTATTGGGCTGGTTCTGGATGTCTGCATCCCTTGCTGAGGCGGAAGGTGCTGCTCTGAAGGGCAGTGCAGTGGCTGAACGCTGCACGCCACTCGGCACATACTGCGCTGAGGGGCGTGCGTCCCCACTGGGGGCAGGGAGTCCCACTGAGGCTGGACCGCATGTGTCCAGTCGGCTGTTGCCCGCACGGAGGGGCTGCCTTGCTGGTATGGAGGGCGCCACTGTGGAAGGCTCTTCAGACATGGACACAGCAGTCTGCTCCCCAGCAAAGCTCCGTTTGTCCTGCAAAAACAAATTTCACAATAATGTGCATGATAGGCCAGCACTGCTGTCTGCAGAGGGCAAGCACTCAAATTTTACTGGGATCAAAGATGCGTCCTACTCACCGAATGCAGAGCTGGCATGCTCTGAGGGCTCAGGACCTGGGCCACTACCAGCGTCTTCAGGTTGATCTGGACATACTGGTGGATGATGGGTAACTCATCAGGCCGGCAGTCAATAGATACGTCCGGCATGTAGTCCAGGATCTGGTGTCCCTGGACAAGGTCATTCCAAAACAATCAGGAAACTGTGATGCTGCTTGTTAGCTGAAACCTCCCGACAGAATCGAGCGCGCACTGCATGATGCACAGGCAGACGCACCACGCGCTTGCAGAGCTCGTGCAGCAGGGTCTTAGCCATGCGCAAGGGCTTGTCCTCCCCCACTCCCCGCCGCTTGATCTCGTTGCTGCCAAGGCTTTCGAAGAACTGGTGCAGAGTCATTAAGACCTGGTGCAGATCCAAAACCTGCAGAAAGCTCCTGCTGGTCAGGCTTCAGCTGTTCCAGGAAATTCCACTGGCTCGATTTCTTGTGCACTTTGATCCTTTCTGGAGATGTTGGTTAGTCTCCAGCCATGTGCTCTGTTTACCTTGATCTTGGCATCAAGAGCTTTTGTAGGTTTCAGGAGGCACTTCACAACCAGGTCAGCAAATGCTGCCTGTTCTTCCACTGTGCTGCCCTCCCTCTTGTAGTTCAGGAGCTCGATGAGAGCACAGATTCCCAGCGTCCTGACAAAGGCAAAAATGACAATGAGGCTGATCTCTGGAAGTCTCGTGTCAAATTGTCAGCAAATAGGAGAAGTGTGTCCTGCATTGCATGCAATATACAGAGGGAGAGGAACATTATGTGTTGAACATGTCAAGAGGAGTTGAAGAAGCACTCACTGGTCCGCATGCTCCAGGACTTTGAGCATGAGGACATTCAAGCCCTTCAGGATGTGTGTGAAAGTGGGCACTTCCCTGGTGCCCGGGTCCATCAGCCGCAGGAGGAGCTCCTTGATGAGCTCACGCAGGGGCACCAGCGGGACAGCCAGAGCCAGCCTGGGCAGTTCAAAAGCCTGCCACACCACATGATCATGATCAATATGCCACAGTAGATTTGGCGCTGGCACTGCAACGTCCTGACTGTTATGTGTCCATGTTGTCCTGTGCTGAGCGATGGTCGTTCAAATAATGGTTTGGTTGGGGAGCAGTACAATGACATGTGCAGGAAGCCAACCTGCATGAGGGTGCTCAGAGTGTATGTGCACAACCTCCTTACACCTTCATTGTCCTCCTGTGCTGCTCCAAATACCTGTCATCAGGACCTATTTAATTAGCGGATAGGAATGCAGGTTCTTGAAAAGAATCTCAGTGAACAGACAAGGGCACTCTTTGCTTTATATAAAGCAATTTACCTGAAATATGAACATACCTTCTGCACCTTCCAGACCAGCTCCATCACCAGCTGACTGGCGCATGATGCATAGTGGCAAAGCACACGCTCCTCCGGCATCTCATTGCCCTTTTCCATTTGTTTGTTGACATCCATGAGGTCATATAACAGGATCTTCATGCCATCCACAAACTGAAGCGCAGCACAGCACACATCTTAGACAGTAGTGTCGCAATCATTGGCCAAACTTGCCTGCATTTCATGGGAATGCACAGGATCCTCACATGATTCTTGACATCACTTAACAGCAGTGGTTCGTCAGGACCTGGTCCTATAAGGCCTTTTGCATCGAGTATGTCGCACTACCATCAGCAGGTAGGACATCTCACCTTTTCCTCATCCTCTTGCTGCAGAAGAGTCATGCCATTCTCCCATCTGGCCAGCTGTGCATCCGCACCAGCCTCCTGGCGTCTTGCAAGCAGGCTTGGGGCCAGCGGAGTGAGGGTCTCGCCCATTGCCATGGAGGGTGCCTGCTGCACGCTAGAGCGGGGCATGGGAGTGGCATTGGGTACAGGGGTGGGCATGCTGGACCGTGCAAGGTGCGTCCCCTGGCGCGGGGTTGCGGTTGCCTCATGCGGGCTGCCCACCCTGTTCAATCACAAACCACATCAGTGAGCCGGTCCATTGATGCAGCTGCACGACGTTCAGTGTGGAGCGACTGCAATGATCCACTTGTCTATATGACACCTAGATGGTGCGAGGACTCATTCCTCCATGGGATTCTGTAGGACACATTGTCTTGAATGAACTGCAATCACTTCTACAGCCCTCCATATTCTAGAGTGGACTTGGGACATGCCCTCCAAGCAGCAAGAGGAGCTGAACCTCACCATGAGGAGGTTGGATCAGCTGCTGGGGTGTCCTGCTTGTCCTTGTACTTCAGGCGCTCCTCTATGAGCGAGTGCTGTTGAGGACTCAGCTGGCCCAGCACCGCCCAGGTGCCTGCAGAACCTGTCAACAGGTACAGCTTCTCCAGAATATTCAAAGCTGCTGCGCGCACTCCCCTGTCCCGCTCGGACACCATCTGAGCAAAGAGCCACGATTGTCAGGATCCGCTCCATCTTGGCGATCATTATGGATCTCATGCACGCATCCTTTGACAGTGTTCGCAAGGCATGGCGGCCTCAGGGAAGGAAATTGCAGATTCAAGCATTCAAGACCCTCAGCCTCGTGATTGTGGATGATGAGATTACCTGTGCAATGGCTGGGAACGGCTTTTCCTTGCTGCGCTCAAAGACCGACAGACCCTCCAGCGCAAGGATATCACTGAGCACCTCTGTGCACTCCACGCGCGTCCGCCAGTTCTTGGATGACAATCCATGGGCCAGGAACTCAATGAGGCGCGGCACTGGGTACACCCTTTGCGCCACATGCAGCAGCTCCCTGTGTTGCGCCCTGATGCGATCCTGCATGGAAGTGCAGACATGGTGGGTGCTATGTATGCCACATCTGCTCTTGACGGTCCTCTGAAGGGTGTCACATGGCAATGGTATAAAAAAGGTGCACAAGGGTGTCAGTCATCTCTTTCAGTAGTGTCCATCAGGCACCATACATTGTTGTGACCGGCCTTCTCCACGACGCAAGGGAAGAAGCAGGCCGCCTCAATCTGCGACAGCTGCATGTCCTTGGTGTCCAGGAACTCCAGCAGGGCCTTGCACATGTCCAAGACCTTGAGCAGGCTGGTGGTGTTGCCGCGCGGATCGCACAGACGGATCACCGCCCACCGCAGCAGCAGGTCTAGGCAGGACAGCACCGCCTCCTTCTCCTCTGATGTGGCCGACAGCTCAGCCATGATCATGTCAGCAGCCTCAACATGCTTCTGAAAATCCTTGGCAAAAAGCAGACCCCTGCATGCCACATCAGGGAGATCAGGACAACATTGCCCAACTCATGAAGCCATTGCTGCATGCACACACTAGCTATGCTGCCAGCCTGAAGTCTTCCACAGGATCTCAGATCTCACCGCAAGGGCTCTGAAGCCAGGGGCGCAAGCTCTGCTTCCAGCGACTCCTCCTCGTCCTCCCTGGGTGGCTCAAACTTCCCAAACCTGCCTCGGTGCCTGCAGAAGTGTCGACTTCAGATGCTCAACTTCATCAAGCAGGCAACAGTGTGTTCCCAGACCATTCTGTCAAATAGCAATGCTGATTGAAGAAAAACTCACTTGCGGGCCCGTTCCTCCTTCTTGCTGCTCACAGCCAGGCACCCCCTCTTTGTGGCACGTGGTTTCTCAGGGCCCGATGGCAGGGCAGCCTTGTGCGTGCGAGAACTGGCAACCTGCGGGTTTACAGGGCGTGTCAGAACCTCTACGGAGCGCAGTGGGCCATGAGCCAGACAGAGAGCACCCAAATTAAGTACAGGATTTTGAGCTGCTGAACTTACGCTTGTCGAAGAAGGGCCAGATCTTGACGGTGGGCGACTACCATGCTCGGTATGCGATGATTCGCAGGAGACAGCAATCGCATAGGAGTTCACTGCTGAGACTTCAGGGACTGCCATGCCCTCCTTGCTGTTTGAGACCTTCTGCAGTGCCTCACTGGCTGCTTTCTTGGTGGCTCCGCTGAGACTGTTCACTGCCTGATTGACATCAGCCCGCCCATGCACCTGCATGCCACATCGACCGCCGTGCCATTGGTGTCTGCAGGAGGAACATTTCAGGGAGGTCGGTTAAAAGGATTGCCACTGGAGCATCACTGCAATGTGGGTAAGCATCAGGTCTGCAGGAATAACCTGCAGGAGGGTCAGCATGAGCGCGCTGCCGGCTTCACGAGCATCTGCACTTTTGTCAAGCGCCCCGGAGGTGGCCAAGCGGATCGCTGCCTCAACACAGCTGCTGTCCTTGCCATCCTTGACCACCGTTGCTGCCCATCGTAACACAGCTCCCTGCACGTGCGTTTTATTTGTCTCTGGAGCGCAGGCTTGCATATGCTGCAGTGGGCTGCAGTATGAAGTCTGAAAACGTTACAGACAATGGCGAAAGACTGTGCAGTGGGAAAGTGTGCACCTTCCCCTCAGCCCCGGCAGCCTTGGGGCTGTTCAGGTAGTCTGCAAGAGGTGAGAAGACGCGCTCTGCCGGCACGATTTGCACCCAGGCCTCCAGCAGTGCAACAACACCATCGCGCACCTGCATGCAAAAGGTTGTATCGCATTTGACTGATGTGGCGAGTTGCTAATGGCAGCAGCCTTGAGAATGTGCTTGATCTCAATACTGGCAGCCGCAAGGCTTGCCTGTTTCTTCTTGTCAGCCAACCCTTCCAGGGCTGCTTTCAGGAATTCCCGCGCGCTGCGGTCCCATGCGGGTCCCATGGCCTTTGCTACCTCTCCGGCTAGGAGCAGGGTGCGCGCCACAAGGTTTGCATTTGTATCACCCAGTCGTGCCTGCAACGTGAGTTTGTGATCACATTTCAAGATACATGTAGCAGATGGGCAGACACTTATATTGACTGCAACCAGGAAAATATTTCTCATTCAATTCATGCGTCTCACCCTCAGCAGGGCCACAAGATTGCTGACAGAGGGCTGGATGCGCCCGCCTGCTGCCTTCAGTACGCCCTCCACTTCTTCAAGAGCTGCATTGCGCTCCTGCCACTTGGCACTGCAAGGACACTCAAGGCACTCAGATTGGGCGATGATCTCCCTATCAATGCATGCGCTGATATTGTCGAGGGAAGAAGCAAATGGAGTTGCAATTTGCACACCTGACAAATCTATCTGCCAGATTTGAAGTGATGGATGCGCTGATGTCAGTGCGAGGCAAGAGGTCATCCGGAGCAGCCGCTTCTGCCACCTCCTTCGTCTTCCCTGCTTTGCCTGAAGCTGCTGCAGGCGCGGACGCTCGGCCCTTTGCAGCGGTCGGACCCTTGCCACGCACTTTGCGCACAGGCACCACCTGTGACAGCAACGGAATCCTATCAAGTACTGACAGCCTGACCCACCGAGAATTGTGGTCACGCGCAAAAGCCAGGGATGAAGATGCACAACGCAAGTCTCTCGTAGTAAACCGGTCCCAGCATGTCTTCATCCAGTAACATCGGCTCTGCAGCATACCTTGGTGACCGGATTGGCCTTGAAGGCCTCGTTCAGGGATGTCATGAGAGCAGGCTTCACGTGCTGACTCAACATCGGCACCAGACCAGGCCCCAGCTGCTTGTGGGCCACTCCCAACAGAGCTATCGCGACATTGCGCACACCAGCATTGCTGCTGCCCAGGTCGGCGATCATCCAGTCGATGAGCAGCTTGACATCCAGGGTGGAGAGCCCAAAGTCCTCAATGGTTTGTGCCATCCACACCAACGATTCACTGAGCACCTGCACGGCCATGACACACATTCTTCCACCACAGAAAGAAAAGTGCCTCACAGGGGAAATTTCAGACTTTAGACTGTCTGGAAATCACACATGGAGGGTACCTTGGGGTTCTTCTGGCCTGATGCCTGCTTGTGCAGCTGGGCGCAGATGAACTGGGGGCCCACAACCTCAGCTAGACCGGACAGGGCGCCGAACGCAGCGCTCTTCAGCTTGCTGTCTGAGAGTTTGGGCACCATCCCCACAACCGCTAGGAATGCGTCCTTTTTGGAAATGGCTGCATCATTCCCGGCCAGCTGGTTGATGAGCTCAAAAGCCTTGCCCAGCACCTGAAAGTTCTTCTCGTTCCAGCCCGGAAGGAAGGACATGCCCTGTATGCATGCAATACCCTCTCAGAATGCAGCTCATTGTAAGTCAATTCCTCTGTTGCGTTTCCTTGCCAGAGATGCAGTAAAAAGATGTGTAACTGACAACACCCTAGGAGGACCACCATTGTTTTGCAACAGATCTACAAGAGTACATGCCACAGTCTGACCACCTGTATGAGCATGGATGCGTCCAGGTTCTCCTTGCAGTCCCGGGTGCGGGACTGCAGGTCCTCCATTGCAGCCAGCCGCTCCTTCCAGTTGCTGCTCTTCAGACGATTCACAATGTCCTCTCCTACCAGTAACATCATCTTCTCCTCCACCTCAGCACGTGAGAGTGCTCCACTCTGCATGACAGCGTACTTGTCATGGTCAAACCACCAAATTGTTCTTGAGCAGAGGCATCCATTCATCGCAAACTCCCAACATGCAGCTGGGTCATTTGCACGCTGGGAGGATTTACCTGCAATCCAGCGTCGTCGTCATCTGCTATGACCTTCTCGCTGGCTTGTGCGGGTTGAGCCGGCCTGGCAGGCTTCCTTGCAGCAGCCGATCTCCCAGAGTTGAGGGAGTTGGTGTCCTTGGGTGACAAGGGCTTTGGCAAGGATGGATCTCCGATGCTCTGGATGTACACACAAAATTCCTTAGACAAAAGTGCTGTAGGTCAATTGTGAGGGGTGACAAGTCTTCCTCTGTCTGCACTGTAAGACAAGCATGACAGCAGAACAGAGTAACCTACCTGGCTGCTTCTCGAAGATGGGGCAGGGGCAGCGGCCTGGGCAGGTCGCGCTCCACCAGAGCGTGCAGCAGCCAGCATGTCCTCCAGCCTCTTCTTGCGGCTGTCGTCCAGTTTGTCCATGTACTGCATTGCCAAACATGCCATTGGAGGAACTTTCATGCCCCATATGACAACCACATCGCATGTATGACACACAAGCAGATTGGGGAAATCTATATGCAACCTTGTGCAAGGGTAGCAGTAATATTGTCACAAGAGCATGGGCATTTGTGAAGCATTGTCACACCTTTTCAAGAGGTTTCATCGATCCAGCCTTGAAAGCAAACGCCACAAAAACCTGCGCAGCTGCTTCGCGGATTGCTGGCGCAGCGTCATTTGCCGCCATGGCGACAGCTGGCAGAATCTGTGCATGCGCCTTCATTGCGGCATCCCTGGTAGAAGCTTCAATGCAGCTCTGCCCAATGCACAGGTCATCTTGAGCATGCCATGGGGTTAAGAGCATGGGTAAGCGAGTTGAAAGGCAAACACGTTGCTCTCGTGGCTCGTCTGCAATGACGAAGGCAAACCTGAAGCAGCTTGATGGCCTCTGACTTCAGCTTGGGATTCTTGTGTCCAACAGCAGCCGTGAAGTCTTCACCAACATCTGCCAGACCAATGCAGTACCTGTCACAATTCAAGCAAGTTTTTAATCACCCGCATTTTATTCCTCTCCCGCCTGGGTGTGTGATCACATCTGCCATATCATTCAGAAGTTGTCTGATCTCAAGCTAAAGATTTGTGAGAGATATGCCTGTGGAAGTCAGCCAGTGCTTGGGAGCTCTGCGTACAGACGGCTGAGTTCTTGTCCTTCAGCTTGTCCAGCAGGTTTGGGAACATTGCCCGCGCTGTACTGTAGAACTCTTTGCGCAAGCCTTTGGCCAAGCTCCCTAGGCACGCTGCTGCCTCTGCCACACAGACGACGTTGCTGTCCTTGACAATGACCTGCATGTGGAAACAGCTACTCAGTTAAAGCCCTGCACAACAAACAAGCTTACATTTGTAATTAAGGAAATTTTCAAGACTGTCTTTGGCAGGGGGGTCATACTGAAAAGCTGGCCACCTTTCTGAGTTCGCGCACGACATCTGCATAGTCGCCTGGCGCAAGCTTTGGAGAGCTGCTCAGCTGCTTGAGGCTCTGTAGGGCATTTCTGCGCTCAGACCATTTCGCTGATGCAAGGCCTTCCCAGAAGGCCTTGTCCAGACGTCCAAGGACCTCCACTGGCTCAGCAAACTCGTAGGCATCCACCCCCTGCCGCATCCACAGTTCCACTTTGACCGGTGATGTAGTGAAGCCATCTGGATGGCACGCAGCTACTTTTGTCTGGATAAGAAGCACAATATATCCAGCACATTGGATTATGCTTACCATGTCGTTTGCATCCGCTTCAGCAGCCCCTGAATGTCCAGACGTGGCAGCAGCTGCAACCCCCACAATGGCAGCAGCAATAGGTGCAGCGTCTGCTCGCTTGACGGCCTCTTTCCGTGTGAAACGCTGCGGGTGCTTTCTTGCGCCGGTGCCAGCCTCCTCAACCAGCTTCTCTGTGTCCTTCCGCATCATGTCTGGCATCTTGTCCAGCAAGAGGGACTTGACGACATCTGGCCCCAACCAGCCAGCCATCTCCACCTGTGATGCATTTCGGGGACTTTACTGCCCTTGACTCTCCAAGTCTTTCATATCACTGCTTGGTGTGAAAGAGGCCTTTGCAAACTCTGCTGATGAAATAAAGGCGAAATTCCTGAAAAGTAAGATCTCACCGTCAGCTTCTTCACACCGTCTCGCACGGGCACCTGCTTTGCCTCGAACAGGCTAGGCACCGCCTTCAAGATTGGTTGTGGCTGCAGCACTTTTGGCCCAAAGTCGCTGCAACAGTGAATCATTGATCATCAGGTCATTCATTGGTGCGCCAACATGCAAGGCAATGCTTACAGAATGGTCAATTTTGCTGCATCTCACCTGAATGCTTGCGTCAACAGATCCAATGCAGCAACAACCACTTTTGGGGTCTTGTCGCTAAATGCCTTGATGATATGCTCCTGGATTGAGTAGCAGACTTGTCATTCCAGAAGAATCCAGAGCTCACAGAATGAACGCCATACCCCAATCAGCAGTATCTAAAGCACTCCTGGGACGCACCACCACTCCTTCGGCCTGCTCGTGCTCGATGAGAGCGATGCAGACTTCTGTGCATCTCTTCACAGTGCCCGGGCGCTGCTTGAGGCCCTGTTTACCAATGGCTGCACAGATTGGTCCCGCCACCCTGCAAGATAGCACCGGTAATAACGCAACATGTTGATTATCGTGTACAGGCGTTAGGAGGTTACTGAGAACCACTGGCAAGGTTCCCACCTGGCTGCATGAGCTTCACTGCAGCGCCCAAGGAAGGCCAGGATAGCTGCCAGCCCCTTGTCCAATGCCGCAGCATTTGCATCAGCAGCAGCCTTGCCAAGGAGGGGGGCTGCATCCATGTTGCACACTCAGTTTGTTTCAGACTATATTCACAAGATGACACAAGTCTGCAAAGGAGGGGTCTATGCACAGCCTGACTGAAGCCCTATCCGCACCATATTCTGCGAAGCATTCATCTTCTTCACTCAGTGCCCTCTCACAGGCTGCTGCAACGCTGTCATAGGCCTCGCTTCTTGCCTTCCAGCTCTTGTGGGCAACACGCTCGCTGAGGGGCAATTTTCTGGCATCTGACAGGATCTTTTCTTCTTCTTGATCTGACATCCGGCTTGCTTTATAGGCCGTCCTGCCAGCAGGGTCTGCGTCTTCGTCGAGCACTCCTGTTTCGCTTTCAAAAAGTCCTAGGTAGAGCCTCTTGTTCTCTGAAGTCTGGCGCTCTGTAACGCTACATATGAAGGACAGAGATTTGCTGCATTCTGCCAGATGACATGCATACAGTCTTGCTGCTTGCGAACGTGACAAAGATCTGAAATTGAGAGTCAGTTTTGCTTTGGGGGTGCAGTGCGCGCAGCGGGGGACCCCCGGGGGGACCTCGAGCTCCACTAAAAATTTGGCGGGACCGAACAAGAAGACAGCTTCCCACTGGAAACCATAACTTTCTGGAAGTGTTGATTTTTTGCCATTCTGATAGCATCTGTGCAGCCCTACCTTTTCTCTGATTGCTCTGCACCGTTGTTTGTTCTTTTTCAGAGACAGGCATTGATTATGCACATTCTTGTGAGGGCGACTTTCTTTCTTTTGATTTTTAGACATACTTTAGCAGATGTGGTTGTATTAACTGATGCAAATTTTGACGATCTGGTGGCGGGCGAGAGGCGGTGGATCATCGACATCTATGCACCATGGTCAGATCCTGTTGGTAAAAGCTTTGTTCAACGGCATCATAATCTTCTTGCATCACACAAGAAATATTTTTGGTTGCGCAGGTGCAAGCATTGCGTAGCACTGGAGCCTGTATGGATAGCCTTGGCCGAACGTCTGGACGGGCGCGTCATGGTTGGCAAGGTTGGTTGAGTTGCATTCTGACCAGTGCAACTCCCATGCCTATATAGCGATCTGACCCTTTGGACCTTTTCGCAAGGTGGACGGCACGAAGGAGAAGGGTCTTATGAAGCGTTTCTCAGTTGAGGCATTCCCCTCCGTATTTCTAGTGGAGGGTGCAGAGACACGCGCATACACGGGACTTCGTACCCTTCAAGAGGTAAAATCAACTTTGATACGCGCCTCCAATGGCATGCATGATTTCTGTGCGCTTGCCATATTTTGCATCGTTGTGCTGACAAAGCTGCTGTGCAGTACAGCTGGAGAGCTTTGCTTTGACAGAATATCTTGATGTCAAGCCCGTGCCATTCTACAAATCACCAACTTCTTTGTTTGGCCGAGCTTTTGCCATCTTTGTGAGGTGTGCCTGCATCCACTGCTCCTCTTTGGCATGTTCTTGTGATCCAGCCAGAGATGAAACATTTTGTGACACTGCCACTGTGGGTGTAGACTGCCAGCCAAATTCAAGATCCTCGTCAAGTATCTTCACGAGGAGAAGAAGTACAGCGCCCTTGTCATTGTCGCGGGGATCTTGGGGGTACCTCTCACTCTAGGTCCGCACCGTCAATGCGGCTTCTGCAAATGGACCTGCCGATCCCTGTTGTGTGTTGTCTTCACAAACATAAGGTCACCATGGCTGTTGTGGTAGTCTGACAATGTGCTTCCTGTGCTCCAGGTGTTCTTTTTGTGTACCTCCTAGACGTGTTCTTTGGCGCAGCTGAAAGAAGGAGGGCCCATCACCGGCACCGAGACTAGGCTGGAGTCCTGGAGAGCCAAATGAGCTCTCAAGGGGTCACATCCTCTGGGCATGGCATGCATGTTCGCAGATGGCATGACATCATGTGGGCTTTACACCGTGTTGATGGCAAAGAATATTTTGCCAGGCTATGCCCTTGGCCTCAGTAAGACTGTCCAGACTAGCTCCGCATCTGTCAAGTAAGTCTCTTAATCGGGACGCTTGAGTCATTGCCAGTGGCTGCACGCAACACCATGCAAATATTCTTTTTCAAAAATTATAAGGCCGGCATTCTGATCAGAGCGGAAACGGCTGGCGAAGTTGACATGTCCAACAATGAAATGTCTTGTCCCTGTCCTTTTGCAATGTTGGGTAAGCATATGGCAGCAGACTTGTTACCTTGTGCTGACCTGATCGATCGATAGTGCTTCACAAGACTTGTACATGTGTGCTCTGTTCAGTGCTTGTCGATTGCATGAGCATGCTGTCTTGTGAATCACTTTTTACATACTAATAGTGGTACAGATACAACAGCGAGCATGGGCAACGCATGGGAATCGGTGACACATTCTGAGCATTGTATCACTCTAAAATCCGCCGGCGCTGAACTCTCAAAAAGTCGGCAATGTAAGGATATGTTCTATCATCAACAACAGGAAACTCCAAGCTCACTCGGTATAACAACATCAACACATGCATCCATGAGATCACGCATGTCCCTCTGCACGGCGATCAACTGCTTTCCTCTTTCCTTCATGCTGTCGACATGACATCATGATAATGATCATGAAACTGGGTCTGGTATGCTGTTTCAACAGGTCTGGCTCTCCTTCCCCAGACTAGACAGTAGTCCTGCACCTTATTTCCAGAAAATGATCAATCACTTGCTGCCGCCACAAGCTTGCAGCTGTCTCCGGAGCTGTGACCTCCTTGTTGGGCAGCACAGGCGCTAGCAGAACAGAAAACTTGTACTCTCCAGGCTCGACAGCATACTCCTGCACAGGACAATCCAATATCACAATCTTCATCAAGGCTCTGCCAGTGCATATAAATGTTGCCACAAGCAGCAAAGGAAAGCAGCATCCCTCAGCACACCGTTGAAGCATTTGCACCAGTACCTTGTGTAAGCTGGGTGACCAGGAGTCATCTCCACCAACTCCCATGTGGCGGTGGTCCAGGTGCAAGTGGGTGAAGGGATCGGCACTGAGCTCATAGTCATGCTTTGCTGCCATCAGGGTGGCAATGCTGAACCTGCACACGCACACAAAACATGGTCAAGTTCTGTGATAGCTGCAATTGTGGCCCAATCAGAAAAATCATGGAGAAGTGGCAGGCATGCCCTCACACCTCGAAGCATTCATCTGAAAGGGATCGCTCAGAGTGACAGCTGCCAGCCCGACCCCATCCTCATCGCTCAGACTCACCCACCGTGTGTCCGCCCTTCCACCATTCTCACCTGTTATAGACCAATATTACCCATGCTCATGGCTTCACAGCTGAATTTGCTTTGTGATGGGCATCACAACACTTGGTACAAGGCATCCTGCAAGTTACACAGGGGCTTGTGCGCACTTGGGAAGATGTATGGCACGTGCATCTCCTGCACATGGTCCAGGCTGTACTGGCGCAGGAAAGCCCCATACTTGCGGTCTGGGTAGCTCTCATGGGGACCTCGTCCATACCAGTGCACCCTGCTAAACTGAGCAGGCACGCCCAGATGCATTCCAATCCGCGGCAGAGACCTGCATGATCAGCGCTTTCAGATTCAGACGACAGACCATTTTCCAAGGAGGACTACAAATGCTAGGCAGCAGAGACAATGCAGCTGATAAGGGGTCCTGGGCCCAAGACAAAAATCTTCTGACAGGCTTGCCACGGAACGTACGAGAAAAGAGGCGGGGGAGGGCTGGCTGGCAGGGCGCGGCTTGCATCGATGTGCCAGTCCACGCGCAAGCTGCCATCGCCGTGCACTGTGTATTGCACCGCCACAGCCACCTCGGCTTCCACAGATGGAGTGGGTGCATCCGGCAACGGGTGCTCCTGAGGTGCGCCGCTGGGCGCATCTGGCACCTTCTCGGCCAAGAAATGCGCGCCGCCAGCCTGCGCATGAATCCCACACTTTGGCGTGGTGATGGCCAGAGCTGACACATGTGCACCTCTAGGCGAGCATGGCAATCTAAGAATGGATGAGGCGGACAAAAGGAGCATGCTCATGTGTGCCGCCACTGGGAATGGTGAGCTTTCATCACCTCACTGACACCAGACGCCCCAATGTCTGCGGCTCTGAGGGCCTCATCCTCTGAGGGCCGCAGCAGATACTCAACATCCACTTTGACTGCTGAATCTGATATCTGCTGCACAGAGGATTTCACTGTGTCGGCCACCACCTCCAGACAGTCCAAGCCCGCCTCCTTCCACCTTTGCAGATCAATTGGAGCCTTAATGGCATGTCTCATAAGGAGCTCTAAAGGCATAATGGAACAAATACAGCCCTCTCACTATAGCAGCCTCGCAATAGCATATCATCTACCTGGCAGCAAAGCTGGTCTTGCCACTGCCACCCAGGTCGTTGTCTAGAGGAGCCCTGAACAAGCACGGTGTCACCCCCTGGGCCAGCAAGGAGTGGCCCCCAACCTCCCACCGGTCCAGCGAGCCTGTCTGCGTGTTCACCTGCACAATAAAAGAGGCTTGGGTCAGGCGTTGCACATTGCACTCCTGCAAAGCGGGAGGCGCTCTGCCACCACTTCTGAATAGCCCAGCCCCATGATTTCCTGGCTGCAAAGATGACAAGAGGTCCACGTTGCTAGTGCAACACAACCAGGAAAATTGCAGAATGATGGGGACCCGACCTCCACGTGCAGGTCATTGGCGCCGGTGACATTATGGACTTTCCTGCCGCCACGCTCCTCCTGGGTGAACTGCAGTGGCTTCCCCAACGGTGGAGGGGCATGCTCGGGCATGGCGTCATCGTCGTCCCTGATCCAGTCGGATGGCACCAGCAGCTGCTGCTCAGCAACCACGTGCCCCTGCAGTGCAATTAATGACAATCTGCTCAGGGCGGAGCTCATCTCACAATGCCACTCTCATGCGTGCCAAAACGCATGCAAAGCATGCAGCAGCGCACCATGGGAGCCCATGGCATGGCCGTGCTGAGCTGTGCGCGCATCTCCAGAAACACCTCCGCTGCGCCCAAGCCCATCCCGCCGAACGCCTGGCCGCCTGCCGCCTGCAGCTCTGCAGAGTCTATCGGCAGCCGCAGCTCTGCCCACTCCTGCGCACAGCATCTGGCATCAGCTCCGGAAGCCTGTTCTGCAGTCTAGCAACCTCAACCAAGAGCATGAGGTACATGAGAAGCTGCATTAGAGCCCAGGAACAGTGCTCTCATAGATTTGGCAGGGTTGTAGAGTGGACCTGGGGTGCAATGGCGACGCTGCCGCCGGGGTACCAGCCACCCAGTCCGCGCTGGGCAGGGTCGCCCACCAGCAGCGGGACGCCATCCAGCAGCACACGCCAGCTCAGCAGCAGGTTGGCCGAACTGCTGAAGGTGTTCTTGTTTTTGGCGCGCACTATCAGCCCGCCCAGGCCGCCGTTCGGGCTCTCCTTCAGCTCGAAGAACACCGGGGCCTGCACCGTACCAGCTGCCATGTTTCAGCCTCCCTTGCAGGGCTGCAAGGACAGCATCTGCACTATGCCTCTCCCCCGGTAGGATCAGGCCGCATCATGTGATCATCAAGCACTGTAACGTTAAAAAGCAAAGAAGGTATAATTTGCATGTGTAGGTGTGCTGTGTGGACTCACCATGACGGCCTTACACTCGAAGGCACCAGGATGGGGAACCCGGTTGGGCCAAATGAGGCCGTTGATGCAGAATTGTGCATCGTGGACGGGATCACCAAAGTCACCACCATAGCCCCATGCCTCCACATCATTGCCCTCCACGTCTTTCACTTTGTGCAGCAGCCCCTGGTCTACCCAATCCCAGATGAACCCCCCCTGAGCAGCATAGTTAGCTCTCTTGCAGGTTCTGCATTAAACTTTATGCATTGCCCGCAGGCTTAACAATGGTCATCACACGAGTCCAAGCAGATCTTCTAATGTAAATCCACCAGCGCAGGAATACCTGCAGGTATGGGTGTTTCTCGAAGGACTCCCAGTACTCCTTGTAGTTGCCGTTGGAATTGCCCATGGCATGGGCATACTCGCACTGTATAAGCGGCCGTGTCTCTGCTTTCTCATTGGCCCAGGCCTCAATCTGCATAAGATCAAGGGTATGATAAGAAGCAAAGGGCTTCAAACAATGTCAATGTTCTCTACTCCCCAATTTTCAAATGCCAGAGGCAGGAGGGCCACACCTGATTGATGCGGGCATACATGGGGCACAAGATGTCAGTAGCTGCTGTGCGCGATCCTCCTCCCTCATAATGCACAGGGCGAGATGAGTCGCGCGCGCGGATGTATCCAGCCATTGCCAGGTGCGCTGCAATGGCACAGGGCAGAAATGAACGGTCTGCGCAAGATGAACATTCCTTCGCTGGTATCAACGTATGGGCTGGTGCTCTGCACCACGCCGGCTGGAAAGTTGCTTACCTGGCCCGTAGCCAGCCTCATTGCCCAGAGACCAGATAATGATGGAGGGGTGGTTCTTGTCGCGCTCCAGCATGCGCATGCCCCGGTCCACGATGGCATGCAGCCAGAGCGGGTTGTTTGCCGGAACCACTCTGTTGTTGTTGAGTGCCGGATCAAACCCGTGGGTTTCGACATTGGCCTCGTCCACAAGGTACAGCCCATACTGGTTGCACAGCTCGTACCTGTCGGCAATCCAAATGTCAGGCACAGTGTTTAGGTAACAGGCAAGGTGTATGTTCCAAGTATGATCCAATTGAATGCCTAGCTCTGATGGCATAGGCTCACCAGCGCGGCGCATTTGGGTAGTGCGAGCAGCGGACAGAGTTGAAGTTGAGCTGTTTCAGGAGGTAGATGTCAGCCAGCATGCCCTCCTCAGTTACAGCCTTGCCGCGCCGCTCATCATGCTCGTGCCTGTTCACGCCCTTCACCAGAATGGGGCGCTTGTTCACCAGCAGCTGCCTGCCCTCTATCACCACCTCCCTGAAGCCCACCTGCCATGCCAACCCTCACATGCTCACCAGATAAAGAATGACATGCATGCATGTCAGTGCGCGGCAAGGAAGCAGATGCCAGGCAGTTGGAATCAAGCGCATCAAGGTATGGAGGGCTACACCTGTGTGGATTCGCTGTCCAAGTGCTCCCCCTGCTTTGTTACAAGCGACAGCACCAAGATGTACAGATTGGGCTCTTCTGCACTCCATAGCGCCGGCAGCCTGCCAGCTGTGGCCATGTCAATGTCCACCTGCATAGCAAAGAGAAACATTACGGGTGAGCAGAAGCCGACTGAGTCTGATCAAACGGAGCGCGCCAGCTGCTTGTCAAAGGGAAAGGGTGGGAAAGAGGTCCCCACAATAGCCAGGCCCCCAACGCCAGCCTCTGCATGGGTTGCCCTGATGGTGTTGTCCACTGAGATCCAGTGGTCCTGGTCTGTGATCTCGATCTCCACTGCCGGAACTGCCTCAGCAAAGCCACTGGGCTGGTCCTCGTTCACCTCATACAGAGCTGCCCTCAGGCGCACATCAGCATAGTTGCCCAGCTTTGGGGTCACCAGCTGTACCTCTGCTTGCAGCCTGCAGCATGGCAAGTGAATATCACACGTGTATCCCTTTGATTGTCTGGACACAGCTCTGCAAAACGCATTCATGATATGCAAAGACATAAACACTACCTGGCACTCTGAAGATCGCCATGCTCATCGAATGTCAAAGGAGTCCGGACAACAAAGTCTGTGATATGGGTGACTGGCTTGCTGAGCAGGAAGACATCCCTGCAAGCGAGCACCCCGTTAGGCTTCTTGGAATTGTGGTGGCAGGTACAGAAACGGTGACCTTTAGTGCCTACCAACAGCACTCACCTGTAGATGCCAGAGAGCCACCAGTGATCCATGTCCTCCAAGTAACTCCCATCGCTGAAACGCAACACCTGCAGACAGCATTTACCAGTACAAAACCTGCGGCATTCCATGATCCCAGTAGATCCAGACTGTTTGAGACTAATTGGGAGATATTGCAAAGAAGCACCTGCACACTGAGGAGATTTCGGCCGGGCTGCAGGACAGTGGTGACTTCAAATTCCGCTGGCAAGCAGCTGTCCTGGCTGTAGCCCAGCTGCTGCCCATTCACCCAGACATAGCAGGCGTTGTTGACGGCTTCAAAGTGCAGGAAGACCCTGAGGACACCAAGCATGCTCAAGATGTGCATGCTGCTCTGCCCGAACAATGCATGTAAATGAACCGGAAGGCATGTGAAGGTGCAATACAGCTTGATGTGGGGCTTCACCTCCTGTCCTTCCACCCCGATGGCACATCGAACCAGAGCCTGTAACAGCCAGTAGGGTTCTCTGCAGGCACGAAAGGAGCCGTGATGGGCCATGGGTACTGGAAATTCGTGTAGATGGGTGTTCCATGCCCCTGGCATTCCCAGTTGGCAGGTACTTCAATCTGCAAAAAGACATGGAGTCTGTGTAAGACGCGATTCAGCGTTGATTAGGTGTGGCTCGCTAGACTCGCGAAACGGATATGAATGAAATTTTAGTCAAGCATCGAAGCCAGAACGAAGGTGGCCGTGCGCCACTCTGCTAGCGCTCGTAGTATCCTTGTGAATGTCTTGATTTGCATTGACACATCATCATTTTATGTTCGTACTCCTAAAATTGCATATGCTCCCAAAAAACGAACAAGCAGAGGTCATCACCTTGCCCCACAGCCCATCATCAAATTCAGGAGTGCTGAAAGCGTCTGGAACATCTTCAGGGCGATCGTACAGATGAAAGCTCCATTCTGAACTGTTAAGACTGAGCAAATTGGCAGTGTCTGCTGCTTTCGGATCCTTCAGAAAGTATAGCAACGCCGATTCTGGAGTAGGGTGGGCTCGCAAAGGTACGTGGGAGCGACACTTGTTGCGACTGAATACGCTCGGATTTTCCCAGTCTCGAGGAAGACTTTTGATCGCCATTTCGATGTGGCTCTGTGCATCTGAGGAGACAACCGAGATTTTGCATGTATCAGTGCCCGTGATACTCAGTTCCCTCAAGGGCATGAGCTCTTCGAGTTTCGACCCTCTTCTAGGGTCACGGGATCGGGATCCAATGTTGGTTTTTGTTCGGTCTTGCGTGCTGTGAACGGCTGGAAGATCACCGGAACACCGACAATGATGAATGGTGTGGCGCGAGGTATAGTTCAAAATAGAATCAGGGCGCCGCAGAGCATGAGGATGCGATGAGCGTGAAGGATGGGGGGGCACGCAAAGCTATAGCACACTAGATCTAGTCTGCGTATCATCTCTATAAGAGGGTGGCAAGTCCCGCTGAGAGCAGATTGCCGCGGATGGGAGGGTTGACAGCCGCCTGCAAGTTGATACAGCGGCGGTAAGGCAACCGCTCCACGACACAGTAGACCAGGAGACGGGCCTCGGCCAGGACACAGCACAAAGTCCGCGATGCACATTAATGGCCTTCAGCACAGCAATGCTATTTAAACATGGTATATTGAAATGTGCTGTGCCAGATTCTCAGATACAATCACAGATTTGCGGACCCCATTTTTTCCTGTGCTATTGATCTAGAAACATTGGAGGCCTTTGAGACTCCGTGGGTCAGAGGAATCCCTGCTTGAACTTGGAGAGACTGTTCAGCAGCATTTTCATAACAGTCCTGCGCACGGTTTACCACTCAATCATGCTCTGGTGAAAATCTTAAAGTTGAAGGTTGGCAACTTTTGGCACGCAGGTGCCAATTAAGGGGAGGCTCCGCTATTGTGAATGTGGTCAGCGTCCTCCTTCTGGTCCTCTTCATCTCCACCAGTTTCCAGTCCCCCTTCACCAGACAATCGCAGCCAACAAAACACAGCACCAGGCGGACGCTCCGAGGAGCAGCACATGGGGCGTTTGGAGCGGCGGAGGAGGAATTCAAAGTCGTAGATGCATCCGAGAAGTCCTTCTTCGAGCCATGGATCAAGCAGGATTTTGCTCAGTGGGAGAAGACGGGCATAAAAATGGTAGGCCAACCAAACTTTCAAAGTGACTTGAGCACCTGACGTATGCAACAACAAGTGCAGCCTTGACTGATCCTTCCTCTGTTTTGCAGAGCGCTGTCACTGAGATGGCCCTGCGATACCGCGAGTGCTTTGGGGAGGTTTTCCGTTTCCAGATCATCAATGGCACACTTTGGGTGGATCACATCTCAGAACGACACAGTGGTTGGTACCCATCTCGAATGGGAGCAGGTGAGACACTTGACATGTCTGTGGCAGGAGTGATGATATTTGATTTGTCACAGAGTCTCCAGTATGTCTTCAGGATCATCAAAAGGATTGTCATCGTCTGGCAAAACTTACTCTCTGCTGTGTTTGACCAGGGAGCCTTTCAGCAAAGGGCAAAATTCCTTATGCAATCTTAGCTTTGATGGACACGCTGCGTCATCACCCAGGGCAGGTCAGACAACAACATGCTCACAACTTCCGTTTGCTTCTCTGGCTTGCATGCCGCATGCATTCCTTATTTTGGAGCCGCATTGTCAGACATGATGCTCAGGATTGAAGTGTGATTGCCTGCAGATACCGGACATAGATGCGGTTATTCAGACGTCGGACTTTCCTTGCATGTTGCGGCAGCAGCCGGGGAACACCCCACCCCCACCTGTGTTTGGCTACAACAGCCATGCCCGCTTTGTGGACATCCCCTTCCCAGATTACACCTACTGGGGCCATGAGTACCACAGGCTTGTAGGTGAGCAGGGGTTGCACCATACAGGCATTGAAATCTGCAGAGGCAGCATCCTCCTGCATGTCTGCCTGCTTGTACAGTTGCATATAATCTCTTGCGACAGGCAGGAGTTGCGTTCACTGTACTGACCACTGTGAGCACTGACCTAGATGAGGATGGGCTTCTGCTGTTTGGATGGGAGAAGCAATTCAAGCTGCTGTCGGAGAAATGGAGAGAAAAAGAGATTGCAAGCCGAAAGCCCCAGGTCATTTGGCGCGGCAGGACAGAGGACAAAGAGTATCCAAAAAGGGATGAGCTCAGGTAAAGCAGTTGAACATCCAAAGGGCAGCATCGTTTAGCCAGCAGAATGATGGGATTGTGTGCATAATCCCAGGCCTCTGGCATCTTGCAGAGATGATCATATTGGTTTGCTGAGCAGGAGGCAGTTTGCCCGTTGTGGAGACGAGCTGCGTAGGGAGGGATTTGAGGAGGAAGCAGAGCTGTTCAGCCTTAGAAAGCCAGAAGTGCAGCTGCATGACCTTGGCAACTACAGGTGACCTCCATTCGTTCTCAGCAGAATTGAAGTATATGTAGAAATGTCCAAACACGGAATATTTCAAGGGACATCAACATCTGCAAGAAGTAATTGACGTAAAAAGGATTCTTTCGAAGGAACCTCAGTGTTGATAATCGAAAGCCCTCTTGTCTCTGTGGCAGGTACCTCATGTACATTGAGTCGGACGCCTGGGTCACCAATCTGAAGCAGAAGCTGGCATGTGGGTCAGTGCTGATGAGCAATCAGATGGAATTCTTTGAGTTCTTCACGCGGGCCTTGCAACCAGGCGTGCACTTTGTCGAAGTGGACTCTAAGGATCTTTGCCATGACGCCACCCTGAAGGTAAGAACTGGGGTCTCTGGCTCCTTGTGAATGATTAATTTCTCATGTTGCTGGGCATGAGATATTGAGGCAATGTTACCCTCTCTCAGGTCCAAGGCATGAATGCCGCCATAGAAAAGGGCAGCCAGGAGGAGTCAATGCAGGAGAAGGATGCAGAGAGCAGGAGATTTCTGAAGGAGACCGCCCAAAACTACACAGGTGCACCCTGGGAGATTGGGCAGGCCGGACAAGAGGTAATGGTCTTGCATCCGGGTGAAAATTTGGCAGTGCAAGTTTGCTTGCAACAAATCTAGGCCTTTTGGCAGAACATTGTCCATCCAATCTGTCATTTATGCTGCTCACGCGTTTTGATTTTCTAGAACTCAGCATGCAAGTACTGATGATGTGCGTATGTTCTTGCAGTTTCTCGCGCAGCATGTACAGATGAAGGACGTGCGGCTGTACATTCGGGATGCACTGCGCAAGTATGCGTCCTTGCAGAAGTTTCTTCCCCACACCTCATGGAATGCAGAGTGCTACACTGGAGAGATGCTGCTCGAGCAGTTTGGGTTCCCCTACGCCTATGATAAGCAGGTTGTGAAGCAGGCATATCCATGGCTAGAGAACTATGGCAAGAGCGAGTGCGAGGGGAAGTTGTCGCGGAAACAAGTCGAGAAGGATGACCTCTATCAAGCATAAGGTTTGCCGCCTGGAGGTTTTAGGAGTTCCACTTTGCATGCGTTCTCTTGCCATATTGGGCTGGGCGCATCCACGCGAGCTGTCATGAACAGTTTGCGATATATCAAAAGTAATACAGAATTGGAGTCCTAGTTTCACACAGATTGTCAGCAACTCAGTCTGTCTCTGGAGGTGGAAAGGTTCCAATTTGCATTCAAAGACCCCTACATGCCTGTATTGGGCCATGGAGTGCTCTGATGCAAGCACGGGCGGTCCTGCCATGGGCAAGGTGTGTGGACAGGATTTAGGTCAAGAGGGCTTGTTGATGCGCATCATCATCCTGTGGCTTTCCCTTCTTTGGTATGCGTGGACAATGCGCTAGGAAGGCTTTGCTTGTCTGCGTCAATTGCTCAGTAACATCATTCTTTTGCCCAGATCAGCAGGCCATATCGATGTGGCCGTGCACATGCAACAGATCTGGGAATAGTCAAGTGAGTTCTTTCTCAAAAAGACACGAGTTTTCTGTATCAGAATGAATCAATGAATGATCTATGTGCTTCGCACACGCTGCCTGGGTTGCATTCAAAGCTGCTTGCCCTTCTTTGATACTGACAACCCAGGAGTTATTCCTGTAACAGGCTGATTTCTTGACCTTGCCAGCGCTGATCACACATTTCAACACAATTACTAGAATTATCCGATCATGATTCATGACAATCTCACAGGCAGTCGAAACCTGACCAGCTGATCTTCACAGACGAGAAATGATTATTGATGCTGCTGCTTATTTTAGCCTGCAGAGCAGTTCAAAGTTGACCTTTCAAAAGGGCCCATATGATGATGATATTGACATCAGCTTGAGAAATGAAGTATAATCTAGCCTCTGCCCCTGCTCAGGCCTGGGGTGCAATTACAGATACTAACATTCAAACACCATCACCGCAGCCCATATGGCCAGCACTGTCACCTGCGCAGTGCATGCAGCCATGCGCACTCGACACAGCCTGCCACTGAGGGCCGGCGCCGGTGCCAGGCTGTAAGTTGAACGGCAGCCCCCGCTGTTGGCTGGCCCTCACCGCCCATTTCTGTCCACACATGCATGCATGCATGCAAAGACCGTCCTCCTGTATTGTGACTTCAGAAAAATAAATTTTATCTATCAAATCAAGGCCAGGCTTCAGCATTGCTCGTTCAGAAAGGCCTGCAGAAAGGAAAGCCAATTTTGGACTTCCAGATGGCGTCAGCTCAGCTGCTTGTGCAAGCACGAAGTCCAGAGGGAATTTACAGGATCAAAAGCTTCCGTGTCAATCATATTGTGATTTCCTGGTATTGTGGGTGCAGTCATGATCATCCAACGCATTTGATGTGAGAGTTGTGGAAAGGTTCAAGGACGCATGGTGACTGCAGAGTAGGTGATGCAGTCTCTTGACAGGCTTCTGGTACCATGCTTGTTGGTGCTGCTCGCAGCGATCAAGCCGCTTGGTGTACTTGGCCACAGATCCCTGAGAATCAGGTGAGTCTGGTCGCGTTTGTTCAGTCACCTTGGGAACAGTGATCTCGGTGATTGCCTGACTTTATCGTTTGCACCTCCACGTAGGGACATTCCCACGACCTTGCAAACTTGCAACAATACTATACAAGGGAGGTGGGTCACCTTGCAGCTGTTCTTGCCTGAGAAAATTATATTCTTCAATACTTCAGAGCACAAAAGGGAGGGCTAACCGTGAGTAAGCAGGTGGCAAGTTGCGGACAGTCAGGGCATGCTATGCTCGAGACAGAGTTTAAGACCAGACAATGGATGCTGCTCAGCTGGCGACAAGTATTCTTGCGCAACGTAGGAAAAACTACCAAGCCTCCCTCTCCAGATTGTTTTTCAGAGAAAGCCTGGTCCTTGAAGATTGACTTGTACCAATCTCCAAATTGTCTATGCAGGTGCAACATGCATGATAGCTGCTGTGCAGACTACGAACACTGTGTGTCTTGCTGTCAAGACCCACAGCACGGGCTCCCAGATTTGAGCACAGTTCACCGGGCTCCTGACAGGTGATCACTGCTAGCCGATTCAATATTGCGTACCATCTCCTGTAGATTCGCCTCAAGGCATGAAATAGCAACTGCTCTGTGACTGTGCAGGCCTGAGACGGGACTTTGGCCCTCTGTATTTGAGTACTGTCGGAATAAGTGTCGAACTTCCAGCAAGTCCACTGTACATGAGAATGCATACCTGTCACCATTTCATCACTGTTTTTCATCCTCAGGTGAGCTCGAGCATACTTAACTTATTCAGGTAGTGGCCAACTGCATGTGATGGACTGGTGGTGTTCACAGTGTCAGTACGCCACTGCTCACATATGCAGGGAAGCCGACGACCGCAGCACCACCAACTCCTCCAATACCCAAGTCTGTGACAGTGGTGCTGGGGTCGGCGGGGCAGTCTTGCAATGCACTCTGCGAAAGCACTGGTCGGCGCTGTGCGCAGCAGCATCTCGCCTCCCTGAACAATTGCAATGTGCTTCGAGAGCACTACGCATGCGAAGCAGGGTGAGCCTCATTCATGGCCAGAGGCTGCCAAATCCAAAACTTGACAATATCGTAAGGGATATGCTCAAAAAAGTAAAATTTCACAGGTTTGCAGCGCCGGTGGGCATTGCGAACCTCCTTAAGCCTGAATATGCTGACCTCTACTGTGTAACTATTTGCCGCTGCAACAGGTGTGAGCCAGACTCAGGGACAGCTGATGCACCAATATATGTGAACGCGTCTGCCCCTAAGCAACAGCGGCCGACCATTTGTCTGACTATGGACTCAAAGGTCAACCAGTTCTCCTGTGAGGCAACATCTGCCAGCAATCATCGCCTCTGTCCTTGTATTGAGGCCTCCTGATATGCTGAGAATCTTGTCATCCTGATGTTGAGTTTGTATGGAACAATCCGTTGAACAACTAACTTGAACATTTTCCTTTGCTTTCTTTTGGAACAGTCAACAGTCTTCTGATATGCTAGCAATATGCTTGAAGCTGATGGTGTCAGCTGCTGGCTGCTGCAGCAAAGTGCTGCATTGCAAGTCTTTTATGAGAGTGACCATGATCATGTAATGCATTCGGCCTTTCAGCATTGATCAAGATGAAGAGCTTGAAGGACAGTCACCCTTGTGGCATATCCAATTTGCATGCACGGGCCCCGGCAGGCCCGGCCAGGCCTTGAACTGCCTGCCTAGGAACTTCCTTGAAGCAGTGCTACTTTGCACACTGGAACTGTGCAGTGCCTGATGCGGTGTTGCCATGGTCGGATGCTACCGTCGTAGTTTGTTAACAAATTACCTTGATGCCTGGATTCAATCCAATTCAATGAGAGAAGTTATCTCATTATCATAATCGCATGCAATGACTCATGCGCATCCGGATTGCATGCGCAAAATGTTGGGCTTTAAAGTGTGGGCTAGCTGATGAGCGCTGATCATGATCGATCTGAACCCTTCATTGTCATCTGCCCATGCAGGACTAGACTTCTAGCAATAATTTGTTATCACCGAGTCCTTCTTTTTTTCTCTCAGTTTCTCCAGACTGGCCAGTCATGATGCATGCCTTACAAGGGGGAGGGAACGCCTCTCATCGGTTGCATGAGGCATTCATGCTTTCTTGCTTTCTGCCTCCTCTCATCGACACTCAAGAAGATCCTCGAACAGGACTTGAAGGAAGCTCTTGTGAGATACAACTGGAGCTTAACGGGGACTTCGTTTCCCAAAGGATCAGTGTCTAGAGCGGGTTTGCAATCTTGTTCATCAGTCTTGTGGAATCGGACTGGCACGACCGGGTCCCTCTGTAGAAGTCTTATGGACAAATTGGACTTTTCTGCGTTGTGTTCGCGGCCTCTCAGCGAGAAGTCCGGCGCGTGCGTTGAGGACGTCGCTTCCATCACTTCTGCTGTGCAGGACTTTCCCCTACCGCAAGTCCAGGATGTAGGTTTCGCTGCGTGCTGACATATGAACAGGAAAACATGATCATGTTCTCCGGGTATCTTTCAACGCTATGCCAATGCTCGAGTTGTAGCTCTTAAAGGAGATAGTGTCAGACAGCTCATCACTGGGTGATTAACTTGCAGGTGGACAGATTCGAGAACGAAGTAATGTCTTACGTCAAGCCGAATCACGGCACAACAACACTGGGATTCATCTTCAAGTATGGTGTGATTATTGCAGTCGACTCGAGGGCTAGCATGGGCTCCTATATATGTGCGACTTCCTCCTCTGCTTCAAGCACCTCAAATTGGACACATGTCCATCTTTACGTTTGGTTTTGCCCTCACTATCTGTGCCGGTCCCTGAAGCGCTTTGTTATGCCCCACAGCTTCGCAGACAGTGAAGAAAGTCATTGAGATCAACCCGTACCTGTTGGGCACAATGGCTGGTGGAGCGGCTGACTGCCAGTTCTGGCAGAGAAATCTTGGCCAGCAGGTGATGGTGGCAAAGCTCTTTTTGAATGAGGCATGTGCTTGTGAGTTCTGCCAACGACAATGTGTAGTATTTAGAGAGGCTGAAAATTTCTTGGTTACAGTGCCGATTGTACGAGCTGAACAACGGCAAGCGGATATCCGTCAGGGCAGCATCAAAGCTCCTAGCGAATGTCATGTTCAGCTACAAGGGATACGGACTGTCGATGGTGAGCGACTGTCAACATATCCTTCCAATATAGTCCATGGTGGTCAGGCTTTTGACACTGTGTTCCTTTCGCGTGCCATGGCCAACATTCTCATGTGACCGCAGGGAACTATGGTGGCTGGCTATGATCCCACTGGCCCTGGACTGTATTATGTGGACAGCGACGGGCAGCGCACAAAGGGGCAAATCTTCTCTGTGGGCTCTGGCAGCCTGTATGCGTATGGAGTGCTTGACAATGGGTACAAGTGGTAAGTCCACAAAACTCAATTGCACCAAGACAGCAGAACAACAGCCGCTAAATTACTTTTCGCTGTCACTCTGTGCACAATTTTCATGAATGGTCGTGCTCTGCAGGGATATGGATGTGGAGGATGCAATTGAGCTGGGCAGGCGTTCCATCTATCATGCAACATTCAGAGATGCCGTCAGCGGTGGAACAGTCAGCGGTATCTTGTCCCTCCTGCTTCTTGAAATTGGATATGGTTTCTCTCTTGCTTGCATGTGTGCGCAGACACTAAGTGTTAGTGGCCTGCAGTGTACCATGTCACAGCGGATGGCTGGAAGAAGGTCAGAGGAGACGATGTTGGAGAGCTGCACTATGAGTACTACCCGACTCCTGAGGCCCATCCTTGCCATCGTGCTGATCCCCTAGAGACAGCCTGATCAGGGAGCACTTGATGGCATGATGCTGCCTGCAGATGGTGCAGCCTCCTTGTACTCGTGTGCAAGCGTTTGCACAACAATTGAGTGCACTTTATTCAATTAGCCAAATACATTCTTTGGCATCGTGGGACATTAGAGGGGTGAATTTACACGATTGGGAATTCATCCCGTGCATGCCTTGCTGTAGTGGCCGTTGAATCAAACAATACGCTTTGACGAAGTCTGGCTGAACCATGTATATGCCATATCACTTTGTTGGCATCATGTGCTAGCACGCTAAAGAGCGCTCAGCTACCGAACCGCAGGCTCATGCCATGTGTAACATCCTTGATCAAGTCATGACTCAATTGATTTGCACATGTTGCATCTATAAAACTAGCTTTTCAGGAATGCTGTCATGGTGCAAGCTTTAGAAGGCGTTAATGCCAACAAGCATATTCTCAAATGCACATCAGTGACTATGAGATGGAGCGCTTGCAATTGCTCATCAAGGCTTGAGCCCGCCGGTATGGCCAGTCTCTTGCAGGATTCTGCAAGTATTTTGTGCTGGACCTGGTACTTGACAAAAATGAAGACCTGCTTCAGCCTCCTCGCACATCTGGCTCAGTGCCCTGCATGCACGCTCCACTCAATAGAACAGCCTACGGAGCACGTCTGCATCTGCAGAGGTCCAATATATTACAGCTGGTTAAAGTGCATGCTCTCATCAAATCAGGGTGGCATTCCAAGTCCCATTGTTCGCTTTGAATCGGCCAACAGCTACAGCAAAAGCACCTTTGACTTCTCAGGTTAAGGCTGGCAAGAGCTAGATAGCCCTTACAATGCCTGCATACTCAGCTTTAGAACACCCTGGTGCAAAAGAACCCTATGTGTGGACAATATTCTTGGAGCATCCAAGGGCCTGCAAGTGTATAGTGAAAAAATCCGAGCTCTTCTGCCAAACTCCCCTTCTGTCAATGGAGATCACAAATCGCATCAAATTGCGGTGTGTATCCTGGGGGTCATGATTTCTCAGGTCATGGCCGCAACTGTACCAGATAGAGCTACTACAGACGGTCAGCATCCTCATAATGAGGCTGCCATATGTTACAGACTGCTCATTGGCCTCCAATTTGTTCGAGAACGCAGTCAATGACATCATTGTCCTCCATGCTGTGTTCACCTGTCCAGACAGCACAGGTGTTCAGCAGCAGAGGAGTCAGCTGCCGGCATCAAGCTGCTTTGCTGAGTGCACAACTGCCGCATGCATGGACATTGTTGGGAACATACCAGGGGTGAGGTTTGGGGCCAGCCTCTGTCCATCGTACAAGAACCTTATGGCAGCCACATCTACAGATCTCTTGGCAGCATAGGCCTCCATGATTTTCTGAAATTTCGTGTGAGTCTTGACCTTGAAATGAACCTGCAGATCAGCATTAGCAGCAGGATGTTGCACAACAACGTATCTCCGATGATCAACAGAGTCAGCAGAAGCAAGAAAGTAATCGCCAACACCGCTGATCCTCAATCGTACCTCAGTGTCATTCTGGTCCTTGACCACCAAATTTATCACATTCCCATTCTCGACCTTGGGTTTCGTCTCAGCGTTTTGATCCGCCATTATCTGCCACACAACAGCGACCTCAATACAATGTTACTATGGGCCAAGCCACACCATAAGTACACCATACATTTGGAAGTAGATTTTGTGAAAATACAACCTCAGCAAAAGTGAGTAGAATGTGAAATTACCTGTAGGGCGCACTTTCTGAAGGACAGAAGAAGTGAGGGCTGTGCAAACGGCAAGCCAGGAACCTAGATCAAAGCTGCACTCCTCAAGTAAAAGTACTCTTTCTGCTTTCTAACGAAGCTGCAGATCAATACTTGTGATGAATGAGGCGCGTCGTGCCTGCTTTGCGCGCAATGGTTGAGAAAAACCCCCCTCAGGTCCATCGAATCCAGGGGATTTTTAGGCAAACCTAAGCCTCTCACCGAGTCCTTGAACATTAAAAAATTTATCATCCCCCGGACGACATAACCGCCGGGCACAAAGCGACGCTTCAACAGAGGCGGCCCTGACAGCAACAATGTGAGTATACAACAGTGGAGCAGACAGAGGCCAGGCGATAGCGGCTGGGAAGCATAACAATAAATTGATCTTAATGACGCAGTAGTAAAGATATCTAGGACGGCCAAGCTTTGGTTGGGGCGGAAGAGGCAACAGCCGCCAGCCGCCATTACCAGTAAAAGAAGGATGCGACGGCTGTTTGCATCATTGTCTGACGCGAAGAATCGACCGCAGTAATAGAAATGGCCATGAGACCTTTTACAGAACAAGCAGATTTTGCAGTGTTGCGTTCTTGTGTGTGCCCTGCCAAACCCAGGCAGGATGTTCTGGGTCCTGGTCCAAACCTAGGACAAAGCGCGTACAAGCTGTATTGGGGCTTTGAGGAGATCTCAGTCTAACCTCCTGCAGTTTTCACCCGATTGCAGCTCCTTGAACACCTGCCAGTCCAGGTGTGCCTTTGCAAACCACTCAGCTGTGCTCCTTGTGGGGGTACTTGATCCACAGTGCAAGTGCAGGTCTTAGGATCTGTTTGGTGACCTTGCATTGCTGGTTCGGTACGGGTCTACATGCTGCTGTGTAGTAGCTTAGCAATACAGGTGGCGGCAAGCATTGTGGGGCATTGGGTACCCCCCTTGCTTGTTTCACCGAGAAGCGCTGTTATTGCAAGGATCTGGGCAGTCTTTACAATTACAGCAAATGGCTGGACCCACCCGCAGCACGCACAATCTGTTTGGCCTGTGATTCGCGTCCATGTCCTGCCCTTGACTTGTCGCTGATTTGGACCGACATACATCCACAAGCAGCCTTGCAGTCCTTTTTGGCAGTTGATACTTGTCTGCGTGCTGGGATGCATATTTTCAAGTATTCATGATGTGTGTGCTACTGATGGTTTGAGATATGTGGGACGCTTAATCAGCCCTGTGTGGCTGGAAAAAGTGTAATCTCTCTCTCTCTCTCTCCCCCACTACCTAGGATCAAGACTCAGCATGGCCAGATCTCCAGAGCCTAGGCATATGAGGCCCCCGGCCGATTGGTCATCATGATGGTGAGAACCTGTTGGCATCAGTACTGGTGGTCATCATTTTCTATGACTCATTGCTGGGAGCAGATGCCATCAGTGATCGTCATTTGGCTGTGCAACAGACTGGACTGCCACAACACAGCAGTTGACCTTGCAATCTATGCAGCGTCATTTATGCAGCACCAATGGTAGCCTATTAATGTGGCTGCCCAGGTAATTGGCTAAGAGATCAAATACGGGGTTTCTGGACAGCAAACATGATGAATCGGTTTGTTCTATGTCGCTGGAAATCCTGCAATCCCATGGCCGCAGTTAACTCACGCAGTTCCGCCTCCTCCCACCACTGGTAATTTGAGCCGCCAGACATGGGATCAAGCTGCACAACAGCACAGAGTCAGGCCTTGACCTCGATAGGCATTGACCAGAGCCCATCATTGTCTGGCAGAAGGCAATTTGACAGGCACCGCTTGGCAATTCAAAGCCTTCAAGGTATCATAATTTGAAATTGACTTACCGAATTCAAAGGCCTGACGAGATCATCATTATTGAGCAGCTGCCCGAGAGGTGCAGAAGCCTTCAGGAATGTGGAGCCAACAAAGACACCACCCGGTCTTAACACTCTGCTGATTTCAGCCACCTGCATTCAACAGTTCTTTGCCCTACCAAACCTCTTTGACTTAGTAATGGGTAAGGCCAGACATGCAAGAGGCTGCTTTGCTTGTGTGTGATTCCTGTGTCTCACTCTCATGCCACAGCTGAAAAGCCTACCGCCATTGTTGGATTTGGCCAGCAATGAATGGCAGCGCCAGCATGGATGGCAGCAACAGACCCAGTGGGGAATGGCAGACGCCCCACATCTGCTCTTAGTAATACGTACTGCCTGCACCATCGACAATGAGTATTTGGAAAAAGATCAGAGGCCCGACACAAAGTTCTTGTGACAGAACCAGTAACAAAAGTAAGCATAAACCCCTCTGGATAAACAAAGAGGTGCTGCAGACAAACCTCGTATCCAAGCTTCTATCCTCATCGAAGAATTGCTTGGCTTGAGTCAACATGGACTCCGAGAAGTCTGCAGCAATCACTCCAGCAAACTTGCCGCTCCTCACAAAGCGTCTCGAAAACAACCCGCTCCCGCAGCTCATATCCACCAACACCTGCACCAGAAATAGCATTCCTTTCTGAGATCCTTCAGGTCCTCACAGGTACTCGAGGGATACATGCTGTTCACAATTTTAGCCTCAGATTGTTCAGCTGGACTGTTTCGTACCTCGCCATATGCAGCTTGCAGGTAATCCATAGCCATCTCAAACTCCTTCTGCTCACCGGGAAACCCTGCCCATGTGAAGCTGCTCCTCCAACCCCGCTCATAAGCAAATGAAACCAGAGGACTCCTGTGATTGCAGCACGATAATTTGGCACAGGAACACGTTCAGCGCATGGAGTGTGACAGGATCTGCCATGCATGAGCAGCCAGATCAGACGAAGTATGTACCTGAAAATCTGTGTGCCTCCCCAGAAAGACTGCTTGTACACACGAGCAGGCGCTCCAGATGTTGACGTCAGGTCAACTGATTTTTCGTTGGCAGAAAAAGTCCGAGCACAGCGGTCGCAGTGCAACGCCTGTGCAAGCCTGCAGCACCCAACCCAGGGCACATGAATCCTTGAGGTTCATGAGTGGCATTGCAGGGGACAGTTTCTGCTGTGAGGCCCCGCACAAGCATCAGAAGACTATAGTTTTCCTTGCGCAGCATACCCTTGGTTTGATTTCTGGATGGAAAACTCTGTAGTGAGACAGATCGGACAGGCAAAGTTGTACTCCACGCTGTCCTTCACTCTCTCACTGTCTGTACCAAGAGGCCTTGCTGAGATAGGCTGAGCAGTGGCGCGGCATGGGACTACTCTTAGCCTGCTGCAAAGCTAAGCAAAAGATCAGTTTTCTACTGGCCAGCAATATGAAAGAAATTGGACAGAACAGTGCCAGAGCAAACAGTCGAGATCTCTTTTTCACCTTCTGAGAATTAAGGGAGTCTGCCGAAGCCTGAGATCTTTCGTCACATTCAGAGATGATCCGAAACGGTGCATGCGAGAAAGGACGTGCATGTTCTGTGCGTATGCAGTCCCATCGGCTACCATGCGAACGACTGGACAACAAGACTGGATACAATATCGCTTCAACTGGATCCAGCAACAAAAGAGAGCAAACGTTCCTTTACGTACACTTTTCTTATAATTCACTTGTGGTCTATATCTCCAAAAAGGACTTTCATTGTGTAGATGTTGAGTCCACGTGGCACTTTTGGAAGAGCTTTCCCTTGATACATTCTGCGCCAGAAGGACATTTGCTTCTAGAGTATACAAATTAGACATTGGTGTTGTTCTTTGATAATTTTATTTTCGCTTTTGGACAAGCCTTGCGTTGAAGAGTTGTTCTCCACAACATGACAACCTTTCCTGCGTCACAAAGGTGAGGGGGATATGAGTTGGCAGTATCAGAGGGGAAGACAAGAAAGCAGGGGTAAGGGTACTTCGCGGGGCTTAGGAGCGAGGAACAGGACATGGCACCGCCAGGAGACCGTGGTCAGGGATGTTCAAGCGCAAGCGGATGGTGAGGCTTCAGAAATGCCTTGTTATTTTGTTTGCAGTGCTTGAATGTATGAAATAGCCTCATATTCTTGTTGGCTGCTACAATGTCGGCAGGGCAGAGTTGGGATCCCTTCCGCCCTGTGGAACCTTTAGCGCCAACTCCAGCAAACTTGGCTGCTCCTCAGAAACCCATAGAAGCACAAATGGGAGTAATGCCAGGCACTTATGCTCGCCAGCGTCCAAATCAGCTTGTCCGTGCTGCATTGGGCAACAGCAGCTTGGCTGACGGTGCACATGTGAAGACCTGTGCAAACACAGTTGCACCCCTTCATGTTTCCAGCTCGCTGGCCGTGCCAGCCTTGTCAGGTGAGACACTAGGTACAGCATTTTCCAAATATCCAGTACTGCCAGTGTGTTCAAGGGAAGATAACATCTCTGAGCATTTTTGCTCTTTGGAATCCAGGGCCGACGCCACCCATAGCATCTGCCACAGCCCCCAATGCAGCGTTCAGAGCAGGGCACGAAGCTTCATCATACAAGCTACCCTCAAGCATACAGAAAGCGAGTTCCAACGTGGCGAATGAGAAGCTACAGCACACAGCAGCTTCCCCAAGTGCAGCAGCTCATTCAAACGCCTCAATCCGATCTGGGAGTACTAGGTACCTGCGAAAGAGGCCAAATCAGCTGTGCAGGCTGCCGAGTCAGTCACCAAGCATGGCGCCTTTAGCAGCGAGTGATACTGCGTCATCAAGAGGGAGGAGAAGTGTGTTGGTGGTGAGGCAGAAGCTGCTCACTTCTGCCAGACCGTCTCAGCGCCGCACAGCTCCATCCCAGGGTCTGACCAGGAAGGCGCTCTCGGTGCTGAAGCCGCAACACAGGAGCAGGGTGTACATCAGGGCTGGGAGTGCTGTCTTGCCATCTCGTGCCTGGGCTTCTCTGCCCAAAAGAGGTGTGTGATCCTCAACTCTGGTTGCAGGTGGACGCCCTCCGTTCTGAACAAGCAGTTGCACCAGACTTTATCTCAAGACCAGCTTCAACCTTTTTGTGGATGCTGCAGGTGCTGCTTCTCAAGCTTCGCCTGCTGAGCAGCAGCAAGGCAGCCTTGTGCAGAAGCATGTGCAGAACCAAACCCCGGTGAAGAGGCCCGTGTACAAGCATGTGGGCAGAGGAAAGCTTCAGCTTCTTGTGAGCAAGGATAAGGCGGCGGCAATCAATAGGAGTCAGCAACAGAATGCCTGGGTAGGTATGCGGGTTGAACAAGATTGATCATTTGGTGGCAGCAATTTTATGCATGGTAAAACGGTAAAGCAGTAAGAAAGAAGCAGATTCGTGATTGCATGCAGGTCCGACCAGGTGCTCCTCTGAGGCGCAAAGCCGTCTTGATAAGGAAGCGATTACCCTCTGGTGAGAGTCTTTTGTTACGGCAGGGTTTTTGGAATATCTTTTGTGCCATTTTGTTTACTGCAGTCCAAGGTCCATGACTGCTTACTATATTAAACATGCGTGTAGATGCAGTGAGAGATGGCGGCAAGGTGCTGACACGACGTCCCGTGCAACTGAGGCGGATCGGTGGCCAAATGTACCGGTTGGTGACTAATGGAGCAGGTCACACGCTGCAGCGCCAGCAATCGCTGAAACAGACTCAGCAGCGGGCGCGTCAGACACCACGGCCTCTAGTCAAGAAGGTCTGTGCTTTTACTTTTGCATGATCACTGCTCTAATTATCTGTTCTGGTGCCTTGCTGCTCGTGCATCTCTGTCATGTGTCCTCGGGCCAGGTGTCTGATTGGTGACGTGGGTGCGCCAGGCAGCAAGGTATGTGCGGCAGGGCAGCAGATTGGTCAGAGTCGGCACGCCGGCTGCGGCGCGCCAGTCCGTCACGCTGAGGGGCGGCCAGAAGTCTAGCGTCGCCGCAAGGCTCGTGGCCAGGGCTGTGATTGGCAAGAGATCCGGCGCGCAGGCCCCTCGCGCTCAGCTTGTGCGCCGCAGTGCTTCCTCTCACAGAACCATGTACTGCCCAAAATACTGCAGGTGGGATCCTGAGATCTGATCGCAGCCTCTAATGGGCACTCTGCATCAAATCTTGCTTTCTATCAAGATGTGGAACTTCCACTTATTTGCCAATCTCAAGAGTCTACTGTTTGGTTGCAGGACTGGGGTGTGTGCAGGACAGGCAAATGGGCAGTGCACGCTGGTGCATGACAAGTCCAAGGTGGCTGTGTGCTCAGCCTGGCTGTCTGGATCCTGCTCCAGCTCAGCAGAGTGCACGCTTCAGCACAAAGCATGCCCAGACCTGATGCCCCTCTGCCAATTCTACCTCAAGGTGGTTTTGACCTCCCACAGCAAGGGAAACGGTGACAGGCGCTGTGGTCGGCCCTTCTGGTCTATACATGTCGAGGTTGTCAAGTCATAGTGCATGCATGGTGTGCAAGGCACAGACTCCGCAGGTGAGGAGGCATTTTTTTGCGCAGGGATCCTGCACCAAGGAGAACTGCCCCTATCTGCACAGGAAGATAGATCTAGGCGCTCCAGTGTGCAGGGCATTTGTGGAGGGGGTGTGCTTGAGGGGAGCTCTGTGCCCTCACAAGCACCTGACTGCACGCATGGTCAAGGAGCTGCGTGCTTCACGCTCCCTCGTCACCGCATCTGAGCCCTCGGTGCCCATTCCCTTCTGTCACGCGCTCCTGTCACCCCACATTGCTCTGCTCCTGACCTGCCAATTGGAATTTTCAGGGTGCAACTCTGGATCATTCCCTCTACATGCTTTAATTGAGCTCCCCATCCTTTTCTGTGCAGCGAGGACATTCCTGTAAATGGCTGTTCATATTACATTATGCAGGATGCGCTGTTTGTGTGAGACTTCACGTGAACAGGGACAGGTGAAGCATCCAGGCGCTGCCGCCGACCCAGCTGTTGCTGCGGCAGAGGAAGCTGCAGTGGGCGAGAAGGTCGTGCAGGCCGGTGTGCACCAGAAGAAAAGAAAATGGCGCTATTTCTGGGGTGAAGAAGGGGAGGATAGCTGAGGTTTTGTCAACTGTGGTTTCAAGGTCTCCCTGCTATGCTGATTTGCCTTGTATTTGCTGTACATTCTTGTCATGGAGCAATAGACTGGAAGCTCCCATGTATATAGTTGTAGGCGTTGTAAATTGAGCAGTGCATCCCCAAATCGTGTTGTAATCCTATTGTCTCTATCTGAGAGACAATAGGACATGAGATTGCTGGAGGTCGCAATGTAATAAGATACGTGCACCAGTTGTTTCCTATTTGTTCATGTCCATAAGTGGAATGCCTCAATGCACTCTGGAGTCTACTTCTGAAATATACCACTCAAATGAGGAATGACATCCAGAGATATGAAGTGACAAGTTGATGCTGACATCATCCTGACATTCACTCACATGCCCCCAAGGTAGGTCCCCACAGCACTTCCCTTCCTCATTTACCGCAATAATTGATGTGCGCTTTCCTCGGAAGTTCAAATACACTACACTTTCATTCAAGTGAAGCTTTGCAACTTGCTGCCAACGTTGTTGCACCTAAAAAGTTCTCTTTGAGACTCAGCACTTGAACCTGTCCCCTGAAGCAGGCGGCTGAGGGGACGCAGCAATTAATTAATCGTAAAATCTTCACGAACAGTACTGTCAGATGAGCTCGCGAGCAGAGCATGTGAAGCAACTCATGGAGATGGTGATGTCCTGATCTCTAGATCTGGCTTCTTGCCTCAGACTAATTTTTTTTCCCCAGCACAAAGGCTGACGCACCATTACATGGTGTGCAGGGATTTCCAGAGAATCGTGCCAGGAAGGCACTGATATCAACTCACAACTGTGGAATAGAAATGGCTCTTCAGTGGCTCGTTGAGAACGCCGATTCACCTGACATAGATCTTCCTGTCGTAGAATCGCCAGTGCTAGGGAGCCGATCTTCTGGTCTGCATTCACACAAAATTCTGTGATTGCAGTCGAACTGAAAGCAGGACACTTTTTATACCAAGAAGCCATGTCTTGAGAACAGTAAGTTTGGTGGATGCATAAGACAGCTGTATTCATGGCAGGAAGAGAGGAGGGTAGCTCTTCGGCCTTGGTGGGTGACACCGTGCCTGGACAGCCTCCTGTGCTAGGAGTGCCAGCTCGGCCAACAGTGTCTGTCATAAATCCAGATGGGGAATGCACTCCTTGCCGCTTGGTGGGCGCCATTGACTGCAAGGTAGAATCATTCATCTGCTGCTGCCCATCCAGAACTTAGTGGATGAGGTGGATGTGCTCTGCCACCTGAACATGGCATGTGTGTTGGATGCGCAAATCCTTTCCTGCAGTGCTTAGACATGCAGCGGCAACAATCGCAAAGGTTGCATTGATGTTGTCTCCCTGCTGCAACTGACAGGCAGTCCTCGTGGTCGATGCAAGCCTGACGATGTCGATCGGGAAGACAGCCGCTCAGTGTGCACATGCTGCTGTTGGGCTTGTGAAGAACATGCATGCGAATTGCGTGCCATGGCTCCAGGCCTGGGAGGTGCGAGATGCTAGGCTCACTCCAAATCAATATCACTTTTGGTGAGGGCATCAAGTTTTGTTGGAGCTGTGCAGCATGAAAGGCATTCAAACCCATTGTTGTCGCTGCAGGACGAAGGGGAGAAGACAGTGGTGCTCAAAGCTAGTTCCAGCACAGAACTGGATGAGTTGGAAGCAAAGGCACAGTCACTGCTTTTACCGACATTCCTGGTGAGAGAGATCCCCTTGGGGTGTGAGGGCTGCAGAATGGTGAAACATTGAATTCACCTGTCGAATGCAAGTCCTGGTGAGATGGCTTCAGGCCGGCCTCGTGAACTCGACGCATTGAGCTATGTGTAACCTGTGCAGGTGGAAGATGCTGGCCGAACTGAGATAGCGGCCGGATCCAAGACTGTCCTTGGCATCGCTGGCATATCTGAAGTGGTGGATCAAGTCACAGGTCACCTTCGCACTCTGCGATGACAGTGTGACTGGAAGCAGCTACCTGTGGCAGTACTGCACGGATGCATTGTTCTTGTGTGACAATGAAGCTCCAACTCTCCCATTTAGATCCAACTTTATTTGTATGTGAAAGATTCACATGCATGTGGCGCATTATTGCCTGGCTGGTGTGCTTAGCCGCAGTTGACACTCAATGTGACTGTGATTGCACTTTTACTAAACCATCGGTGATATAAATTTGTACATGGCAAGTCTCTAAGCAAAAATGTTCAATTGCAATCTTTGCTGCAAAAACTATTTCGGCATAGTCTGACGACCATCAACAGAGTGGGCAAGTCTGCAAGCTTGTCTTGAGCAGTGATTTAGTGCTCCACATCTGCCCTTCTGCAACTCCTCTCCTGCTGTATCCTTGCGCCCAAATGTATTATTATAGCGCCTGCACAGCCATGGTTTCATTGCTCAATGATTTGTCGCATCAACACATCCCGATAGCAAATCCCAGAGGACTGGATGATCAGCTTGTCAGATAAGTAATAGCATATTCAACCTTGACCCAAGGGCCGTCTGAAGACCGTCGTGAAAACTGCTGACTTTTCATCATTCAAGGCTGATCACCGCTGCAATTTAAACCCAAGAAGAAACACTGGGCGGAGAACCTCTGTATAAGAAACACTGACAGGGCTGCTGCTACAATTGACATGTCTAACACTGCCCAAGCAGGTGTCTCAGACTGCAGCTGTGCTGCGCCATCTGCGCCAAATTGGCAGCTGCAGCAGGGATCGGAAGATCGGCTGCTGCAGTGCCATGTGAGGGCGCCAGATAGGTTCAGTCCTGCGGAGCAGGGATCCAGCGACACCCCACGGCACTCACTGGCTATCTTCATCATTGACAGCACTGCAAAATCAGCCGGTATGTTGACAACAGGGGGCATACCAAGAGGTTCATCCACGAAGATGCAGGTGCTACGCAGTCAGGTCCTCAGATTGGGCCTCCATCAAAGCAGGTAGCCTGTTCTCCCCCGCAGCTGCAGATCATACAGAATTCTTCAAAATTGTGCTGGCATTCCAGGCGGCAGTAACAGAGCAGTCCTAGCAGGGCAGTGGCACTCAGTGGAAAGAGAAGTCGTTTTTTGGGTTGTGTAATCATGGCTCAGAGCCATCAGAAACAGCCTCAAGTTGTCATCATTGTGCCATTGCCCCTCACACTTCTGTCAAAATGACAGATCCATTAGAAGCTAGTCAAGGAGCCCCACCGGCAAAGCATGTGAAGCTCCACCTATCAAAGAAGTACATGTTTACCCATTGTCAATATACAGGACACTTCCTCAGAAGCTTCTCTTAGTCAAAGCTGTGATGACTCACCTGTCAAAAATAAGCTGACCAGGGTGAACGGTCGACAGCCATGTTGATGCCTTCCGTAGCTTGTTCTCCTGCAGAGCAGTCGATCAAGCGGGTGGAGCCTGATGTGCTTGTGGAGGCAACCAGCTTGTGCAAGCAAAGAGATGTAGGGAAGTATATACATGCTCGTGTCATGAGTGATTCAGGAGCACTGAAACTCTTCCCAGTCAATATTGCTATGTGAAATGTTGAGTACAAGGCACAAGGTCAGACCAGTACTCGACCGTCATCATAGCGTTCCTAGTGGCACAACATCAAGTATAACAACACAAACTTGCAGGTGCTAAGAAATTCGCACCAGGTCAAAGATGGTTTTGCGCATCAAGTCTGCTGGCTAGGTCAATGCACGCATCAGCCTTTTCCCTGCACAAGCAAAATATCTCTTTCAGGTGTCTCCTTCCCAGAGGCCGACCCTCCTCGGCCAGACATTCAGGACCCCCCCACGGTGTAGAGTTTGATGCCGCTCTAAAAAAAATGTTGGCCTGAGTTGGAACCTTGAGAGGTTGAGCAACTCTTGAAGTTCTTGGTTCAAGCCAAATGAATGTATGGCTGGCTGAACACCGTAGCGAGCAATTGTCCTGCAGCCCAGTTGCCTGAAGTGCCAGCCAAAACAAGGTAACAACTCCATAATTATTGGTTGGTTGATGCATACCTTTGTGGAAGTCCACATGGAGGGCATCAATGCTGCCATGCAGCCGTGGCGGCTGGGGGCGTGGTCCACGCTGTAGAGGCTTCACCTGCAGACAACAAGGACAGATCAGCACTGCGAAGTGCCATCAGCCCTTAGCTGGCCTAGCGTAGACATGTGCCCACAAAATGTGGGGGCCAGTCGTCCTGCAAACCCAAAAGGGAGGCAAGATAGCGAGGCCCCCATCAACGACCGGCAGAAGGTATTGATCAAGCCCCTGACCGGCCTCAATTCTATTGCTTCTGGGAACGGGCCCTCCAGACATTGCAGGACCGGGGACCAACTGATATAGAAGCCAGCATGGGATATTAATACAATACAGAGCAGATGCACAGTTTGCTGCCAACAACCTCAGAAACTTCAAGAATAGCATCAACACTGCAGTCAGGAGAGCATGAAAGGCTCTGAAAAGCCGAGGCAGGAACGCTCAGTCAGCCAAGAGAAACACAATCGTCAGCAGCCGTCGGCCTCAGATACTCTAGTCCGAAATGTATGCTTTCATCATAGCGTCCTGGTAACTCATGCCCTCCCCTTCAATAGAAATCTTCAGGACAGCCTCTAATCCTAAAATGTGAACAGCCCTAAAAGGTGATTGAGAGAAGCAAAGGCAAGGGTCAGGACTGCCGGTCAGACAGTAAACGTTTCACGTCATCAGCCTAAGGCTGGATACATAACACGGACCAAAGTTTGTGGATCATCATTCCCTTTGCCTTTGCACCCCTTAACATATTCCTACAGCCCATGCGAAAGTGAACTGTGCGAGATCGGAGTCACGAGAGACTTACCCAACCGTCTGCACCACCGCGTCCGTGGAGCGCTTTGTCCCTGCGAAGAGAACGAGAACGGCAATGAGATGAACGTGCTCAAGGAAAGAGAAGGCGAAGGCCTGCTACTAACGGCAGGACAAGGTCGCTCAGTCAAATACGTGAGTGAGATAGGAAACAAAGTCTCTTCAACGACAAAAAATGTCTCGAAGCGAGCTGGGATATATCCAATCATCATTGCGACCTGCAGATATTCTGTTGGCAACACAGCTCCTAACAGCATAAGTCCTCAACTACAATACACGAAGGTGTTCAAATACCGCAAGACACCAAGGGATCAGGGGCCTTAGCTCAGTCCATCCTCATTGTTGTTCCCTGGCTTGGGACAAATAGGACTGGGGCGACAATTAATGATCATCCTCTCCCTCAGTGCACTTACCTCAGATCACTTACAGGTCAGTGGCGGTGGGAGCCCTCACCTTCATGTCGCATTGCCCGGGGTCGGATGTTGCATCCTCTGGCCTCGTTGCAGAGACGCCTCCGTCTTGCAGACATATCAAAGATGTGTTTGTGGCGGCTTGAGAAGAACCTCGAAAGTGAAGGCGGGGTGCCCAGGTACAACCTGCAGGCGGCGTTCCAGTGAAGATCTATAGAGAGCTAATTTGGCAACCAGTGTGGAGTCTCGGACTACCCCTTCAGCAGCTTCACCGAGCTTGATGGATTCGAAAAAGTCTTAGGCGTTCGGCCGAAACTGTTTGTGACAGAATCTTTATTTGCACGTAACTTACTGCGCAGCAGCTGCGGTGCTTCGTCTCTGAGGGGTTGTTTTCGAGATCTGGCCGGTGTCAGATCTGGACCGTCGGCACGTCGGCATTGCAAGTGTATCAGGGAGTCTGTCAAGTGAGAAAACACATTTCAAGGTGTTGAACAAGTCATTGGATTAGGGAGCCGTCTCACGGCCAAGGTGTGTGTTGCAGTCGAGGCTAGGCCACATGGCCCTCTCCTGCAGGTTTTCCGTGTTTATCTTGGTACTTCTTGGGACCACAATTGGAAATTCTCGCGCATGTCGTTTTGCGGAATTGTTCCAGGGGCACACAATTGAAGGTAAGCCTCCGCACCCAGCCAGTAGGCAAAGTGAGCAAGGATCCTTCATACCAATATCTTATTGCTTCACCTGGCAAAGTGAACAAGTTTGGAATGCCAAGATTTCTGAAACACACATTTCTTGCTTTTCCCAGGTCCACACCACGGCAGAGATCTGCTGGCATTCGTAGAAGTGAACAACACAGGAAAGGAGGAGGCCCTGGCGAATTCTGACGAGCGCCTGAAAGCCACACTGGCGAGCATTGACGCATATGTCAAGAGAGCTTCGCCAATCAACATTGCAGACCTGGTCACTCCCGTGGGAAAGTACACCAATGCAGCGGTCTTCTGGAACGAAGCAACCATGGTGTCCAAGTACCTCCCGGGCGCCATTGCCTACACAATAAAGTCAATCCCAGACCTGCTGGAGGACGCCAGGCAGGCAGCCATTACCAAATGGGAAAATGACGCTTTGATGGCACACCTGGTGCGCCCCATGCGTGCCTGGCATTCTCCTGCTTTCTGGTGGGTGACTCTGCATGCTTTCATTTACTCACGAGTTAAAATCCTGCGGCGGCTGAGATTGTGCCCTGTGCAGGACCCCACCTATGTGACCATCTTTCAGACGCTCAAGTCCGTCATCAATCCGACCATCACTGGCCTGGCGCTGCGTCTTGGGTTCCACGACTGCGGTACCTACGACCCCAATGCCAAGACAAAGGGAGGGTGAGTGGCTCTGCTGTGGACCTCCTGCTCCAATCGTGTGCATGTTTAAGTGCTGCAATCTCAGGTGAACCTCTTGGCAGCACAGGACCCAATTGAAAATGTGAATAGATTCTGATCATGCACATGTGCAGGGCAAACGGATCAATCCGCTACGAGTTCGACTGGCCATCAAATGCAGGCCTGCAACGCTTCATTTGGCCCTCAATTTGGGTGAGTCAGCGCGTGCTTGTCCTGCTGACTTATACATTCACTTTGCCATGGTTGTTGAAGACTACCATCTTGTCAGATCTGTTGCTGTCTTGCCATCATGGCATGATATTCCTGCACCAGGATGGCATCGCCTGATGAATGCTGATCACCTGCGCAGTCCGCCAAGCAACAGCTGGACAAGGTGCTCCCGAGCCCTGTCTCCTATGCAGACCTGTGCTCCATCGCCGGTGCAGTGGGGGTCTACCTGACCCACGGCCCCCTCATCAATGTGGGCTATGGGCGCCCGGATGTGGATGGCCCTGACCCCTTCCAGGGAGTGGGCTCCAACACCAACCAGCAGCGCGACTACCCCATCCAGCAAATCATCAACGAGTGGGGTGCGCACTGCACCGCAGCTGTGCCTGCTCACTAGGGCCTGATAAAATATGCCGAGCGCAAGATCCAATGCAACGTGTCCAATGTCCGCGCACAGCAAGTCTCTGTGCAAGACCGTTTTTATTGGAACATGCAGCGCAAAGTGCCATGCAGCATACTCAAATATTTGTGCCAGGGCAGTTCTTTTGCCGCAACTGCTTGATTAGACTTTTATGTGGTGCTGACTAGCCAGTGACTGTCACTGCAGAATTCTACGGATATGACATCGAGACACTGGTGGTGCTGAGCGGCGGCCACGCCATCGGCTTCTCTGCATCCACAAACCCCCAGGTATGATGTTTGTGATACCGTCTTTATAGTCAATGCCAAACCTGCCTGTCTTGGCTGTCAACTCTGCAGGACTGCCCCTCGTTGCTGCTGGCTGCTGCTTTCCAGCTGTAGCTCACTGCAGGAGCCTGCAAAGGCCAAGAGACACTCGCAGACTAGCTGCTTGTAGGTGCTCTCAACTCTCTGCGTTTGAAAACCAGTGGTGTTCGTTGACAGGGGACCATCTCTGCCAACAGCCGGTACTTCAGCAGCCGCTACTACAAGCAGGTCATCCTGGGAGACGCCTTCTTCGGCTCAGACCGCGCTCTGGCTGACAACCCTGCCACTCTGAAGATTGTTCAGGAGCTGGCAGCAGACAACGTGCTCTTCTACAAGAAGTTCACAGATGCCTACAAGAACCTGACCTGGTCGGGAATTGACCCTTCAGTCAAGCGCCTGGGACTCTGAGCTGTGGAAGTCTCCTAGCAATAATTTACAGGCCAGGTTTGCTATCTGTTATGGGAAGAGTTTGAGGGCCTGTGCTGGGCTCGCAAGCATGTATCAGTCCAGTGTACCACATCTTCGGGCCAGGCACTCAGCACACCTGTTGACGCATCGCAGAGCATGCAAATTTGTGGATGAATCTGACCTGGAGAATCTTCTGGCAGGCACGTAGGACATACTGGTGAGCATTGACAAGTGTATGAATGAGGTCAGATGTCTGCAGCAAGCTTGATTCAGACCAGATTCTGATGCTCGGCTTGTGCCGGTCCAAATATTCATATGATGCATGAACAGCAGCGCAGTACAGTATGGTATGGTACAGATTTATGGTCCAAGAGAGAAGAGTGACTGGTCCTATTTTAACTTTTTATTTTTTGACATTTGCCTAGATCAGTTGTAACCCCAGGATGCTTACAAGGACATGTGATTGATAAGTATTGTGCAACACCAGGGATATCTCACATTGGGACTGCTGATGTTGGGAGTTTCAATTGAGACTGTGTGTCTTGCAGCTGTTTGGATTTTACAGCATTGGATTAATGAGCACATCAGGCTCAAGAAGCTCTTATCATTGTAATTGCAAAGTATCTCATCACTGTAATTTGGCTGCTTTTGGGGTCATGCTGAAGCTTCCCAATCCACAGAGGCCATTCAAAGGCAGTTTCAAACACAGGCACGGTCTCATGACAAACAGGCACAAAGACATCAGTCTCATTTGTTCATGTGGGCAACTTAGCGAGGGCGGATGTTGCGAGGTGTTGCAGGTGCATTTCCATGGAGCCCCTTTCTGTCCACTTGATGGGGCTGGCCAGGAGCTCGGCGCTTGCTTTCCCCATCTGCTTCCCCAAATCCTTTGCCGCTGCATCGGCATGAGGTCCCAGGATGTGGGTGACGAGCAGGTTCAGGGCCTTGCAGCAGAGGATCTGGCAGCTGGGGCTGTGCTGGTGCAGCAACACCGAGCACACCTGGCCACATGCACGCATCAGCGCCAGCAAAGCATTGTATCGAAAGCGATATACAGGCATTAAAGCCAGTGCGAGCGCCAGGGAGAGAAAATTGCTGTTTCGCAAGTGCACAATTTGCAGCAACAACACAATGATCCCCCGGCCCAGGAGGACTAAATGACCACGTATACATGCATACAAGTATTTTCTGGAGTGCCGAAATGCCAGTCCAATGTAATCATTGTGAAGCTGCTACTCGTGCTGTAAGAATCGGCATGCAATTGACGCGCGCATACCTTGTTGATGCCGCCCAGATCTAAGAACTTTATTTGATTCACATTGCTGTCAGCCAAGAGGGCCAGCAGGGCGTCCAGACAGGCTCCTGCAAGGGTCCCATCGACAACGTCCGCCTCCAGCTTCCCCAGTAAAATCTCCAGGGTGCCACTCTCCACTGCAAGCTCCCTGGTGCTGGTAGACAGCAGGCACATGACCTGTAGCACACACACATCATCACATGAAGATGATCATTCAGATGTCAGATTACGTGAAAAGAAAATACCTGTCAGAGCTCTCAGAGGTGTGAGGCTGACACACTGATGAATACCTAATGAGTTTTGCACGCTCATCATGTCTATTCCTCACCTCCAGGATTTTCAGTGCGGCACACTGCTCGTCCTCAGTGACGCCCCGACCATCGCCCTCGCAGCTGATTGTTGCTTCCCGCTGCACTGCCGTCTGCTGGAGAATGTTCTGCAGGATCTGCAAGGCTGCGCAACACCGAGTGCCCACAGCGTTCACAAAGCTTGGTACATGTTGAGACAGCGAAAACTGCATATAATGGCATGTGCATGTGCACACCTTCTTTGGACAGCTGCTCAAGGGTCATGAGCATCAGTGAAACTGATTGTGGCTGCAACAAAGCTCTCAATATGCTCTGCGCACACTGCTGCAGACTCTCTGTCCTCAGAAAGGAAAAGGCACCGGTCTCAGCTGCAGGCAGCAATGGATTGTTGGCATGAAATTGATTTATTCGTATACTTGGACAGGTAGAGATTCTTCTTGAGCACTGACGAAGCAAAGCCTCACCCAGACGGAGCATGTCGTACAAGTCTTGCTTTAGTGTAGTTTCCTGATGTTCCCTACATCAAAGGATGCATTGATATAGTCTCTAATGTTAGGTATGAGCTGCCGCATTGCACAAGAGAAAGAAACACCGATGTAAGGAAAGGGTCCAGGGGGCACCAAGACAGTCGGTCCATCACGTCTTGCAAATCGTGGGGAGGCGATCCCATGATGCGAATGCCTCTCGAACTATCAGATATGGAGCTCAGGAAAGCTCAATAAGTTTGAAGGTGGTGTGAGCTGCTCATCAGTTTGTGTCTATTTTATCTTACAGCTAGATTGATCCTTGGACATCAAACAAGAGGTTTTCACAATAGAATCCTTCCGGCTACGTTTATCTTGCGTTTCTTTATCCCAACGAACTTACAACGCCGCAGAAATCTTACGTGAAGCAAATGGCTTGCAAGCTCTGGAAAGTGCCTCTAGGAACATTGGGCAGCCCGTCATTGGGCAGCGGGCAGGGTCATCTAGAAATCCAACCCTGACAGTGTTGAAGCTGCTGCTGATGAGTCCTGTTGCTTGATATACTTGCAACCCAGTCTGATGCTAGTAAATGTCTGCGGAGGATAATGAGCGGGGTCATCTTGCATGCCATTCGGATCCTCAGGCTAGCCTTCGAGTCACTCTATATTTTGGGTCCCAGCTGTCAGCGGATGCAGCTCCTCCATAATCCTCCCTGGTTGATGCTGGATGCTATCGGCCTTCTTGCAAGTTTGACGAATCCTGGTGTTCAGATTCCCTCAGAGAACCAGTACTGCAGCTGAGAAGCATGGGAGCAATCCTGTGTTTCTAATTGGTACTGGTGCCAGGCGCTCTGCAGAATGGAATATTTATTCATGAATAAATCATGATATGATCATTGATGGTTTCACATACTGCTGTGCTAGCAATGCAGGCATGCATGCTTCACTGGCATGGCAAAAGAGCTCTCAATGAGGTCATTTGCTGTGAATTGTCCAACCATTAATGGGCACCATACATAGCAGGGTTCATATAAGAAAATGCACCGCTGTCTTTCAGCTGCAGCTTCATCACAGGTGCTCTTGGATCGAAGCAAGACTGCTAACATTGCAAAAGTAAAAGCAGATCTTGCAAGCAGAATTCTGAGGTCACAGAGCACTATTGGTGGGCTGCTGTATTCAGGGCTGCTGTATTCACAGAAATGTTTCCAGAAAAGACTATTTCTCTGATCAGCTCGTGGAACTCAACATAGCAGTAATCAAGATCCTCATGGTGTTGCTGAACAGATTGACAATTTTGATGTTCACTGATGGTCACAGCCACCGACATACCATCAACTTGTGCAGGTTTGGCCAGGTCCGTGGATATTCTGGTATCCTCAATTGATATGATCTGCAAACTGATCATTACTCAAAACCTGTACAGCCGCAAAGTGGTATAGATCACCGTTCTCACTTTCACTCACTGGGGCTGCCTCCTCCAAAAGGATTTCTGCCTCCACTAGTGCTGTTCTTATCACCATGATCGTACAGTTTTCATCTCCACTTCAGGACTTGACTGGGTGTTTTGATTGAGATTCAACCCATTATCTGGGAGATCATATCACTCGGGTTTGTGCCCAAAAACTGGGTGTTGACATCCACCAAGTTGTTTTCATTGGACATTGTGGAAGGGCCCTTGGGGCAAGAGTCTGCATCCAGGCAGCGACCCCCGTAGGTTGCGCACGGCGACAGACCGGCCTTGCACACGCACACGGCGTTGCTGCAGACTTGTGAGAAGGAGTCACAGGAGTTGCTGCAGGATCCGCAGTACAGCAGGTTGTCAAGCAGGTTCACACACTCCGCCCTGCCAGCACACAAGGAAATCAGCACATAAATATTCCAGCAGTAAAAATACCATCTCAGCTTGGACTGACGAGCTGGAGGGTAAACTGCATTGCTGTGATGGGATTTTCCTTGCATTGCATTGTTACCAAGCTTTTCCTGCCAAGAGGCAAGGTGCGTCTGCAGACAGGCTGCAGGTCAAGGCTGCCCAAAATCCTACACCTTGATGGACTCGTCAAATTTAAGCAAGACGCTATCAACCGCGGGCACAAATATGCCGCGCCCCACCAAACGGCGCTCTCTGTGTGCTTGAATGATCATAAAAGCGTGTTGCTTGTGACGCGCGTACCTGCCGTGGCACACCACCTCTCCTGCTGCGCAGGTCACCCCTTCCACAACAGAGTACCCGTTTGCATCTGCGTTGCTCCATCCGACGTTGTTGTCAACTGCAGCTCCTCCAATGGATTGCCCGTAGCGCGGGTATTGTAGAATCTTTCGGCCCTCCTGCACACCCAGCACAACATACTCAACAGGCGCCAGATGTTGGTGCCCTGTGCAGTGCTTTGCCGCCGTGCAGCTTGGGCTAGGCACATCCTTACGTGAGAAGGTACACGTAAGCTTCCACGATCATATTTGCTGCAGACAATGGTGGAGTCGTCACCTTGGTCTCTGCAGCATAGACAGTGCTAGCGAGTGCCAGGATGGCAGCACCCCACAAGGCAACAGCCAACACCTTCATGATGATGTACCTGCCATTGAAAAGTAATCAAGGTATATAATGTCTCCTTTATAAAGCTTAGCCCGCCACCTTTCTGCGTCAGCGGAGCCTTGACGGTCATGGAAGAGTCGGGACTTGCAGGGCACCCGCAAAACACTCACGCGCGAAAGTTGCAGACATCGACGACATATATAGAAAGAACATAACAGATCTTTTGAGTAAACATATAAAACAAATCGCTGAGAAGGAATCGCTGTCTGACAGGGCTGTTCCGGCCTCTCGGCGTAGCACCGTCGGCGAATATGAACGGCAGCAGCCATCGCAGCACAGTGTGAAACACACAAAGAATTCTAACCCGTAGTTAATCTATTCATGCAGACCGGCACGCGATCGCTACGGAGTCCAACCTCTCTGAAGCCCGTGTGACGTCCCGGGATGGAAGGCTTCCTAGAATATCTCTGCACGCAATCCGGCTTAGGACCTGGCCAAGTATCTTATCAGAGAATTTGTGGTAGCATTTGTTAGCTTGGTGATTGCCGCATTCCAAAGCACGATGAAATACCCCAATCTATATTTTGCGAAACCTTATGATATTATTTCACTCAGCTTCTTCCCCACTGGAGCCGTGAGAACGAAAAGAAAGAAAGGAGGATTGGCACTTTTTGCCATACCAGGACATTGGCGTCGAAATTTTAAAGAAAGGCCGAGTGATCTGCAAGCTTTTTCGCCCGAAGCCAGAGACGTCGTGAGAGACGAGGTGCGATCCTGATCTGGCGAGATCTACACAGCACAGCTTCAGGATGAGCCATGGTACAAGCATTGAGGTGTTGAGGAAATATTTGCAAGTTTATGTAATCTTACAGGAACCAGCAAGCAAGCAGACAGGCTGTGCATGCCCCTTGGAACCCTCCACACGATAACGTTTTTGTACTGCAGCTCGAGCTCGCTCTGTCCCTCTGGCGAAAATTCCCCAATATCGTCTACGAGTGGTTCATAAAAACATTAAAGGCGCATGTACAATGGCCAAATTGTGGCCCTTGACACGGAAAGTAGTCCAGAGGGGTTTGCTATGAAACAAGATGTTGAGGAACGAGTGACAATATTTGAATTCTGGTGCACGTGCAGGGCAGCATCCAGCATGTCGCTGGATCGCAGTAGTAGAATGCGGATCTTGTCCATCGCTGCTGGGTTGCTCTTGGTGCTACAGCCAGCAATGTGCTCCTTGAAGGACCCTGTTGCATATGCACAAGACCTGAGGGACAACAGAGAGGCCGCAATCGCAGCAGACAGCCTGCTGGGCAGAATCACCCCACTGTACACCGGCTATGCTTCCTTAAACTCTGCAGTCCCAGTCAAAGTCCTGGTGAACTGCCACTATGGGCCAGTCCCAGTGAATGGAACAGCCTCGAGCAGCGCCTCTGCCAAGCAGTACATCGATGACATCTCCTACATTGTGGGAGATGGATACCAGCCAGTGGTGGAGAAGCAGGAGAAAGGCACCTACAACCAGAGCTGGTCTCTAGGCATCACATGGGGCGGCATGTGAGTCACCATTCACTTTTTCTTGTGCAGGCTGCAACAAACGGGCTGTGCTCATCAGCGCATTGCGCAGCTTCTGGCCCTTGAAACATTTTAAAGAGAGCTTGTTGAATTTCCAGTAAATGATATACCTTTAAGAGTGTGCCTGGTGCGCGCAGGTGCCTGATTGTCGACGGCATGCCATCCTGCAACTACACATTCAATGCAATCTCTCGCGCGTCGGGCTTAACACAGATCACACGAGTGCCCAAAGGTGGCAGCGTGGAGTTTGTCAGCTGTGGAGTCTACATGGACAATGCAATTGTGACCAGCAAAACATGCTTCCAGGTGAGGATCCTGCCTGGAAGACTCTAGGGTACACCACTGTCGTGCTGCCAAACATCTGTCATGGGACATTCAGCAGGCTAGCAGTTACACAGTTCATGTTCTGATAAAAGTGTGTGTTGGCAGGATGACTCGACAACGGTTGTGCCAATCACGGTGCCCTTTGCTGAACAGTCAGTATCCAAGATATCCTTCATCTCAACATACAGGGACTCTTCACCAGATGGTCCTCCAGGTGAGTTTAGCCTTGGAACCTCAACTTGATGGCAGTTCTGGCTGTAAGTATTCCAATGGAGCGGATCTATACCGCCAAAGTGACCACCTGTAACATTTAGAGTGTGAGAATCTGGAGTGTCTTGTGTGCTTCGGCAACCTCACTGATTATCCAAGTGTCTTTTAAATGGCTGGATGTATGAGCGTTGGCTGGGCGCTTGTGTAAGGAGCACTGCAGTCTGAAGCATGTTGTTGTGGGTGCAGGGGAATACTCCCTGACGTACGCCTGCCAGTTTGACTGGAACAGTGCGCTCATCTTCAACCCTCTTGGAAACTTTGCTGGCCTGGACCCTCGCATCACTGCAGTCGTTCCCAACCACCAGAACGGGGGATTTGGGCCAAAGGGCAACGGCGGCAACGAGGGGCGCCGCCTGCTTAGGCAGACAGGGGGGTCTCCCACCGAGTGACACACACTAGCTTCTGCCAGGAAGGCACTGCAGATAATGAGGAGACTGACAGGAATAAACTGAGAGCAGGGCGCACTGGCCGTCTTGCTAGGATAGAGGCTTGGCACGCACCCATTCCAAGATCTGATGCTGGATATGTATCAATACAAAATGAGAATGGTTGCAATGGTAGATGTGCTCCCTCTTCTGGCATTGAAGGCAGCCAGATGTTTCAAGAGGATATTAAGTGCGATCAGTCCAAGGCAGTTGAGTCAAATTACAATCGCGGGGTTTCTGCAAACCCGCGCTACTGAAGACAACTGAAGAGTACTGCAAATATCAAAGCTGAAATTTACATAATGGTCGACTTAGCCAGAAGAGTGGCATTTTTTCAGTGATCCCATTGTGGCCGTAAAGAAAGTGAGGGATTGCACGGTGCCCTTTTTGTCTCGTCTCTGCGTTCAGGACTCTTCGGAGTGTGAAGTTTCTTTGATCCGCTCAGCATGGGCCTGAGGATGTTGGCGAATTGGATGCATGCTGTGTTTGATTTTAGATTTGGAGGCCACTCCTCATGACAGTGAGAAGTGATTTCATGCACTATCTCTGCCAGGTTGAATGACTCCGCAGGAAATAATCAGACTCTCAGACCTGAGCACGAGCCAGTCAAAGTATGATTTAGACTGTCTTGCAAGGCATCGCAGTATGTATATGTCATTCAGATGAAGCTGAAGCTGAACCTGATCCTTGAGAGGGCCCCTTCTGACTCTTGTTTGCAGATATTTTGATATGTTGCCTGAGAGGTGTGATTACAGGTGCCCTAGGAGTATTATTTTTGATGGACTTTTGTGCATGGCTAAATATGCAACTGGCTTGGAACATATTCCTTTTTATATAACCTTGTTGTCTTAGGCACGTGTGTAAGCATGCATTACAATGTGATCTCTTAACAAGACTGCAATGACGTCGAAGCAGCAAAACGAGGTACATAACCAGCAGAGAGATCAGATGCCCAGGCCCTTCTGCACATGCATGCATGCTGATCAGATCATGCTCCAGCTCTGCGCAGGCGCATGCATGATGTGTGTCACGACTGCACTTGACGGCTACTGGCAGGAGCTCCTATGCACCAGCAAATTCTACCCTTGTACAGATCATGCGTATGCCCAATTTTATTTTTTTCCATGCATGCCAACATTCATCTTGGTCAGCAAAGCCTTGTAGGTTGCTGCACAAGAATTCTTGGATCTGACCGGAGTATTGCGGGATATCTGTTGCATGGATGGCCTCTGCCTGCACACAGATGCCGTCACCTTAAGACTGACTCTCAAGAAAATTTTTGGGTCAGAGCTGGAATGTCTTGCAATAACCTAGTACTCGAAAAATCTCGGAACCAAGTAAATTGAAGATTTGCCCAATATTGCAAATTGAAACGCTGCCTGGCAACAAGAAACCACAAAAATTGCATATTCCTGTCCGTTGCACAACCCTTTGAGCCAAAAGGGGTGGTGGCGACGTCAGCAGATGCGGCAACCTCTGTAGATCTGCAAGGTAAACAACGTGCAAAGTCGTATAGCGAGTGCGAAAACTGATCCATGTAATTTTCTCAAATTGCAATCTACCGCTGTATCCAATGTGTGAGTAGCAAGCGAGTAGGATGCTGAATGCCTCGTCTAGATCTTGAAATATTGAAAGACAAAAAACAAGTCAAGTCAGCGTGTTTACATCCGCAAGTATTGCTTTGTACTCCAACATATCATCAAAATCACACATTTTATCGATTGGTGCCCAATCATCCCCTATACATTACTCGCCAAGGTTCAGGGGACTGGTTTTGCTCTCCAATTGAAAGCATAAGCGGCTTTGCTCAGGATTGCTCTGTGTGTCATATGCAGGACTGAAGCAATCTTCCCTTGTACATCATGCAAAGTGCTGCAGTTCTTTGCATGTTCACCTGCTGGTGCATTCTCCATGCAGCAGCAGCTGCCAGGGACCCAACACAGTACGCCGAGCAATTAAAGAAAGATGCAACGGATGCCACAGCTGCCAATATGCTCATTGGCCAGATAGCCCCGCTCTGGACTGGCTACGCATCCCTGAACAAGCAGGTGTGGTTTCTCTTGGCACTACCAGTTTATTGCCTGCACCTTCTATCAATGACCACATGAGATCAATACTGAAAAGCAACGGAATACACGGTGCCTGATATTCACAGGAATGCAGAAGACTAAATCCAGCAAGCAATCTGTTCCTAGGTACCTGTTCCTGTGGCCCTCAACTGCCGCAACCCACAGCCACTGGATGGCGTTGCAAGCAACAGCTCCTCTGCAAAGAAGTATTTCGAGGATGTCGCGTACATCACCGGCGATGGCTTCCATGCAGTCACGCCCAGGCAGGACAAGCATGACTACAATGAGTCATGGGCTCTTGGCATCCAGATTGGCGGCGGGTGAGTCCTCGGTGCATACGAATATTTCCTTTCTGTGCTGCCTTCATCATTGCAGAACAAATCGCCTATAGTATACACTTTGGTCTCAGCACCAGAGAGACCATTGAAGAAAAGAGTTTGTTTTTTGGAGTCTGATGGGTGTGCGCTTCATGTTGCAGGTGCATTATTGGTTCGGACGGCAAGCCGTCGTGCGATCTTGCCTTCAGCGCCATCACGCGCGCATCTGGCACGTCTCAGATCAGGCGTGCGCCAAAAGATGGAACCGTGAAGTTTGTCAGCTGCTCCGTCACCATGGACACAACCACTGAGACAAGCTCCACCTGCTTTGAGGTACGCAGCCGAAGGCTTCTCAATTCACCTAAAATTTCCTTGAAAGCACAAGAAAATTCCCATTAATCCAGATACATGTGAGGCCAGATGCTGCTGCATTGTAGCAGCTTATGTCACCTTGTTCCTGCAGCATGCTGGGGTGACAACACCAAATATGGTCTGATGTGTTCCATGCATGTGTTGCAGGATGACTCCACAACAATGATCAACATCAAGACAGGCTTCCCAGAGAACAGCATCTCGGCCATCCAGTTCCTGTCAACCTACAGGGAGACTGCTCCGGACGGGCCGCCAGGGCTGTACACTCTGGTGTACCCCTGTCAGTTTTCCTTCAACCCCACCACGCAGATCAACTCTGCAATTGACCCCTCCAGGAACGGGTTTGGCAACGACCAGCGCATTTCCAGCCTTTTGCCTCGCGTGGGCAACAACTTTGGCCCTGTGGGCAACGGGGGCAACTTGGGTAGGCGCCTGTTTGGCAGAGGGTAGAAGTCACATTGGTGAAAAGCCACGCTTCATCATCAAGTAACAGTTGGAGAGTTGATTTTGGCAAGTACCAGACTCGCTAGCTATAGTGGTTTCTGAGGGTGCAGCAATATACGCAAATTGGCGTTGGAGGCTGAATTTAGAGGTGTGGGATCCCCTGTAGGAAGCATTGGGCGACCAGCATCAAAAGAGCAGGGGCAAGAGCAGCCCTGCTGATTTGAGCTGCCAGATTGATAGATATTTTCCTTGTTTGGCGGGAAGATGTGGATAGAATGAAAGAAGTGTGTGCGTCTTTTGAAATCTGATTTGATACTGTTGGTGGGGCAGGCAGGAAGGTGACATTGGCCCTGCACTTTGGTGGGCACTGAGTGTCCGAGCAGAAACTTATCAATAATATAGGAGCGTGTTGAGGGCTTCAGTGTGTAGGTGTGGTACAGGTTGAGATGCCACTATGTCTGTGTGTTCTTTCTTTTTTTCTTGGTACTTCAAGATTTATATTCTGCAAAGGTGGCTGCACCTGCACTGGCAAAGGCAGGATGTGTACCTAGCAGGTTGATCAGCATTCATCAGAACTGAATCTGCTGCTTCGGCAGCTGCTGCCAGCCACATTTGTGTGGTCAAGCTCTGGATTTGCCTGCTCGTGTAACAACGATGCGAATGTGCGGCTGACATTGCTATGCATGCGAGCTGACAGCAATTGCAATATGAAGTTCTAGAATCTGGGCAGCCACACGGGCCCGGGCCCAGGCCCAGGGGCAAGCAAGCCTGGCAGGCTGCCAGTGGCAGCCGCCAACTAGGCCCGGGCGGTGCCATTGCTAAATCTAGGCTACACTTAGTACAATGGTAAGAGTTTTTGTGTTGTGCATATTGAAGAAAAACTGCTGCAATGCATGGCGCTCGCTCTGTCTTGATGTCTGCATTCGCTCTTGGGTTAATCCATGCTTGTGGCATGCATGATGGTGTTGCCCAGTCGATGCGGCGATCCTCCCTTTTTTTGGTTTCCCTGCATGCCTCCCAATTTCAGGTCAAATTGCTGATCTCAACAATGGACTTGTCATCCTGTAATGTTTGACCAGATCTGGTCAAATATTAACGTATTGATTCCTTCGATCGCTTTCAAAATTATTCACGGCTGTACTTGACAAGACCATGAGCGAGGTGAGGGCTACGCCTTGTTGAGTGATCCTCAAGCCTACAATTACAGCGATTTGAAGATAAGCTCAGCGGTGTTTTGGCGCAGGAGGACCTTTACGGGGGCGACATTTATGGAGAAAGAGACCCCAGCCCAGACACTTATCCTGTGCCATCTAGTAGAGCAGGAAGACCAGCACAGGCTTGTTCCCTCCGCTCTAATGAACCCGTATTGTCGTTGCATACTTGATGGTCTGGTGAGTTTTCGATTTGCATTGTGCATGAAGTCCAACCGAACACTGGAGCAATGCAGGACATTGGTGCTGGTTTGAGGGTGAACACCAATCGGCAAGCTATAAATCTGGATCAAGATCGTCGAGCGGCTGATCTTGAGGTGTGATTTTGCGAAGGCAGCTTACTCATGACTTTCTGTACCCCAGACTGCAAGACATTGACAGCTGTGATGGAGCAGCAACTCAGGGTACCTGCCATGTGACAGGCAAAACTGAGGCAGGCCCAGCTGGCTGCGGAGCAGTGGCAGGCCATGGCGCAGGAGGCGCTGCCAGGGGCACCGGCGGACCCCAGCAGCGTGCGCCAGGAGCTGGAGCGGCTCAGGAAAGTAGAGGCTGAGCTTGCATCTATGCGGCCGCGCGAGGCCAAGCTGCAGACAGCGCTGGCCGAGAAGAACCTGGAGAATTTGGAGCTGCGGTGGCGAGTGGCTGCTGCCAGAGAGGCTACAAATCCGAGTCTGGCACAGGTGCACAAAGTCCAGCTCCCTAACACTTTGAACACATATTTAAATAGAGTCAAAGGCTGGTGTCCTCCGGAAACCACTGCTCTTGAGCTGGCTGCGACACTCCTCCAGCCTGTCATGTACAGCACACTGTAAGGTTGCGCATGGTCCTCAAATCGGGCTGTTGAAGAATATCTCCAGCAACTTCGTCACTGTGAAAGCTTTAGAAACATCTGTGAATCACTGGATTCACTGTGAGGCATTAGGTTGTCTTCTAGCTAGGGCAGTCTATTGCATGACAAGTAGAGCAGGAATGCATGAAAATGGTTCTGGAGATATATCATCGAGGGGTTGAGCGTGTCTTGTGCTGGGTGCAGGCTCGGCAGCTGCTGACGGATCCGGCGGTGGCGCGTGAATTTGCGCGGCTGAGGGAGGAGGCGGAGGCCAAGGCGCAGGAGGTGCGGCGGCTGCAGGAGGAGCTGCAGGCCGTCAACTTCAGCCAGGAGTCCAAGGCCGGCCGCCTGCTCATGGCCAAGTGCCGCGCCCTCCAGGTCCGCCCTCACCCTGCTATGCTGTGCGCATGTCTTTCTTTGATTTTATCTATCTCGGATTGTCGACATTGCTGCCATAGAATGCATGAAAGTCTTGAGCAGCCTTTTTGGATCGGCGTGGGCTCTCATAAACACAATGGAATCTTGGAGTTTGCCATGTAGGGCACCGCCACCATTGTATCCTATCTGTGTCTAGCTGTGGCTTCCGGCTGGAAAACAATGTGATTGAGGAGCTTGGGAAAGTACAAAGAAGTGATAGCCTGCCAATTGCGCAGGCTCTACAGCTAGGTGGAACGTATTGTGGCGTGCTACAAGGAGAATGTCGAGCGCGTGGTGGGTGTGCGCGCAGGATGAGAACGAGGACATGGGGCGGGATCTGGCGGAGGGGCACGTGCATGCGCTGGAGCGGCAGCTGGCGCTGGCCAAGACTGCGCTGGAGGACATGCGGCGCGCATACCTGCAGCTGGAGGACGTCACCCAGCAGCTCGACAACGAGGCCGAGGACCTGCAGGCCCAGGCGCGAGCCACCCCCATCTAGGAATGATAATGATGCTATTAGTTTTACCTGTACTACGTGTTTTGACTCCATGACTCCAGGCAGGATTGATGCAATCCAGCTGCTGGACTGATCGCCCATCTTTCTTCTCGTTTGGCCAGTCATCTGTGCTCTGAGCAGCCTCTGGGGCCAATGAGCACCGGTAAATTCATCGCTACCTCGCTTTCCAAAGAGCATGAAATTGGATTTGTCCTTCAATTGTGTGGTAAACTCCACCATTCAAGGCAACCAGGAGAGCGGCTGTTTTGGAATGCCTGCACGATGGCTTTGTGGCTGCGCGCAGGTGTTTACGCTGACGCAGGAGCTGCGCTGGCACGAGTCGCAGGAGAGCCAGATGCGTCACAGCAAGGGGTACGGGGGAGGCCCCCCGCAGAAGGGGGCCTACTATGACGGCCAGCAGGGCGGCTATGGGGGCCCCAGGAGATACGGCGGCTCGCCCCCCATGAAGATGGGAATGGCCAATGAGGGCCGCAGAGGCGGTCCGCCCTATGACGGCGATGGCAAGCGCCCCATGCGCGGAAGCAGAACTTGAGAGCGCAGCTGCTGTCTGTGCAGCATCTGGCCTGCCTGCTTTGCAAGTTGTTTGTATAGTTGGTCCAGTGTTGAACATATAAATATGTATTGGCCTGAATAGATTAAGGCAACCTCTTTGCACAAAAATGGCACTCTAATGCCGAGGATTTCCGGCAGGTGGTTTATTCCTTCGCTTTAAGATGCCTTACCGACAGTCACTTATCCAAAACATCAGTTGCATTGTCACGCACTGTTATGCACTCTCAGCTGCATGCTGTCATCAAGAACAGCTCTCTGCATTGTTGAGCTTTAGTCATATACTTCACAAATTCCTGGACACTTTCTATTGCAACACAACAGAAACGAACCTGTTGACATCCTCACGAAACCCTCTTTGACATGTTCTTCACTCCAGCTCCGATGCAAGACAGAAAAATTGTACTGCTGGCCGCTTGGGGCTTGACACTGAACGTCACCCCAAAGAACGCCTTCAAGTGGCGCAACGTCCTGACTGCATGCGGCGTCAGTGGCCCCAGCCTGACTTCATTCAGTTCCTCTGGACCGAGCGCACAAAACAGCAGCACCAAACCCTGCATACAAGCACTTCTTATTAGCAGACGCGCAGCAGAAGACGCCTTGAAACAAGGGAAAATGTGGTCCTGAAGATTCCTTCTGCAATCACTATTTCACATGTTATTGTAAAACCCCGCTCAAATTGTACCTGGTGGGCGCTGTCGCAGATGCCACCCCGGGAAATTTCCTCAAAGAGTGCATGTGCCGCTGTCCTGCCGATGTCTTCAGGCACCCCCACATCCCTCTGAGCCTGCTGGCCCTGCACCCCGCACATGACATCTTGCAGGGAAGTTCTCAATCATAGAAGACTGTGTCAAGGGCACTGCAAGGAGGGAGCCTTGCACAATACTTAGCGCCACCAGCAGTGACACCTGCCTCGTCAGAGATCAAACATCCTGGCATCCGCCATGAAGGCCCAATAAGCTTACAGGAGACCAGGGCTCCTGAGAGCGTCCAGCAGGAAGATCAGGGAGAGCAGGTGTCGCATGGCATCTCTTGCGTCAGAGGACGGATGTCCAGAACCGTCCTCCGTGAGGGTAAGTATCTTATATAAACAGCGCAAGGGGCAAAAACTTGTCGACAAGCGTGCCGGTCTGAACAAGCGTCCTCTGTCAGCTTTTCAGAGACTTCATGCGGGTGCACCTTGGCGGCCGGGGGCGCGACGGCCTGCGCGCTGATGAGGCGGCCGGTGGTGGTCTGCGCGACGAGCGTGAGGCCGTAGCCAGGCGACGCGCCGGCCTCCGCGCCCGAGCGGTGGTCCGTAAAGACACGCACGTCCGCCAGCAGCTCGTTCAGCACGCCCCGCGACCCGTCCACCATCCGGTTGGCCGCCGCCGGCGCCACTCGCACCGCGTATGCCACGCCCCGCACGGACTTCACCATCCCTGCACGCCATGCAGTGTAAAACATGGCTGTTGAGAAACAATGGATAAGGAGAAAATTCATGAGATATGCATTGCAGACGGCAATTTTCGCCATAAGGGAATGCACGGCATCTGATAATAAAGTAAGACATCACGGAATCTGCACAGCAGGCGCCAGGCATGCGCGCACGGAGAGAAGAAGGGGCTCTACGAATTGACTAAAAACCATGGACAGCGAGGACTCTGCACTGTAGAAGCCAGGCAGTGTGCATCAGTGTTGACGGCACAATGCTTGATGACCATATGATCATCACCTTCTTCAGTGAGACTGATGGGCGGAAGGGCGCGGGCGACTGGCACAGAAAGATGCACCTCTCCCCCGCCGCCTGGAGGCGCCCCTCGCTTATACACCTGAAGCCAGACACATTGCCATGTAAGAGTCACTGGGTCTTATTATCTAGATCACAACAAGGCGACACAAGAAAATAAAAAGTACAAAAAAGATGCCTATGTCCCAGCATAGTGGCAACGAGCATGACCAACCTTCATCTGCAGGCCGTCCTTTTCAATGTCCGCGAGTTGCCTGATAAGTGGCAGCGTCACTTGCTGCCAAACATCCACACCGGAATCCACTCCATCATTGGTGATGCCGTGCAATGAGATGGACAAGGGCTGGACCACACAGATAGTCGTCAGCACCCAAAGCTTGCAGCTATTCTCAGATTTTGTTTGGGCAAATGCTGCACATTTTGCCGCAGCCAGGCATCACATACAGGAGTGAAGGGCATGCACCAGGGCCAGAAGGGCACACACCTTCTTGCCAAACAGGGCAAGGCACACTAGCGGCTCCAGAAAGTACCCAATGCTGCGAGACTTCCCACAGTCGTGGTTCAAGCCTGAACCCCCCGTCACTAGGCCCGGCTTGTAGCGCAGGCTTGTTCCTGAGAGCAATCAAAAGCTCAGCAAGTGCCCCATAGCTATAGAGGGTCCTGGCATGGAAAGTCCAAAGCAAACAGGCAGAGGTAGGTGGCAATGGCGTCGACTTACAGAATTTAAGGTTTCATTGTTTGATCTAAACGTTGCTTTGAGGTCAGGGTCACCTGTTTCATTAATTTCAATGACGCAGCCGTCTGTGACTTTCTCAATGAGTCGCAACAAGCAAGCCTCGTAATCCCTGAGGCCTGGGTTCTGATCGCGCTCTCGTATGCCATCAACACGAATAGCCTTGCCAGAAAGTGTCGCGCAGATCAGGCGCTGGCGAAGGTGCTGGCTTCCTCTAAACTTCAACATTCCTAGTAAAGCAGCTCAGGCGCACGTCACATAAGTCCTTCACGGAATTCAGGCAATCATACAATATGATATAATTGTATATGACAGAGATCTTGACCAGCAGATCAAATGAATTACGTGAGACAGCTGCAGTTAGATCGTGAAAGTTTGAGGCTGCAGATCCCAGACCTTGACGGGTGAGAGATTCGCAGCAAACAGCGCACAGTAGAAACAAATTAAAATTTTAAGGTGTAAGCTTTCATACAAGGGATGCAAATGCCTCAAATTCTTGTGCATGCCGCTTTCGGAAAATGCTGCCCAGCCTGTGTGCCCAAGCAACTGTTTGGGCAGGGATCTGAGCACTGACCCTGCCAAACAACACTGGGATCTTCATTCGGAATGAATAGGTGCTTAAGGCCATGTAATAAGTGATCTTAGCATGGCAGTTGGTACTTCACTCTCTGTTACAACATACATGCACAACTTGCCAGCTGGAGCCCCACGCGCGCACGCAGCCATCATGACGGTGCAGTGACTGCAGTTTCAGCAAGTGGGATAGCTCCTCAACACTTATCCAGTGTGACAACCGAGCACTGCTACTTAAATTTGACATTATCCGTTAAATCTTAATATTCAACACATTTCCACCAAGCTTCCCTTAGTGCCATGGCCAGCCTGCACAGTACGCACAGCTGCCAGTGGCAGAACTCTGACACAACACCAAAATATTATACACTCACATTGGGGCCTTGGCCTGATCATGGCTCACATGGCTCAATTAATCAATCAACACTTAATACATAATTGGATGTATCCTACAGCTCAGCTGCAATATATCCATATTGAAGTCTTTCTCCTGACACTTCACGCTATGACACTGTACTTTTGTATTGGTCCCAGAGGATCCTCATGACTGATTGACGGTTCCGCACATTCTGCACAAAACAGCTCTACTGAATTCTGCTGCTGCTCACTGTCAATCATCCAAGACGCTGGCCCATGCTGTCCACTTGTCTCCTCTCGGCACCCACCGCGCTGCGCTTGCGAGTCTTCCTGGCCAGCTTGAGGCTGCTGAGGGCCTCGCTGCACTCCTCCTCATCGGACGCGCTGCCTGCCTGCGTCACGCTTGAGTGCTGACTGGACACTGAGTAGCCCAAGGCCGGCAGCTGCGACGGCAGCGCCGATGCGCGCGGCTCCGGGCTCGGAGTGCGCGGCTCGGGCGTCCGATCCGGCGCCGGGCGGCTGAAGTCCGCAAGCACCTGCGCTGCGTAGACTGACGCTGCGTCGCCGATGGTGCCTGTCGTGCTAGACAGGCCTGAAGCCTCCATCTCCTGCGCAAGTGCAGCACAAAGATCAGCGCAAGCCATTGCAGACATCTGATTTCCTCCTCAAGTCCACAATGTGTCAATGTGTGGCAATGTCTCACACAATTCACTCCCTGCTGCCATCACCAGGTAATGATTGCAACATTGCTTCCATCGTGAATAGAATTCACTTCTGGTAACGTCGCCAGTGGATGTGACAAATTCGAAAGGACAGGAGAGCAGCAGCGCACCTGCAGCCATTTGCTGACCTGCTCCACGGGCAGCCAGAAGAGATTGCCGTCCTCAGAAAACCTCAGGACCACTGCTCGCGGGTGCGAGGGATCCTTCTTGACGACGCGAGCTGCAGCAACCAAAAACATCAGTCAAACAAGCAGCAGGGGCTATCGCTGTAGAAATCCCACAAGCTGACCTTGGTCTTCTTGTTGCAAGGGCACACACAAGCTGGAACATCAACACTTGTACTCCCTGGGTTGGGAGGAGCTTCACCTTTGTACCACAGCTCAGGGATGTCGACTGCAAACTCGGAGGCAGGAATGAGCACTGTCTTCCCGATCAGGCTCTTGTACAAGCCCTGCGGCTTCCCTGGCCCTCTCACTTTCAGAGCTGCACCACATAGGCAGAGAAGTGATTCGTGAAATACTATAAGGCAAGAACCGAGCCATAGAAAATGCAGGGCAGTAAGTTCGCTGTGCAAGTGTTCAGACAGCGTGAAATATCAGGGACCGTTTACTTGGCACACCTGCACTATGGGTTGTGCCAGCATCGTGGTGGACGCCACCATTTATTTTGGTCATTGCTGCCTAGGCCTGCTGGCCTCCTGGAGAGCCAACCTTGTAAGGCCCTTGAGCAGTATCTGACGGAGCGCCTTGAGCTACTGAAGAACCGCCGCCAAAGGCCCAACAGGTGCTTGCGGATATTATGTCGTCACTTCAATTGCAGCGACAGGTCGGCAATCAGAGCTCCGTCTCCGAATGCGGAGGCGAGGTACAGACAACTTCTGAGCAGTCACTCCGAGCCGCTGCACGAGACACAAAGATGCTTACCGACAATCGCCAGACACAGAATCGTGAACAAATCGATTTCGCACAAGCCCTGAGAAACATCATGCACCCTCAACGCTCATGCAGGCTCCTCATATCGCGAAACACACCGAAACCTTGAAGCCACTTCGTGCTCGCTTCCGTCCTCTCATAACGCACTACAATGGATGTTATATAATGTAACACGAACACATCGATCCGAACACCTATTAGCAATGCAGCAAGGAGATCAAATATCCGCTGCGTACACAGCTTCCACTGAGAGCTCGGGGCGATACCGTGAGACGCTTCGTTGCTCCTGTGTGCACGCTCGTTGACGGTCCGCGTTTTGATTAGTATTGATAGAGGCAATAATGATGTTGTTGTGCACATAAAATGTGTCAACAAACTTTTTTTCTGACGATTAGTTGGAACCGACTCGGAACTAAGCAGGAGAAGACGTGTCGATCACGTCATCAGCAGCACGATGTGACCACGTGCCCAATGTCATCTTCTCTCCAAATATTGTGCGACAAACAAGGATATCCGCGCTTGAGACTGTATGTGAAAGGCTTCGCTTCAGTGATACTAATTGTGCCAAGTGTTGAGCATCTGCTGAGGGTGATGATGGCGTCCTTGCAAACTGCGCAGAGCAGGGCTTTCTACCCCGCTTCAACGGGCTCCGTGCACAGCGTGGTATTCCCATTGCAGCGGCCAAGATGTCTTTCTCGTTCGTGCAGAGTGCAGCAGATCTACCGTCCTAGACGTACAGATCTGGCAGTGAGAGCACTTGGGCCAGGTAGGTGCAAGTGCTAGCAAGGAGTAACTTTTGTTTGCGACAGTGTTGTTTGCTTCCTCTGGAACCCTTTCTTAACATAGTATGATCGTCTAGATAGACTGCGATCAATCGTATATCTTCTGAAACTGAGCGTTCGTCCAGATTCATCCTCAGTACAAGCACAACCTGGACTATCCCCAGAGTTGAAAGATGCTCTGGAGAAATTCATAAATTCGCACAAGGTGGTGTTGTTCATGAAGGGCACGAAACAGTTCCCACAGGTGAGCTGATGATGTGCTGAGACGTCCTATTTCAATTCTTGACTGGCCGCAAAATTGCAGCGCCCATGTGACAGTCTCAAGTTGTTAACCATCTTGATGCGCAAATCTCATTGATGTGAGGATTGTCTATGCAGTGTGGATTTTCCAACACATGCGTACAGGTAAGACACTTCAAGCTGGTATTAGCGATGTCCAAGGGCAATGGTTTTGCTAAGAGACTTACAGCATGATGGCCAGCTTATTCCTCAAGTTCAGCGTGTGGACTGCAGATCCTCAACACTCTCAATGCACCATACGAGACTGTCAACATTCTAGAGGATGAGAGGTTGAGGAGCGGCATGAAGGAGTTCTCGCAGTGGCCCACCTTTCCACAGGTGTACATCGACGGGGAGTTCTATGGCGGCTGTGACATCATGATTGGTAAAATGCAGTCCATCCCTGCTGGATATTGTGCTGCTTGCTTGCTGGGTGAAAGACAAACATGGTATTGGTGATCATGGGCGCTGTCATGCCTTGGACAAGGTGCCGTTTTAGGAGCCTGGGACTAAAAATTAACGGCTGAATTTGGTTTTCTGTGTCTGGCGCAGAGGCATACACGAATGGCGAACTTGTGGAGACGTTGGAAGCTGCAGTCAATTCATGAGCAGCCCAGTGTCCTGCAAGACTGGTTGCCCTCGGGACAGGCTGCAATCATAGGTTAGATGTCAAGCAGACGATGACAGGAGTGAGGTGGAGAGAGCAGAGATGAGTACGAAATGATCTTGATTTCGTGGATATTCAAACTCATAATGAACAATTTTACTTTGCAGCAGCAGGGTGCGAATCTGGCAGCACCTTATATATTGTGCCGCTTAGCATGCTGGGATCTGATAGCTCCTGTGGATCCATTGGTTATACACTTCAGAGGCCACAATCTTGAGCGCCTTGCACTTTGCAATTGCTGTTTAGTTGTATTCAACATTGCTGCTAATTATGACACTGTAAACAGGCTACACCAATTTGCCAAATCTCATTGTCCCGTGCACATATCATATGGTGCATCCCTATTGCTCTCAGTTCCATTTGAGACAGGACATGTGTCTCACCGCTCGCAGAATGCAGTACAAGTGCCATGCTTTGATTGAACGTTTTTCTTGATGGTCAGCTGGGCCAGCACTAATGCTGGCCACCTGGCCGAGTGTTGCCTGTCCTTTTTGGCTGATGTGTCAAGCTTTTCCCGCCCTTCAGTAGATCTTGTTGTCATCAGAATGCCAAGCAAGCTGCATTGTGTAGAGCAATGCAAGCCCAAGACTACCCACTATTCCTGGTGGCCTCAAAATTCCTCGCTGACCAGTAAAAGCTGTCACTCTGCCAGGAGGTGCAAGTGACCCTCAGCTGCGCTCACGAGTTTTCTTCTGCACGCACGCCATGGAGGTCTTCCTGACAGCCAGTGCCTTGGGCGGGCCAGAAGATGCGCGCGTGGTGCGACCGACACAGGCAGAGGCTGCTGCTAGGTCTGCTTTGCCCCTCTTCATCTTGCCCAGGCCTCTGCCCTCCCCAGCCCCTGCAAGCACAGTGCAAAGCCCCCCTTCACACTCTGCACATTGACTGCACTCTTTTTCACTTATTCATGCCGCAAGCTAAGTTGTACATGCAGCATTGCCAGCAGCCATGGCTTCGAATCTTTATGACACTGAAGACAAGCAGGGCAGGAGATAAGCAAAGCACTCATTTGAACACTACAATCGATTGACTAAGTTCTTCGTGCTCTGCCCCTGTAATACATCCCAAAATCTTCTGCACACTGGACAGGTGCTCTAAATGCAGGCCAAGAGGGCAGGGGAAGAAAGCAGAGCACAGCGCACCTGGCAGGTCCACCACTTTGCTGAGCGCCTTGACAGCGAGGGACTTGGCGGTGCCGGCCACGCGCTTGGCCTTGGACAGGATGTTGTCGATGTGCGCCTGCCGCGCCGGAGCCGCAGGGCTCGCAGCGCTCTTGGCGCGGCCCCTCTTTGCCGCGCCCTTCTTGCCTGCTTTGGCCGGCGCGTCTGCCGCCGCGTTCCCTTCCTGTTGCGGCGGCTCGGCCGGCGCCGCCGCCTCAACGACCGGTGGTGCGGCTGCGGCCAGCAGCTCTGCAGGCAGCAATTTTCAGCCCTATATTTCTTGGAGCTTAAGTGGCTCATACAGAAGGAAGGAAGGAAATTACATACATCTCTAGCCGCCCAGGGCTGATTGGATGTACTGACAGCAGCCAATTGATCAGAACAGAAGGCTTCTCGTCCTCCCGTCTTGGCAATCGCAGTGCTTGTATGTCTTGCATTCTGACGTGGTTTTGTAGTCTATGTCTGTCTTCACTTTGCAATGTCATCAAGGAACATGAAGATTTCAAGTCTAATAAGGGCTTAGAGAGATTGTGGAATTGAGGCTACCTGCAGGCTTGGCGAGTGAGTTCTTGCGCTGCCTGGTCACCGGCGCGCTCTCAGGCTGCTCGGCAGGCACAGCCTCTGCCTCAGCCACTGCTGCGGTGGTGTCGGTTTCCATGTCGGCCTCAGCAGCTGTCTGCAGCTTGGTCAGCACCAGGTAGTGCGCCACCGACTTGTAGCCTGGTCAACAGCACATTGTTATCTGAGCATACAGTCCGCCAACAGTAAATCCCGTTGAGACCATTTACTTGACTGGCATAGAGTTCTGAGCTTCTGGTTGGATTGACAATTACAAGAGAGCTAAGCATTTGGAAATTTCATCAGGCACATTCTGAGTTGAGATAATAATTGTCTGGCCCATTCAAGTTTAGTGACATGTTACACACAGGAGTATTGACTGTGCGCGCACCCTCGGCGATGGCGCGGCGGTAGAGGGTGCCAGTGGGCGCCCAGCCCTTTCTGATGCGGTGGAAGCTGCAGTTGCACAGGCCGCGGCAGGGTGGACATGTCCAGGCGCCCCCAGCCTGCACCTCCAGAATGTTCTCCCCGTACCGCATGAACAGGCAATCCCCGCAGAACACACCCTGCACCATCAGATTATCCAGGGCAATTACACCACGGTGGGATGTAAGACACACAAGGCAGTGTGAGCGCCAAAAAGGGAGGAGGGGCTGCCCTGCGGTGAGACTTAATGCATCGACCCAAAAAAACATATCCTGGCCCAGGAACACGAGTGATCACATTGCATACATGCAGTCAAGTGTGTGGCTGGGTGAGGGGTGGAGCAAACCTAAAAACCAACAAAGCTAAAGGTGCGCCCAAGCGGGTGGTGAGCAATTGTAGGAGAGTCTGAAGATGGTGTATGGGGCAGCAAGGTCTCTGGAATGTAAGGTCTGCTTAAGAAGTGTTCAGATGTACATGTCTGGGAGGGGCGGGATGAAAGGTGTGCTGGGGGCTCACGTGGAGTGTCTGGCATTCTGAGCAGGCAGTGTGCAGGCCCAGGGTCTTCTGGCGGCACTGGTGGCAGGTCATGCCGCTGACCTTGTCATAGATGCGGTTGCCCTGAGCATCGTACCCATCCTTGAACAGCTCCCTGCATGCATGCACAGCGTCAGACAACCCATCAAGATGCTGGGTGATGTATTCAGGTAATGCCACCAGGGGCTATGCTGCAAATTCTGGTCAACATTGAGGTACATGCAGGAGCGCTTACCAGGGCTCCTCGTAGTCACCAAGAAGCTTGACGTGCTCCTCTGTGTATATCTCCTCCTGTGTGATGACTGCGCAGCAGTGTGTGGGGTTCAGAACTCTCTCGTGTTGAGACAGGAAGCTTTATGCACAAGGGAAGAAGGCAGCAACCAAACATCCATCACCAGAGTTGTTGGCCGTGAAAGGGGCTTGGGCTCACCGTGGCGATCAAGGAGAATGGACCGCTGCTTTCTCTCCGGCCTGTCAGCCAGGTCTAGCGCGTTTTCGTTGTAATTCAACGCCGGCCTTCCTTCCAGACGGCTTGACTTTCGCTTGGGGGCGTCTACCAGCTCCCGGCTTGCTCTGTTCGCCGCTGGGGCGCGTCCTTGCGGCTGAGTGGCTCGAGAGCGCCTCTGTGCCGTTTGATGTAGCTGGTTGCTCAGCTGTGGAAGGCAGAACAACACCTCAGGCCCTGATACGAAAGCAGAAGGCCCTCAACGGTCACAAATTCCGACACGGATATATACACAGAGAGAAGCATCGATGCGTCTGAGAATGAGTATTCTCTGTGACAAAAATGCGGAAAACATATGCCGCCTTCTAATGTGGGGGCTGGGCCTCTTCACTCCCAACAGGACCATCCTGAGGTGCCATCAGCAATGACACATCGGCTTCTTCAGGAACATTGAGTCTGCTGGAACACACCGTAAAGATGCCCATCTCCTCCATTCTACGCCGATTTTCGGCGATGCGCTCTTCACGTTGCCTTTCATATTCGCAGGTAGCCATCTTGTTGTATTATTCCGATGTTTTACCTGTTCTCAAATGACCAACAGCGGCGGCATAAACATAAATCGAGGTAGGCAACCCAATTTCCAAGCGTAAATGAGGAGTTCTCAGCTTGCGATGGACCAGAGCGGCGAGTATGCCTTGCATTGTGCAAGATGCGCGGGAAAGGCCTTCCGCACATCCAGATGGAGCCAATCTTGGCACAGCTGATCTGGCTTGTTCGTGAGCTCCAAGTTGCTCAGGAGAAGGAATTCCTTGCTCATTCCCCACTTCTTTCTATCATTTAGAAGTTGGAACTGATGTTTGGGCCGAAGGCGATCCCTTATACCAGATGTTTTGGAGGTTAGGCCAAGTTGTATCCATCGACAGTTGTGATAAATTATGTCGTGTGTTGTGAGAACATCTTTGCAACATGAATTCAGTTTGATCTATAATTATTTTTCTGTCGAGCGTGACTCGATCGCATTCCTCTGAGTGCAGCATTATTTCCTAGGAAAGCATAGTGTACTTCAGCCTTGAGAGCGGTACACCAGGAGGACTAGGAATTTCGTTATGAAGGGGGTATTTCGGAAAAATAGCGGCATTCCAGACTGTCATGCGCGTCGAACGTACAGACCAAGTCAGGCTGGGCCTGGGAGGCTTGGCCGAAGAGCTGTCAGACAGAAGGTGCAGGACATGCAGACAACATTGGTTCTTCTTGCATGCTTTTGGACTACGTCTCTTCACACGGTTCTCACCATTAAAATCGATGATGTGCAAGTTTCAACAGGTGCACAGCCAGTCCAATTCAGATTTCCCACAGAGCCAAAAAGCGAGTCAGACAGGAGAGTCACACAGCCACCAAGATGGAGACTTTGTTCCCCTGGAAGACAGCACTGTTGATGAGTCACATTACTGGGCCCTCGACGGTACACAGGTAAGGCGGAGAGCCTCCTATTGGCTGCCTGCCCTTCCCTAGCTGCGATGCACAAACTGGACAGGGCCCTTCCTTGGACATATTAGTGTGTCCTTGACAACACAGACATGCACGTAAAAATGTAAAAACTGGCGCAGGCATCTGAAGTGATGCAAGGCATGTTGTTGGAAGCGACTCCTCCGGCAGCGCCGCCGGACCGGCCGTTGTCGGGTTGGGTGCTGGCTGCGAGCGTGCTAGTGGCCGCCCGCCTCGGCCGCGCAGCCTCAGACGCCGCTGCCTTCGACATGGCACACCTGCAGGTGCACTGTCACCAGCCAGCATACCTTCTGACCTTCCTTCTACCCCACATGTGCCAGCCGATGTTTCAGGCCTTCACAGAAGCCACCGCAATGCAAGCTGCTAGAGAAGGCAGCAGTAGGATACTCATTGCAACTGATGGGATCAGTATCCTCCTGAGACAAAGCAGGTGGTACTTTATCTATATTTATCAAGCTAGATATACTGTGGTAGCCCCCCCGGAGAAAGCAGGGGGATCTTAATCTAACAGATAATTCCCCCTGAAGATATAGATCGCCCCAAAGAAAGTGTGATGGCGGTGGATGAGGTAGGATCAGACGGGGTCGTTAATGTGCAGAGGGAAGTGGAGCGATCGTGGGAGTCGCGGTCGGAGGCGCTGCGACGCAGTCGGGCGGCCGACCCGGAGGTGGCAGCGGCCGCGGAGGCGCGCATGGCCCAGGCCCGCGAGCGGGCCGCAGCGGCGCAGCGCGAACGCGAGCAGAGGGACGCCGCCCTGCTGGTGCACTTCCTCTATGTCCTGCTCAGTCAAAAGCAATCTTGGGAGTTTCGTGCCCTCCACCTATAGCATCCTCTGACGCTGAACCTTGCCCAAGTGCCTGCTATGTCTCGGCCAGAGGAATGCTGCTGACTGATCATGCAATTCTTACGCTGACACAACAAATAGGGACAGGTTCCTGATGGGCAATGTCGAAGGGAGGAAGTCCTGCTCAATTCAATACATTGGTGGTCAAAATGATTTGACGGCGCGGGTGAGGGTGCGCAGAAAGCGGCAGAGAGGGAGCGGCAGAAGGCGCAGGCGGCCGCGGCGGCGGAGCGGGCGGCGTTTGAGGCGCAGGAGGCGCAGATGGCGGCTGAGCTCGCGCAGCGCACGCAGCAGGAGCGCCGCCTGCTGCAGGAGGCCGCCGAACGCGCGCGAATCGCCGCCGAGGAGCGCCGAAAGTGCGCGGCCCGGCCCCTGAAACATCATGATGCTCTACGCAGTCCCCCGTTGTCTTCAGGGGTTTCACAGCCCCATGATGTTCAGAAGCCGACAGTCTTCAGTCTATTTTAGAGGGCCTGAGGCCTTGAAAACGACCTGTCTCAGACTCCTAATAGTCATGCCTTCAATCTTCATGAGGTGCAGACACAGTTGTGCACCATTCAACTTAGACATCACATTCTGGTAGTGTTCACGTGCCCACTTTGCAGCTCTGTGTCCTTATTCTCCACGCAAGCATGGTGCACCTGTGAACATGGGTGCATGCGCGGCAGGGAGGCGGAGGCGGCGGCGGCTGCGGCGGAGGCGGAGCGACAGAGAGCAGAGGAGGAGGAGAGGCGGCGTAAGGAGCAGGAGAGGGCCGAGCGCGAGGCCGAGAAGAAAGCGCTGCGGCGGCTGCAGAAGAAGTACGCCGTGCGCCTGCTGGGCTCCCTGGAGGTCGCCCGCCCTCCCAAGGTCTCCTCCAACGCTCACAAAACTCAAAGAAGCCTGTAACCCAGCTCTGGCCAGCAATATTTCTGCTTTATTGCAAGGAAGGCTGCGAAGGCATCAGTGAGTTACGTGGCGGTTTCTGTAGAGTATCTGTGTCCACATGCTGCCTGAGCTCCATCGCAGCTGCTGTAAGCCGTCCTCGCTCACAGCACTTGCCCATAGTGTTGTCTGCGCTTGGCCGGCAGCCTTCTGCTCTCCACGAGAAATGCTAGGGGAATGTTTCCGTGAAGCCATATTGCGCCCTGCATGGAGGTTGCTAACACTTGTCTGTGCAAGCTGAACAACCAGTGTCATTGGAGCTGCTGGTAGCCATATGTCCAGGAGATGCCAAAGATGCAAGGAGTGTATCAGGTACAGTTGTCACCGGTCTCAGATTGATGAACGGCCTTCATCAATTGACACGGCACCCTGTTTAGGCACTATAATATCTCTGTCACTGTTCCCGGCAGGGCGCAATGACAGAGGAGCGGCTGCCAAAAGAGGCGGCGGTGGAGGTGACCCTGACGGTGGGCAGCGCGCTCGGCGGCGAGGCAGAGCCGCTCAAGCTCTTGTTCGCAAGTTTAGACGCGGCCCGGGACGCCGCGGAGGATGCAGCCGGCCGCGCGTGCTCTGCCGCGTCGCAGCTGTACGGCAGCTCCGTGCGCCTGCAGTCCATGGCTGGCCAGGCACGCATGCCCTCACTCTGCTTGAACATTGCTGGATTCTTTAGGCTTCCAAAATGCAGCTTAAGAATGCAGTTTTGGATGAGGAGAAAGAGGGAATCTCGTTTCTTACTGGTACACCCTCATAATCCAAAGAGGCCTAATGAGATCCCCACAGCAGATCTTATCATGCCGTTGGGTTCCACGAGGTGAAGAATAGTTTTGCAGGGTTGCACACAGTGAAAGATGATCCGAGAAGAGAGGTGCGCTGTGCAGGGAGCTCTGCAGGACATGGGCGAGGTGGAGCTGCAGCACTGGCTGCGAACAGCGGCCGCACGCTCAGCGTTCGTCGGCGCATCTCACCTGCGCTCCCTGCTAGACGCCCATGCGAGGCAACCAAAGCAGCGACACCAGAAAAGCTTTGAGGTGTGGCCGTCACCCTTTTAATGCAAACAAGGTGTGCATGGAGCTTTTGACAAACTATGCGCACAGTTATTTTCCTTCATAGAGGCATAAATTCGAAGTGTGCCACATATGGACTTCAGCAAAGTCCTGACGTTGTTGAGAACACGTATCACAGATAATGCTGGCGTGGAATCGTCAGTGTTATGGGTGGGGGCCAGGTGCGGACAGAGCGGGGGGTCCTGCCAGAGGAGCATCCCCAGAGGGTGGATGCTCGCCTGGCAACGGCCATCGCAGCGCTGCAGCGAGAAGACGAGGCCACGGCCACCGCTGTGCTCACGGCATACATGGCCGACGAAGAGGAGCTCATTCGCAAGGTCTGCATATTGCTCCTGCTCCCACAACATGCTATGCCATTGACGGTCTGCCCTGATTGCCTGCTGGCTGGGACAGCCTAGTTGCTTGCAATGTGCAGGATGGAAGGCTGACTACCAGGACATATTTGCTGTGGTAGCTTTGGTAGCTCCAGGATAGATATGATGTGCTGTTCCAGCAACATCCAGTGCATTTGCAGCTTCACAAATACCAAGGGCACTTCTTATTGTTTCAGGATGGTGGTGGCTGCGTGGCGGAGCATGCAGGGGAGGTGCTGGCGCTGGCGCACTTTCTGGATGAGACATGGGCGCAGCGGCCGGCGCGGCGCATCGAAGCCTCCCCCTGGTACGAGGCCGCCAACGCCCTCGCCTCGCGCCTGCTCGGCCAGCACACCCGCTCAGCCCCCAAGGTGCCTCCCTCTGCTTTCCCCAGTCTCTCCCATTGCTCTTTTTCCATCTTGGTTGTAGTCCAGCAGAATTATGATCACAGGCAAGGTAGTCGTTCCTGTAATCTCTGGTGCTCTCTCTATCTTGATGTCTGCATTTCTCCCATTCTCGAGAAAGCAGGGCTCCCTATCTAATTAACCTATAGAAAGGCGTCCTGCCATGCACAGAGTGCAATGGAACCATGGCTTCATTCTAGTGCACAGAAGTGCCGCATTGGCATGGAGCTAATGGCGGTATGGGTTTTGCAGGATTCCTTGGGGCCGGTGTCGCGCGTGGTGAGCACGGTGCTGGGCTCAGAGCATGCGGTGGGACAGATGCTGCGCGCGGCCGCGGAGGCCAACCTGTCAGCCGCCAGTCGCACCGCCCTGCGCGAGAGGGAACACATCCAGCAGGTGCTGGACCCAGGGGACTCTAATTTAGGATTGGCTGATTTAGAGGCTCTGCTGGACCTCCTAAAAGGGGTCATTAGGATTGTCACAACTCATCATAGGAAAGTTATGTCTCTGGTCCTGTCTCCTGCCACACCCTGGCTGTGCGGCCGCAGCTCACAGCTGCGAATCTGTAGCTGCATCAGGAGGTGACTGCTAGCTTTTTTGGCGCTGCTTCCAGTATGAATTACCCCAAAATCTTCCTTGTTGGTTTCTTGGGGTCCCTGGGTCTGACCTCCCATTGTCTACGAGTAATGTCTGTGGTATGCCTGCCTACAAACAGTCTGCAACGTGCAGATGCACTCCTCAGACAGGCCGATCACCTTGAATTCAGGCGAGTACTTTTACTCCTTCAGATCACCATGAAGGCAACCTGAGGTGAGGAAATCGCGCAGGCGGAGTTGGCGGCGGCGCTGATAGAGGAGGAGTGGCCGGACGAGGCGGAGTCGGCGGCTGCGCGGGCCGAGGCGCGCGAGGCGGCCACGCCCGTGCCGGAGCGCGTGTGGGCGCTGCGCAACGTGGGCTCCACGCTTGCGCTGGGCGGCCCCGGGGAGAGAGCACGCGCACGCCAGATGCTGGAGAAGGCCGCGCTGCTGAAGGCCGACTGGGTCGGCGGCTCGCGCCACCCCGGTGCGCCTTCCTATCTCTATTTTATCAATCATATTGCATGCATCACTGGAACACCCAGACAGTGCTTGAGTGTAATCGTCCACTGTAGTGGCGCTTCGCCGTTCTCTTGGGAATGACAGGGCCCCCCTATTCATACAGGAGAGTCAGTGTTTGTCCTTCTCCACAAATTTGCAAAAGCAATGACTCAGTTTGGGGTACTTGTACCTTTCTGACATGGGGTACCCTTTCTCAATTGTCCTGGGCCTGCAGCATTGGCAGGTGTTGCTTGAAGGGACTGTATTTTGGGTAGTAAGTGCGACAGCGTGTGATGGCGGCTGCAGGTGTGTTGCCAGAGTTGGATGCGCTGGGAGGCCTGTTTGAGGCAAACGAGGAGTGGCGGGAAGATGCCAGCGCCGTGCGGGCGCGCATGCTCGGCATCCTGTCAGAGGTCGCCGATCGATATTTCAACCTTGGTGCGACGGCATTCCAACTCTCTCTCCCTTCGCTGTCCTTACGTCTCCTAGCCACGCAATTTCTAATCAATATGCTGGCATGCAACACTATGCCTCTGGTGGAGTCTCAGACACATGATGTTTGGATGTTCAGGCGAGTCCACAAGTGCGTGCGCGTTGCTTGAAGCGGCCATGCGTGAGTACGAGGAGGTCGTGGGACTGAAGCACCCGGCAGTCAAGGCTGCCTTCCGCCGCTCAGAGAAGCTGCTCAGCTCCCTTCCAGAGGACGAACGAGCCAAGGTGCAATCCTTGCCCCCATGTCGCCTCATGTAATTGCCCTGTCATGCCAGTGTCACCCTATCTCTGCGCAACTGACAATGGTGATGACTGATCTTTTGTGTTGGCAGGTGGCGGCCGCCAGGCGGGCAGTGCCCAACTTCATGCAAGAAGTGATTAATGCGTTCAATGAGGAGCCGGCGGTACAGAGAGTGGGAGAGGTCAGGAGCAAATCCGGGGTCTGGGATGAGGGCGGCCTGGCACCCCTGCCTCAGCTGTTATCATTGCAATGATAACAGACAGATCACAGCCAATGTACAACAGTTATTGCAATTTTTTCTCTAGCAATTTTGAGAAGTGAAATGAGGGCTACTGCAACATGCTTGCATATTCTTCAGTATACACTACCTAGCAGTATACACTAAATAGCAGTTTGAAATCTTGCAGCATGACAGTCTCATGGGTCTGCATGAGCCGGATAACTGTCTGTCCTCGTCATCAACTTCAAATTCAACCCTTTCGAGAAGGTATAGAGTACACCGCAGGAAATAGTTGTCAGTTGTGCCTTCCACACACACCTTAACATTTTACGGGGCCGAGCATTCCAAGAAATCTGTACGGCCATGTAAGAACCCGAATGCATTAAAGTGCACTAGTCAACAGCTCCCACATCTCCTTTCTGGCGGTTGAAGTAATTCTTGATGCGGATGCGCATGCCGCTCTTTGATGCATCAGCCGCATCCAGTGTATCGCTGCTGTCCAGGTAGGTGGGCGGATGCAGTGAAACGTTCCGAAGCAAGGCCATGAAAGACCCGCCGCTTCCTTCAGGAAGCAGCCCTGACGGAGCCTTGCCGAGGCTCTCATGGTTGCCGCGCATAGCACCCTTCTCGTTGAAGCCATCCCCTGCACTCTGCAAAGCCTGGTCCAGAGAAGAAAACAGTTCAGGAAATGACCACAAAGAATATGCATTCCGCATGTCTGGTAGCACAAGCCTGCCAGAAAACCGTTTGCATGCAAGGCGTCTATCTCCAATTGGCATGGAAGATGTACGACCATAATCAACTGAGCGTGGCAATGTTTTGGAATGCAGCAGCACGGTCATATGCTGGACTACAGAAGATTTAGAAAAAAACAAAAGGCAGTTCTTGCGACCCATGCGCACCTGAACAGTCTTGTTGAGGCTGAAACTCTTTCCTGACCCTTGCGGGAAGACCGCTTTGATCTTGCCAGAGCTGTCCGATGGGTTATGCCCGTTCTCAAAAGGAGACGCCTGCAAATCACAAAAATTGGCCGTAGAATCAATGGTATTAAATGGACAGAGGCGCCACATTTCATGCAAGAGGCCGTGCTAAAGCAGCAAAGCACCTGGAGTTTGGGGCGTGATGCCTCCATTGGGGTCCCTTCCATGGCATGCCCATTGCCATTGCCCGGTGCACTTGGGTGATGAATAACCAAGCCACTCTCGAGCGAGATTGACCCTGCATGCCATATTTACATATTTTAAAATGCCCCATGTCCACATAAAATTTCACCAGAAGCAAAGTTTCACCAGAAGCAGTGCTCCAGAGTACTCCACTGGACATCTTTGTCCTCCAGCTATGTAAGCTCTTTGGCAGGGACTGTCAGCACACCTTTGCTCATGCCGCTGAGCTTCTTAGGGACGGTCGATGAAAGATTGCCAGAAGAGCCGGTGGATAGGGCTGGGGTGAAGTTGCTGGGAAGGGGGGCTGAGTTTGCTGTCTGTGGCGCGGCAGTGATCTGCTGTTCTGCCTCCAGGGACTGGCTGCTCTCTTGGCCGCGCCTATGGGTGTGGGACCTGCGTGCAGCCCAGGAAGAGACATCAGAGAAAGAAGACTGCTGACATCAAGGCAGAGGTCAAAGTGAGAACATATGTTACATATATTGTGAAACTGCAGCTTGTCTGCGGACACAACTTGCCTCTTGGCAGGGAAAGCGTGTGACTATTACAAATAATCATAATATAGTATTCAACAATATTTGATGCGACCGGCTGGGATTCTCAAACCAGAAAGGAGGTTGCTCTGAGAGTCATTTAAAAAGATTACTGACAAATAACAGTTCCCATTTGATCCCTTGAGAGGGGAAAGTGATAAAGCAAAGGCATGTGGGCACCTGATCCAGGGGTGTTCCAGCATGGCAGCTGCAGTGGGCCTCATGTGGGGCTTCTTCTCCAGGGCCTGCCGCACAAAGTCCTGCCACTGGGTGGAGTGCTTGGAGGGGAAGTTGATCTTGTTGCTGTACATTATCATCGTCGCCGTCTGCACCTGCACCACCCAAGCACTCCACACTCATTTACCTGGCTCCTAGGCAATCATCGGTGAGCACACATATTCCTGGTGTAGGTGCAGTTTGCGGTAATAATAAATCTGGGGCACCGATCCTTGCAAGATGACTGTACAGACCCCAGGGAGCGAGGAGAACCCAGTTCCATCGAAATACTGGTGCATGCAAACAAATAGATGTTGTACTGTGCATCACCGTGGCAACAGCAGCTTCTCGGGATTCTTGACAGGGGCACACCCTTGACAAGGGGCAGACCCACCTCGTCATTGACTTCAAATGGAGGTTTCCCCACGACGCACTCGTATGCCAGAATGCCCGTGGCCCACACGTCCACCTTCTCATCGTACGGCCTGATGCCCTTCAGCTTCAGCTCAGCCTTTGTCACGGTCGGATCCTCCTGTGTCTCTGACGTCTGATTGGCCAGCACCTGTCCCGTCCAAAACCGCCATAGTTACCATCTAGGATTCCTTTTGTATTCCTGGTACAACTCGTTTTGTTTGGTAGACATGAGTGTCAAGTGGGAGCACACTGACTCCAAGCAATGAAACTGTCTGCATTGTGCATGCTCCTTAAGCTTCATAATTTATGGGTTTACGAGGTGTGCACACCTCTGGAGCCATGTAGTCCAGTGTGCCAGAGCGAGTGAAGGGCAGCTCCTCATCTGTCTTTATGGCCAGCCCCAAGTCTCCCAGCTTGAAGCGCAGAGCGGCAGTCAAGAAGATGTTCTCAGGTTTGATGTCCCTGCCGCAGGCATGCACACAGCCCCACTTTGCATGTGCAGACAACCAACATTTACATCCTCCCAGTTGTCAGCATCCCATGTGTCTGGAGTATGTGTGCCCTCTATCTCACAAATGCTCAACTTACAGCGGAAAAGACTGCATCAACAAGAAGCAGGCTTACCGGTGGATCACGGTATCCTTGTGCATGCGTGTCAGCACCCGTAGCAATGGAGTAATGATCTGCATCGCACACCGATGTTTTAGTGGACTTTCCTGCCTTTACAGCGCTCAATTGCTCTGAATTTTGATATTATCATCGCACAGTTGAGGTCTATGCAAAATTCACCTCAGTGCAGACCCAGTGCTCATCCAATGAGCCTCCCTTCATCATGAGTGTCTTGAACAGATCACCCCCCTTGCAGTGCTCCATCACCTGGTCACATCGCCAGACCATCACCAAGTGATAAGCCATCTGCTGCAGAGCTTACAACCGTAGCCAGCCGCTGTGCTCATCAGCTCATGTGATAATGGTCTCACTCAGCATGACTGGCAGTCTGCATGTGCTGACACAGTGATTTTAAAATTTAGCAATTATCACCCGCTATTATGCCAAGTGTCAATGTGCACTCTGTAGATGAAGGCTGCCACGATATTCACTTAGCCAGAAGCTAGCAAGATCCAAATACACGTTGGCCCGGTGCTGGCTTTCTTTACCGCCGCAGCCAGCCGGGGGCCGATTGGGCAATGGAGCTCACCAAGTACTTGAAGCCAGAGTCCTGGAAGACAGCGTACAATTCCACGAGGCCGTCTTCGCCGCCCAGGATCCTCATCAGCCGAATCTCCCTCTCCATCCGCGAGAAGTTCTTGGGCTTCATCTTGGCCTTCTCATAGGCCTTGATGATCACAGATGTTTGCGTGGCGCTGCAGACCGCCCTGTACACTGTGGAAATGCTGCACAGCACAGGGACCCGGGTCAGAACTTTCGAGACACTGAGGCTGATCCTTATTACTGTTGAACATGCCAGGTCACATGGAAACTATTCTGACCCACTTGGCCACTGAGTCTGCAATCAATGCTCTGATGTCTGATGGCATCCAATCGAATTTTACTGGTGTCTGAGTTTGCTGTGCACCTGCCGCGATACAGCTCAACCCGCTGCTGGAATTGGTTGATGCTGGTGTACTCTATTCCAGCTGGGCTGGGACCAGGAGTAGCCTCATGAGTCCGCAGCAGCACATCCCTGCGCACTGGCGCCGTGGCTGACGAGAAGCTCTTTCCCAGCGTGGCAGTGCGGATGAAGCCTGCTGTGCTGCCTTTGTCGTAGCTGTCAGCTCCATCCCATGACCTGCAAGAAAGTGCAAGATTTGCCAGCAGTTGGATTAAAGGGTAGCAACATCCACAGTTCCATCAATTAAGTCCAATGGTATCGTTTTCAGCACAAACTGCAGACGCTGGACACGTGCTGTGAGGCACAAAATTTTCACATGCCGCACTGCAAGAGGCAACTCATATGGCTCACAAAGCCCACGATCGCCAGGACATCTCCCCCAAAAAAACAGGAAAAATCATCTTGTAGTGTTAGTACAGCCGTTTCTCTACTCTATCTACAGCACTCACATTTCGAAGGAGTCGGCCAGGATGTCGAAGCGAGCCTGCTTCTTGGGGAAATACTCGCTCTTAATCCGGGGGACCACTCCATCAGGAGTGGAAGATATCAGAGTTCCAGGATAGGATTCTGCAGGACTGTCCTGTTTCTCCATTTTCAACGTGGAAAATAGCCCCATCAGGGGCCCTCGGGAACGGGGCTTCCCCTCCGTAAAGCGCTCACATTCTTGTTGGTCCTGAATCACTGCTCTCTCATCAGAGAATATGTCTATCTATTCGTGACGCACGCAGTACCAAAGGCTCCGAGGATACTGAGATGAATCTCACACCCTCCTTCCTTGGAAATGCCTTGTGACGCCCGGTGACGTGGTGTCTTTCCAGAGTTGATATGACATCAGGTTGGCTTACTGTAGTTCCTGCCCGAGCGAACCCATTCCACTACAACATTCAATGTCCAAAGATTCTGTGTAAAGGATAAATTTGCAAGCCGGTGCTGCGCCATGATTTGAATTGAAGTTGTGAATGGTGCATGTTGGCGGCGCAATACTGGTGTTGCGAGTGCATGCGCATGCGATAATGTGTTAGTAACACTGTGTTAAATCACATTGAACAACCTTCAAAGTATACTAAGCCCTTGCAAGCGTCTATTGTACAATGCCAGAGTCCCACTGCATGCAAGAGGACCACGCAGCCAGCACCAGCTTCCCCATTGTACACGTAGGTGCGCAACCTTTTGTCCAAGGTAGATACAAAGTGTTGGTACAGGGGCAAGTCAGCGCTGACGGCGGCTGAGCTCGCGGGCTATGATGACATCCATGATCTGGTTGGTGCCCTCCAGAATCTTGTGCACGCGCAGGTCCCGCATTACCCTCTCCACGCCATACTCCTTCAGGTACCCATAGCCTCCCAGCACCTGCTCAGCCCAGCAGTGGCTAGATGAGCGTAACGGCACACTCACAGGCAGAGAGGTAGATTGTACATGCTGACATGCATTGCGAAGTGTCTTCAAAAGCCAGGACCTGTGCTGCAGTTCCCTCATGGAAGTGCACAGACCTGCACAGCATCGTCTGCAACGCTGTAGCATGCGTCCGTGGCAAAGCGCTTCGCCATGGCAGATTCTAAGGTGGCCGACTCAGCGCCAGCATCAAAGCTCTCAGCTGCCCGCCTGGCCAACCACCACATGCCACCTCAATCCCCTGAAATGTTTCTTGCAGGGAACAACTTTCACAGAAGTGTCGCTACTGTCCAACGCTCAAAAAAACCATCAGGACATGGCAAGCGTGGTGGGGCATGCCCCACTCTCAATGAGTGGGGCATGCAATTCAGCTGAAAAATGAGTGGTGCATAGATCAATTTACAGCACACCTGACCATGAGGCGAGAGGCATGCACGGCGGTGGCCATGTCTGCAAGCATGAACTGGACAGCCTGGAATTGGCTGATGGGCTGCCCAAACTGCTTGCGCTCTGAGGCGTACTGCATCGCTTTGTCCAGGCAGAAGGCTGCCCCGCCAACGCTGCAGGTCCCAATGTTGATGCGGCCGCCGTCCACTGCAACAATCAGCGCCATTCATCCCCGTCTGCCAAGCTTACAATGCAGCGGTGCAGAATTGAAGACAGGGGTTGGGACAACATTTTGACTGAGTTTTCAAGAATAGCTTTATGCCAGATGGGTACAAGAAGTGCCTCCTACAGGGGATGAAGATAGCCTTTCAAATGCGTTCTTCCAAAACAATTTTATGCCCAGGATCCTAAAATTGGGTCCAAGAAGTGTGGTTATAGGGCGCACATGCAGTCATGGCAATGCTGAAGCCCTGGCCCTCCTCTCCCAGGCGGTGCTCTTGTGGCACTCGCACCCCATCCAGGCTGATTGAGCAGGTCGGCTGAGCATTCCAGCCCATCTTGGCTTCCTGCTTCCCAAAGCTCAACCCAGGAGACCCCTGCCACACCAACGGAGATATTTTTATGGAGATCACAGCTGCAGCATTCGTCAATATTAATTTTTAACCAGATTTGGCAAACTGTGCAACAGACCTTCTCAACAAGAAACGCCGTGATGCCTTTAGGCCCCGGTGCACCGGTCCTCGCCATGACCAGGTACAGATCTGAAACCCCTCCGCCACTGATGAACGCCTTGGATCCCTGGTTGCAAATGCACAGAACCACTTCAGCATGCATGCGAGATGTAGCAAGCACCAAGGGTGTATGTGACAGCCTCAGCACAGAGAATGGGGAAGGGACTTGCCGTCAGGACATAGTCAGTGCCATCCTTCTTTGCTGTGGTGCTGAGAGATGCGGCGTCACTGCCGCTGCCAGGCTCTGTCAGGCAGTAAGATGAGAATGCCTCCAGACTAATCAGCTGAGGCAGGAAGCGCTGCCTCTGTGCATCAGTGCCGTACCTGCAAGCCCGGCAGACACTCTCTAAGTTTCTAGCTCAGTTGTCCATCATGCAGTGATGATCAGGTGTCTTGGATACAGGAGATTGTTACACCTGTCTATGCAGGATGAGACCATGTTGTGTATGGTGAGGTAGGCTGTGGTGCTGATGTCGCCATAGGCCAGCGCCTCAAAGATGATTGCTGCATCGCTGCGCGTCAGCCCAGTGCCGCCCATGTCTTCTGAGATGTAGACGCTTGCAAATCCAAGCTGAGCGGCCTTGCGGAGCGTGTCCACTGGAAAGTGCTTTTCTTCATCCCACTTCGCTGCATTGGGGATCAGCTCTTTGGCAGCAAACTCCCGAGCCGTCCTTTGGAAGTCCAGCTACACTAGCACATCTTGGATGTCAATCTTGAAGTGTAGCTTTTTGTGGTAGTGTTCCCACACGTCTTGAACAGCACACTGCTGCCCGAAAGAAGCTTCCTTGTTTCAAAGGTATAAAGCGAACATCGCCAAAGTCCTTCGGATGTGTAGAAAATCACGAACTATGAACATGCTGACGGTGCACATGTAAAAACAACCAGCCCACAAGTGATAGTCCGTCGAATTTCGAGGCAGATATGTAGATCGGATTCCAACCTGGTCTTCAGTCAGATTCTGGTCCCATTGTAAAGTCTGCGCTGCTCCAGAACTTGTTGAAAAGTTACAGGAGCGCATGCACCGAAAGGCACCAAGAATTGCTGATCGATGCAACATCGTCAGTAAATGATGCAAGATTGTGGAAATAGGTTCTCAGAACACAGTGTAAACCTTACTAGCAGCTCGATGTTGGACGATCTGGCCAGTCATCAACCTTGGAAGACCAACCAAATCTCTTGTCAATTCTTCAGATGGTTGTGACTAGAGTCCTTTTCAGAAAAATAGGAAGCCTGCACAATGTTGCTGCTAGGTTTCATTTGTAGGGGAGGTCATCTTTCAAGGGATGGACACTCCAAAAGACTCTCGGACTCGCTGACGTCAGCACATTCCTCTCAAAATCCTCATTCTCCTTTTGATGAAGAGAGGAGCAGATGTTTTGCGATGCAAATTTGAGTAGAGTATAGACAAATATTCTATGTGAACAATGCACAATCATCCCTGCTCATTGCTAATTACATACTAGTCAGGATTGGCATTTGGGACTCCCTCGTTGTGTCAGCGTGAAGAGACAGGTCCTGCGATCATGGCTACTTTACCAGGAGCACTATGTGGCAGTTGTACAGGCCCCAATATAGCCCACGGGAGCATCGGCGACCAGTTCAAGAGAAGCCTCATGCCTAGTGTGCAGACACAAAGAAGGTAGGTACAGACAACGTAACATGATCTGTGACATTTTTGCATACCGTACAATTTCATGTAACAGCAGGTGATGCCTTGCATTGTTTCCAGGCCAGCATGTCAGCTCAAGGCCGTGTTGTGAAATTTTGCCTTGCTACGCAGAAAGGCATTTTGCTGCAGCTCCTTGCCTCCAACACCAAGTCTCGGCAAAATTGCATCATCAGAGCGGCGTCAAGTGCTTGCCACGCTTGCAGCCGCTGCTGCGGCACTCCTTCCAGTAAGGAGTGGCAGGGCAGATGAGGCAACCAGTAGCACGTAAGTTTAGTCCAGCAATCTTCAAGGATATGGCAACAGAACATCTGCCTATCTGATGATTCAGTGAGCAGGTGTCATAAGTAGGGCAAGCGCCTCGACCATTCCTCACATCAAGCTCTTTATGCAGGGATGCTGTCGATACAACAATTACAGATGTGGTGTACATAAATGTTGGGGTGTGTCCTGGTGGCATCCGCGCGGATCGCACATTGGGGGACAAAATCATCTGCAGCACCACGCAGCCCTTGGGTCGCATTGTCATTGGTACGTCACTGCCCGTATTGCAGTGCATTATTGAGCACTGTCAAAAACTATTGGATTGTGACAGGTGCTGAGGATTTGCATGCTGTCACAGGGCTCTATGGGAGGCTGCTGCCACAGACCGTAGCCAACTTTCTGACGCTAGCCAAAGATGGAGCTTACAAAGGATCGATCTTCTCCAAAGTGCGCTCTCAGCCAAACAATACCGCTTCTTTCTTAAGGTAGTCTCAAGAAGACTAATGTGAGGTACTGTAGATCTAGAGGGTGCGCCCACATGTTCAAGCCTGCTGCTGCAGGTGGTCCCAGGCGGGTATGTGCAGGCAGGGAGGCAGGGTTCTCCTCGGATGGGCTTGGTGCAGCCACCCACAGGCCTGCCCACTAACAATGAGCTCCTGGCATCAAAATCATTCAGGTGAGAGCACTGTCTGGGAGAGAAAGCTTGTGCTGCAAGTCAAAGTAGTGTGTCGGATATTTTAACTCTCTCGTGCTCTTACATCTTCTTCGGTGTGATCAGGCTTGAGCATTCCAGACCGGGAACGGTCTCTCTCAGCATAGCAGAGAACGATGACGACCCGCTCATAAAGCAGCGGCCGTCCTACTCGCCAACAGAGTTCTTGATCACAACAGGCAAGCAAGCCAGCTCCCGTTCCCCACTCCAAAATTGCAATCTTGCTGGCGTGCTGAAGTAGCCTGCAGCTCTTCCCATAAGTGTCTTCATTCATTCCAGGTCAGATTGCCTGATATTGCAAAAGGTGACCAAACTCTTTTGCCCATAAACAGGTCCTGGGCCGGTGCCCTCGTTGGATGGGCAGAATGTTGTGTTTGGGACAGTCTTGGAGGGATATGAAACAATCACGGCCATTGCATCCCAGCCGACCTTCAAACCAAATGAGAGAATACAAGCGGTGAATCAGCTGGCATCTTTTATCGGTGATGACAGGGCTGCCCGTGTGCGTGCAAAGTATGGCAAGCCCTTGAAGCCAGTGGTCATTACAGAAGTTGGGGTGCTGCCGATCAGAGAGCCATTCCTCCGGCCTGCATGAGCCAGCATTGCAAATGGGCATTGCTACAGATTTTTGTGACAATTTGTATGCTCTACATATCTACTATTTGAGGACCCCTATATATGCGGGTGGGTCCTCAGGGTCCGTAGGGTTTTCCTAGGGAAGGGTCCTCAAGCCGCTATATGTGCCCGTGAATGTGGCTGTAATCAAATCCACTTTCTGGCATGATCCCGCACCGTTTCCCAGTCTTGTCCGGGCTACCGTGATAGTAGGTGATGCTTGGCTTGTCTCCTGGCGCTTCAGCCGTGGACGCACATGTATGGCCCCGAAACGAACCCGACAACCTGCGCAGGTGTGATGCGAGATCAGAAGCCCCGCCTGCCCCGCCTTGGGCCCTAGCACGGATGCCAGCGCGTAATCTAGTGCTAGCGCATGAATGTGTGATCGAGTATGCTCGTTGGTTGGAGTTTCGTGAGGGCTGAACCTGATTATGGGGTGTCTGATCATGTGCTGTGCGGTATGCAGGCTGATAATTTATTAGAATCTCTTGTGAGTTTGAGAAGGGCAGCAAGCGGATTAGAACCGGTAGGCAGGTTACTCCGGAGCCAGGCGTTGGCAACCCGAAACCATTTGAGAAGTCCTGATGTTGTGCCTCATGCAGTCGGCACAGTGTCTGCCGAAACTGGTGAGCTCCGCATTTTGCTTGCTGATATGTCAATTAAACCAGGTTCCAAACATTGCTTTCAGTTATCAACTATTTCGGTTCGTTGGGATTGGTCTGCAGGTCTTGCTTCAGGTGAGCAATCAGCGAGTCAAACAGCGCAGTCAGAAGTACCGAACAGTTCCGATGAGCAGCCCATCCCTCGTAGAAGGCGAAGAGTGGCTGCTGCAGCTGCTCCGTCCTCCGAATCCGACCTTGAGCAGGAGTCAGATCCAGAGTCGGGTTTGGCAGATGATAGTGATTCAGGGGCAGAGTCACAGCCAGACGCTGCTATACGACCAGCAAAGAGGCCCAAAAAGAAGCCCAAGAAGTCCACTGCACGGTGAGGTGGTCTTCTAAGCGCAGAGAAAGAGAAAGGGTGTTCAGATCACGGGTTCAACCATCTGGTACTTGGAAGTCTTGCAGCAGTGATGTTTTTTGCTGCTTGTGAGTGCAGGCTGTCCGCCAGTGAACTGCAAAAGATTGGCCAGGAGAGGCGAGCTTCTGGCAGGGAGAATACAATCAAAAAGTATGACAGCATTATCAAGAGATTTGAGGTGAAGCACTATCTCATTTCGGTTCAATTTGTTGGAGCCCTGGCCTGCACTGGTTATGGATCTCAGAATAAATGCATTGCTTTTGCAGTGGTTTTTGCTCCACGATGAGGAGGGCAGGAAGCGTGCTCAGCCCTATGATGGCAACATGGTGTGGGCGGGTGTGGATGTGGCAGTGCGCTTCCTTCACTGGGTCGGCAAGAACTGGCCAGGGTTGGACTGGCCACAGAAGGCCTCCGAGCTGGTAATCTCAATTGCCTCTATCGCACTCTCTGTGAAGTTGCCTTTCTTTTGTCCACACAGGAAACCTCTGAGAACGGCAGATGTGTTGTGGCTCACAGAGGCTTAAAGTCCTGGAAGGGGCTCACAGCGCCTTGCAGAGCAGATATGCTGCGGAGCTGGCGGCCCTGCCTGCTGAGAAACGCAGAAAGGTGGGTTGACTGCACATTCTTTTTGGGTGCTGCAATGTGGCCTGTGGAAATCTGACAGCCAGACCTGAGCTTCAGAATGAATTTTCTTGCATGCAGGTGTCGCCTTCCTCCTTGAAGGATGACACAACATATGGGGCAGTCTATGATACTCTCAAAAACAACATGGCAGCGAAGGGCATGCGTCCATCTGGGGGCGTGGACCCCCAGGACAATACAGTGGAGGACACTCTGACCATTGGCCAATACACGAAGTTGATGAAGCTTCTGCTAGCCTCGCCGAGTGCAACTGCTCTCAGGGACAGGTCTTCCTTTGCCTACCTGTACGCCAGCGTTGGGCGAGCAGATGATGGCAGGATGATTTTTCTGGCGGATATGATGAGCCCGCGGGAGATCAAATGCATTGGTGAGTTCCTGTGTTCTCATAAATTGTGTGCACACTTGCTTGAAGCTGAAAGAGCACTTGCCGTTCTGGATCAATCTCATCAGGCAGAATTGACAGCTGTGCAGCACCAGCTCCTGTCCAATGTTGGGCACTGAAACCCAGTGAAGTCGCAAAGTTGAATCTCTCCTGGTGCTTGCAGGGCCCTGCCCAGCATTTATGCTAGCTTTCGTGCAGAAGGGTGGCAAGACCCTGGAAAATGGGAAGGTGTCCTTCTCTGGCAGCCTGCGCCACAGAGAACCTGCCCTCTGCCCCCATGGCAGCTTGGGGCAGCATCTTGTGAATCGCTTCACAATCGTGGCGGAGCCCTTTCCAGACCCGCATGACTTTGACAAGTGGGTGAAGACCCCCATGTGGCCTGCCAACAACCCGAGAGAGAATCTGTCTTACACAACACAGGCAATGGCCATCAAGCGCTATGTGCGGGACGAGATGGGCGTCCATGTTAGGAAAGTCACACATATTTTCCGGGTACTGGCAACGAGGAATCTGGACGAGGAGGGCATCGATGAAAGGGTAGGCTGAGTCTCATGCCAGCAAACTACATTGCGCAGCATCTACTATTGTGATTGGTCAGTGCATTGAGTTTGTGCCCCTGTCTATGGGCTCTTGCTTGGCTCCATCGTCTCACGGACCTTTCTTTTGCAGATCATTGCACGAATGGGCAAGTGGAATTATGAGGCCATGACAAAGAGTTACCTCATGTACTTTAAGCCCGCTGGTCTTCTCGGTTCTGCTGGCTGGCCTGGCGCTGCGACCAACGACTATGAGCAGTACTGGCACCCGCGCTTCTGCGTGCAAGTGCCACAGGGGCTGGTGGATCTGCTGTTCCCTTTCCTTCCAAAGCTGCGGCAGGTGCGCGCACAGTCCTGTGTGAATGTGGGGAGGCTCTAATAAGCTACCGAGGCTCTGGAAAAGTTCTGGTACCATCTTGCCAAGCCTTTGCTAACCTTGTTTTACAATTTCTGTCCCTGAAACATGCAGACTGTCAAGGAGCTTGAGAGCACGATCGCTGTGAAGAACTCCATGAAGAGCGTTCCCGCCGCCCTAGACTATCTGGCATTGGTTGTGGTGCAAGATGCTCTTGAGGATGCTGAGCGATACCCAGAGAATCCAGTGCATGCGCTGCTGCTGGGCTCGCCGCTATTCAGGTGATTTTTTTGCAGTGCAGGGCACAGAGAGTAGAATTGCCTTGTGCCAAGAGAGCAAGAAGCTTGAAGCTATGTGGCCTTGAGGCATGGACTTAGATATCCGATTTTGATAACAATTATGGTGACTGCAGGAAATTGTTGGAGCAGTATGAGGAGGACAAGGCAGCCCACAGCTTTGACAGCATGCGGCCAATGACAGCTGCCAGGCACATGCTGGAAGTGCGTGCATTCATGATGCAATTCAGGGAGTTCATCTCACAGCCCACCACTGCCAGCGGAGCATTGGCAGTGGCTGCCTACTCCCCGGTCAGGGCGGTGCAGGGACGCGGCGCTGCTCGCACCAGCTATGCCTCAGAGCTAGCCAGCCAGCAGCGCTCCTTCCAGCATCTGGAAGCCACTGTTGCGCGCATGGAGCCGAGCGCGCAGCCTGAAGGTGTGCAGTTTCTACAAGAAGTGCAAGAAGTCTCATTTCTGATCACTCCCACCACTTCCAAGCCATGCACTGTAAGTCATGCTATTGAATGATTTTCTATATGTGCTTCATGCCCTCAGGCGGATGTCTGCCTGGTCTGTACTTGCCTGATAGAGGATGCCTTGTTCCATAATTTATTGCAATGCTGCGTGAAATTCTTGACTGTGCTTCCTGTATCAGAACTAGGTTAAGTGGCTTCTCTCTTCTAGTTTGCTGCTCTCGATGGAATTTTCTAAATACATGAAGATCCGTGAAGGCATTCATTTTGATTGTTGCAGACATGGTGGAGGCGATGGAGGAGGCTTTGCTTCCAGAGCTGGGGGAGCCAGGGGATGAAGCACCCCTGCTGCAGCTATCAGCTTCATCAGACAGCAGTCCACAAAGGACTGAGGCAGTGGCACCCATTGAAGCTGCACCCTCAGCCCATGTGGCAGCAGTGGCAGCGGCAGCGCCACCGGCAGCGGCTGAAGCTGATGTGGACAGACCGTGGGCAGCGCCTATGGTGCCCCCTGCAAGGCCGCCAGCGGCGCGTGCAGGGCCGGTGCTGGGCTCGTCCAATGTCCTCTCCAGGCCATTCGCCAGGCTGCTGGGCACTCCAGAGCAGAGGGAACAGCGCGAGCACAGCGAGATTGTGGCGAACAGCAAGTTCGTGCTTGTGCCTGGATACGGCGTTCTGCCAGTGGTGTCTATCAATGACATGATGTTGCAGCCCCAGCATGCTGCAGCGGGCGCATCAGCCCAACCAGCAGCCTTGCACAACTCAATGCTGCCTGGAGCGGCACGCGCGGCAGTAGCACCGACCGCAGGCCTGCAGAGTGGGAGCACAGGTCCTGCACAGCGTTTGCAGCGCGCAATTCCGCAGCTGAGGCACTTGGACTCCATGCAGCAGTTCTGGCAGCTCTGGGAACATGGTGACAGCCTCAGCGGCAGTGCTGCCATTAGCTGCCTGCCGCTGGAGGTGCGCAGCCAAAAGAATGTGAAGCAGCGTTTCTTTGAGTGGAAGGAGGCTGCCCTGGAAGTGCAGAGGTTGGCAGCTCAGATGCCTGCCACCCGCGCGGGGCCCACAGCAGTGCAGCGCGTGCTCACTCAGTTGGAAAATGATCGCAACGCAGCTGGGCTGTCCATGCCTGCCTTCATCAAGTCGCTTGGGAAGAAGAAGGGCAAGGCGCAGGAGGAGGGGGGATGAGTATTTTGTGCTCCATGTGCATACCGAATCTTATGAACGAAAAATGGTGGAACAGAGGAATGCCTTTTTTATGTAGGGGTTGCTTAATGGTCTACAAACAGCCAATACATGAATAAGCCAGCATGAGCAGCTTAGAGATCAAGATTAGCTTAAGAGATCAAGTCCGTGTGTGACAAACTCTGGTTCAGTGTTGTGCAGGTTACTGATATCAATGATATCATCATGTTCTATCAGTCAATATGTTAAAAAGCATGCAGAAATAGCTATTGTACTGATTTTCAGTCATCAACTTTATACAGTGCAACATGCACACTGTGACTCAATGCAAGCTGGCTGCCCTCTAATGAGCAAATTTCAGCAAGTGCACAAAAGCTTCTTGTGTGAAAGTTTCCCCACTGATTTCAAACCAAAGCATCCAGCAGAAATTCTTCATGTCTGTCAGTCTTGCATGCTTGTCAAAATCCTCCACAGGCATGCCAAGCTTCACAGTCAGGCTGCTAAAATCCGCATGAGGCGTGAGCGCTTGCGAGCATTCCACAAAGTTCCATGAAACCTGTAGCAGAACGATATTCTACTTGCAGAAGTAGCAGTTAGTAACAAACACAAGGAGGGACCACATGCAATCGAGTACTTCATCAAAAAGCATTCAAGAAAAGACAGGACGGGGACAGAAACTTACCAGAAACTGTAACGTTATCCAAAGATCTTTCGTCTCGTAGAAAGATGGTTGTAGCAGAATCGGAGCCAAGGGAACAGGTCCACCGTCTTGTAGCTCGTGCAGGATCGCGAGCGCATACTTCTTGACGGAACGCCAGGCTTCATTTTCCTGCGCCCTTTGTCTCGCTGCCTGCAGATCAAAGAGTTTCAACCTTACATTTGTTTCTGAAGCAAGGCAGATTCGCTGTCAGTGCACAATCTGTTCCGGAATCTGTTCCGGACTACTTGAAGACGTTAATTCTCGAGTTGCAGGAGACGTTGAGAATCAACACAGCAGTTTTTGGTGTCTAAGACTAGTAGTAGATTCGAACTCACCTTCGCAGGCGAGTGACGACGATCGTGCAGCGTCTTGCATATTCCGGATGGACTCATCGACACGGGTGCGGGTCGCAATTGCTTGCAATCAGGATCGGGCGGCCTGATCAACAGTTGTAGGAGCTTATTAAAATTTTTAAAATCAGGTTTGACGGGACGTATAACTGAAAAGGACCCTCGTCTGGTCAGAAACACAAGTTTCCGTCGAATTTCGGGATTATTGGACCACGTGCGCCTATTCTGGGCACTTTGGGGTGCCCGCTGCTTTGGGTACTCGTTGCAAGTTGATTTTTGTCCCTAATGATATGGTCCTCAGGCAGTCCTCAAAGCGGTCCTCAAACTCAGGATATGCAAGAATGACTTAGATGTGTATGTGTTAAGATTTTGTTGACCCGTACTCCGTTTAACAAATTGACTTCTGTTTTGATGCTTCTGACATCAGGATCTGCAATCCTGCACCACAATCATGTCCTGCCCACCCATCATATCTTGCAGATCCAGAATTCTGATAAGTACCACGGAGAACGAGCATGCGCTACATAAACACGAATGGGCAGCTTCTGTGCAATGCTAAATTGCAAGTGAGCGATAATATGTGCCTGCCCAGTGAGCGATAATCCAAAAAAGCACCAGTCGGGGGTTCAAACCCCCGGCCTGGTGTTTTTTTTGCATTCTACTTTTTTGCCCAAAAGCTCATCGAACATCACCGGGCCCCGGGGTGACCGGGGTATTCTGAAAGCACAATATTTGAGCCACCAGCTCCAGTGGCAGTCTCCCGCCGGTGCCGTTCAACAAGTTGTTTGGGAGGTGATCATGCATGTGCACAGCCAGGATCTGGCTGACGATGAAAAATGGTGTCGGAAGCTCGTTTGACGCGCAGATAAAAGCGCTGGGTCGATCTCTGGGTCTGAACCCTCAACTAGGAACACTTGACTGTATGCGATGTGGTCAATAGTTCTCCTGGGCCGGGCAATGTTTGTATTGCACTCTGTTACACCTGGGAGGCAGCCCTTCTTTGGCGCCCGGTCTCTCTTGATGTCTGCATTCTCTCTGAGTTTCATGGGAAGATTCTGTACAATGGCACTTCAACGTGGGGAGGTCTGTAAGATAGGTGTTATCATATATAGAGAGATTTATATTACACGGTCCTTTGAGAAATTTGAGGTTTGTCTTCGGAAGTATGTCTGACCCAAAAATCACAGTATGTGGCCGGCTTTGACAGGTTCAAAGCTTACAGACAGTCATGCCATTGACAGGCCTGTATACCCCTAGGGTCCTAATGCATCAGGATCCCCTTGTGTAACCATCTGCATCACTGCCAGCAGTCTCATATACTGTGCCTGCTATCACAAGACTTCACCCAACAATCATGCTTGCAGTTGCACATCCTCACTACACATCAAGACTGTACAATATTCAAGTAATAATAATAATAATACATGCATGACTAAATCTTGCAACGTCGGTGAATGTAGGGACTGGTTCTATAAATGTTGCAGAAAATAGCAATTCAATGGTGAGATTCGAATTCAAAGGGACTTTTCGCGACAGCAAGCATGATTGTGCAAGGTGCTGTGCTGCCGATCCCCAAAGAGATGAGCAGGAGAGCAGGAGATGACGGCTATCGTTCGTTTTCAACGAGGTCTCTTCATCAACACTTCCTACCCTTCACGACGCACCAACAACAAAAAGACCTTGTGGCCGTTTAGCGTTGAAATGTTTATGTAAACAGGTCCGACAAGCACCACGGAGAACGAGCATGCGCTACATAAACGTAAATGGTCAGCTTCTGTGCAATGTTAAATTGCAAGTGAGCGATAATATGTGCCTGCCCAGTGAGCGATAATCCAAAAAAGCACCAGTCGGGGGTTCAAACCCCCGGCCTGGTGTTTTTTTTTTGCATTTTAGTTTTTTGCCCAACAAGCTGATCTATCATCATGAGGAAGTACTGACATCAGAAAGCACAATGTTTGAGCCAACACTGGCGCTGGCAGCTCCGGTGACAGTCTCCCGCCGGTGCTGCTGTGTACCTCGGTCATCATGCATGAGAACGGCCAGGATCTGGCTACCGCAGCGGCATAATTTTTTTTCGCCATGGGGAGCAGTTGCAAACTAAGCCGTCATGAACATGATGTGGTGCAGTCATCTTGCACCAGTCTTTCGTCCATTTTTGGCCTTGTGAATTTTCAAGCAGGATACAACAAAATCCAGCAGCATTCAAAGCAATGATTTTCAACCCATCATTAGCTGCCTAGACTTTACAAAGAGCCAGACGAGCCAAGGTTAGGCAGATCCGACAGGTCCTCTTTTGGCATACCAGCTGGTGCATCTGCGGCCGCAGATGCGGCAGAGACTGCGCTACCAGGTGTACCAGGTAGGTAGGCATACAACATCTCCCAAACGCGATTAATGCCCCTTCCATATTTCTGGAGCGATTGGAACTAGTCGCGCCGGAGCAGGAGACAACTTCACTTACGATGAAAAAATGTGTCGGAAGCTCGTTTGACGCGCAGATAAAAGCGCTGGGTCGATCTATTGGGTCTGAACCCTCAACTAGGAACACTTGACTGATTCTGTACAATGGCACTTCAACGTGGGGAGGTCTGTAAGATAGGTGTTATCATATATAGAGAGATTTATATTACACGGTCCTTTGAGAAATTTGAGGTTTGTCTTCGGAAGTATGTCTGACCCAAAAATCACAGTATGTGGCCGGCTTTGACAGGTTCAAAGCTTACAGACAGTCATGCCATTGACAGGCCTGTATACCCCTAGGGTCCTAATGCATCAGGATCCCCTTGTGTAACCATCTGCATCACTGCCAGCAGTCTCATATAATGCCTGCTATCACAGGACTTCACCCAACAATCATGCTTGCAATTGCACATCCTCACTATAGATCAAGACTGTAGAATATTCACGTGGATGACCTAATGCTCACAATGCAGTGAACATGAATGACGCGCTTCCTGGTACAAACTTTACACACAATGTACACCTGCACGCATGCCACTCGCACAGACATCTTGATCAAAACAAGCATCCAGCATCAGCTTTGCAAATGCAATCAAAACCAAAAGGCCCTCATCTTGACAGCACAGTAGCTGCTACTGAATAGCATGAGCCTGGAGCCTCTTGGCAAGAGCATCTCTGAGGACCTGTGGGGGAGTCTGATTCTTGTTGCACCTCAGTTTCCAAAGATTCGGAGGAGCATGTCCGCAGGCAATTGACACGCCATGCACTTGGGGTAACGCCGCTTTTGCTGAGTCTTGTCCTCATTGGGGGGCATGCACGTGCAGCACGGCCCCAGATGCCTGCAAGGCAGCACCATGTACTCTCCCTCCCTTTCCTGGCACAGCGGGCAGACCTTGAGGCGCCTAGTAGAGCCCATGCTGGCGGCCTCACTGTTCAGGGACGTCCCGCTGCTGGTGCGGGACATTGTGTCAGCCTGCTGCTCCGCCCCGGAGCCGGACCTGTGCGCAGAGTTCGGCTGCGGCGGCCGTGCCGCAGGCAAGCCGGAAGGCCGGGAGGGCGCTGGTTGGATGTTGGACATCAGCAGGTCCGTGATGGACGGCAGCGCTGCCGCTGCCGCCTGTGGCCGCTGCGGCTCAGGTTGCTGCTGCTGAGGAGCCGGCTGCAGCGGCACGGGCGCGTTCGGCGGGCGGTAGGGCCGCACCCCGACAGCTGGTGGGCGGTAGGCGGGACGGCCGGCCGGCATCATCAGCCTCACTGGCGGTTTTGCGGCCGGTGCTGACGGCGCGGTTGGCTGCACCGGCGCTGGCGCTGCGGCGGAGGGCTGTGCAGCTGCCTGGCTGACTGCCGGCGCTTCTGGCGCGCTGACGGCAGTCGCCGCCAGGCTTTGGGCGGCTGCGGCGAGGGTGGTCTCGGGGGCGGGCTGGCGGAGGGACATTTCTAGGGAGGAGTGGCTGTTGAGGGCGGACGACTGCAGCAGGTTGGTGATCTGTGCGCGGCTCTGCGGCGAGGCCTGCGCCATGCCATAGAAGGTGGCCATGCGCGCCGCGCGGTCCGGCTCCCGGGTGCTCGCGCTGCTGGGCCGGGGCGTGCCCGACGCGCTGCTGCTCTGCGAGCCTGAGGCTGCCGTCTGCACCGCCAGCGGCGCGGCGGGGGCGGCTTGCTGCGGCTGTGGGGCTGGCGCAGCGGCAGGGGCTTCCTTGGGGAACAGGCCCTCGAACAGCGATGAGAATAGGTTGCCGGCAGTTGGGGCCGCAGGTGCTGGGGGCGCTGGTGCTGCTGGCACAGGGAGTCTGGCCGCCGGGACAAAAAGAGGCGGCGCGACTGCGGGGGCTGCTGCTGCTGCTGCTGCTGCTGCAGTGGCGACGGGGCGCGCGGATGGGGCGGGAGCTGGAGGCTCGGAATGGGCCACGTCCGGCTTCAGGGGAGATGCTGCCGCCTTGATGGCTGCCTTTATGCTGCGGCCAGAGCCGCCTGCACGACCTGCATTTTACAGCACATGCACTCAATGCGTGGGAAAGAGCCATCACAGCATTTTCTTTTCTGCTTCATTTCGGATATGCATCTTTTTGACTGTACATTCTGCATAGCCGCTTTGTCGAGCCAGTGTTACAGAGAGGGTTTGGAAGAGGTGGTGGGTCACACCTGGGGAGGGGGCAGAGGCAGTGCCCTTCTGGAACTGCTGGATGCAGAATTTGACAAAATTGCCCGTGATGAGTTGTGGATGGTTCAAGCTGCCGTCTTCCTCCAGGCCCAGGAAATTGGAGTACCTGTCGCGGCTGATGGGTGGAAACTTCTGCAGCACCTCGAACGCTATGACCTGCGCAGCAAAGTTGCCCAGGAGTTGCTCGCAACGCAATCCTCCCTTACACAGTCATGCTGATCACACTGACCACACTGGTCTCAACAAAACACAGAAGTGGTCGCCAACGCGTCTCAGGCGCAACACAGCAGGATGTACAGCCCACTCATCAAGATGCTCAGCAGTGAAATCACCTGGCCTGCAACGTTGTTGTGAGTGACGCGCTTGGCGCGCCAGAGGCCATGCAGCTCGTGGGTGTCGATGTCATAGAGCACGAGGCCCATGGAGTGCACGTCGTGGGAGGAGTGGTCTGCCAGGTCCTCCAGGGAGATGCCAAATCGCTCCTGCTGGTTGTACTGGCCCAGGACGGCCTCATTGCAGCCCAGCAGGTGCATGCATGTGATGACCGCCAGGTCAGCCTCCACCTGTGCAGCCGTGGGCTCCGTGGCGCCTGCACACAACACATCTCAAGCATGACCGCCTGTCCCTTCTATTCCTCTGGGAGTATCCATAATGCAGGCTGATGCCTGATGCTGATGGACCTTTGAAATTTAAAATGCTAGAAAAAGAAGGCAATGAGAGAAGGACTAGACAACCTCCTGATGCGATACAGGACACCCAAATGCCACTTTGACAAGGCAGCTACAGAAGGACTGGACCCTTAGGAAGGAAGGAAGGCCAACTTTAGCATTGATATAGCAAGGATTGGATGAGAAATGCACTTTTTTTTTGGTGAGAGTGGCTGACCGGCTTCAGAGGGAGTGGCTGAGACCGCCAGGGGTGCTGCCTCTGCTGGGTTACTGGCAGGGCTGCCGCTCGGCACAAACTCCCTGGCAGCCACGCGCAGCTGGTTGGCCTTGCCTCCCTCCAGCCCCATCACATTGGCCCCCCTCATCAGCCCCTGCATCGTCAGCCTGTCCTTGTCACCCTGTGAGGACCTGGGGATCTCCACGTTGGCGCTCCTCTGAGGCTGATTACCGCTGCCGCCGCTGCTGCCGACACCTGCGGCGGCGCCCGTCTCCTCAAACTGCTCGGCCGTCGCTCGCTTCTGCAGCGCCGGCGTGCCTGACTCGGAAGCCACGTTGGCAATCATGTCGTGGCTGGGGTACTGCTCCAGGAAGCTCAGCTCCAGGCGCTTCTTCTCCAGCAGCTTCCCGTCCAGCTTGAAGTACGCCTGCACGCCCCTCTTGTACTTTACGCAGGTGAGAAGTAAGGGTTGGAGGACGGGCAAGTCCCAACGGCTGGGATGCAGGGCATCTCATATGCAGTGGATATTGGAGACAGCGATCATGATACTTCAGTATATGCACGCATGTGGCGGCTGTCTATCATGATGCTTGGCATCAATGCAATGGTGCATGTCACTAGATACTTTGAAATCCCTCATGCTTTCTCAAGGCAGCACATAGCAAGGGCAGATTTCTTGACAGAGCTGAGAAAGGCTGTGCCACTTTGTGTGGCAACAATTCATGATATCTGAGCAGCAGCTGAAAATACCTGCTCTCCAGCGGACGATGAGGTGTAGGACACAGCAGCAGCCGCGAGACCAGGGAAAACGACCAAGGCAGCAAACAGCCCATACTGCAACACCATCTTCTCAATATGGGCGGCCGGCGGCTTGGATGCAGCTTGCAGGCTTTGCACGTCCACGTTCTGGATGAGGAGGTGTGGCCCTGGGCGAGCTGCGTGCACAGGGCCATGCCTTGACCAGTTGCCCTCCTCAAGAATGAACACCAGGAAAGGAGAGAAGGAAAGCATAACATGACAGGAGCAAGGCCTCAGGATAAGACAGATGAAGCAATCAGCAAGTCACGCACCAGATTGGAGGCACAGGATGGTCTCCCAGGCAGAGAGGCCATCTGCAGAGGGTCTTGCAGGTGTCAGCGCAGGTGCAGGTGCCAGGATTGGCCGTGATGAGCCGGCTGCTGCAGCGGGGGTGAGGCCGGGAAAGTCCTTGCTGTTGAGCGTCGGACGAGGTGCTGGGTCATCCGCAGCCATAAAGTGCTGCAGCACACATGCCAGTCATTCACAAGGCAACTATGCAGGCTGCACAGCTTTTTATCACAAGGTAGTTTCAAGGGAATGTGCATATGTTGTGCCACTAGCTTGAGCTGAAGAAACAGGGATGGTCTGGAGAGCGTTTGAGAGCACACCTCAGCATAGGACTGTGGCTGGTTGCTGCTTTCAGGCTCCTCCTCGTGTGCTGTTTCTGCGTCTGGCAGCACGTGCACCACGTTCTTGCCCTTCTTCTCTCGCCTCTTCTTCTCCTTCTTGCCCTGCACACACACACCATGACAGATTTTGAGACTGCAGCCCCTCGAGTAGAAACATACTTGCCAAGACCCATCCTGAGCATGCATAACGGAGCGCCAGCTTGAATGCATGGACAGCTGCAGTGCTGATGCCTGATGTGGCGGCCTTTCACACATGCTCAACAGCCATTCAACAGCCACAAGAATGAAGGTAAGTATTGCTCACCTTGAGACCCTTCTCCAGACGCTCCAGATCCTCCTCATCGTCCCTCTTCCTTTGGACAAAACTGATATCTGGGAAGTCCAGCGCTGGTGGAGGCGCCGGCTCAACCTGGACACATGACAACCCCCTTCACCACAAAGTCTATGACACCAAATGTGAAGATCAGCACAGGGGTTTTTGCAGGACATCGATTGAAGGTGAAAGAAAGAGAGCAGAACAAGGTAAGTACACAACAAGCCAAGGTGACACATACATCAAAGCGTGGAACCCGGCGAAGTCTCACCTTGACCTCAGGCTTTGGTGCAGGGGCTGGCGCCACAGGAGCCCGCTCCACCAGTGCCTGTCGAGTGGGGCGGGCCTCCGCCTTGGCCTTGCCTTCCTCTGCAGATCAACATAACAAGCAGCATGATTGCCAAAGAAAACAAAAGTTGGGAAAGCATGTCAACTAGCATCTTGGCCAAAGCAATCAAGAAGGGAAGTCAACAGCGGTGAGGCATCGTGGCAAAAGCACGCACCTCCTACTTGCTGCATCTGCACAGTGCATGGATAACAAGGTTGCTGATGCATGCAAAGCATTAACATACCTGCATCAGCTGCAGGGGCTTTTTGAGCGCCCTTCTGCTTGCGGGCCTTCTTTGGCTCGGCCTGGGGTGGCGGGTGAGCGGCTCGTTTGGGCTCATCTGGCAGCCGTAGCAGCTCGCGTCGAGATATTTCAGTGCCCATGTCAGATTGCAACTCCAACGCCAGCTTGATATTCCCCGTGCATCCATCAGTGAAGCACCGCACCCCGTCCTTGTTCTGCACAATCCAATGATACCGTCATTTAGATGCTTCCCCGAAGTATGACTGTGCATCAAGCGATGATGCAGGCAAGATAACCCTGGAAGTCCATTGCAGGAAATAGGGATCACGGCTGCCAAGAAAGTATTTGCAGAGCAAAAGGAGACATACCTTCCAGGAGAACTCAGGATGCTGCACCTTAAACGCACGCTCAAAGGCTCGCCAGCATGCGTAGTGATAGTGAATCGTGCACCCCTGCCACATCACCGTGCATCTTACCATGCACTCACAGAACATAATCAGGCAACTCACAAACATTATAGATCTGCGAGCAGCCATTTTTATACGAGGAGTACAAGTCTGTGATCACCTCCGTGCAGACAATCTTCATGTGCTTCTGAGAGCCTTTGATGCTGCGTCCATCATCAGCCTTCTCGCAGACAGCATCCTCGACCACCCCTGGCCTCAGCGCGCATTGAGCCAGGATGAGGTCATTGCTGGTCCCATCCAGCCCCTGCTCTGCCCTCAGCCTGCGCCGCTCCCTGCCACAACCAAGCGAGGTAATGTGTTTGTCATTGCATGCATCCTTGTTCCCATGTTTGCCTTACATAATTAAGTGGCACTCACAGTAAATTCTTCCCCTTTGCACTGCACAAGACAGGCTATAAACTTTATACAACCCCCACACGCCCATACAATATGAAATGTGTTTCTTTGGATGTACTCCTGCCAAACAGCAATTACAGGAGCGAATATTTAGACGGGCAAAGGATCTCACTCTGCACGAAGCTCCAGGTTGCGCTGAGCTTCAGCTTCGGCGGCGGCTTTCCCTGCAGCCACCTCCTCGGCGGAGACTCTGCCATCCTGATCCAGCTTCTTCTGCTCCTCCAGCTGCATGTGGAGAATACGAAGCGCCTGAGAGGCTAGCCCAATGGACTGCTTCCCACAGATTGAAGGTAAATACAGTGCTTACAGGGTGTTGAAGAATAGGCTCAAGTGGTCAGTAGAGACTCAGTGCGCACTTCCATCATGCGCAGCCAAGCCTTGTCAGATGGTGCCCCCTTTTTGGCCTTTTCACTGGACGCCGCTTCACCAGCAGCCTGTGCACCCCCAATTTGTCCTCAATAACATTAGGAATTCAAGGCACATAAAAGCAAATTGAAATCAACACCCATGTTCAGCCCAAAATGCTCAGAGAAAGCATTTTCCAAAAGCATGGTTTGTAAGAATATTTACCTGCCCTTGTGCTCCGCTCTCGGAGCCGGTGTCTGTCTTCACGGATGTCTGATCAAAATCGAGAACAGAGTCTGGGGAAAATGGAGTGGATCGAGAGGACACTGCTCCTTTTACTGTGTGGAGGAAAGGGAAGGCACTTAAGCAATATTTTACAGAGAGCAGGATGCAAATTGCTCTGAGGTATAGCAGAGGGGTTCTGAACGTGCAGAAAGCTTTGCAGTCCAGAGAGAACAACAGGATGAAACGCAAAGCATGCGGGCGCCATACTTACCTCTGAATGAAGCTATTGCCTGCCTCCATTCCTGGTCAGTCTGGAATGTTGGGATAGGAACATTGTCGTCTTCCTCATCAGAAATAAGCTCGGGCATGTCCTGAGCCAATTTTACAACACAAGAATTAGCACCACAGAGCTGCATCACAGCGACTCATGCACAGTGGAACATGCATGCCAATGCACAAGCTGATCACATCTCTGAATGAGCTCACCTGTAGATATTCAGGAGCACCATCTGCAGGGTCCCCATCGGCGCTGTGATTAGAGTGCGGACCTTCTGCCGGATCCACTCCATTGCAATGTTCAGAGTCATGATCTGCATGCCCATTCATGAGGGGAGCAGGTTCTGCGTCTTGGGCCGCAGGCGCAGATTCCTGCTGCAACATGATCAGCATACTTAGAAAAAGGTGCATGTCATGCAGTCAGCTGTGGGCTCTGCTGAGCAAAGGTGCCACAAGGCAGTCTGGTCACAGTCTACACCTAGTGTTTAGGAAAGGAAGCAAGATTGATCTCTTACCACCATCTTAGGAAGTGGCGGCAGGAAATGGTGCGCTTGCGTTGCAGATCAGTGGCTCTGTTCTCTCTGTGTGTTTCCTGGGGCGTGCAGGGAGAAGAGTATGTTTAATCGGTGGCTCTTGAAGAATGCAGTAACCTCTACGCAGGTGCTCAGCAGCAACGATGTAGGATCGTATCCAAGATCCTTAGATTCAAACACGATAGACCATCAACTTGATCGATCATGGGCCTGAAGGCAGCATTCAGATACGCCCCGCGTCTTGGATCAGTGCAATTTTACCTTGAGCGGGAGAGCGAAAGGCACGCAGAAATCCGTGCAGATTCACAAGAAAGCACGTTGTACGTTATTTTTTTGCCTGAATAGCCACCCAACGCACTTGGAGGTCACAGACATTGGCCATCCTTCTCAGGGGTCAGAGGACGTTGACAGACGTTGACAAAATAGCGATTCCGATTTGGCTTTACATCCACAAGCTTGAGGTTATCGAGCTACCGAGAGGCGAAACAGTTCATCAGGTCTGCATTTCCTTGTTGGGGTCTTGACCATGCTGTGATGATGTGTCATAGATCTTCGTGACTCACCGTCCAAGCAATTGTTGATGTGAACAGAACAATTGGTCTCCATATACAACGCAAACTGCGTAGTGGTACGGCGCAAACTTGATCTGTGTGTGTGGCCTCATTGATCCTCGATTGCTGTTGCAGTTGCAGTGTTGCGTTGAGCTTCAAGCTACCATGCCACACACCCTGAGTTCATCCCAGAAGGCGCCAGGATATTCTATCAAATTAACACAACCTCATTTAAGTCTTTCGAAGCATCTTTGTACACTAGATCCTAGACATCAGGTGCATATCCGAGTCACATACAGCAGATTAAGGATTCTCCAGGTAGACAAGTTGGCAGGCTGCTGTAGAGCGGGAAATGAAGAAAGACTAAGACAAGCTTCTGCGGACTTTGTTGAAGGTGGACACATCCCCAGATGCGCTGCCTTCTTGCAGAGAACTTTCATGTTCCTCCTTCACCTGGACAGGTCAACCCCCCTTGTTGCAAAGTCACAGGCAGTTTTATCTGTGCAGGGCTACGAGAGGGAGTAGATGAGGATGACTTGGTTGCTCAGGAGCTTGGCTTACTAGATGCCAGTCAAATGACCACTGTACAGGAGAAGTACAAGGAAAGGATAAAACAGAAGCTGGTGGAGGTACTGACCAAGTCTTGAGGATAGGCGCGCATGGCAGAATCCATGTATCATGGGGCTCAACGGGAGTATTTTCAAACCTTGTTGTGCTTCATTACAATCACTGAGATCTCTTGTGGCAACAGCAAGCGGCTGCAGCAGCAGCAGAGAAGGCAGCCAGGCAGCGTGAATTCACCATGGGGAAGCTGGCATATGGCAAGGGCCAATACAATGCCTCTGTCCAGCTATTCACTCAGGCGCTGGACAAAGAGGGTCCCTTCAGCCCGCTGGGAGGCGAAGTGCAGTTGTGGCTTGCTCTCGCATACCAGGTGATTTATATTGGTGTCAAATGCAGGCTCCTTGGTCTTGGAAAACTTTACACTCCTAAAAGTCGTACTTTCCATTCTTGGACCCTGTTCCCATGCAAGGAGGTGTGCTGCAGGCAGTTGGGAGGGAGCAAGATTGTATAGACATGTACAAGACACTGGAGAACACGCATCCAAACCCCCAAATAAAGAAGCAGGCCGCAAACCTGCGCTTCATCATGGAAGCGCCAAAGTTGAGGCTTGGACCTGACGAGCGAGTCTCCATACCTGTGATTGAAACCAGCAACCGCTTTGCGTAAGACTCTCAGCACCCTTGCACATACAATCACAGCTCAATCAATATGCGCAGTGCTGAGCAAGGTCCCTTGCAGTCTCGCAAAGACGATCCTGAGCAAAGTCCGTTGCAAATTTCTCATGACATGCATGTGGCTCACAGGCCAGAGAGGAGCTTCAGAACGCGGACTCCACCCAGCAGCAGGAAGAGCGGGCAGCAGAGGGAAATGACTTGGGAAGAACGCCTCTTTGAAGAGTACCGGCCCCCACAGCTAGTGCCCAACAAGTATGTGCTCGTGGCAAGCATTATTCTGGCGGTAGGATTAGCTTGGTACTCTGCAGCTGCCAGGCAGGGTGGCTTGTGATGCGAGCATAAAGCCAGAGCGAGTTCGCTGCAAGCTTGTGTGTTGCTTTTCTGCATGTGCCCACATGAGAGTATCTTGGTGGGGAGCGAGTGCGTTTTGCCCCAGTGTATCTTCGCTCAAACTGTTCTTTATACCTGTACTTGAGAGGAGTGGCAAGTGATGTTCTAGGAGTTCCTGCTGGTAAACACAGGCTTGCTGTACCAGGAGTAGGGAGTTTGAAGTGCTTTGGAAACAAGCATCTTACACAGTAGTAGATAGGGATCAGATTATGAATACAAACAGCCGACCTACTTGCATGCTGGTTGGCATGCTGATCAGGATGGAAGTTTCTTGAAAAGTCTGAGGCTATGCTCAGTCTTCAGATGGCTTTCAATGACACAAGATCTTTGTATATTTACTTAAGCAGACCAGTCTGATGCCTTGATGGTGGGGACGATGGCAAGCAAATGTTCTTTACTATGCAGACTAATGACTGGCAAACAAAGGGTTCAGCAAGGTGTGCTACTTGAGCGCATGGCTATATGCGCACATGGTATATTGCTAGAGAGATATGCAGGTGGATGATTGCAGTGTGCTACATGCGTGTTATGATTACGCTGGTGAACTGTGGGGGCTGCAGACTTGCAGGTGTGGCTGCAGACGCCCTGCGTGTATGCCCTATGGTCCCTTGGGTTTGGCGACCTGTGATATGAGAAAGAGAATAAGGGACTGTTGACTGACACGCTTGCTCAGTGGGACGAGGTTCTCGTGGCCCATGGCGGGTCCTTTGACTAAATACTCTTGATGTAGCTTGAGCCAAGCGCATCTGCCACTTTAGTTATCACGGACTGACCACTGCTGACGCTGTTGTCACACCCACCGGGACATGCGATTGCGGCCAGCCTGGTGATGTTGCCATGGCACAGTGACTGCCTGGCAGGCTCTGCCAGACTTTAGTGAAGGATTATATGATCACATGAACATGCCACATGCAAATGCGGCAGCGTTCAAGGAACCTGAATGGTGGGCGGAGAAAGGCAAACTGACAGACATGCACCTGCTGGGGAATATGATATGGGAGGTGGCTGCATAGAGGGCGATGCAGCCTGCGGAGATGTCCTGAGGAGGCATGGCATGGCATGGATATATCCACACATGCGGCACCACTGGTAGGGCACTTTCAGAAATGGCATGCATGCACCGCGGCCTGCAGCGCATATGTGGCAGGAATTGTGCATATGCATATCACAGATATACATGTGCACGCATACTTCAGACTTTAGATGTTACTAGGCAATCAGGAGTTCATATGTACTATACATTTGAAGCCAGCCTTCGATTTGGTCAAATCAGGGAGATTAAATCCAGGAGAACTAGGTTGTGCCCCTGGTCAAGTCTGTGGGTGGGTCAACAGTGGCCCACTCCATGACGCCAAACTTGGCCGTGGGTCTACTCAGCTCCGAGGACCCAAGATCTTTGCGTGCATTTCGTGGAAACGATCATTACGTGCTGTGGAGAGAGGAATCATAATCCATACTGGGGATATCGCATCACTAGATTCGTTGTCATGCAGCTCGGGAAGGGAGACGGCAAGGCTTGCCCGAAAAAGGGTACGGGAGATCGCTGAGTTGAACTGACATTTATTGAAATTTAGCAAAGAATGATCGATTCGCCTCCTATGTCAGAAAAACTGGCTAGCCCTTTTCCATTCCGCATCGTTTTCCAACGCTTCTCCTTCGACTGCAGACAAGCTCTTGGAGAAAAAGCTGGCTGAACGACAGGAGAAGGAGGCACACAAAGCCGAGACAAGACAGGAAAAGATGAAGAACAAGGAGGTGGGGGATCCGTGACACGATTGCTGCACCCCTGCACCCTGCACCCCGCAGAAGGATCGTGTAGGGTTTCGACATTCGGCATCCCTTCTGAAAGGTCCTTCTTCCTCACAGGAGAAGATGGGCTTGAAGGCTGTCTTCAAAGAGTTGCGGACATATGGTACCAGCAAACGCGCTGAACGGGAGCAACGTGAGGTGAGAATCCTGGGTTTGGGACCCCAACGTGCTAAACGCACTTGTTCAAGATGCGTTTGCCACTTGTCAAGACCGTAGAATGGCCTCAATATGCGCCTGAAAATATCGAGCATGCTCGAAAAATCCATGCGTTGCAATGAAGACTTCAGATTGTTCAACAGGCCAAGAGAAGGGCTGCACATGTGGAGACTGGGCAGGAATGCCAGCATGGTGTTTGGCGCTGCCGCATTTGCTACCCGCACCCTACTGCTGATCGCCGGGTCCATGCTCACTAGTTTGGCATTCTATTGGGAGAGCATCCCAGCCTTGATGCTGATCTATTCCAATAACCAAGAAATGGTGGCTCTTGCCAGTGGAACATGCATAGATATGCTGCAGCTGCGATGTGCAGCAGTGACACTGCAGCCACTTCTTGACAATACAACAGGGCATGATGAGGAGAGAAGCAACTTGTACTTTACAAATGTCAGAACGCTCTTGGCTGGTGACGCTAGTCACCGCCTGGGTCCTGATGCCTGGCACTTGTGAGCCAGTGAACTCTGATGTGCAGTGTTCAGATCCATGGAAACACTTAAGTTTTCTGAACCATCTCCAGTGCCAGCGATAAATACAAGACTTTCAAATGACCACTGTCAATATCTTGGCCGCTTGAAGTTATTCATCGGTCCTCGGGCATATGGCGTTCCTGCGGAAGGGCAAAGTACTCACGACAATGGTCATTGTTTGACATTATCTGCTTGTGCATAGATCCTTCCAAGTTACAGGTACTTATGGTGCCCCTGAAACTCAATTTGCAGCCCTGTTTTGGTACATGAGAGGCTGCCATGCAAGGCATGTTACACAAGAGTCGCACACAAACAGTGCATTTTTGCAGGACAGACATTTCTAAATATAAAGCAAACCCTCCTCACACAATCTAAAATGTGAGAATCCAGCTTGTGCAGCGACGAGCAGGTGTGAAAGACTACGTAGCAGCGAAGAGTACTATGATCCAGTATTGGCGGTCATCACAACATTGGTAGGCCCTTCAAGGAGCAGCCAGTCACTGAAGAAGTAGTAGACAAAGATTACACTGATGTGCAGGAGACTACTCCCTTTGCCTATACAGCTACCTACTGACAAGCGATTCCCTGGTCAAGAAGGGGGAGAATCGCACCTCTTCCCATGTGCATATTGTGCTGCATGCCAGGCGGGAATCCTGGCGGCATGAAGGGCATTCCAGGCCCCATTGGCCCCATACCGGGTCCCATAATCCCTGGAGGCATGAAGGGCCCAGGTCCCATTCCAGGCCCCCCATTCCACCCCATACCGGGCCCCCCGCCGCCGCCCATGCTCCCAGAGAACGGGGGGTCCCCCACCGGAGGTCGCATGCGCGGCCCTCTGCCGCCCTGTTCCTGGGATCTCCCACGGTACGCCGCCCCCTGCACGTGCAGTTGACACATCTTCTGCGCAAAGATCCCTAGAAATTTCCATTCGGGGAGCAATTGAGGGTCAGGACACCACATGAGGATGTTGCATGTTCTGAAGAGAGCCGTGCGCATCAGGACTGCTGTGTGCTTCACATCTTGGCGCTGATGTTGCCTGTGGCTGCGTGGCCGTCAAATGTCTTGTTGAGAACAGTGCCTTACGAAGTAGACGGCCTTGGGGCTCGATCTGCACTCACCCTGCCTGTGGGGCCTTGGCTGGTGGACGCCATCGCAGTGCCATCTCTCTGAGCACCCTGCCCCTTCCCTGGCTCCTGCTGCACCAACACAACCTTGATCACTGCCAAGATATGCTTGATCATGAGCAAATTGGGCAATGGCAGCTCATGAATTTTCAGCCATTCAGATGTGTGGCCCCCACCTTCTGTTTTGCAAAGGTCACAACGCACTTCTTTCCGTCCACCATGGTCCTGTCAAGAACAAAGTTGACAGGGTGTCAAAAATTTTAATAATCACAACTGGTGAGGTTGAAGAGAGATTCTGCATTTGCATGCGCATGCTGAGAGTAAGGGGTGCACACCCGTCCAATCCTTCCTTGCAGGTGTATGCTGCTTTTGGGCTGTCAAAGGTCACAAGGACATAACCCTTGGACTTTCCATTGGCCTTGTCCTCAAAGAACCGGAATTTCTGCACAGAGCCAAATTGGGAGCAGAGTTCCTCGATCTGTGCATCTGTTGTCCACCACTGCAGATTGCCGACATACACAGCATCTATGGTCCCATAAGAAGGCTCCCCTCTCGAGCTTGATGCAGCAGATCCGCGCTTCACAACAGGCCCTTCGCCAGCAGTGCTTTGCTGTACTCTGGCACCTGCTTGCAGGAAGAGTTCAAAACGGCATTCCTCAGATGAAATTCCTTCTGGAGTAAATTAACAGGCGGCAGGGTCTGCATTTCACCTGCATCCGATTGGTATTGCTCTGTCCCATTCTCTGAGGGACCAGGTCTGTCAGCTGGCATGATCTGCTCTTCCAACTCCTCCTGAGTCTGCTGGTTTGGTGCGGGTCCGCTTCCATACAGGGATGCAAAATCGTCATTGTTCCCATCTGCTGGAACACACTAGAGAATGAGCCTCCCACAGGACAGGTCTCAGCAAGTCACACGAGATTGTCCTCATGTGTTAGTGCCAGGAACTGATGGGTGGTGTACATTCGAAGGCTTTGACATATTAGTGAGCCAGTATTGTCTCGTGGAGCCTCTGCACATCATGAAGTTGCAGTTCCATATGTTCAGTCATTACAAGGCTACAATTTTCACCAGGTGTGGACATAGATACAACCACATTCGAATTTACCTTGACGAAATAGCAAAACATGAGCTCACAGGCAAAGCAGGACGCGAGCACTGGATAGGATCTGTATGTTATGCACAACACAATACTACTTTCACAACCTGGATAGGACAGGATAACTTGAAAGAAATAACCTGCAACGTCGCCATACAAATCAATCGAAGCAGCATCGTCGTCTAGCGGTGGTCTCGTGTCCTCCAGTTTTGCAGCTGCATCATCAGTGGACGTCAATCAAAAGAGCATGCGAACCTTGGATTCTAACACCTATTCCAAATTGCAGAAGCTTCATACTGCTGCAAAAGACTGGACGTGTGCACACTTGGAGCACTCAAGCGAAAGTCTTCATCATCGTCGAAATCCGGAGCAGCAGCTTCTGACGTCTGCATGTTCTGCTCTCGCACGAGAGCTGCTGCACAAGCTAAATACGTCCGGGTTCTTGATTCTGCATTCCCTTGCACTGCTTTGTGCTTCTGAACAACCCGGAGAAAATTTCCATGTGGCATTACTAATGCATTAGTACTGCATGTGGGCAAATTCTTGGCCGAGTTGCTGTCCTTGGAACAGAAACAGCATACAGGCTAGGTGTCCATTGACGTTGACAGACAAGCTGCCAAGTTCTAATGACCCGTCACCTTCAAGTATGCCTTCATTCAGGGGGGGGATCACCAAGCTTTTTTTGTCCAATCCAAGGTTCAATCACGCACAATTGCGCATCGCACGATCGTCTCACGGTATCCAATTATGAAAAAAAATTCCTTTGATCACGATTTCCCATTGACATGAGTCGAAAGCGCAAACATGTTGTATTGATCCTCAGCTCTGATGAAGAGGCAGAGGTAGCTGGAAGGGCAACACCCAAGGCACCAACGCCAGCAAAGAAGGTACAAAAGTATTGGAAATACGATATCACCTGGGCAACCTGTTTTAGACGAATCCTGAGTGCGCTGCTTGGGGTGACAGGACAGTCGGAGAAGGGGCCAGCAGAAGGGGAAAACAGGAGAGCTGGCCTTGCCATCTTCTCAGGAAGAGCGCAGAGGGACCCTCCAGCTGCAGCTGTCACAGTCCAAGGAGACAGGAACTCAGCGTCAGCTCACCTTCCAACCTGTGCAGCGCACACTGGACAGCTATGCAGTCCAATCTGAAGCACGCAAAGTCCTTCCTGCGAATGAGACAAAGAGCGCAGCACGAGGTTATGGATCGCAGCCAGAGACATCACCTCTCAAAGCTGTCAGCGTGGCAGGTCTGCTGTTGTGCCCCTCGCATGTACATGAGTTCGCAAAGTCTTCTGTTTGTGTTGTGGGGTCAAAAGTTATAACAATCTGACTGTGGCAATACACGTGGCAGGTGGACAAGTAGGCTGGTCCCACAGGCATAGACCGCAGACCACAGCAGATCTGGTGATGCACAAGAAGAAGATCCAGGAGATCAGCGGTTGGCTGGAGCTGCAGAAAGAGCCAGGCCTGAGATGCAAGGCACCCAGAATGCTGGTTCTCAGCGGTGGGCATCACCCCTTCTGCTGTGCAATCTGGATTTGATTGCACCCGCAATTGAAAAAATAGTTTTTGTTCTGGCTGCAAGTATGTTGTGATCAATGCAGGGCCACCAGGGTGCGGCAAGTCCACAGCTATGCATGTGCTCGCCAAGGAGATGGGTTTTGATGTGTGTGAGTGGCAGCCTCCCGTGCCCACACTGTGGGACGAGCACAGATACCACGCGGTGTGCTTCTTAAACAATCCCATAAAATCATACAGAAGACTGCGCCATCCTTCCGCATACAAGAGCCATCTTTCGTGGCGCTGTCTATATCGTCTTGTGAACAATACCGTCTGACGCGGCAATTCCTCGTGCATCAGGCAGACGGCGGGCTGCAGTACACATCGAAGCTGGACGACTTCGAGACGTTCGTGGCGCATGCAAAGCTGTCCAGCCTGTCTCTGCAGCCTTCCACTGCCGCGTCAGATGCCTCTGGGGCAGCATCACAGCAGAGCCAGAACCCACCCCCAAAGGTGCGCTGCAGCATTGCCCGTCAATCCACCATCCAGCATCCAGCGAGAGGGAAAGACCCTTCTGTACCTTTCAGGAGCTCGCACTTTCTTCCTGCCAGTTTTCTCCGGACTTTCGGAGACTGCATCAAAGATGACCCATGCAGTATTGGACTCGATTATTTGCGCATCTGGCCCGATGGAATTATTCAGGATGGGTTGAATGGAGACAACCATTAGCATGTGTTGACGAAGCCAGGCTGGTACTAACAAGTCATTGCAAAACGTCAAAGACCTTCTAGGTAATTGCTTTTTCAGTTTACTGACAAGAACTCTACTAAAAATGAACCTTGATCGTGCAGCCGGGGGTGAAGCTGCTGGTGATAGACGACCTCCCCCATGCGGCGGGCTTGGAGCAGCGGGCGCGCCTGGCCGCCGCGCTGGCTCTGCTGGCCGCCGCAGCGCGCTGCCCCGTGGTAGTCATCGCTACCGCCAGCTCCACTCAGGGCGCCCCCGGCGACCGCGGCGCCGCCTGGCACGGCCTGCACAAGGTGCGAAGGTTAATCTTTCGGCGAGCAATTGATCTGTGTACTTGTGCAAGTGGAGACTCTATTCTGTGCTGACAGTCAAAGGCCTGCACAAGGTGCGCTGTGCTTTGCCCACCTCCGGCTTTTGGCTGTTCAAGGAGGCAACATGAGTCCTGTGCAGTTCAGTCCGAAACCTCATATAGCAGCTTGGACCTGCCAAGAGCATTCCTGGTATGCACATGCTTGACATCTGGTCATTCTGATAAGCCTTTTGTTCGACTGCTGACAGCCAAAGGCTTGTCAAAATGGTAGAGATCAAGCTTGTGAATTGGCAGGGCCTGGGGCAAAGACAGTAATGAAACATAATTCAACAAAGATAGGCAGTCATGCACCAACGGTGCGCTGAAAGCCAGGAATTGTCACTCTGAAGGAAGGGAACCTCAGTCCTCTGCTGTCTCTGACTAATTAGTCTTGTTCTCCCACTACACATGAGGTTCTTCTATCAAGGAAGGGAGCCTCAGTCCTCTGCTGTCTCTGACTGGAATAGTGTGGTGTCCCACGGCACAGGACGAAGCCTCAATGCTCTGCTGTCTCTGACTGAAAAGGTCTTGTGCTTCTCAACACAGGATGTACAGAATGCGCTGGACACGGTGGGGGTTGCGCAGATAGCATGCAACCCCATCACGGACAACAACGCAGCGAAGGCGCTGCAGCGGGCGGCGGCCGAGGAGGCCATGCCGCTGTCCAGGGAGCAGGCGCTCTCCATCGCGCGCTCGGCTGCCGGCGACCTCCGCAGCGCCCTCGAGCTGCTGCAGCTGCTCTGCACTGGCGTCGCTCCCCTGCCGCCGCAGCCCAAGACCCGAAAGGTGGTGACCGCGCCTCTCTCAAGCCATTCTCCATCCGCTGTCAAAAAAATGAGAGAAAAAGATCCTTTAGAGTCCCTCTGCAGTCATGTTTGGGGCGGTGGGCAACGCTTAGGAAGACTATAAGGCATGCACTTGAGGAAAGGAGCAATGTCACATTTGAGGAATTAACGAGTAGAAGCTATGTCTAATATCACTTACAATTTCAATTTCTATTACTGTACATACATGCGGGACATTGGAGGCTCCTCAAAGCATGCTTAAGCTGCTATTGCTTCTGCATGCATGCCTTGTATGCAATGCCCATTCTGCAAGGGAGCGGTGTCCTGCTCTATGATGCTGTAGCTGACTCAATCTTGCAGCAAAGATTTATTCAATAAAACACAGCAACATGAGCAGTGCTTGCTGTGCAGAGGAAGGCCAAGGGCAGCAAGCAGGCAGAGCCAGAGCTGCACATGCCGGAGCTTGCCACAGCCAGAGATGTTGCCCTGGACCCGTTCCATGCCATCGCCAAGCTCCTGTATAACAAACGTGGGGAGGAGGGTTCAGAGGTGCGCGCACACTGCTTACCAGGCGCTTGGCATTACAAACAGTGCCACACTTTTCAAATCAGTCCCTATGTCTGTGTACCTACCTGAACACAGCTCTGCGGTATCTCTTTAGTTCAATTCGTATTTTCTTTAATGTCTCTGGGTCACTTTCCGGGCAGACATTGACATGCACATGGTGCCACTGAGCAGGCTGCAGCTGGCCAGATGGATGAGGAGTTGAAGCAGCCTCTGTCTGGGGGGACATCCTTCCTGATCCAGGCTTGTGAAAGCGCAGAGCCTGCTGCTCCTTTGCAGGTGGCAGAACGGTAGGATTGCCATATTTCAGCTTCCCACATTAGCCTCAATGCACATTTTCAGGAAGCAGCATTAAAGAGATTATGGTCTGTTACAAATAGTACTGGTGCCAAATGGTGGCAGGCATAGGCGGCTGCCGCTCAGCTTCAGCCCAGAGGGGGTCTGGGAGCGGTCAGGCCTGGACGTGGGCACCACAGCGGGCTTCCTGCATGAGAACGCGCTGCACTTCCTGGATGACGAAGCCATGGAGGACGCTGCCCTTGTGGCCAGCTACTTCAGCGATGTAGGTGAGTTCCGTTTCCGCTCGCAGCTTCTGAAAGTAATAGTGATGCCCCATCACCTCAAGGTTGTCTTCATTGTTGTGCAAGCACATGTTTGGGGATCCAAGGGAAAGCTCGCAGCTCCTGGAAGTTACAGCAATGTCACGTTACGTCAGGTTCCCCTTGTGTGCATGCACAAAGCCGATGCCTCTTTCTCAGAAGCTGAGGCTTGGAAGGGGACGTTGCAGACCGGGTGTCGAGCCACGGCTTTGCGGCGGCTTCCGGCTCGTCGGGCTACGCGGGGGACCTGGGGCCGGCGGCCACGTTCTCAGAGGGCGTTGCCGGATCCCTGCTGGTGCGAGGGGTGCTGTACGCCAATGCGCACCCGGCCCCGCGCCGATGGTTACCGCTGCGCCGGAGCGGGTGGGCCACAGCGCAGCGCGGCGCGGCCGCCAACGCGCAGCAGCTGCAGAGCCTCGTCTGGGCCGGCGGCGGGGCCGCCCTGCACTGGTGCGCACCGTTGCTTCGTGGTCGACTGTCGATCTGTCGTCTGTGGTTGATTTCCTCAATGGTCTAGCGCCAGGGCATGGACTGGGCCAAACCCTGCAGTGTGCTCAGTAACCACCACATGTAACACTCCAATTCCTATCGCAATTGGCAAGAAGAAATGTTTGCGCATGCTGCATTGTAGCTCCAGTGCATTCTTTGGCGATCTCTTAGAGCTCTTGTGATCGCTGGGGTGCATATGACTGAGCACTGCTGCGCATTGAGATGTTCCAATTGTTAAGTGGAAGCAACCGCCTGCACTTCAGGAAGCGTAATGAGTTGGCAGTCTCTTGAACGCGCGTCTGGGGTGTGCGTTGATGGGGGGTTCTGTGCATGCAGTGTGGGAGGGAGCGTGCGAGCTTTTGCAGCAGGGGTGTTGCCCAGTGTGCGATGCATGTCTGCGAATGGCTCAGCAGTGGCGTCTGCTCTGCTGCCAGAGTGTTGGACACAGCTGTGGCATGGCGAGCTGTCTGAGCAGAGGTGTCGGCCGGAACAAGTGTTGTCAGTGTTGCCAGAGGAAGAATTGCAGCATGACCAAGTTGATGATGACATTGAGGAAATCTTGTAACAACATCATTGCAATATACATCTGGCCTCACAGCCCACAGTATTGCATTCAAAGGCACCGTCTGCGGTTCCACTCAAGCAGTCCTGTTCATTGTCAGCAGGCAGTACAAAAGTATTATGCACTTAATGCATTTGTCGTATGGATGTCGTGTTGGCTCACACTCTGATCATCTTGGCTCACACTCATGAGTGAAGGGTCGATTCAATGGACTTTTGAGTTCCATCATCCTCCGAAGCCGTCGACAGTGGCATGCCTGTACTGCTCTCAGGCTCTGAAGGTCTCTACCATCTTTTTCAATTTGCCGGCTGACTTGCTCCACTGCTTATCAGTTGCTGCCGTAATGAACAGATATGCCAGATCCCCCTGCGAGGACATGACCAGCAGCATTTCGAGTCTCCATAATAAACACTTTCCGCGATCATGATGACGCATCTACTCCCAGATTCGAGATCATGCGCGGAGAAGACTGCATTTTCATCACGAACCAACTGGATGAGATGAATTTTCGCCCACCTTTGCAGTCACACATGTGACGCTGTGAGGGGGGTTGGTGCCGCTTGGAGCATAGGTCTCATAGAAGTAGTACTGCAGCCAAAAACACCCATTGAAGCACCATCACATCATTGTTCTTCATGTGCCTCTAGTAGTTGTTGGTGTCAGAATTGCCAACTGGTCATTTCTTTATAAAGGAGAGCTTCTGAATCCTGTCCTCTGACAATTTCAGCGAACCCACCGTTTTGCCATCGATGACCTTTTGCTCCATTGATACAACATCTTCCTCGTCAATACCAGTGCCTGGAGCCAACACGGCAAAAGGGTGATCTCTGGCTGTCAGAAAGCTTTAAATTTTGCAGGGCAGATGCTGAGAATGAGCACGATGAGTGGACATCTGGTGCACCTGATCACACCTGAGATGAAGGGTCCTATGGAGCTGAGGACGCTGTCAATTGATCCAACCTTCTCGATTGAGACCGGCTTATTTACCCCCAGTCGCCTCAGGGGGGCCACCAGAAGCTGCAACACCTCAAAATCTCAGCATCTGCCCTCCACCCAGCATGCATTCCTCCATGCAATGCCTGCGCTCAATCCCAGTTTGAAGCTTGATCTATGACGGCTGAATGCATACCGACACTCTTCCTTCAGACGCTCCTTCAAAAACAACTTCTGTCCAAGGCTCATCGCAGCGCGGCTGCATCAGAGACCAGTGAGCAATGTTAGTAACCCCACGCTGCACAATAGAAAGGACAAGAACAAAACAACCTCTCAAAGTGCGGCCAACAAAGCATGCTCGTGTGGCCGGGTTTCATTTGCGCGCACCTGACAGAAGTTGCCGGATTGAATGTTGGCAACCTTCCCCTCGTGCCATGTTGGCGGCAATGCAAATCGATAAGGTTCCTTAGTGGCATCTATTGTTCCAGCCCTGATGGCCTGTGCACGGAAAGGAGCAGGTCAATGGGCTAGCAAAAGTGTTATTAAGTTCACATGGATCACAGGTGCTCGTGCTATAGGGTCATGCCCCAGAGAAGACTAGTAAAGATGCTCACAGGAGTTTTGTCCTTCGAGACAACAAACTGCACAAAGTCCTCCACGCCTGCTGGTGGGAGATACGTGCCAACGTCAGCTGCCTGCGCTTTGCTGGCTGGCAGCGCCCAAGCACGCTCTGGAAGCAAGGGAGATGTGATAAGCCCTGCTGCTGCAGCCAGCAGTCCCTGTACGTGCAGTCCACAAGAATTCAATATTCCCTACTTTATTGGAGCACAAGTCGACGCGACCAATAGATCAGAGATAAATAAGTAAGAAGCCAATGCGTCATTAACTTAACACCAAAAATCTGATTTGATCAAGGAGATCTGATAGCACATGCCGCACAATAATCTAACCACATACCTGCATAGTGCCCCTCCTGCTAGCCAGCTGTTGCTCATCGAGATGACTGCATCTCACTATGGTATGGCATTTTACTCTTTTGGGCAACAAGGGCGGGGTTGCTGCAGCTTGGAATGGCCGAGTGTTGCAAGAGCAAAGTAATGCGCTCGCAGACATCGTTCGGTTATCAAAGAGTTAATCTGATGTGTTTTGCTGTGCTGCCTCTCGTCGAAGGACAGTTTTCTCCCGTGGAGGTAGATTTGGCAGGACACTTGCCTCTCAGGTTCCTGGCACGTCATCTAACATCTAAGCGGCAGGGCACAATCTCAAGCATACATTGGCCATTTCCTGAGTCTGCCAGAGAGTTATGAACAGGACTTTCTGGCCACAGCGTTTGGAAATAATCATATGTCACGTGAGCCTTGGCCGGCGTGGTGCCCCAGGGCGCACCTGCCGCCCCGGGCCCGGCAGCTGCAGGTTCGCTAGGTTCTGCCATCAGTGATCATGCATGCTTGGTTAGCTCCTGTCTTCCTTGGTGAGTTGTGACAACTCATGCATATTACGGCACGGCATGCATGCATGCAAGCAGCAGGCAGCAGCCGGGAACATCATGGCAGGGGCAGCACCACTTCAAGTGAAGTTCAAAGAATATTTCCTTAAACACGTGTGAGTTTGCAAGCGCATGCACACTGAACAGCCGTTTGACCCATTACCCATCATGATCAGTACTTTGGGCTACCAGCAAAGGAAAGGGAAAAGATACGAGAAAAAAGCGACCAGCTGATCGGGGATTTGAACCCGGCCAGCTGGTGCTTTTGGATTAGGCAACTGAGCACAGTCCCCAGAGGGGCGGGTTAGGTCACTTGCAATTAAACAATGACTGGAGTTGTTTTTCCTTGCTTTTAACATTTCATTCTTTGCGAACATGCGCTCTGCAAGCCCAAACAAACGCGAATATTCATGAAGGCCGATGTATTGTGTCAACTTCACATCAATGCGGCTTAGGGCTGCCAGATACGGCTGCCAGATCTGCACTCTACATGCACACTGCGCTCTAGGGACTGGGGCAGCAGGGCCTGACCATACCTGCTACTAGTAATAGAATCCAAATTATATGCACCCTGCGTTGACAAAGCGCTTTCTAGAAACGCAGCTGCTTCCACAGAAGCTTACTGCTGCTGAGTGCGTCAAGTGATATTGTACAAAAAAATACATCGGTTCCACTGTCACATACATGTAATCCTCACTCTGGCGGAATGACAGAGAATCCCTGCACTGGTGCTGGGCCTTGTCAGGCCGTCCTAAGAGCTGCCATTTGCGCGACAGCATTGTGCTCTAACTGCCTGCGTGGTGGGAGCGGAAGCAGCAGCTTCAACCGAAAGGCATCCGCGCCATTCATGTAGTACCTGCAGCCAAGCATGCAGGCTTTATGAAAATTTGCCAGATCCGCTAACCCAATGAAGTGCTTCAATGCTTGCCTGCAGCCAATGTCATCACACTCTCCTTGCTGCAGGACACGGTTCAGCGACTAAATGCAAGCAGCTCCAAGACTTTAGCTGTAAAGAGAGCGGTGTGTGGGACATGTGCAGGACCTGATCAGGCGCTTGTCTCGGAGGAAGCCCAGGTTCCTGTAGAGCGCCAGGGCTCCACTGTTGGTGACCTCGGCCTCTAATACCACCTCATCCGCATCCGCCGCAATCATCTCCTCAATGGCCCGCTTCACCAATGTTGTGCCTGCATGCATCGCTCTCACCTGTCATCCTTGCATGATGCGCCATGCATGCAGCCACATGCATGGCTAGCTGGCTACGCCCTTGCTGTATTGCATGCATGGAGGTCACAGTACAGGGAGACTGGAGGTCTCACCCACGCCCAGTCCCCTGTACTCGTGCTCAACAACCAGCATGGCGATGTAGCCTCGCTGGGCTCCTCGATGGTCGTCCGCTTTGCAGACCACCACTCCGAAGCAGTGCGCGCCGTCAAAGGCCAGCCAGCACAGCTTGGGCCAGTTGTGCAGGAAGTACCTGCCTGCCCACACGCCTGTCACTAGCTGCTCTTGTCTGCACTACCGGCAAGGCTAGTGCGAAGCTGGGGCACATGATCTGGGGATGGTGGCATGTGCATTTCTCCTGCACCTGTATGTGAATATGGAGTAGGGCTCGCTCAGCTCATTGTCCACCAGTTGCATCACATGGTACATGTCTTGCTCTCCCCCATACTGCAGCGCACACAACCCTTGCTCAAAGTCAATGAACACGTGTAAGTGAGTGCATCAGCTCCAAAACAGGAACAGTCCAAAGCCACATGAGCATAAGTGGTGCTCACCTGTCTGTATTTGATAGTGACATCTGTCCTGATGCCACTCCTTTTGGCATCGCCTACTTCCATGCAGTCTGTCTCCGGAGGCTTGTCCATGATTTGAGCTGCTTTTGAGTGACTTGATTCAAGGGATCAATCAAAATCTCCTTGCAAGAAACATCGTTGCGTTTGCAGCAGGTTGCTGTTTCTTTTCATCTTGCGGTGCCCTACTTTTTGGAGCAAAATTAGAATCTATTCACAGCCAACTCCTGGCTGTGCAAAAGGACAAAGAGCATCATGAATACCCATCACACCATCGATGCCATGGATCTGCAGGCTAGATCTTCCAAACGAGAGATGATGTGAGCAGACCATGAAGCTGGCCAGGTGGTCATGCATGTGCCTTATCCCAACGGATCAATTTCAATATCATCGGAATTTGACAATTGTCACTTGCATGTATCCTTTCCCTCTTCTCAATAATTTCAGGTCACATTGTCAGTCTGGTGTGTCGAGTCAAAACGGTTGAGCCCTCGAAGGGACACTTGACTCCCAAGCATCCAACATGTGGAGGACTTGAGAAATATATCTCAGCCCACTGCAAGAATCCAGTTCCCTTATCGAGCTGCCACGATGCCCATTGTTGTTGCCTCAGCCTGCAAAGGGCATCCGTTGGCAGAGCAACGCCAATCTCGTGCCCCGAAGTCGTATAACGGGGCAATCTTGCGCTCCCTACCGTTCGCCCAATGTTTGCCGTGCGGACCGATTGGGGTGCTTACGCGTGGGACACTCCGAGTTAAGAACAGCGCATCAGGAGATGCCGAAGCCCGTGTGCAGCACAAGGTGAGCTCTTGGTGATCATTGCCAGTTGTGGTGTGTCAGTCCTGGATGTTTCTTTCATGACACTTTATTCTGCATGACAGGTGCTGGATGGTGATGTGCAAGCTGAGCAAGATGTTCGTGAGTGGGCCGATGTGCACCATTACGAGGGCGAGTCCCACCAGTCCTGGTGGACATCCACTCTGAAGGTGGGGGACATAGATCCTGCCAGTGTCTGGTCAACAACCTTGGCTTGGGGTGGTGGCCTAAGACAGCTGCATTCGCTGCAAATAATCTGTAGATGCCCTTCTACACCCCTTTGCACGATTTTCTGATGCTGGAAATGCTTGTGTCGCACAGTCTGTAGTCCTGGCTGGAGTCATATTGGCGGCCTCGCTGATGGCGACACCCATGGCTCATGCAAGAAGGGGGAAGCGTGCAGCCGTGCCACAGGTCAGATTGCTTGCGGGCCTGTCCATGCATCATCGGATCTGTTCCAATGAGTCCCATGTGCTTGTTTGCACTTGCTTTACAAGCAATACTTAAAGCAGGCATGGTATAGCAAGATGACAGCATCACCACCGCCAAGCAGGTGGCTCAGGAGAGCAGCAGTCAGAGGATGCGGAGCACGGCCGAGAGCATGGGCTGGCAAGCCAGGCACAAGGTGCTGGTGCCCGCTGCATCCTCGCTGAGGGCCACAGGCCGCAGCATCCAGGATGCGGCGGTGAAGGCAGCCACAGCGACTGACAACCGCGTCGTCAAGCCTGTCGTCCACCAAGCGCAGTCAGCCGCCGCAGACACCCGGCACTTCTTCACCCATCTGGTTAGCTCCCAGCACCCATGCACCATCTTGCACTGCATGGTGCAGTCCCCATATGGTTGTGCGGCTTGTCAAGAACCTATAGGAGGGCGCTGCCACATTTATCTGTGCTGAGGGGTGGGCCCAATGCAGGGAGATCACCATCACAGCGGACAGCAGAGCAAGAATGGGCGATCGGGCCGCAATGCGCCAGGCCCTGCCACGCAGGCTGGCTTCACTATTGAGGACCACCTGCGCGACAGCATGCATTCGCCCGCTGTGCGCATGGTTGGTGCGTATAACATCTCTATTCTTGTTCTTGGGGGTGTAGCCCTTTTGAACTTTGTCCCGTTGCGTGCACCAAATGCTGGCAGAATTAATATAAGTTCTTGGGGAGCACTGAGCATGTGCTGTGCTACTGCAGTGACCATTGGGGCGGTTTCCGTGCTGCTGCTGATCCTGCGCACCTCCATGGAGGACACCAAGAAATTCAGCCCCATGTAAGTACCAGCCCCTTGCACAGTCACATGCCCATGCTTAATGCGCCCCATTAAGCGCTCATACACATCAGCAGTTCCTTGTGCCTGTTGGCAGCTCCTCAGCAAACAGGCAGCATCAAACTTTGTGAAGCGTCTTGCTCTAAGTGGACTCCCAGAGAACAACCCAACACATGCATGGCAGATATCCACGCAACAAGGCTTGACGTGTAAGCTGTGAATGCAGGGACTCGGACGACTGGATGGACAGGGAGGATGACGATGCCGAGCCGGGGGAGGGCGGCAGGGGGGACCTCAAGTACCCCCGGGCCGGAGCGGCTTTCTCCGGGGCGGCGGCCGAGGACGCGGCGGTGCTGGCCGCGCGTGCAAGTGCCATCGTGGACAAGGGCGTCACAGCGCAGAAGGGCCGGCCCACCGCCGGCCGCAGCGCTGCTGCCGACAATGGCTCCAAGCCTCTCGAGATCATTGCTCCCGGTTCGCAGGGTGGGACACAAGGCTCCTTGCTGTGTCTGTGCTCTGGTGGTTTTTATGTGCTCCACGCCAGCAGGGCTCATTGGCCTGTTGTGGATAGGTTCTGGCAGCTGCTATTCCCAGAAGGCTTTGTTAAGGAAATCATGAAAGACTGCCAATGCCATGAGACCCGTCCTGCATCAGTAACCTATCAAAGAGACGTATGGGTTGACGGGGCATGTTTGACATTTGTGTGCGACATGCTGGTGCAGTGCCAGCGAGTGGTTTCGGCACTAAGGCGTCAGGGAGCAATGCAAAGCTCAAGGCGCAGCTGGAAGAGGTGAGGCGCACCGTGGCCGACGCAAAGGCGCAAGTCAAGGCAGCCACCAACGCTCAGGCAGCCACCAATGCTCAGGCAAGCACGCGGACCAATTGCATCACGCATTTAGGGCAGTGCAACCCGCAGAGATGTATGCTAGCCTCGGCGCCTTGAATGATTCTGACAAGTAGCCTTGAAGCATGATTGGACATTTGATGATGTGGAGAACCTGCAGCAGGCGGCTGTGGAGAAGGGCAAGATCGCGGAGCAGAAGCAGCTGCCAGTCTTCAAGGCGGCAGAGCTGTCGGGCACCCCGGCAGAGTACCAGAAGAAGTCCAGCACTTACCAGAGCGAGGTCCAGAAGGCCCTCCAGAGGGCCGTTGGAAGGACGGCCCCCAAGGAAGCCCCTAAACAGGCCCAGCCAATCTTCCGCTACGAGACCTCTGACGGCTCGCCAGTGGGCACAAGTCCAGCCAAGCGTCAGACCACCACCGTCACAGGTCAGACACACACTTTGTTCCTGAAGACTTCTGCATGTCATGTTTTGGCAGAGACTTTAGAGCATCTTGTGTGCACGTGAAAAGCACATTCGGAGTCTCCTGACAGCCCTGTGTGTGTTGCGTGCAGAGCCGTTTGGCGCCAAGGCGAAGAGGCAGGCCGCGGAGTCTGAGGAGTATCTGCGCTCCCGCGGCGGCGGCGCGCCCCTCGTGCTGGCCCTGGGCTTCCTCTCCGTCGCTGCATCCGCCTTGTCGCCCCTCGTCATGGTGCCTCCTCCTGTTCTTCAACTGCACTTACACTCGCTGCATTCAAACTGCATCTAGTCACAAACTACTGGGGTGCATCCTACTTCCACATTCAAGAGCCGGCCCACACTTCAGTGACACCTTGCATCTCAGCCTCAGTTCCATATCATGCACACATGTGTTCCCATCTTCAAGATTCACCATGTTCCCCATGTTTGAATGTGAAAAACTCATTTGTGTTGCAGCTGCAGCATGCGTCAGCCTGTGTATACTTTTTGTGAGATGCTGTGTATCACTGCAGAGCAAGAATGAGCGGCAGCAGCGGGCGCGAGCGGCGCAGCAGCGGCGGCAGAGGTGGCGCGATCAGGCGGATGCGGAGGCTGAGCTGGACTGGGAGAGGTACGGCAAGTACGACATGCTGCACGAGCTGCTGCAGACCGCATCCTCCGACCCAGCCCTGCAGGTGTGCCGTCCTCCCTGCAGTGTCTGCAACCTGTGCACTGTACAATGGGCGGATAGGTATATGGTAATAACAAGGGAGTTTTCCCGGGAAAAGTAATAGTGATGGAGGCTTATAGTCGGATATCCAAGGCAGCATGCACCATGCTGGACCAAGACATGGCTGCAAAATTGGCTGCAGCCTCAATGCAGTCAGTATTGAATGCTGACACCTCTGTAATGAGGAGTGTGACTGTAAACTTTAGAGGTTTGACTGCACTCCTCCTCTGAGCTCCTTCAGGACCAATGTACTGCACGTCTTCCCCTGAGGATGTCCTACTAGCTCTCTGAAATCTCCTCAACCAGAAACGGGAGAGATGGATGCAGGGAGTGTGCATGCAATTTGATATCTGCATTTGTGTACTCGCTGGCTGGGGGCGGTGCAAATGCTGAGCATTGTGCCCACGGTTGCTTGAGTATTGCTTGGATCTGGCAAATTTAACTATGGGTGGGATTCTGGCAGCCTTTACTTGCAGCTTACCTGCAGATGCACCCTGCCTTCGGAAGAAGAAGTGTGTAACAATCTCAACAATCATAAATTCCCTTTGGAGGCAACGTGGAGCCCTTCTAAATTGTGTTATAATCTTAATACTGTAATCACAATTTTTGTGTATTCTGGCAGGCGCCGAGCTACACCCCAGTACGGGCGCTGGTGGACGCGGTGCCGAAGAAGGGAGCGCCGCGGTACGACTTCCTGCGCCAGCTGCTCAAGGGCATGACGTCACCCAGCCCCGCCGCCGCCAAATTTGACCCCGTCTGGGATCTGCTGCACGCCGCCAAGGAGCAGGGCCTGCCAGGTGTGCACCTCTCTTCCCTTTTTGGTGTGTTCCACACGCGGGGCAAAATATGGGTCCTCAGGATTGGGCAATGGGTGTGTGATGGGGTGGCTCTGGGCCATCACCCTTGGGAGATATTTGCTGGAGTGCATGCATGGCCAAGCAGTTGCGTCATGTGAGGTACTTGTCTTCAGCTTTCTGCCAATTCTTGGAAATGTGGGGAAGGTTGAAGGTGTGCTTTCACATGGTGCTCCTGACAAAGGAAGGACAACACCCACTAGGGTGGGTTTTAGGGTTTAGGATTGCAGTATTCTCAGCAAATGAAGCATCCCTGAATCCTGACATGTTGCGATTGCTGCTGCCACAGAGACGTCAGCGGTGCGCTACGATCCGATCTACAGTTTCCTGAACCGTGCGGCCGCGGCGGCGGATTGGGGCCTGCCCGAGGAGGGCCCAGTTGCCTCGCTGCTGAACGTTGATTGCGCTGACTGGGAGCCGCCGCGCTACTGCCCCGTGACAGAAGTACTCAAGTCGGCCAGGGCCGGCGGCGCCGCTCCGTGGCACAACAATGCGCGGCCCAAATGGGACCCCATCACCGGCCTTGTCTCCCTGGAGGTGCCCTGTCCTCCTCACGATTTTGTCTCCTGTGCTTCAAGGCACATCAGCTCCCTACGGATAAACAAAATGATGCATCCGGCTGAACCATATCTACTTCGTCCTCGAGCGCTGGGAGCTCAGGCACTAAATGAAAATGCCTATCATTCAGATGGACTGAGAATTGGCAAAGTGATGCAGTGTTCTCAAGCGGTGTTGCATCACTTTTGTGTGTGCGTGTGTAGGTGCCGCAGGGCGCCAGCAAGTACGACCCTCTGAAGCGGGCCGTTGCTGCCGAGGCGCCGGCCGGGCGGCCCCATGTCGACCCCCTGGGCAGCCTCCTGGACTTCTTCAAGCAAAAGGCTGGCACTGCCGACACCCAGGTATTTCCTCACTCAGTTTGGACCCCGTGGCCAAGCGAAACCCACTTTATATAGCCCGTTCATATAGCCCTCTCCAACTTACACTCTTGCAAGAACCTCTACTGAGCTTTGCCCACTCTGGTATCATTCCTGCAAAATAGCGTTTGTGAGCTATGCTTGGGCATTTCTGACAGAAGAGAACCTGTGTGCAGGGCGCTGGAGCAGCCACACCAGCAATCCCCACGGGCCAGAGGAACCCTCTGCTGGATGCGGTGGCAGAGCAGCACGCAATCCCAGCAGCCGCCAAGACAGATCAGCCCGCAGCTATCCCCACAGGGCAGAGCAACCCCTTACTTGCGGCTGTGGCTGAGCAGCATGCACTCCCAGCCGACACCAAACAAGATCTGGCTACTCCCCCAGCAGCGCAAGAAAGCGGCTCCGTGGTCAGCCGGCTGACAGAGGCGGACTTGCAGGAGCGCACGCACGAAGCAGCACAGCCCGCAGGCGTCCAGAGCGGCTGGCTCACTGCCTGGTTCAGGAAGGGCGCTGCTGCACAGGCGCCTGCAGACGGCGGCGAGGCCGCGCAGCCGAGCGCCGGCGCCAGCTTTGTCAGCAGGCTCGGCCACAGCCTAACCACCAGCTTCGGCCGGGGTCAGGGCTCCAATGCCCCGGCCACAAAGCCCTTGGCTGCGGTGCGCTGCATCCCTTTCTCTTCTTAACTGTGTCAGCACGCCAGGCCCCACATGTTGAGCAGATGAGCTTCCAGCGAGCAAGTCCTTTGCAGCTACACATGTCATTACACATGCTTTACTTCAGTACGCTGGGGTTTGTAAGCATGTCTACTGGCTGCTAAGGCTCTAAAACAAAGGGCATGTGCCAGGCATTGTTACAACATCCTGAGACATAGATCACCTTTACGTCGTACCAATTTGAACTGTATGAGCGATCTGTAGAGCATTCAATCGGAGTATGAATAAAGCTTACGCATGCATGCGGCAGGAGCGGACGCAGCCGCTGGCGGACGCGCTGAGGAATGCGCCGGCGGCGACGGCGCGCGCAAGGGAGGGAACATACGACCCGCTGCCGGACCTTCTGCGGCTGGAGCGCGGCACCGGGACGCCTGTCATGGCGACCCGCGACGTCCCCGGACGCATCGGCATAATGCTGCGCCGCGACGCCGACTTCGACCGCATCGTTGCCGCCTTTAGGTACTGCGCTGCTGTACTGCCCAGCTGCTACAGAGAGTATCTGCACTGTCAGAATTCCTGAAAGGGAGCTGAGCTGTGACATGAGGGACAATTTGCTGTGCTGTGGTATCTCAAATTAGCCCATGTTTGTCAAAGTCTGCCCTTGTGCACGGCATGCCTCTCTTGTCTTCCAGCATCTGCCAAGTCCTGGGTGTGCACAATGTTTGCTCGCAGCAGCTTGCACATTCTGATATTGTTGACCTCCAATGGGGGGCTTTGCTGGTTCAGGGAAATGTTCAGAGTCCTCTGGCATGCTGTGCACAGGGAGCTGGCGGAGGATGGGCAGCTCAGCCAGAAATTCCGGCCGCTGTACGTACTCATGCGCAGCGCAGCCGCCAAGCCTGCCCCTGCGGCCGCAGCTGACCGCGGCCAGAGCATTTTGGAGGTCAGCTCATCTCTCCTGCTGTAATTCCACACACTTTGGCTGGGCAAGATTTGTGTGTTCGTCCCTGCTGCTCTGCCGCATGCTGGCTGCGTCAACCTGCCTTCCAAAGCTTCCACTGCCTGTCGCCCTGAAGTTGCAAACACATTTCAAAGCATTTCATCGTGAAATGCAGGCTCCATGCTGTTGTGAGGGCCAGAACCGCTGAGGCTCTGTTCACATTTGTGCTTCACGCCTGCTGCCTCGCAGATTCAAAGCACAAATAAAAGCATGCATGCCCCAAGTGTGCGCCGGCAGAATTCGCAATCTATGGCAGGCTCATGCCAGTAAGGCGGGGTCAGGAACACTGAGTGTGATCGCTCTGTGGTGTCGGCCTTGACCCAAGTGTGCGCTGACGAAATCTGCAGCAGGCGGGGTCAGGGGCACTGAGCGTGATCGCGCCTGTCGTGCAGGGCTTGGACAAGGGGGCAGTGGCGGAGGCGAAGGCCTCGGCAAAGGCTCTGCTGGAGTACCTGGACCTGCCCAAGTACGCGCCCCTGCAGCGCCTGCTCAGCGGCCGGCGCAGCGCGGACGTTGTGGAGACGGCCTGCGCGCTGGCAGCCATTGTGCAGCCCTTTGAAAACGCTGCTGCCCTCGCGGCCTGATATGAGTGCACCCTGTGAGGCCTGTGAGCGTGGATAATGGCGGGCCATGGCGCTCCAAATACCACAGCATAAGAAATGTGGCTGAAGCAGTAGGCAAGGATGGCTATTTTACCAGCTGCCAGCTGTCTGAGCGGTGCTCACATTCAGCACATCAGCCGATGAAGTGGGAAGTTGTCTTTGCTGGATGTTTCGGACGTGAGACTGGCCGAGAGTCACACAGTGTGATTGCGAGCCTGCTTGCAGCTTGTGTAAATGCAGAAAAGAGTTTCATGGACGATCTTTTTGCGGATGTGAGTTTTGGTGGTATTCGGTGCAGCAGAGGACTTGAGGATTAATTCAGAGCGTGTTTTTTGACATGGAGAAGAAGATTTGCTGGTGAGCAGAGTTTGCAGCACTTGAGTGTACGATTTTCGACCACAGAGGTTGTGAAGGGTTCTTTAGAGTTGTATTGCAAAGGCATGTTGGAGAGTCATAATACATCGAAGAACAAGTGACGCTGTTGATGGTCACCCCGACAGCACGTTGCAGTGTTGTTTTGTGTTCCACTAGTTGCAATTGGGCGAAGAAGGGTTGAGTGAAAATTGCATAAATCATCAGGTAAATTCTCAAAACTCTTCTTGAAGAATCGAGAGTCGATTGAGAGGGAGAAGGAGTCCTTCTGAAGGAGTTCATGCTCCTCAAGAGCGAGAAGTGATGTGGGAATTTTGTGGGTTCTTCATCACTGTGTTATTGACACAGATTATCCGGTGAGCGAGCAGTGTTCCACTTTACACAAGGCTGACGCGCAAAAGTATATTGAGCGCTTACCATCTTGATGCCAATCTTGCCTTTGCTGCATTTTGCATGTTACTGCCCTGATCTGTTGAGGGCTCTTTTAGGAGATGTGCACATCCAGTGTCGCGCAATTTGAGCTGTGATTGCATTGTGAGGTACTAACCAGTAAAGACAACCTAGTAGTCTTTAGTCCCCTGGCATTCTGGACTCCAGGGGTGCGAGAGATACCGGGACGGTAATCGCTTGGTACCAAGCGGTTGTGTAATATTACATTAACGATAAGTGCTTAAAGAGATCTGCATGGCTGGTGTTAAATACTTCTAAAGGGCCCGGATATCTCATGCACACATGTTGGTACAAGGCACATTGCATTCTGTAAATGCATTTACAACTTGTACATCTGGTTCATGGTGGTGCCCATGCAAAGTGGGTGACTAAGTGAGCTGGGAAGGCTACTGAGTCCGGAACCTCATGAAGCAAGCAGTCTTGATGATTCGATGATGTACCTGGAATACACCATCCTGGCCTAAGGCACTCGTGCATGCGTGAATATAATTTGCAATGTCGTTAAGATTGCAGAGGATACAGATGCGTCATCAGAGTCTCAAATATCGAATAATCGTGAAAAGGCAGACTTGACCGACGGTTTGTAGGCACTGATGTCATCATGCGCGTCACATCCCAGCAACCAATAGATTGTATTCGTTCTTGATATCTTGAAGAGCCGTGTAGTACATAGTTGAGGCAGAGCAAGTCTGCGTGTTTGTGTGTCCAGGACCCTACATCACGCAAGACGATCTGCTCACAGGGAACATGGGCAATCGATATGCATCGGCTGTCTTCGATACAACAGAGGAAGCAGAAATTGCAGCAATTCCAGTCATGATCGTCAAGGATTGCAGGCTGAAGCTTTAACTGTCCAAGCAGACTGTGGGATCTCACATGTACCAGGTTCTTCCTGTTCAAATAAAATGGTGGTACTTGTGGATGGTTTAAAACTTGCTTTCTGGAAAGGAGTCCACTGCTGGTCCTCCTTAAGCTTAGTGACTGCTCTCGCTTGTGCAAAAGTTGCAGGATCCTGCATTGTCAGCACTCTGCCCTCTGCCAAAAAGACAGAGGATCCCTCAAATTTGTCCATACCAGGTGCGAAATTACCCCCTCTCTCTCTCTCTCTTAAGCATCTGCTGTAAGTAGTATTCACTTGTGCAGGCACCCAATCACTGTCAAGAGCAGCGCATGCAATGATGGCACTGTGTCCTCATCCAAAATGTAGGCCAGAAAACAAAATTCTTATTTCACAATGCAGAGGCCATTGACATGCTTGTTACATGTAACGCCAGATTGGGTGTGCCCGACATGAGCAGAAGCACATTTAGCTCAAGTGCAGAGATGTCATGGCATATGGTCATGCATGCAGGCTCCTCAGAGGACAAACTACCTGCGGTGTACACCCCCGTACTCCACATGCACCTGGACGGCGTACAGGTGATGAACCTGGGATGCAAAACTATGCAGGATGCAGCTCCCGCAAATGGATATTGTGAACCACCTTTTGCAGCATGGATCATGCAACATGTCTCGTGCAGCAGGGACTGGCCTCATGAGGACTCACGTGAATGGACTGCTTGAGCTGCATCCTGCATGCAGGCGGGTGAGAAGGTGACGATGATGACCGTACTGAGCCTCATACATGAGGAGGCAGACATCGTCGGTCTTACCATCAAGGGGCAGCATCTGGGGCTGGACAGCCTGATCCATTTCAAAGATCCTCGCACCGCAGAGCAGGTGAGTGCCTCCATCAAATGTTTATTTGACAGAAAAATGCCTCCATAAGAATCGGATCCGGTGGTGTGTGGGATCATGATGGCTGTGCCAGACAAGCTGCACACAATAGGATGAAGTGCCTGCTATTGTGCACCCTTCCAAGTTCAAGCCAGCTTGCATATGGACATCAATTTTGTGGCCGGGAGCTGCGGCTTGTGACTGCCAGAATTATTGCAGACTCTGAGGTGCAGGGACATCTGGAGAGGATGCTTGTATTTATGAGCATTGCAATGTCATGCATGTAGGTGCGAGACACGCTGCATGGCCACTCCCTGCCGATGCCGGGCAGGAGTGGCAGCCAGCCTCCGACTCTGCACCTGCTGCCGACCCACCTGGAGGACCTCTTCCTGTACCCATGGTATGTCATGCATGGAGGATGAGGATGCGCACAACATGCATGCATGCATTCAAAAAATTTGTTACTGACATCTGAAGCACATCAGAGATTTCAATTCTTCTTAGCTACTGACCAGACATGCGCTGCATCTGAGTTGCTCTCATTTGCACTTCTGTGATGTCTGTGCAGCTTATTCTCTGCCATGCAGCTGCCCACCGGTGCCAACGCTCCCAAGAACAACGAGGAACTGCATAAGGTTCTTCACGTGAAGGTGTGCTCCTATGGCTACATGTGGCTCAGACCTTTACAAGGCTTGCATAGTACAGGGCAAAAAGTTGTGCAGGCCAGGGGGACCATATCTGCATAACACTGTCAGTGCCGTGTTGTCCTGCAGATCTGCATGTTACAAAGGGCCGTGATAACTATGTCTTTGCCTTGTATGCACAAAGACTGATTAGAGGTTTTGCTCATACTTGCTGGTTTGCGCACACCATGGCTTCCAGCATGGCTTTCAGAATCTGCTGGACCCGATGTGCAGGTGCATGAGGTGAGTGATTTCATAACAAATGGAGCACTCAAGGCCCGTTTTTGAAGATTTCGGTGAAATCAAAGACCTGATATTTTTTGATACCGAGGACACCAGGCGAGTCATGAAACGTGTGCTCAGGGGGGTTCCCAGCCCCCCCATGAGACGCATGGGCCCGCTGGCAGACAGGGGGGACGCCGCGGCCTGGAACTCCACGGTGTCCACTGCTCGCATGGACATGGCAACACCAGAGACGGGTGGCGTGCTGGGCGACAACGCCAAGGCCTCCTCAGGGTCCACGCCAGAGGTGAGCTTTCCTAAAATTCTACATTGGCATAAGCTTGAAGCCCATCTGAGATATTTGCGCCCCTCAAGCACTTCAGCCAAGCTGTCAAGTTCCGAAAGCAGCCCACTTCCCACAACCAGCTGCAGCAATCCCTGATGGTTTCATCATGGCCCCTGCATTATTGACAATAGGTTGCTGGATGCACCGGAGTCAGCAGCGATGGAACATGCAGTGCCTGCAAGAGTTTGAGCATGTATATTCATCTCATGAATAAATTACCCTGTTAGATCTGCCTTCAGCTCTGTGGCTTATCTCCCAGTATTTTGCGCATAGGACCAGGCCTTGGCCCCGGGACAGCTGGTCAACGCAGAAGCTCTACAGACCCCGGGGCTGTCAGGAGTGAAGCGGACGCAAGGGCGCAAGCTCACACCAGGATCCAGCGAGGGGCGGGGCCGGCCGCCCAAGCGCATTTACTTGAACCCCAGCCCCAACAGGGCGTCGGCAGACCTGCGCATCCAGACGAAGGTCAAGCTCGTGCAGCTGCAGCTGATGGCACTTGCATATGTCTTTGGCAACTGGAAGCCCAAGACATCGGAGCAGTCCTGAGAATGCAAGCATGGTGTACTGTAATGGCAGACCCTGAATTCGAGTCAGCACAGGGTATTCAGACGAACAGATGTAGGTGGCATCGAACAGATGTAGGTGGCATAAGCTACAGTGGGCTAAGACTTGAAGGCTTCTGCAGAGACAGACGAGAGTACTCAGCTTTAGAGCCTCCGTCCGCTTTGAATCAATCATGATCAGGCTGTTAGGTGAATTAAGTCGAGGTGCATGCAGACCAGACTTTAAATCAATCATGATCATGGCTGTCTTTGAAGAGTCCCTGGACAGGGTGCATGCTCTTGCAAGCTTGAAATAATAAATAAGCTTGAAAAGGATTCCAGATCAGCCACAAGATGTATATCATGTACCATGTGCCAGTGGCCACATACGTGCACCATGGGTGACCTGCACTGCACACAATGCACATGTGGCATGCTTGAGGCATGAATGGCAATCTGAGATGTCAAAGATCGACATTTATCATGTCTATGTCCATCAGCACTTCTTGCACGACCCTAGGATCCTGGACATCCATCGGGGTGTGGGGGGATCAACAAAGCCACGGTGGACACCGGGAGGACCCAGTGCATTGTGTGAGAAATGTTCATCTCGGATGTCAACAATTCGTATATATATTCACTAGGCGCACAATCAATCCGAGATTTCGTTGATAATCTAGCGGTGCAGACCACTTTGGGAATTTCATTGTGCAGTACTTGCTGAGGAAGCCATCTTGAGATCCTGCAGAACATCCCAGAGCCACTCGTTCATGGGTGCAGTGTTGTCAGCTGACTAGAAGTACAGTAGCTGTAGATGTCATCTTGCCCAGCTTCTCGAGTTGAGCGAAGTTCTCAACGCTGGGACTGGCTGATGAGAGAATAGTATTGCACCTGTGCTAAGGGACGCCCGCATTGACCTTAGAAAGATGTCATCTGGAAAGAAGAAAGGGGTAAGTAGACGCCTTCACAAATGGCTGGCCTCATTGATAGCCGAGCTTTGCAACCTCGCTTAGAGCCTCGTCGCTTTGTGCTCACGATGAAAGACTTTCTGAATCTTCGATCGCTGTTGTAATCAGCCTAGCGTCAATTCCTATTTGTTCCAAGTTAGTTGCCGCGAGCCGTTGATCACAAAGCGCTTCTCACCTACTATCTCCTGAGTGCAACAATCTCTTAAGCTTGTGTGTGTGACTGTGCAGTTCAAAATAGAACCCTTCAAGCACCCGGTGAAAATGGATCCAAGCTACGGAGGTGAGAGCTCTTGTGGCACTGTCAGCAAGACACAATGTGCGCACCTTTTGCTCCTGTTCCTGTGTTCCTGTCAACATGTGTGCCCCCTGCCTGCAGAGAAAACCTGGAAGGTGCTTGAGGATGCCATTCACGAGATCAACAATCACAATGCCAGCGGCCTTAGCTTTGAGGAGCTCTACAGGTGATTCTGGAGCACAATCTACCTCGAGAATCCCCGTTGGGAGCTTTGCTCACACTTGGTTGATGAAGCCGTTCATCTCGGATGTGATGAGAGAACCACTTCTGATTGCATGCATCACAGACAGGCGAAACTCCAAGTGCTGAGGCTGTGTTGCGCCATGGCAGGAATGCATACAACATGGTCATCAACAAGTTTGGGGACCGGCTGTACAATGGCCTTGTAGAGACGGAGACGGCGCACCTGAGGCAGATTGCTGCCAAGGTGGAGGCAGCACAAGGGGAGGGCTTCCTCAAGGAGCTCAAGCTCCGATGGGAGCACCACAACAAGAGCATGCAGATGGTCAGGGACATCCTTATGGTGAGAGCTGGCTGATCTGCACGACCACAGAGCCTGCACTGCAAAGGGAAGCACCCGCAGTGAGCTGACTGCGCGTGTGCACTTTCCATGATTCCCAGCGCAGGATCACAACCCAGCCATGCATGCGGATGATCACTGCTTTAAACATACTATCATGCGCAGTCATTGACAGGCAGTCAGGAGGTTGCAACATGCATGTCACTGAAATGCAGCTGGCACCTTCTTTCATGTGATGTTTGGTGATGACTGTTTTTTGTGTGTGTGCGGCGCAGTACATGGACCGCATCTACGTGAAGCACCAGAACAAGGCGCCGGTGACGCAGCTGGGGTTGGAGTTGTGGCGCGACTGCGTGGTGCGGCGGCGCGGCATCCGCGACAGGATGCTGGGCATGCTGCTCGACCTCATCCATCGCGAGCGCACCGGGGACATCGTCGATCGAGCTCTCCTCCGAGCTGTCACCACCGTGCGCTCCCCTCCTTCAAGCATTTTTCAGTGCTGCGGGATAACCAAACAATCACCAAATGCGTGAGTCATCAAGGAGCAAGCAAAAGGCCAGACGAGGAGAGCTGTGCAGTTGCAATGAAGGATCATTGAGGCAAGGGGCAGAAGGTTCTGGCCCTTACATCTCCACAGCTGCAAGCCATTCGTTGGAACATATGAACCCTCCTCCGCTCCATCACCGCCGTGGGCTGCCCGCTGACCTGTCATGCAAGATTCCCTTGATAGAAGCTCTGGCGGTTCCTTGGTGCTGCTGCGGCTGCTCTCTGTCTTGCCTCATGAGGGCTGTTTTGGCCCTTCAATAAGCAGTCGGCTGTCGAAGCATTCATGGGCCACAGCACCAATGTTGGCACTGCCGTTCACAAGATATCAGTTGCGACTGGGTGCAATGGACTTGAAGGAAAAAATGGGAACCCAGCTCTTTAGGCATGTTGTATGCATGGAGCCTAGAAATGGAGGATTTGGACAACCCTGAATCCGGCATCCAGCGGCAGGCAATCGAATACGCGTATCTGGAGGCCCTGGGTAATTTATGTGGGCTCATTTTGCTTTGTGCTGCAGATGCTTATGGATCTAGGCGCCAATGTATACTCGGAGGACTTTGAGCAGCACTTCCTCTTGAAGGCAGCCGAGTTCTACCAGGTGTGATTGATACGAGGCCGTTGGTGCTCTTACTTGTATTCAGCATTTCACTCCACAAAGATGTGATGCTTTCAAATGTCAAGCTGCCATGCTTCCTTTCCCTGCATGCCTGTCTTGTTTACTGCACATTGCTTCAGAATTGAAAGCGAGGACTTGCCTGTGCAGCTATAGATTCACGTAACTTTCCAATTGGATGTTGCAGCCTCAATGGAATTGTTGTGGCTGCACAGATGGAGGCGCAGGAGTACCTGGCCAGCAGCACGTGCAGCGACTACCTGCGCAAGGCGGAGCGGCGGCTAGCAGAGGAGACGGAGCGCACCTCAAACTACCTGGACCCCTCCTCAGAACCCAAAGTCACCCGCGTCGTCGAGAACGAGCTTGTCAAGAAGCAGGTGCTTGCCTGCCCTGCCTTTCATCTCCTGTTTGCCCAATTCTTGCACCGCCCATGCATTGTGCCAGTCAATGTCAGGCTGAGGACAGACCCCGCCGCCCGGCGCTGCCATGATGGGTTACCCTGTCTGTAAGTGCCAAAGCACAACGAGCAAAGGCGTCCAAATGAATCCGCTTGCTCCTCAATGTATGCTTGCCATAGGAGCACCGTTCGCGAGGAACTCATTTGTTCGCCTTATAGTGTCTCTGGAAGCCGATACCCGCTGTCTGCGTGTATCCGTCTCCGCTGCGCAACTGGATCACCTGCAGCTAATACAGCTCAGCCGGAAAAAATTCCTTTTCACGCATCATCAAACAAAAGCTGCTCATAACTCATGCAACATTGGAGATAATATATTTAGCTGGGGCGCAGATGCGGGCGCTGGTGGAGATGGAGGAGTCGGGGCTGGTGCCCATGCTGGTGGGGGACCGCTACGAGGACCTGGGGCGCATGTACAGCCTGTTTAGGCGCGTGGACCTCATGCTCAGTCATTGCTTAGTCGTGTAGTGATAGATGCTCGCACAGATCTGCATGGCTCGTATTCAAAATCCCCTTATTGGCCCTGACATCTCATTCAGACACGTTCATACAAGTCACATTGCACTCTGTAAATGCAATTTACAACTTGTTTAGGCGCGTGGAGGGCGGCCTCGATCTCATGCGCGGCGTTCTGGGTGACCACGTCAAGGAGACCGGCCGCAAGCTCATCTCCGACCCCGAGCGCACCAAGGACCCCGTCGATTTCGTCCACAAGCTGCTCGAAGAGAAGGACAAGTACGACAGGTGCGCGGCTGTCTCCTTTGCTTGGGCAGACGAGATTTATTGCTGCATGCATGCAAAGTCTATCTCTTGATGGCTGGCATCAACCCTGTGTTCAGGCCTGCAACATGCATGCCCATATATCAGTAATTTAGTCATACTTCCAGTTGCTTGGGGCAACACAGTCCTCATTACCACTTTATATTTCTTGCTATGGGGAATGATCCAATTTGCTGTTTCATTTCAAATGCCTCCGTCAATGTTAATGGATTCCTGCAGATGGTCTCTTGGCAGCGGCAATACAGCAGGTGGATTTGTGATGTGTTTGACATGCAAGCCTAAAAAGCCCGCATGCTGCACTGTCGGACAGAGGGAATTCCTGCAAGGCCCTTGGCAGCATTGAGTACATTGTGAGTGTTTAACATGCAAGCCTAAGAAGGTGCATGCATGCCGCAATGCAGCATGCAAGGTGGGAGGGCATTAAAGTGATAAAGGGAATCTGTGGCATGTGCAGGATTATCGGCGCTGCTTTCAACAACGACAAGTCGTTCCACAACGTGCTCAACACTGCATTCGAGCACTTCCTCAACCTGTCGCCGCGCGCCCCCGAGTACATCTCCCTCTTCATGGATGACCAATTACGAAAGGTCCGCGCCCATCTGCTTCCCATGCAGGCCAGAATTGCACTGCATCTCGTGCTTCTCTGAGCGAGGCCTCTCACATGCTGCTTGAAATCTTCAGACTGCACATGTAATGGTCAAACTCTTGTCACTGCATAGAGTGCTGAGGATGCTTACTCGGAACGGGTTCCCGTGAGAGTCTTACCGTAACTTCATTGGCAGCGCAAGGAGCCATAATTGTCGAATTGTGTGCTATTTTTTCAATAATCTTCCTCTGAGGTGATATGGTGCGTACAGGCGCTGAAGGGCAGCAATGAGGATGATGTGGACGCGACATTGGACCGGGTGATGATGCTGTTCAGATACCTCCAGGAGAAGGATGTTTTTGAGAAATACTACAAGCAGCACCTGGCCAAGCGCCTGCTGTCTGGCCGAGCGGTGAGCGGCCCTGCTCTGCTTAAGATCAGCTCTCACAAGGCGTCATGGCTGGGCTGCAGCAGTGGGACAGTAGCCCCGGTGGCCAATCTAACGCAGGTCCTGCTTGACATGTGATACCAGCAAAAAGCTTAAATCCCAGTATTCTGTCATCATGTGAAGCAGCCTAGTGCCATTTGTGGCGCCTTCATGACAGGCACATGAGTGGCCAGCAGAGGGGTTCTTGTTCGACCTTGAGGGATGAGCCCCAAGGTCAGATGAGGCTAGAAGGCATTGCACAGCAGCATGAAGGTAGAAAGTAGCATGCATGCAGCGGGCAATTTGCAGCATGGCCTGATGTGGGGCATGTCGGCGCAGGTGTCGGACGAGGCGGAGCGCAGCCTGCTGGTGAAGCTGAAGACGGAGTGCGGGTACCAGTTCACGAGCAAGCTGGAGTCCATGTTCACCGACATCAAGACCAGCCGCGACACGATGCAGGACTACAAAGCCAGCCGACGAGCCGCATCCTCCTCAGCCGACGACGCCGACATTGACCTCTTCGTGCAGGCGCGCTCTTGCTTCCTTCACATGGCGCAGTAGTACCGCCTTACAACAAAAGATCCTTCTACGTGCACAGCGCCTGCAAATTCTAACCTCCATTTTGGCGCAGTACCTTCATGGAGTGGTGCATGCATGCCATGTGCATGCATGCTCATTGCGAGCACTTTTCTTGCTACTTCATGGCATGGTATTTTTCTTGCAGTGTTCCCTGCAGTATGCATGCATGTACTCTGCATGCGGTTTCCATGGTCATGCATGGCTCACCATCCCCTGGCAGTATTCCTTGCAAGCCCAGTGCATGCATGACCTTGTCATATCATGCTCTGAATGACATGCATGCTCATTTGATGCTGAGCGATCACCTGAGGAGTGGCATCAGGATTCATTCTCTTTGTCTCAGGATTGAGGGCACAAATGTATTGTCATGGGTTGGCATGACGGCAGGTCCTTGCAGACACCATGATGGCAGGGTTCAGCTGGCATAGCTGTCATGCATGCCTGCAAGATACAGCCTAAGACAAACAAATTGTCATCGCTCAGCACGTGAATGCGGATGTGTGGTGCGCGCAGGTGCTGACGACGGGGTCATGGCCGACGCAGACGGCGGCCAAGTGCAACCTGCCCCGCGAGCTGGAGCGCTGCTGCGAGGAATTCAAGGCCTTCTACCTCGCCTCCCACTCCGGCCGCAAGCTCTCCTGGCAAACCAACATGGGCCATGCCGGTGACCAATCCTGTCTCTTGTATCATCTTTTTGGGCTTCCTTTTAGCTCCAACTCCACCCCATACTCTGCATGTCTTGGGCACCATTCCCTGATTCCTAATTGTCCCCTGATCAGCACATCGTCATGCGACACCAGCTCTTCTGGGCTGACATGCATCGTGTTTCTATGTGCGCAGACATCATTTTGTTCTGGGCTGACATGCATCACGTTTCTTTGATGCAGACATCACTTTGTTCTGGGCTCAATATGCATTGTCTCTCTGTATGCGCAGACATGAAGGCGAGCTTTGGCGAGAAGCGGCACGAGTTGAACGTGAGCACATACCAGATGGTGATTCTGCTGCTCTTCAACGAGGCCGACAGCCTCAGCTACCGGGACATCCTGGGCGCCTCCGGCATCCCACCTGCCGACCTCAAACGCTCCCTGCAGTCCCTCGCCTGCGTCAAGGTGCGCCCCTGGTTGCCTTATTCACTTTTTCCCCCATCGCATCCACCCTGTACACTCATGGATGCATGTGCCCTTGTTGTCGTCATTGTCATGCTCTGCATGGTACAGCAGTCCCTGCTGCAACTACGACATGTGAACGTAGTTTGACAAATTGTACGACCTGCCAATGACGTTCGCAGGTCGTAGACAGAGCGGTGACTGCTGTCCAACTGTATATTGCATACTGTTTGAACATATATACATATATATATATATAAATATATATATATTAGCATTATGCTGCTGAACCAGTGCTGCTGTTGTGATGCAGGGCAAGAATGTGCTGCGAAAGGAGCCCATGAGCAAGGACATCGGGGAGGCGGATGTGTTCCATTACAACGCGGGCTTCCATTCCAAGTTCTACAAGGTCAAGATCGGCACCGTCAGCGCGCAGAAGGAGACCGAGCCCGAGAAGCAGGAGACTCGCCAAAAGGTGATTCATTCTGTCAAACCTTCCAAGACAACCCGTCAGCGGTTTCACTTAGAACATTCTCAGATGCCAGAACTGCAAGAAAAATGGTAAAGTGAGATCACTGTTGTCTGCTTTGTGCTCATTCACCGCTTGGTCCTCATTCATCTCACAGCAGACATTGAAAAAGGGATGAGGATCTGCTTCAGGAAACTGCATTTGCCCGGGCACAGGTTTGCCTTATTTGGGCAATGCTATCCTTGCACAAAGCTCATGAGAACTTGTGAAAGATTCCTCTTGGGCACCGCTAGTCTGCAGCGCCACCTAAGTGGCAATTGTTTTCCTGGTTCCTATGGGAATTAGCGTGCTCTCTGCAGCTGACTCATCTGTTTAGCCACGCGCCGGCCCACTGTAGCAAGGTGTGATGGGTACATGACACTTGTGGTCAGGAGAGTGAGTTTTGGTGGCTGCTTGTGGCTGCAGGTGGAGGAGGACAGGAAGCCGCAGATAGAAGCGGCGGTGGTGCGCATAATGAAGGCGCGGCGAGTGCTGGACCACAACAGCATCGTGGCCGAGGTCACGCGCCAGCTCAGCGCGCGTTTCCTGCCCAACCCCACCGTCATCAAGAAGCGCATTGAGTCCCTCATCGAGCGCGAGTTCCTCGAGCGCGACCCCAATGACCGCAAGCTCTACCGCTACCTCGCCTGATCTGCCGCCGCCCCTATTCTGGCGCGGCCTCCCGCGCCTGATCTGGCGCGAAGTCCTGATTTGGTTCGGCCCACCGGCCGCCAGAACAGGCATCGGCGTCCGCTCAGCCGCCACATCAGCGCCCGGCTGGTGCTCGTGTGTGGGCCATGCAGCGAGGCCTGCTTCGGCCGCCACCGAGCTGGCGGCGGCGGCTCTTTGCGGCTGGCAGAGGTGGTCAGAGGCTGTTGAGCATGTGACAGCTCAGGCCGTGGGCTGTGCGATTGGCCTCTTGTTGCGTTGGGGTCTGTAGAGCGGGGTCTGCTTTTCTCTTAAGTTGAAGCTAGCACCGCTGGTCAGAGAGTGGTTCTGGTGTGAGGTCAGGCGCTGTGCCCTGATGGTGCGCCTCATGTTCCCTGGCCATGTACTAATGAGGGGTAATTCCGTCCAGCAAGAACAACCTCTTCAGTGACTAGTGAGGTTGCTGAACAGCGCTTGCGGGCTGCTGCAGAGTCTGCAGTCATGTAGCAATAGGCGCAGGTTGCTGCAATCAGGCAACAATCGATGATGCACCGATGCAGGAACTGGCTCAAACGTTTGATGACATGCGCCAGCGGGCGCACACTTAATGACATTGGATGACTGTCTTCCCTGAATGCTGCACAGCAGTTGCAATGCTACGGTGCATATGTGGTCATTGCAGTGATCAAGGCCTGCTGCTCATTCTGTACACGAGGCCATAAAAAAAATTTACACCGGACTTTCAGCTGCAGCTGCTGCAACCATGCACAAGCCATCCATGTAATTGAGCTGCACCTGAACACCACCTACAAGGACAAAGCTTACTACGTAAATGTATGTACTGAATCACTGTTTGCCTAATTGCGACACTGAATCCAAGTTCTGCTGTGCAATAGTCAGTCGTACTACTCTTGCACTTGCCAAACCTTAAGAAAGCAGCTGTCTAAGGCTCCACGGTAAAACAAATGTAGACACGTCATCAATGCGATTGTCTGCTCCTATTGGAAACATTGATTGGGATCATGATAAACTCTGGCATGCATGCTCGCATGCAGATTCACAAACACAGTGCACGCACCGCACCCCTGAACCTGGGCCCAAATTGAACTTCACCCTCTGTCAAGCCCCACCACATGCACCTTGACAAGTCTCACTCTTTTTGCACTTACTGTACGTACATCATCTCAACTCCACCTTCAGCCCTTTTGAACTTAGACAGGCACAGAACCCATTGATTTCCTTGTCCTTTGCTGACCCCAAAATCCTGCTCGCAAGTCATGCGTGCATCAACAAACCGCCTTGGCCGGGCCAATACTTTTGCTTCTGCGCTGGTGCAAAGTAGGAAAATGTCACTAGCAGCATCGTGCAGTTGAAGTCCTAGAGAAAATACTCATTCCATTCGTGATGCACAGATCTGAGTGATATGTTGCAAGAAAAAGCCTAAGGCCCAAAGGGCCCTCTCGCAGTAAGTGGCCACCCCAGATGCATGTGCATCCTGCCAACCCAACATTTTTTCCCAGAGACTAGGATACGAGCCTTGTCATGTGCACGTTGCCCTCATGCACCTGCTGCTCTAAGCATGCCCAAGCAGGCAGTAGTACCAGGCCAAAGCCTATCCGATGAAGTCTGCCAACCTAATGACCTAGTCACTGAGAAATCAAGGAAAGTGCTGTACCAGACTTCAAAATCCTCGTATGACTGCCAGGATTCAAGCAACTTGAGTCCACACCTGAACGCGACAGAGTCTATGGATGTACAAGAAGCTAATTAGGACACAAAGGTAGGAAGGAGAAAATCTCACAGCAACACCCACCGGAGACCACCTCTTTCACAGCTTTTATAGACAGACATGGAAAGGAAAAGGAATGCCATGAGCACCCATGCATGGAAAGGACGAAAGGTAATGCCACCAGCAACTGCTTGCAAGCCTCCAGTCTTGATAAACCCGACAGTACCTACACCCATACTGTGAACTAAAGCAGCAATAGCCAGAGCTGAATTGATGAAACCTGGGACTTGGGAACTAATGACATGCTGCGGCTGTCTTGGAAGAAAACACCAACGGCTTGAGAGGCGGTGACTGTCACCCTCTCTCCTTTACTGCACAATTGATGGAGAGCTCCAGGGAGAATCATCTCAAGGCGAGTCATGAATCCTGGAGCAACGCACTGCACAAACACCTCGCCGCAATTATTGTGCAGCCAACTGCTTACCGGTGCCAGACAGTGGTGTAAAACGGGCGCATGCGCTATAACGGGGCCACTTTGCAGTGCCCCTGGCTTGCCCTAATCCAAGCGCGATGCAGCTGTGAACACAGCGCATGATGCAGCCAACTGGCCTTCCTCTCTTCTACCGCACCCATATGCACAAATCTGCTTCCTTGACACCAAAGCTATATCCCATCACGTCCACCGGCTCTGGAAACCCAGCAGCCTCCCCTACGCGCCCCCCGCCGCCAGCCTTGTATGCTTTGTGTTCCTATGAATACCCTTGGTGCAGCTTCAGACGAGCGCACGCAGCTGCCCCTCGGATTGAATGGTCCTGTGACGCCCATGTTATGCATGTTTAGTCACTCTTCCATCTCATCAGTGCTGGCGCCGCTGACGGCGCGCGCGAATGCGCTCGGCTGGCTGCAGCAGTCGAGAGATGTGCTGGGACTCGCCTGTGCTGCCTGCCAGAACCACACACCGCTCTGTGAATAGCATCATTCCTTCTGTGAAATCTCTTGACAGCGTCAATGAGTACTATTTGCCAAGAGGAGGGAAAATGAGGGATTTGATAAGCAACCACCCACCTTGCTTTCTTGGGTCTATTAGAAATTCAGCTGGCACACGGGCAGTCTCCGGCAAACCATGAAAATGCAGCCATGACAAGCCAGGGACCCACCTCAGATGCGACGAAATTTGCGAAGCCGAAGCAGTCGCAGTGGGCGGGCCAGCACTGCAGCATAAGCAGCGCCGCCTGCACCGGCGACAGGAGCTGTGTAAGCAGGACGGTGTTAGCCTTCATGAAGACCTGCTGCTCCTCCTTCAAGTTCCCCTGCGCACGCACAGAGCACAGGCGTCAGCAATGTTGCACCGCCATCCCCTCCACACCCTCCTGCAGTCACAAAGAAGCTCTAAACCCCCTCTCATCCTGTTTATGACAGAAGCACGGGGTGCAGCCGAGAACAGAGCACTTAACCTCTTCACTCGGCTCAAACTATTTCTCGGTGCATGCGGCGCACAATGGAGAGTTTTTCTTTAATGCTGTAGTCAAGGGTCTGGAGCCCACCTTGAGGGATTTGATGTGTTCCATGGTGTCCAGGTTGACCTTGGCGAGCGGCAGGGCGCCCTCTGCCATCAGTCGCCCGCAGAACACCTGAGGCGCACTGCTCTGCAGCAGCAACCCCTCCGGCGCCAGCAGCTGCAGCATCTGCACCCACAGCCCGGCATCTGTCAGCACAAATATCCTGAATATGAATCCAATGGTAAGGAAGCTTCCATTTCGATTGTTTCTGAACTACTGCAGGCGTGATAGCAGACGAGGAGCTCAGCAAGGGTCATTGCAAAAATACAGCCAGTGTTCAAGAATCTTCTGAATAAATCAATCCCTGACTGTGGCAGGCGTGAGAGCAGATCAGCAGCTCAGCAATTGTTCTAAACAGAAGTGTTCATAAATGTTTTGTGGGTCAATCCCTGACAGTTGCCGGCATGAGAGCAACCAGGGGTTCAGGAAAGGTGAAAAGGAGAGCATCAGAGGAGTGACAAAGCAGGAGCGGGGGGCACCTGGGCCACGCAGCGCTGGCGTTCCTTCTGCACCGCCTGAACGCGTGCGCATGTGCTGCGCCGCCACTCCAGTATCTGCGCCCGCTGGCGCTCGCTCAGCCTCACAACCTGTACCCCACACCACCCCGCTCAGTCCTGCACCTCAAGAACCTGTCCTGATGCCCGACACCTTTCTCGCGCTTCCTGCATGTACTGCCTGTGCCAGAATCACGATTTCCTTCGTGTGGATTCCAGAAGGAGTGGTGCCCTCCTGCAAGGACACTATAGTCGCCTTGATCACCTCAGCCGTTTACCCGCCTGTCACTCCCACACTTTTTTCTTGCGACAAAGGGTGGATGGGTTAGCCCTTGAATATATTGCCATGATCTGTACAATTTCATCAGGGCAAAAGAAGGGAAATGAACACCCAGCTCCTTTTATTAATGTAATGCAAAGGAACGTAATGACTGGACTCCTGCACAGAAACCTGCCAGGGACAGAAATGGCAGCGTGGGGACGGACCTTGAGGGCTGCGCGCCAGGTGGCGGCCTGGGAGGGCAGCACAGCGGAGAGCTCCAGCATGATGAAGGGTAGCACGGCGCGGCTCTGCGGCAGCTGCAGCACAGCTTCCGCCACCGCGCAGCCGCGCGCCACCTCCTCCCTCACCTCATCCAACACCTCCGCCGGCAGCCCCTCACCTGCAGCATTAATCGATCAATTCAGTCCAGAAATTGAATGTAATCACTTGATTTGACCCCACGCTTGAACATTCGTACCGACCTTCAAAGCCCCACAACTCCGGAAGAACAATGCTTTCAGCTGCACATGCGCAAGCAAGCAGACATAGCAGGCTCCAAACAGGTTGGCTTGCCCGCCTCGCGAGGCTTGCCATCCCCATGCATGCCTCGACTTGGCTTGACGAGCTCAGACAAAGGCCGTTCGAGTGAATAAACTGGGCAGAAAATAGAGTGGGCACATTCAAGTGAATAAACTGCTACAGAATGGAGGACCTTTGAGTAGGGGGGCTCAATGTAGTAGCCCGTATACCCCACCAGCACCCCCTTGCTGCAAGATGGAAAGGCTAGTGGATGTGCATGTTGGGATTTGAGGCCCCCACCGGTGGGGTCGGCGTTGCGCAGGTCCTGCGCGGCTGCCAGCTGGGCGAGGCGGGCGACCTGGCTCTGCAGGCACAGACGCGCAAAATCACGGCTGTGCGGCTGCGGCTGCACGTCGCCGCTGCCCTCCTCGCTGCTGTGCCCGCCGGACTTCTCCGGCCCGGCATCGGCCGCGCCGCCGTCGCTGCCGCCCGGCCGGGCCGCGTCGAGCGCGCGCAGCTCGGCCGTGAGTGCTGCGATCTCGCGGTCCTTGCGCGCCACGTTCCTCTCCAGCTGCACCGCGCGCGTCTGGCCACCAACATCAACACACAATCTCAGCAACAGAGTCGTGTTTGCTCAGTGGAAGACGCGGAAGTTTCCAAAATCAAAGCACTCTCTGCCAACCACTCTCCTTCCATCTGTGGACAGTTTACCCGATGCACACGGTCTGCTCGAAGGCCCTCTGCAGAACTGGGGAGTGAGTACTTGTTGTAAAGGGGGCAACAAGAGGATTGCATGATTTACTGACGGTGCGGAGCTAGGAGCTTCCTCACACCTGCAGCGCAATGTTGTATCGCAGCACGGCCTGGAGGTCGTCCAGCTCCTCCACCTGCATGGAAAGCCAGCCAGCTGTCAGCTCTGCTTTCCCCCATTATAGTCCACATTATCGTCCAAGCCAGGGAAGCACAGAAGTCCAAGAGTTCGCCAGCCAGCCGCCTGCTCGAAGATCTCCCTATGAGCAATCACGATCCCATAGTTGCTGCAGAGTCAAGGAGGCACAGAACCACATCCCTCAAGGACTTCCAGCCAGAGCTGGGCACGTCAAGAGACCAAAAATCCCGTGTGAAAAGAGATTGGCGCATACCTGGGCGCGTCTGCGCTCGCGGCTGCGCAGCCTGGGCGTTGGCGGCGGCTGCTGCTTGCCTGCGCCGCTCGTGTTGTACCGCTGCCACGACTCCTCCAGTCCCCGCCCATCGCTGCACCCCAATTCCACTCAGCTCTTCTTCTTCACCATCTCTTATTGTTATGATGGTCATTATTGTTATTAAACGCTTTTCCTGCCAAGAAGTGCGTCCTGCAGCCAAGCTGCAGTTCAAGGCTGCCACAATCCTACCACTTGTTGGACTCGCCAGATCCAAGCAAGCCCCAATCGACCGCGGCCACCATCTCTTATAGCCACACCCAGAGTCCTCCTTCAATGATAAAGTGTCGGGTGAGGAAGACAAGAACAGAATTTTCATGGGGCAGGCCATTGTGACCGTGAACTGACCGGTCAGGCAGAGAAGAGGCGCCCTGCCTTGGCAAGAACCGCTTTTTTATTGGGGCGGACGACGAAGGGCCCTGCTCTGCCACGGTGTCCAACGGTGCTGAGTCCAGAGGAATGCTCATGCTCCGTGATTCTGCCATCAACCCCTGGACCAGGCATCACACATGGGCGAGAGCCGTCTTCACAAAAACCAGATGCACGTCAGGCTGCTTCTCAGAATTAGCTCAGAAGCAAGATGCTCGTCAAGCAAGTGCCCTGGCGACCAGCAAGTCACGCCCAAAACAAAAGTCACAATTTAAATTTAAGCTCGAAAGGGCACCTTGAGGTTGGGGGAGCTGAGGGATGAGGAGAGGGTGCGCGAGGGGTGCATGTGGTTGGGTGGGCTGAGGCGGCGGCTGCCCTGGCTGCTGATGCTGCTGAAGGTCTGCATGGCCGTCATGCTTGACGAGCGGCTGAAGGGGCTCTCTGGCGCTGTCGCATCCGACTTGTACAACGCTGTGTATGCCTGCACCAGCAAACGCAATATTGTTGTTGTTATTACAGGTCGGCAAATCAAAGCCAAAGCCATAGGGCATACACGCAGGGGCGTCTGCAGCCACATTTGTGGGGCCTGCAAAAGTCTGCAGCCCAGTTCCCTACGCATCTCATCGCATCTCAAAGACCAACCAGCATGCGTATTTTCATGCAAGGTCCTCCCCCAGTGCATGCCTTGGAAGCCTGACAAAGCAGACGTCCAAATGGCCCCACAGGCTGCTGGCGGGCTCAACCTTGGGTGCTTCAAGGCTCACGATACAAGGCAGACTGTGTGAAAAGCACAGTGGAAGCGAAAGGGGGTGCTTGCCTCCATGGAGGGGGATCGCATGTTCATTGAGCTGCCCAGCGACTGTGTGAGCGCACTCGGCAGAGAGGCTGCTTTAGACCTCTTCCCTGGTGAGAGGGCCTGCACACAGAGCCGAATTTTCAGGGGTCGTCTGTACGCCTTGGTCGGCCCCTTTGCCACTCCCAAATCGGACACTGTTTTGTACCTGCTGGTCATCTTGCTTGCTCGAGGCCTGATCGGATCGTTGTATCCCGCCTTCCATACTGCCACGTCTGAGTATATAAAGCTAGGATGCTCCCTACATATCGCAGAGCCGTCTCTCGTCAATTCCTGAGAAAAGACATGTTAAAAGTTTTTAAAACGGTACTGAGGCCAAACGCGTGCACAAAAACTCGGTCTTTTGCCCAAAGTCGTCTAGAACACCCACTGATGCCACTATGGATCCAGTTCCGACACTTCCCTTGCTCACCTGGATTATATCTCGTGGCTTGATGCTTAAACCGCTGAAGTGACACTGTAAAGTCTTATCACCTGTCAATTGACACACGACACAGTCAAGTATTACGTACCCACGAGGGAACGGGCACGAGGGATAACACGCCCGGAACGATGAGAAAGAACCGGAACGAAAATCTTGTTTAAATGAAGCGATTATCACGATTAAACTGTAAGCAGAAGTTATAAAACAACCACGCACCTCTCCAGAAGGACGAGGGCTACACCAGTGTCGCGAGCAGATCAGCTCTGTGCGAAAGGGCCCCGACTTGGGGATGCTGCTCAGCGTAGCAGGCTAGGGGCGTCCGAGTGTCGTCTTGTACGGTTGTATCTAAGTCGACGTGCTGTGATATGCAGATGCAACGTATGGGCTGGCTATTAGTACAAAGGAGTGATCATCTCGGTGAGTGACCGACTGAAGTACACTTGAAGCGAAAAGTTCCTGGTGAAAATCGAACGGGTTGATCCTCGCCAGAGTCGGCCAAACAAAAAGGATTGCCTGCTTAAAGCGCTAAATAGCAGATTTGGGGTAAATCCAGTTGAAAAGGAACGGCAAACCGTGTACTTCATTCAACGACAACCGGAATTCACACGCCGTGTTGCCCAATTAGGAATCCTGCATTACTACCGTGGCGTAACCTTACGGCGTGGGGACCCAATATGCCAGATACGAATCAGGCAAAATTACTCTTCTGACCAGGACCTTTTCAATGGCTTTGTGGTGGTGCGCCTTTACATTGGGTTCAGCAGTTTGAGTACCTGGGTGCCCTTTTTGACGGTGCCCAAGGCATTAATCTCACCTTTGGCAAGCTTCACAGGAACATGTGGGGTGTGTGGGCACAGCTCAAGCAGCAATATGGGAAGTTGCATTGCAGCATGTCAGCTGGCCTGTTGTTGCGCCTATATGATGCATGTGTGCCGCCGACTGCCTCCTACGGTTGTGAGGTGTGGGGCCTGCGCAGCCTTCCTGGTGGCGACAGCCGGCGGGGCCGGGCTGCCTTGGCCTCCTCTCACCTGAAAATTCTGAGAGACATTGCTGGCGTCCCCACCTCTGTGCATGGTGCCATCTTGCTTAAGGAGTTGAATCAGCAGACCCTTGATTGTGTGTGGTGGCGGCGCATTATCAAGTTCTGGAACAATTTGGCTGCCTTGCCTGCAAATCATTTTCACAGGCAAGTGGCCCTTGATGATTGTTGGGATGCCATAACCCGTAATGTTAAGAATTGGGCTTGGGCCTTCATGCGGGGCTTGCGCCGAATTGGGTATGAGTTTGTTATTCGGTTTGACACCCTTGTTCCTGTGGAAGTTGATGCTGTGATGCAGCTGCTAGATGCGCAAGCACTGCAGGTTTGGGATGACATTGACATTTGCCCTAGGACCTGCCCGTCCAGCAATGCCACCTTGTGTACATATCACAGATGGTTTGCTAGGCCAGCTTGTGTGCGCCACCCTTGCCAGCTCTTACAGCAGCCTTTGAGTGCCCGTTGCTTGCGTATACTGTTGAAGTTCAGGATGGGTTGTCATAGTCTGCCCAATGTCTCGGGCCGCTGGGCAAGGATTCCCCGGCCCCAGCGTTTGTGCATGCGTTGTGCCCAGCAGGTTATTGGGGATGAGCGCCACCTTGTGTTTGAGTGCCCTGCCTTGCAATCTGTTCGGGACAGATATCCTGGGCTGTTTGGTGCAGCCATTGTGACGATGCAGCAATTCATGTGGCAGTTGGACATTGTTGGTGTTGCACATTTTGTGATGGATTGTTTTGATTATTTGGATGCTGCCAGTTCATCCAATCAGCCCTAGGCGGCTGGAGTGATGTAATCTTCCTTCCTTCCTTTCTGAGTACAGGTAATCATGATGGCTTTCCCTAAGCATTATCCACCCGTTTAAGCGATGTTCTTTGGGCAGACATTATTGGAAACCTTGCATGCAGGATCCAGCAACACCATGCTGGCCAGCGCTGAGCTTCTTCACGCTACAAGTGGTTGAACCCTTCCGACGACAACACTTACAAAAGCCCGGCTTCAAAGCAACTTGCCTCAAGGTTCTGAGCCTACCATCTTGATCTGCAATGCCAGGCGCACAACATATATATACAGACATGATAATTGTCATAATCATGTCATCACAGGCCTGTCATCGATGACCTAGGTACATCAGCTAATTAGGTCCACAAGCGTCGACAGAGCAGCGATCATACGGCACCGTGGCAGCCTGAAGGTCATCACAATCACTGCGCAGCGCCTGCCACGTACTGGATGCTAATTATCTCAAATCAGCCCCTGTTCCTGCTTGTGGTTGTGGCAGGCCTGCAGCTGGATGGCGGGGTCCGGCAGCTGCTGCGACAGCATGTGCAGCTTCATGTGCAGGCACTCCAGCGCCTCCGCCAGCTCCTCCATCAGGAACTGGAAGGTGTACCATCGCACCTCCGCCACCTGTCACCAGGCCACAACATCACAGAGGGTTTTGCTGTACACATTCCGTACCGGAAGCGCCTCGGGAGTGACCACACCTGGATTTGCCATGAACTGGCCAGTTGGAGCCTTGCTATGACTACATTGCGCGCGCAGCACACAAGTCTGCTAGCTGCATGGGACTGCACAAAGCATTATGAACACTCTCGACCATTGTGCCCATAAACTGCTGCGCATGGCAGAGCATTAGAGTCTCATGGCTTGGGGCAGAGATTTTCCATGTTCCCAGGACTCACGATAGCCGAGCAAGGCCCTGATTTGAGGACAAAGAGCTACCAGCGGTGCTGCTGGCATAGAGAGACCCTTCTTTCTACAAGCCGCAGAATTGATGCATGTACTTTTACACGCTTTTCCTGCCAAGAGGCAAGGTGCGTCCACAGACAGGCGGCAATTAGAGGCCTAACCCTTGTTGGATTTGCCAGCTCCAAGCGAGACCCAATCAACCGTGGAGACGGTGCTCTTTATTTGCACCACCCCCCGCTACCAAGTAGTTGATGGGTATGGAATAGAACAGACCTGCTCCGCGGCACAGCTGGGAAACGCGGCCTGGTCTCTAGGGTCTGCGCCGGACAAGCCCTCGGCCGCCATCATGTCCCGCTCTGCGCCAACCTCCGACTCTGGCATGGGCAGGTGGATCTCTGCACGCGCGGCGTCCCACAGCCGCTCATCTGCTGACGCGCTGCCGGCCTCCCCATCCCTGCCGGTGCCTGCAAAGACACGCACCGGCCACCTTCAGACATTTACCATTCCGTGCCCCCATGTGCAGTACATCAAGAACCCGTATGCTTGCCTCTTTTTGTTGCCCCGCTAGGGTGCAGTGGACGTCGCACGATGATCTTGTTGGTGGAAATAGTATGTGTTTTGGATGCCCTGCCGGGCGCTGAGATAGAGAAACAGAGTCAGGTAGAAGGAGTGTTGGCTGGAATGGATGTGATCTCATTCATGATAGTCCTCCTACACTAGCTTCGTGTGCTCGTTGTTGCACGCACAGCAGCAGGATTGACAGCGGTGAATCACCGTCCGGCGGACTGGTGTCCTGCTGCTTGCCCTGATAGCTGGCCTCCGCCGCTTGCTTGATCGCATCCATTGGCGTCGGGGCCTGGATGAGAAGCACACAGGTATCGGGTCTCAACCCTTGTCTATATCGACGCCTCCATGAGGCCATACAATAAGGGGGCCCATGCAAACACCTGCATGCAGATATTGCATGCACTATGGCCACCATGGTCTTGGGCCCCATTTTCCAGCACAAGAGAGCCTGACCACTGGGCCACAATCATAGGAAGTATCGGAAGAGGGCCAGTGGAGAATTCCGCCCCACCTGTCCTGTGCTGGTTGGGGGCTGACGCGCCCATTCCTGCTCCTCGCGCATGTGCCGCAGCAGCTGCCGGTGCTGCTGCCCCGTCAACGCCATCAGCTCGGCCACCGTCTGCTTGAACCTGTGCGCGCACAGCCATCGAGTTTGAAATTATGTCCTGCCGCACACCACAGCCTCCTTAGGCTTCACTTGAACAATCTCGTGTCTAGACCAGATCTGTGCCACGCTGAAAATGAGTAGCACCTAACAATTGGAGGACAACCTTCCACCATGCAATTCAGAGCAATTGTCAGCCTCTGCCGGACACTGAGAAATGACTGGTAAAGAGCGCCTTCAATGATCTGTTGAAGCAACTGTGTGCGGCTGAACAACGCTTGGCGATGAGCTCTTCGTTCTCTTGCTTGAGCAGCTGGCCACTTCAACACCTGGCTCTTTCTGAACAACGAGTTGCCCTGGACCTGGAATATCGACGGGAGACTGACAGCAGTGTCTTGCTGAAAAGAAGCGGACATTACTTGGATGAGGTAAGAGAAAGTGGGAGAAACAGGCAGTGGTAGGGGGAGGAGCGTCACTGCTCGCGGACAAGTAGTGGACAATCATATGGATGGGGTGAGAGAAAGTGAGAGAGACAAGCAGTGGGAGGGGAGAGAGCATCAGTGCTCGCTGACAAGTAGCTTGACAATGATTTGGATGGAGCAAGTTGCAGGGGAATGGGGAGGAGTATCACTGCTCGCTGGCAAGTATTGGATGGAACAAGTATCAGCGGGAGGGGAAAGAGCGTTACTGTTCGAGGCCGGGCGTGGTGGGTCCAACGGCGGGGAAGGCGGCGACGAGGCAGTTGAAGGCGGCCTGCGCGGATGCGGCCAGGCGCAGCACCATGTCCGGGGGCAGCATCTTGGTGAGCACGAGTGCGAAGTGCGCCCCCATACCCTGTAATGTAGCAAAGTAAACAGTATCGGGTTTTGTATCTTTACATTGCTGCCTGTGTCACCTTGGCAGATGAGGCAACCAGCATGACACATTCATTGCTACAGCATTTGGCCAAAGACATTGCGACTGACACCTTTTTCATTATTAAATGTTATTATAAATTATCAATAAATAATCAAGGCAGACCAAGACAGGTCTTGATCGAAACGATATCCAGCAAGCAATGTACCTGGCGGAAGGCCATCTGGCGGAATGCCAGGTGGATGCGCCACAGCAGCCACGCCGTGCACCGGATGTCCGTCACCACCTCCTGCGCGGCCTTGCCCACCAGCATGACACTTGCCGACACTTGGGCGCTATCCCTGTCTCTCATGCATGCACTATACACAAGCAGGTAGCCCATGCGACTGATCTACATGCGCCGCAGGCCTGACACCCAGGCTGCTATCCGCTGTCGCTCGTGCATGCTCTATGCTATAGTGTGTTCACAGGCAGGTACCCCATGCAAGTGATCAAAACGTGCAGCAGGCATGACTCTCAACCTGCTACCGCTGTCACTTGTGCATGCAATAATACTGAGACATCCGCAACAGATTGCGCCACCTGCTGCCTCATGGATCTGGAATGGAGGACCAGACCGGAAGAAATGGTCAAGGGGCTGGCGCAATTCGCACAGCATCATCGGTGGCTGCTCCTGGCTCGGCAGCTACACACAATATGCACTGCGCAGGTGCACGAGCGTTGAGGGATCACAGGGTTTACCTTGATCTGCTCCTTGGGGATGTGCTTCAAGCCGCACCAGACGAGGCCGGGCAGGAACCACATGCGGCCGAAGAAGGTGCCGACATAGGCCTCGTTCTGAGACAGCGGCAGCATCTCATGCACGGCCAACAGCGCTGACACAATCTTCATCAGCGCCTCCTCGCAGCTCTCGCTGTGGCTGCTCGCCTCCTCGTAGCTCAGCAGCGGGCTCTGCAGGCCCATCTCCTCATCCCTGGCCAGGCAGTGACTTGGTCAGAAATTTATATTTGCAGAGAACAATACATGCGCCTCCTGCAGCCACATACGGTCAGGACATTACATGCATTGGCCTCAGGTCGTGAGGGCTCTGCTTTGCAGCCTTCACAACCCTCACAAGTATCATCCCGGGCTTCATCATCTTCTGCACATCCCCTTCGTCCTCACCCTACTTGGCTTAATGGCTGCGCTGGACTGTTGCAATGTCACTCACAGGGGCCAGGTCAACTGGAAATGCACAGCACGAGACCAGGACACTCATGCAAAGTGCAGGGATGAATGGTGACTCACTCTTGGTCAGCGTCGCGGGCATGGCCGAGCGCATGCTTGCCCTCGTGGATGGCGGCAGCGTTCAGCTCTGCCAGCCCCTGCAGCGCCCGCTTGATGCTCTCCAGCACCGACTCTGCCCACACGCCACACAAAACTTTTATGAGACCTCTTTGATTAGGCAGTCACATGTGCTCTCTACCCAATATGTCCAAACCTCATCACATGTTCACGTTGCATCTCAAGTACGTGGCACTAGCCGGTGTCAGGCTTTGCATGGTGAACTAGACAAGCGCACCTGTTGCGCTGATGGGGTAGACAAAGACAGCCACCACCAGGGATATGAAGCTGCCGCACACTATGCCTCCAATGCGAGAAATCATGACCTCAAAATCCCCTGCGCAGTGCACAATATTAAACCATCCCACTCCCTTCAGACCACCTCACATTCAAAAATGGTCCTTGCTAATAGAAGTGCCTGCAGTAGGATGTCAGACAGATTTGAGGACCCAGCAAGAGGAGATCACTCACTTTCTGGGTCATCTGAGCCGAGTGCCACCAGGATGAAGGTCAGCGTGAAAAGCCTGGGGGTGGTCTCCAACTTGGCCAGCTTCCAGGCGATGACAACACTGCCGAATGCTGCCAGGAAGGCCAGGATTGACAGAGTTCCATAAGTGCCCAGGTAGTCTCCGTTCCAGATCTGGTGGGCAGCAACGAAGGCACCCCAACCACACAGCCCACCCAGGATCGTCCCGATCGTCCGATCTATGCCCACAATGAGGACCTTGCCAACAACAGGGGAAGCCACGACCTGCGTGGTGCATAAATGATGACTTTTCCGGACGTATTTGTGGTATTAAGCCAGCATGCAGTTGGGTCCTGCTAGTTCAGGTAAAAACGATACGCAGGAAGTCTTCAGGGTCACATACCACGCAGGTGATTGCAGCGGCGCTTGCCGCACTTCCAACAAGATTCGCTGTGTGAGCGCTCTCGGGACGGCCATCTGCGGTGACGCATCAGTTGGTGGGACCCCGGAGCGATTGACGTATTGCCCATCACTGACGATTCTGGATGGAAGTATTCGAACATCCTTCGAAAAATGGCTTATGCAGTCTCAGAGACGCACCTTCCAACAACTTGTAGTTGATCAAACAGTACGCTATGAATATGGTAAGGAAGACGCCGATGCCCATCCTCAACCCACGAAGCACGTAGTCAGGCGGCATCCTAAAAGCAGTCTGAAAAGCTCTCTATACAGTACACTGGATATCTTTAGCTACGATGTGAGAGGATCTCTGTATGCATTGCATGCCTTCTTTGCCGATTGTCTCAGAGAACCCCCTTGTGGAGCACGATTGGCACATGCGACTTTCCTTGCTTTCCGTAGTCTGCAACTGTGTGATTGGCTGCCGTGCACCGCACTGAGGTTGGAATGAAGGGGAAAATTTGCGCACGTGACGGCATGTGCGGCATCGCACTTCTTCTTGGAAGCTTGCCGATCATGCAAGTGCATTCCGGTAGTATATGCAAACGTCTCGAAGCCTAAATTGAGGCTGATGCATTGGGCCTCGCAACGAGAATAAGTTACGCCAGGGGGTTTTCTGGTCATCGCATTCCTTGCGAAGCTGTGGGCGTTCTTATTGCATGCAAGTACGCAATCCTCAACTCTAAAGTACAAAGAGTGTATTGCGCTTTCCACGAACTCGCTGAGACGTAGCGGTTCAAGACACTTTGCAGGTGAGCACTTTCTGTCAAACAACCACCCTCTTCGCTAGAAAAGATCGACACACTCTCATCGGCTGCGCAATTATAATTGTACGTTGTCTCAGATCAACACCGAAACACCGGGCGCAAGTCTGAGACGTCCATTGCAATTGACCTGGATGACTGCCTTGATGTTGTGCCCTCCTTGCTCTTGACAGGAGCATTGTTACCACTATAGAGCGAGTCACTACAGCAACAAGAGCTCTAGGTGTCGAAGGACGGCATAAGAGCAGTGGGCCTTAGGGAGCACAGAAGTTCAACATGGCGGAACCATGGTTGGCGACCCTGGAAGAGGTCAGGCGACAGGCAGCCAGGGTGGCAGCAATAGCGGGAGTGCAGCCACCCGAAACCGATGGCACCTGGTATGATGTGGCGGCGGGGAGAGTGGAGACCTCAGACCTTGAAACACTGGATGAGTCTGGTGCCTGGCGCGGCTTGCAGTGGCTGAATGCCTTTGAAGTCTTGGTGGGTATTTGCTTGTGCTCTTCCACAAGCGTAAAGCGCTTGGTGTGTGAGGGAAGACGTTCTCCATGCTTGATATGCAAATTTTGACAACCAGTAAGCACAATGAATGTGGTGTCACCGCAGTTCTTTGAGAAACCCAAGGAGCTGATGGGCAACGAGCAGCCGGATGACCTGCTCTTCTTTGTCATCAATGAAGCCTACCAGGTGATCACTTGCATCCCTGGGCATCATTCTCATGCACTTCCCTGTTCAATCTTTCCATCCAGCTAACTTCTGGCAGCATTTGAGCGCGGAACAGTTATTCGCCTGAACAACTTTTGCATCATCGCTCTACTGTGCATCAACAATCATGCAACAGTCGATAAGCCTAGACATGTGCTACCCAGAGCTGTGGCTTTCAAGACCTAGATGCCATTGTGAGGGGTGCGCATGCTGACGCAGGGGGATGCACCGGCGCTGCTGGTGCGGCGGAAGGGGGCGTGCCTGCCAGAGGATCTGGGGCGTGGCAGCGCGGAGGCAGAGCAAATCGACTGGTGCCGCTCTGTGCTGCTCAACCTTGTCATCCAGGCGTCCTTCGTCCTCACCGTCGCCACCTGCAGGCATGTGCCTCCCTGCGCTCTGCAAATCACCTGCAGTTGAACCTGATTCCTATGCGGCAATTCTGCTGCACACCTCTGGAGGCGAAGCAGCATGTTTCCTTTAGTTCGAGCGTAGCTGTTGACAGCGGCCACTCTAATGGAGCCTGTTGCAATGCCTCCTGTGGTGCATCACGCATCCACAGGGTCATGGCATCATAGGATTGTCAAATGTGATTTGTGGGAATGTTGTGGGAGGAGCTGAGACGATTGCATGCATGCAGGAGACTTGACATCCAAGAAGTGACGCACCGGGAAATGCGGCCGCCGCCCGATGCCAGTCGGGTCTCCAAACCTGTCTACGCATCGCCCATGAATGTGAATGTGAGCTGCTGATCCCCATTCAAAGCTTCTCACCTGACCAGATGTAGGATTCGTCACCTTCTGGCAACAAGAGCCCATGATCAAGAAACACTGTGGAAGCCATGGTGGAGTTGCGCACCATGCTGGACTGACGGTATTGCACATGGCAGCAAGGAGATAAATTGCTTTTAATGGATGTTATTAGGTGAATCTTGAGGGACAGCGTTCCAGTGAGGAGCGTCCAACGATTGGATATCCAGACATCAGCTTTGCAGTGGAGGACTTTGATGACGCCTTCAAGTCTCTGGTGCGCAACACCTCTCACCAGACTGTGTCTGCCTTGCAGTTATCACCATCTCCATGCAGGTACGGCGACTTGGTGTAGCACTCAGCTCATCTCGCATATTCACATCCTGTCTTTATTTCAGGTTGCGTTATAGCTGTGACACAGTATGATGGTCTCCAGAGTGAAGGGCTGCACAGTTTTGGTCTTGCTGCGAGGTGCAGTTCTTCACTTTAGGGACCATCCTTGCTTAGTCAGCTCAGCGTTGAGAAGCAAAAGTGCTACAAACAGATGATGCAGAAGAATTCAGCCCAACATGCATACTCGCATGGGCGCGTGCTACCAAGGACGCATTTGGTCTGTATTGCTGTGGGCTCACGTGCCGTTGTGTGTCCTCAGATCCTGACAGAGCCCGGCTGGTGCTACGTGGTCTCCCTGTCTGCCACGGGCGGCATGGCGCTGGCAGCAATGCCAGGCATGCAGGCTGCAGCAGCCGCCTCCACTGACAGCACGGCAGAAGCCAAGAGGAGCCTGTCAGGGGCCACCAGCCTTGAAGAGCGGCTGGCAGCGCTCGATCTGCAGACGCCAGCAGCAGATGAATCCGCCACAGACCTGCCTACAGCTCCTGGCTCTGTAGAGAAGCCAGAAGCACACAGCAAAGCTTCTGGGCAGCATCCGCAGCAGCATTCGCAGCCTGCATCTGCTTCAGAAGCTTTCCACGACGACCCTCTGAGGAGGGCCAATCCTCCCAGTACAGTCTCTACCGGCTTGAGCAAGCCTCGGGCAGCAGCCAGAGAGGGTGAGGCAAGGCCTGTGCTCCCTGGGAGTGCAGGACAGGGGGGACAGGCAGGCACGGGGGACCCTGGGGGGCCAGTGGTGAATGTGCAGCTGTTCACGGGGTTTGTGAGCTATGAGCAGCTGGAGGAGGTGATCGGCAGCGGCTGGGAGCGACGCGCGGCCGCCCGGAAAGAGATGACTCACTGGATCAAAATGAAGGGCCCAGGTGAGCCATTTCGCTAACCCAGAGTCCGTCCTGCAAGGATGTCTCATACACACGTAATCGCTCGACTTCCCGATTTGGAATGGATGATCACACTTGCCTTGTATGTCTGGATTTTTGTTGCGCAAGAAGGCATTGCACACTGCAGCTGCCGTCAAGAGATCGTGTGCGTGGTTCTGCAGGGAACCAGGGGCATGCAGATGTGGCAACCACGAGCCTGCCGCCGCTGGACGAGGGCCATTTGAAGCCTGCTGTGGCAGAGGCCGCACCCAAGCCCAGGCAGGGCGGAGGGGCCTTCTCGCGCGCATTTGACGCCGTCGCCCGGTCGGCCGCCGACGCCGCCAAAGGTGCGGCGTCCGGCACGATCATATTTAGATGCAGCGCCAGAGAAGAAAGTCACATAGTGGGCCGCCAAGATGATGTATTGTCCCATGAGTACCACCACCAACCCTTCAGCAAGAGTGACCGTCAATAATAGCACAGCAGATCCGAAGCAATGTGCTGTTATCTTTGTAGCCCTGCCCTATTATTGGAGGTCTGACGCCCTTCTGCAGATGCATTCAAGAGATTTATTACATTATTATTATTATTACACGCTTTTCTTGCCAAGAGGCAAGGTGCGTCCTGCAGACAAGCTGCAGTTGAAGGCTGCCATAATCCTACCCCTTGGTGGACTCGCCAGATCCAAGCAAGACCCAGTCAACCGTGGGCACGGTGCTCAGTATTTATATCGCCCCCCGCCAGCCGGGGCCAATCAAGAGATTTGTGCCTGTTCAATTACCGCGTGGGTTGTTGGCTCGGTCGTGGATGAGCTGAATTGTCTTGACTGTAGATTAGAACTGTTTGGAGTGTAGATGTATGTGGGCGCAGGGCTGGTGAGGGATGTGCTGGGGGCCCGGGATAATGGAGAGGAGGAGCACTTGCGGCTGCGCTGCGCGCTCATGCGGCTCAGCCTGCCCATCGATCTCCTGGCCACTCAGCTGCTACAGTTGCCCCTTCTGGACCAGCTGCCCGCCTGACCACTGCAGTGCGCGCTGCATTCGGCTGTCGGCGAGAATTTGTGGGAATGCATTGTTGTGTACGGTAATATACCATATATGTTTCCTACGCAAAGCATATGTTTGCTTTTGCATGCGGGACGCTGACACGTTGATCAGAAGCAGTGTACATTATATTCAATGCAGCACACGGCCGCAAAGCACTGGACAGACTTGCACCCTGCTCCATGCTGGCAGGACTCAGAATAAGTTGTACTTTAGAGGTTATTTGTTCAGGTACCATACCTGTAGCTGTGCAGAACCACAACGATTACATGTAGTTAATGTGAAGACGTTGATTGGAAAGGATGAAAGAACAGGTAATTAGTCCGGTACTGATTACACGGAATGTTGACATCAACTTAAAGCCTACGGCTGCTTGCATCTTTCTCTCAGAACATCAAGCTAAGGCCTTCTTGCATGAAAAGGTTTCAACAGCCAGAATTAAATGTGAATCAAATCATTAGCAACGTGCAGCGATCCACTGCCACTGACACCGATGTTATTTTGCTGTTTACAACCGTGCCCACAATTTGTGCCAACAAGTTCCTGTTACGGGCATGAGCAGCAGTGCCAGCCTGGGATCCCAGAGATTCTCAAAGGACACTGCTAGGAGCAGCCCGGAAGGTTACTTGATTGAACAGGACCTTGCCAGAACGAACAACTTTGCGCATCCGTCAATCAGCTTCACGCGTCACAGAAGTGAACGCCGCATTGGCAGAAAGTAACACATCATCTACCCTACATCAAGGGCCCCTCCTGGGAATGGCTGCTACACCCACGCCGTTGGTGGTGCCCCTAGAAGCATAGGTCCCTTTACATTGTGTTCTGGCCCCTTGGGTGCTCCTGAGAAAAAAGGAGGTCCCAAGCTGGTCATCTCGCAACTGCTGCAAATCAGTGAGCATGACATTGCCTGTGCTGTCTGCTTGCAGTCCAGCAAGGAAGCTGACTCTCGCAGATGAGGCATTGGAGAAGCGGGCAAGGCTCCCCCAATGCCCCTCGCGAGTGTAAGTTGGTTCAGCCCCCTCTCAGCCAACCCGGTGCGTGCTGACAGCTCAAGCACAAGGGGTTTTTCTGCTTGCTCCCCTCACTTCAGAAGCTTGCGCCCCTGGTCCTGGCTCTGCATGCTGTAGCTGTTCCCGGAGCTTTGGCTGCCATAGCTGTTGCCATTCTTGTATGCTGCAGGAACCAGAAGCTCAAGTCAGTGACTAGCTTTGATTGAAGCCATCATGTGCCCATCTCTCACTGAAATGGCAACATTTTCCAAGCACAGATGCAGGGCCGACCAACATGTCAAATACGCACCAGCTGCAAGCCTCCTTGCAGCTCACAGCTGAACTATTGTTTCCTGATCTGCTACCTGCTTCTTGCTTTGAGCAGCCCCCAATGCACACAGCAGCTAGTATCTTGGACGGCTGAACAAGAGGTAACGCAGGGCCACAGGTGCCTTCTTCTCTCTCCGGGACTCTCTTCACCGGCATGTGTCAAGGTTCCTCGTGCTGCCTGCAGGGCAAGCTCTGTGGGACAGAAAGGTCAAAAGGATCTTTACTGCGCACCGGAGGAGGCGCGGCTGCTCTGACTGGCAGCCTGGGAGCCCTGAGTCTGGGTGGTTGCGCCGTAGCTCTGGCCAGAGCCGACCATCGTGCCGCTGGCGCCGCCGACGCTGCTGCCGCCGGCGGCCACGGTGGCATCGGTGGCGCCGTACGCGACGCGCTGTGAGGCCGCGCATGACTGGATGATAGCGAAGGCGAGGCACTTGTCGGGGGATCCCACAACGTCCTTGTAGCAGGCGTTGAAGCCGATCTGGGGGATGACGTCCGCGGGCTCCTTGCTGCTGATCTTCACGATCACCGGCTTGGGCGCTCCGCCGCGCGACTCGAAGCACGTCGGGCTGCTCACCTGCACCGCCGCGCAATACCAATTAGTAATCATTAGTCATTGGCAACATGCGCATCCATGCTTGTCTTCCAGGGCACTTCCATGCATGCTGCATCTTGAAAAATTTTGCTTACTGCGCATGTTCCCAGCCAGTTTCTGGTCCACCCATCTGTGCTTTGTTATGAACTTGAGAAATTCTGGACTGTACCCAAGGTGTAGCTCACATGCATGCACATGGCCTGAAGGGGCTGTGGGTGCACAGCACTGTACCTGTGAGTTGCCGAGGCCGAGTGTGCAGAATTGGAAGGTGACGGTGCCACCCAGTGGGATGCCTCCGGCAGGGGAGGCCTTGCTCAGGAGGTCCAGCAGCCTGCGAGTGCTGTAGTCAAAGACAAAGCTGCACGTCGCCTGCAGCGTCAGCAGGTTTTGCTTGCACCTGCAGCACAATTTTGCGCCTTCAGGCCATTGTGATTGGCAAGAGATTTGCTTTCTGCTACTGGAAGTTTGACAAGTCCTGATCCCTTGGGAGCCTGAGGCGGGCAAAAGGAATGTCTTCCTTGTTGGAGACTTTTCTGTGACCCTGACAGGCTCCCAATTGCAACCAGAGGTGGCCAGAGCTTGCAAACTAAGCATAAATGGATGGAAGCCTTCATAGAAAATTTACTAAGGCCAAGGTCAGTGACGCACTCCCCGAAAAACTTCAAGCCAGCTGAGGCTGCTGCAACACCCGACGGCAATGTTGTCACACTTCCGGGCGAGAAGAATGGAGCTGTGGTGTTGAGGAACTGCGTCCATGACGGGCTTGTCTGGAAGCCGGCCACGGGGTTCCCGAAAGCGTAGTTCAAGGCCGGAGAGAATGCTATCTGCAGCACCGCACAGAACCATATAATGCCTCTCGCTCATTCACAAAACGCACAGCTCATCCGAGAAAGACGAATCAGTAATGCACAAAGGGAGGAGGGCAGAGACGCACTGGGAGAGGTCCTGTTGTGGACTCGGGCAGTGTTGCCACTATTGTGATGATGACGTCGGTAAGCTTGCTGAGAGGACAAGCCCCTGGAAAGCTGCTGCCATATTGCCCCGAAGTCGTGACCGGCTGCGCCTGTGTCGTGCCTATAAGAAGAAGGAATAAAGCGGCCAGGTATCGCAGGGACGCAAGCCCTCTGGCCATTTGGTTTCCGCCTCTCTCCCGCGCTTGGAAACTGCAGCACAGCAGCCGCTGACAGCATTCCAAACGTATGTGGCCTTTGCAAACGGGCCTTTGGTGTATGTTGATTCTGAAAGTGAGTTTTTTATTTTTATTGTGGACCACCACGCTCGCAATCCCACTGGCAAGTGACCCTTATGGCCAGGTTCCTCATTCATGCGAAAGAGGTGCCTGCTCACCCAGTTGCTTTGGCCTGCTGCTGGCGGCCCCCTTGTAGCTATGGACTGGCCTTGGTCCAGAAAGTAATCCTCCCAGGTGAGTCAAGTCCCCTTTCGAAAAGTCACCTCTTCTGAGCCACCGTGGCAAGGGCGAGCCTCTATTAGCCTGAATCTAAATAGTATAGAGCATGTACGTATGTAGTTGGTGCAATATTTTCTTGCCCAGGCCTGACCACTGGCAATTTCCATTTCAAGTGAACTTTCTGCAGTGGTGCCAAATTAGGCGCCATGCGCGTCATTGGCTGAGGCGCTAGGGAAGACAGCCAAAGAATGGCAACTTGTACACTCAGAACTCAAGCTGTAAGCTTGCATGGATACTTGAAGGTACTCCTTGGGCTCTGCATGACGAAATTAGTTTCTGGAGACTTTTTATGCTGAAGAATTCCTGTGGTCAATGACTTCCAAGTTGTCGTAAAAGAATGGAATTCAGAGGTATTCCAAGGCCTTGGAGGCATACGCTGTCTCCAATCCGATACCAGCCGCAGACCTAAAGTTGGTATGCAGCCTTGAAGTAGCACGGACATCAGAAATTGGGGATCACCATAGTTTGGAATGTCTGAATCCAACAGGCCCCGAGTGCAGCAGATTGTTGCGGAATGTTTTGTGAAGGCTGCACACGTTATCCTCAGCTCGCGCATATACCATTCCTCGAGGAATTTGTCCAAGCAGGGGCCAAAGTGTTGGGTAAGCTGCAGACTGCCTGAAGTGCTTATTACACATCGCCAGGCTTCCCATGCAGACTGTTCCGACCAGAAAATTCTTGCTTGCTTGCTTGGCAAGCGCCATGTGTGCAGACAAGATCCTTTGCATCAAAGGATGCTTTCGGTACACCAAACAGTGGAAGACGCAGTTCAACTTGGTGCTTGGTTCTTATGCAGTTCAACTTGGAGTGTGAGGAAGTGGAGTGCGCCCAGAGAGAGGTGGAGCTGTGGCGGCGCGATCCGTCCTGCCCCATGATCATTGAGGCATGCAACACTTTCCTCAAGACCGCTCATCATCATGGTCATGGAATGGGATCTGTCGCCATGACTTGATTTCTCACCACTGTTCCATGCAGATCAATACAATGCATTTCATTATTGTTGACCTATTCCTGCTGTTGCACAGATCTACGGCAATGTATGGGCCGCCAATGAGGCAGCTGCGGCGATGGGACCATCTCCTCAGGCAGACTCAGGAGCAGCGGGTAAGCCATGTTGGCAGCGCGCTTCAGCCCTGGCAAGCTTGACCAACAGGCAGTAATTTATGATGAAAACGTCATGGGCATACAATTTGAGGGACTATGGCTGCCCCCACAGCAAGGGGATGATCTTCTGGCTGTGAGTGTGCATGCTGTGCAGCGTACCGTCTCTGTTGTGCAGTGTATTTATTTGTAACCTGCGCATGAGCAGTCCCGATGTGCAGGGCGGGTTCTGCTGGAGCGGTGGGTGCTGTCGTACGCGCCGGCGCTGCCGTCGGACGCCAAGGCGGGCGCAGGCCGGCCAATGACGTCGCGGCTGGAGCCGGCCGCCATCTACAAGCGCATGGTTATTGCGCTGCGTTCCCTCTTCTCCTACGTCCGCGTCCTCCCCACCTATAGCCTCTTCAAGGATTGCGCGGTGAGAAGTGTTTCCCTCTCTCGCCAGACATCCCGGCATGCTTCCTACCGCAGGCTCTTGACTGTTGCTCTCCTGCTCCCGCGCTTTCCACCTCTTGACTTGATCAATTTCTCTGTCCACATGTGCATACTCGTCAGTGCTGGAGCTTGTCAAGCCTGAAGGGCGCTTTCAATTAGCGCTTTGGTCTCCAGATTGAGGCATTGCATCCCCTCCGTTTGGTTCTGAGTGGCTTTGGTGGCTGGCGCAGCAGCAGCAGGGGAGGGGGTGCGCGAGTCTGCAGTACCGGATCAGCAGGGGCATGCCCGGCACGGTCGCACCCAGAGCGGCCCCGCTGCCGCCGCGGCCGGAGCACTTTGGGTTCACTCCCGTTGAGACGTCGTACGGCCTCTTCCGCATGAGCGTCGAGTTTGCGCACAGAGACATCGTGACCATGCTCAAGAAGACCACATCCCCTGGGCCAGTCGCGCAGGTGTTATCCTCAACCTAATCTTTTGCCTTCTCAGTGGTAATTGCTGGAAATTTGACTCATTCATGCAGAGGCGCTGCCATGTCGGATCATAGGAGATTCTTCTGGAGGCTGAGGTGTTCAAGATGATTTTCTTTCAAGTAGCTGGTTCATTGTCTCATAAGAGCAGTATTGACATGCAGATCATTCAGGACTACGCCAGCAGCGGCGGCCCGGCCCGGCGAGCACTGCAGATGGCTGCTTCCATGGTTGTCACGCGCAGCACCGAGCAGCAGCAGCCCTACCCGGGCTCATCCCCTCCCATCTCATCAGGCAAGACCGCCCATCGGCCATCTTGGGACACAATTTTCACAGAAGGCAACATGCAATTTTTAGTTTGAGGCAACGCGTTACCTGATAGGTGTTGTGGGACAAACTCATTCAGACGAGGCAAATTCTTGAGACCTCTGCTCTCCCTGAGGTGACTCGCAGCTCAAAATGACCAATAGCAAAGACTCTTTTTTCTGCGAGTCGAGAGCCAAGAGCCAGAAGATCATCAGTAAGGATAGATGCATGGCGCAGGCGCGGGCATCCTGCGGGGGGCGCAGCCCTTCACAACACAGCAGCCGGCGCTGCGGCGGCACAGCTGGACGCCACACGGCCTGCGCACAGCGCTCAGCACGATGCAGAGAACGCCAAGTCAGGCATCCCCCTCCCTCCCCGCCACCACCAACAGCGCCAGCGAGGCCGGCAGGCATGCATTCTCAGGGCCCGTTGCCGCCCAGTCGCCCGGCCATGACAGAGGCGGCTACATGGCCAAGCTTGCCACCCACATCGAGTCTGACGAGGTCTGCCCTCGCCCTTGGCTGTGCAAGCTTAGTTTCTGGTGTGCGCATCACTTTATTATTTGGTGTCCTGAATGCCCCAAGAACAATAGAGATTGTTGTGATTACATGCTCTTCCTGCCAGAGGATGTGTTAAATGATGGTGGTAGCGAATGCATGGCCTGTGTGTGTGACAGGCGACAGGCGCGACGGGGCCGGCCCAGGCCCATGCCTGGATGACGCCACCTAAGCACCCCGGGACTCCCACCTCCCCCCACTATGCAGCCACCACCGGCGCTGTCCGCACATGGAGCCGAGCCGCCGCCAATCAGGTCCCCAATCCACCCCCTTGTGCCCAGCAGAAATCGCGTGAACCTGCATTTCTCATGGACTTAGCCCCCAGTGCAGTGTGTAGAGGTCCTCACCCCTTCGAGTGTGCCACAAAGGTCTTGTTGTTCTGCAGGAGGCGCTGCTGGCAAAGACTCGGCAGACGGAAGTTCAGGAGCGCATGATGCAGCAGGCCAGTGGTGGACGGCCATCGCCAGAGCACGCCCCCGACCAGGTGCGCACCTGTACGGCCACGTTCCCTATTTTTAGGTTTTCTTTATGCGCCAGTTCATCTTCACCCCTGGAGCATCGATGAGCCCTGTGTCCTGTTGCATGCTATCAAGACAAAAATGCAAGAGGCAAGCCTGGCTCAGTAGCGTGTAATGGTCAAGGGGTGCTCGGATGCAAAAAAGCCATTTTGCCCCGTACTTAGATCTCCTTTGTCGCCGTCGGACCAACCCCTGGGCATATCAATTTGGCAACTCTTTCCCCTTTGAATAATGCTTTGTGGCGCTGGGCAGGAGGCTGCGGCGGGAGGTGGACCGCGGCAGAGCAGCGCGCCGGTGTGCATCCCCGGGGCTTCGGAGGGAACGCACCGCAGCCGCATCCACTCCTCCGGCGACCTCGCCGCCATGCAGCGCCGCAACGCCTCCCCACGGGTGCCCACTCCCAAGTCTCCCACAGCTCCTCCCATGCAAACTTGGTGGTCCTGTTTGTGTTATCTGTGGCCCTTTCAGTGGATGTCTGTGCCAAAGCAGATGTCCAATACAGGACAGCTACTTGTATGCGTTCTGCAACACGCTCACAGACCTGCGTCGACATGGAGGTCTGCAGGATCACTGCAGAAATAACCTGCTGGACCCTATGATGCCAGCTTTGACCTGCTTAAATCTGAAAGCCCCTGATGAATAGCAACCTGCTGAAATTTGAAAACATATGCAAGGATTTGCAAGATGCACATTTGTGTGTGGGATGTATTTGAGAGACTGGTGTTGTGCGCTGCAGCCCTTAAAGACTGTGAGGTGGACGAGCGGTGTCATAAAGACTCCAGCGTCGGCGCCGGCAGCGTCTGCTGCAGTGAGCCTGGATCAGCCGCCGCACCTGCAGGAGGTGGACTTGGAGCCCATCAGCGCTCGCACCACCGGCTTCAACGTTCCCCTGCAGCCTGACAGGGTCCCTCCTGGCAGCAGCAGGTCCGCCACCCGGATCTATCAGAGAATAAATATTTTCAATCCGCCGCACTGCGCAACCCACTTTGATCTTTGTGAAAATGAGTTGCCCGGCCCTCATCTGTAAGACATTTCTATTAGGCTCGTTTTATGATGGGAACTTAATGGAGTACCCCTTCGTCATAAGTGGCGCTTGACAGAGCAAGCACTTGCTGACAAGGGCTTGAGGGTACATTTAAGTATGGTTTTGCTGTCTTTATGAAGGTGTATTTGAAATAAGGTATATCATAGACGCCCTGATGAAGCCTGGGGCTTAAGGAGACAGAGGTCAAGCATGCCAAAGGTATGATTGACCGCGCCACTGTGAGGGCATGGGTTTAGCCCTATGAGGTGTATATGTCAAGGCAAGACGGGTGCACTGATGCGGCGGTGGCTTGCAGCGGCAGATCGCTGCTGCGCAAGGACAGCGGCCAGGCCGCGTCAAGCGGCGGCTCGGGCCGGCGGCCGTCGTTCGGCAGCGGAGGATCCGCACAGCCTCCGCCGACGCCGCCGATACTGGGCGGCGGCCTGGGGGCCGGCCCCGGCAGCGAGAGCAGCGGCAGCGTGGCATCCTCCTTCCCGGCCTCCTGCTCGCCCCAGCTTCCCTTCGCGTTCACACCCTCTGCGCTGTCACTGTCGTCTCTCCACTCGGTGCGCTGCCGCCTGCTCTCTGCCAATATCATTTCAGTGGCGTATTAGAATCTCAGTTTGCATGCGGTGCTCTTCCTGCAGAAGCTCACGGCTGTGCAGGGCTCTCCTTATCATGATGTGAATTGGGTCCTTTCTTACGTGAGAGAGGGTTCATATGTGTCAGGAAGGTGATTGCAGAATGCGCTGGAGACGAATTATTGAAGTACCCATCGCATTCTGTAGTCATACCCCGCACACGTCAAACTCGTTTTCAATCTGGAACCTACGCCATCAGAAAAGGGCGCTGTCTGCCTAACCACTGACAAAGCCTTGCGTTAGCTTGATATCTGACTGGGTGCGGCGGCATGCAGGGCCAGAGTGGGGGCCTGCACGCAGGAGCCGGCATGGCAGCATCACCGGCGGCCGTCGGCCCGGGAGCGCTGACGGTGTTCCGGCGGCGGTCTGTGGGGGCGTCCCCGCGCTCGAGCGCTTTTGATCTGCCACCTCCGGGCGCGCTGGGGTACTCGCTGTCGCCGGTGCAGGGCAGCCTGGAGTCTTCCCTCATGGGCGCCTCCACTCCGCGCTACCCCTGCACTCTGCCCCTCATCCTGCCCTCCTCCTACCCCTCGCCCCTGCTCCCCGCCGGCCGTGCGCCCCCCTCCGCCTGTCCCCACACCCTACTGATCGATGTTTTCATTTCCGAGATGTCCCTTGATCATGCCAGTGGAGCTCTGCTGACTGTCTATATTCTTGAGGGATGTCCAAGCTGAAAGTATCACCAATATGCTGTTCACCTGTAGTTGCATAAGGTGTGAGTTTCTGCTGTTGCCTGTCCATCATCGTCCTTTGTCCTTACTTTCTTTTCTATTCTGCATGATGGCATAGAAAGCACAATCTGCCTCGAGCATGAGGCTGCTGCTCGGATCAGCTGCCGTCTACACAGAGCCTTATGGTTTGGTGTTGCATGCGTTGCCACAGGGGGCGTGGCGGCGTCCGGGGGCAGCTTCAGCAGCATGGTGGGGCCGCCCCGGCTGACCTACCCGAGCTCAGGGTCAACGGGGGACCCCGCTGAGCTGGCGGCGCTGCCCAGCGAGGAGGCCGAGGCGGACGTGCTGCCATTCGCCCTCGACGCGGACGCCGTGCCGGCCTCGCCGCAGCCGCCTGTTCCCCTGCGCATGTCACTGGGCGGCACGCCATCCCCTCCAGGTATCCCACCTTCTCTCAGAACTTCCTCTGGAATGGTCATGTGGAGAATATCCTGGCCTTCACCAATGCGCTCTCAGATCTCAAAGTTGGTGGCAACGCTCCTCGGCCCTCTTTGATCTTTCGCAGCCTTGGATCAAGGTTCCTGGATGCGCCTGCGGCATGGCTTCATCTGCATTTGCGCCTGTGCAAACTCTGTGCAGGTCTTTGTGCAAAGGATATACGAGTGTGAGATGCATTCCTCCAGCTAGAGATGGGGCTGATGAGCTGATGTGGAATGTGGCAGAGCTGGATGAGGAGGTGGGCGCATTCGTGCGCGCCATTCAGGAGGCGCCGCTGTCGCTAACGCGCGGGGGTGTTCCCTCCGCGCTTGCTCAAGCCGGCCCGGCGCCGCCGCCGAGCCGGCTGACGCTTCAGGCCGGCCTGGACCAGCTTGCGCGCTTCAAGGCCCGCGTGGAGGCCTCCTGAGTTTCTGCAGATTGGGTTTATAGACCGTGCTCTTTGCACTGCTGTCCTGTCTTTTTTACTCCACATTGACATTTTGTGCTGGACGCGCATCTGTACATCGATGCTGTAGACTGCGATCCGCATTGATCAGGGAAGAAGACAATTCCCAGAGTAGCCCTGTCCCTATCAAGTCCCTGTGCAAGAAGATCTGCATGCTCGTTGGATATGCTAGGTTTCTGTTGTTGATGCGTCAACGATCATGTAGATCTTGATGGGTCCGTATTCTTGTGCTTCACCAGACATTCAGCCAAAAGCACTGCCTGCTTCCTTCAGGAAATCTGCATGTGCAGCATCATCACTGTACATGTTGCTGATTAATGAGTTGCAACTTGTGAATTGCAGGCTAGGGCTAGACGTCTGTAAGCATGAGTAGACTACGTTGAGATCAGATGTCAATTAATATCAGGGATTCTCGCGGTGTGGCATGCATAGCATTCGGCTTGTAGGTAATTGTTTGAAATGTTTATGTCTATGCCGTCGCCATTGCAAATATTGCGGACTGGTACGACTCATGTGATTGTTCTGGTATCAAACGTTTCATTGTAATCGGTATTGAGATCATCCATCACCAAGTATAGACATGGCATCCCAGACGCAAGCGATCAATGAAACACAGTTCAACTTTAGATTCTAGAAGATCTGAAGCACAAGAACAGCAAGATACCAGAAGGGCTAGCAAGGATCGTATAAAGATTTCTTGGTGAATTCAACGACGCAGCACATTGTGCAGCGCCTCCTCTCGAGGGGATCTCCCTAGCGCTGCAACATTAAGCTGTGCAGCCCCACATTGCAGCAAGAGAGATGCACAGATTGCATGCTGCAGCAGAGGCCGGCAGCGGAGTGACCACCACAGAGCAGGCGCCAGGAGCTGCCCATCTGGGCAGGGAGCAGGGCTCAGTAGCGGTAGTGGGCGGGCTTGAAGGGACCGGTCTTGGGGACATTGATGTAGGTGGCCTGGTCGTCGGAGAGGATGGTGAGCTTGGCGCCCAGCTTGGGCAGGTGAAGCGCGGCCACCTTCTCGTCCAGGTGCTTGGGCAGCACGTACACCTTGTTCTCATAGCGGCCAGACTTGCGCTCGTTCCACAGCTCCAGCTGCGCAATCACCTGATGCACCACATTGCGACCATCAGCATGTCTTGCCATAATTCATTTCTTGTTATTCATGCTCTAGTGAAAGTGCAAAAGTTGATGAGGCAAATTGCATACTTGAATGTGCATCAGGCAACTGGACTGCAACAACGTGCTTAAGAAGGTTGCTGCCCAGTTGCCAGCACTCGCAAAGGCTAGGCTACAGGAAGAATGCGTGCTGGCAGCACTCAAGGGAGACAGCGTGGTGCAGCGATGACAATGGAGGATAAGGAGTAAATGTGCACCTGGTTGGTGAAGGAGCATGACATGACGAAGGAGGGGTGGCCGGTGGCGCATCCCAGATTGAGCAGGCGGCCCTCGGCCAGCACGATGACGCCGTGGCCGTCGGGGAAGATGAAGCGGTCCACCTGGGGCTTGATGTTCTGCCTCTTCATGCCTGCGAAGCCACAAGCCGCCTCACATCAGACAAACCCTCACCCCTGACACTACCTCACCTTGCCATGCACGCCAAGTTACAAGGTCACAGCAATGGCAAGCTCCGTGCTTTGCCCCTGACTTATCAGTTGAATTGCTTGGACATGCACAATGCGGCCACTAATGGCTCAAATATCCACAACTCTGCACAGAAAATTATCACAAGGCGCAGAAATCCATCACAAGATAAAGGGTCACAGAAGCAGTGTGAGAAACCATGTGAAAGGGAAAAAAAGCAGACATGCGCACCTGGCCATGAGGTAATGCCGGCCATGTCGATCTCGTTGTCGAAGTGACCGATGTTTCCGACGATGGCGTTGTTCTTCATCTTGGACAGGTGGTGCGCCATGACAATGTCCTTGTTGCCCGTAGTCGTGATGAAGATGTCCACGTTCTCCAGCACGTCCTCCAGGGGAGCCACGGAGTAGCCCTCCATCGTGGCCTGCAGCGCGCAGATGGGGTCGATTTCCGAGATCGTCACGCGCGCGCCTGCGGGAAAATATACACACACCGGGATCAGAAAATGACTCAGACACCCTTTCGGCCAGCAGTAAACAAGAGACATGCATGCACTTGCAATTTGCTGCATGGCACTGCATGCCCATGTACAGCTGGACAACAAAGGCTTACTTGCATTCACACACTGTGACACTTGCAAGCCTTTTGCATTTATGCTCTCCGTGGTTGACTCAGCATCGGAGAATTAGCATCGGAGAACAGCCAGACTGTCCCTCTGGCTCCTAAAAGATGTTGATCTCACAGAGCTGCAACTTGCAGGCTATGTTGCTGATGCAGAAGGGTGGCAAAGGGCGGGAACACGTTTGCAGAAGGGAGGATGGGGTAGGGTTTGACGCACCGGCGGCCTTCATGGCGGCGGCGGATCCCTTGCCGACGTCACCATAGCCGGCGACCCAGCAGTGCTTGCCGGCGAGCATGACGTCGGTGGCGCGCATGATGCCGTCGGGGAGGGAGTGGCGGCAGCCGTACACGTTGTCAAACTTGGACTTGGTCACGGAGTCGTTGACGTTGATGGCGGGCACCATGAGCGTGCCGCTGGCCTGCATCTCGTACAGCCTCTTCACGCCGGTGGTGGTCTCCTCGGACACACCTGCTCCATGCATGCCAGACTGCTGATCAACAACGGTGCCAGCACACTTGTATTCGTAAATCAGCAAGTGTCGCATTTGCCAGCACAGCAACTATGACTTCAGTACTATGCTGCATAAACCTCCCCCAGCTAAATTGCTGAGACATGCATGGGCCTAGGGGCGGGAATGGCATGTGAAAGACACACCAGCCCCCTCTAGGCGACACTCACGCAATTGAGCTGCAAGTACACAGCAGAATTGATTGTGCTAAAGGAGGCATGGGGCAGGCAGAGAGAGGCTCACCCTGGAGGGCCTCAGCGTATCTGGTCCACTTGGTGGGGTCCTTTTTGAGGCCGTCGCGGATGAGGCCCAGCACGATCTGGAACTCTGGGTTGTCCGTGGAGGTGGGGTCGGGCACGGTGCCGTCCTTGGCGTACGCCTTCTCGGCCTTGGCACCCTCTGCATGTCACTTTAGCAATCACCAAGGGTTGTGTGACACCGTGGGAATCAGATGGGAGTTTCGTGCTCGTCAACCCTATTCACCAGACAGATATTCACGCAAGGCGACGACGACGATACAAGGTGGTAGTGATCGCTTCTACGGGTGAGTTCTAACCGTGGATGAGCAGCGTGGCGTCGCCACCGTCGTCCACCAGCAGGTCCGGGCCACTGCCATCGGGCCATGTGAGCATCTGCTCAGTGCACCACCAGTACTCCTCCAGGGTCTCACCCTTCCACGCGAACACCGCGGCGGTGTCACGAGCAACAGCGGCAGCAGCATGGTCCTGGTGCAATCACGCTGTTTCAGACCGCTTTTCTTTCAAGCATTCTTATCAATTATAAGCTGTGCATGTTAAGAGAATACGGGATATCGATCAGCGTGCCAGGACAACCCTCACGATCAGTACTGGCAACAGCAGGCAATTACAGCATCTTTGAATCATCAGTGAACTGCAAACAAGAAAGCGATCCTTTGGATATACCTGTGTGCTGAAGATGTTGCAAGAACACCATCTGACATCTGCGCCAAGAGCTGTCAGGGTCTCGATCAGCACAGCGGTCTGAATAGTCATGTGCAGACTTCCGGCAATTTTGGCGCCCTTGAATGGCTGCTGAGCGCCGAACTCGGTCCTGCAGGCGATCAGACCGGGCATCTCGGCTTCTGCGAGCTCGATCTCCAGACGGCCGAAGTCCGCCTGGGAGATGTCCTTCACCTTGTACTGTGACAGGCACAAACACACTTCAGTCAATCAGAAAGATTGGCTGAATGAAGTCTTGCATCTTCACTGCAGATGACGATCCCGAGATAGGCAGCTTTAAAATTTCTTCTTTCATTGATATATACAGCACGTGCAAAGGCAGCAACACAGAACACGACAGGGCAAATCCTGGAGATTGCAAATTTGAGCAAGGGAGACAGGGATGTACCTGGAAGCCCTTGGCTCCCTTGTCGACAGTTCTCAGCACCTCGGCACCCATGTTTGCTTCTGAAGTGGGGGAAAATGCTGAATTGAAGAGATGCTTAGGGAAGAGTATTGAGTGCTTCGACCAGCAGCCAGTCGTGAACCTGGGGGGCGTCTTGCGTTCGATACATAACACCCCTATTACTAGGGTGAAGGAGGGTTCGATATGAAACCCTTTCCGCCAATGTGTGCACCTAAACAGGCTTCCCTCCTTCAAAACAGAGGAGGCAGGGAGGCAAAACTCACCGACCCACTTTGCAAGATCAATCTGGACCCGGTGTGCCTCGGGAGGACGATCCACAGCACCTGTTGTTCGGGAATGTCTAGGACGTCTTCAGCATAGGAGTACCCAAATTGCTCGGAGCGCCCAAACCTGGCTGGAGACCCGAGGGGGGAGGGACGAGACGGCCTCAGGCCCGAGAGGAGCCTTGCGATGGCCAGATGTTGCGCTCAGGATCAATAAGTGGCAGATCGGAGGGTCTGGAACAGCTGCAGATCGGCGTGTCTGAGCTACTTTGAGAGCCAGGTTGTCCGCGGACCTCCGAAGGTGAGCTCCGAACATGTGTCGAGGTTTCCTTATTGGATGAAGGTGCTGTCGCTTGCGTTGAATGGGCGGAGTGGTTCAGGACATCATGAAAGATCCACAGCATTGATGCCATGCCTGGATGGTTTAGGGTACGTTTCCTTCTCTTGGGGTGTTGCCAGTTTGGCTTCGGAAAGGTTGATCTAACAGAATCGGCACCTCGTTTACAAGTGGAGTGCACAAGGTCGACGATGGTCGCCTTGGATGCGCTCCACCTGCAATACATGTGTGTCCCTAATGACGGGATTCAATTGCAAGCCCGGGAAAAGGGTCCTCAGATGCCGCCCCCTTTTTTGCAGTCCCGCCTCGCGTGGGTGGCACGAAGGGTAAGCAGGGAGGATCGTGTTCCAAAATGATACAAGGGTATGGATCTGGGCAACTTCACGAGATCGGACTCCGCATACCCGTTTTGGTGTTCTGCCCTGTGAGCGGGATGTGTATAAGTCTATAAGCTTTTGAATGGGCGGCCCGAGGCGCACTGTTGGCGACCGAGACACAGGATCGCTGCAATGGTAGACGATTTTGAAGCAATCAGATTGGCCGATCATGCTGGATCCTGTCAGGGTAGTGGTCTCTGTCCCGCCCAAGGCGAATTTCCAGAGCTTGCCCAAGGAAACCTGTACAGGCATTTCCAACTACTCTCCTCTCGGATCGATGCCAATGCCAGTCATTAGATTTAAATTGTGGCCTGATCACAGCAGCCGCCAGGGAGATCAGGGGACAGGGTGTCCACATTTCCACATCCTTGGGCACCTGATTCAGGATGCAGGTAGTTGGTTCAATGACAGATCAGCACAACATTGGAGCATGAAGCATGCAATCAGTACTCTCAACTCAGAAGTCGTGTCTAATCCATGCTGTTTTCTTGCAAACAGGCAGTTCCTGCCAGCTTGCAGCCCCACAAGGGGACATGAGGTGGCTACAATGCGTATGAGGAGGGCTGAGGACGGCAGCGTGTCAAGTGGGAAGAGGGATGGCAGGGATACAGTACCAGAGAGTGGGAGCAGGGTCAGAGGGAGCAGCGCCAGCATCACAGCTGGGCCACCTGACCAAGTCTGTTGATGCCTTCCAGCTGGCGCCAGCTCATGAGGTGCGCTTAGGGCAGTGATCTGTGTTGCGGATGCTCAGCTTTTACCTCACATGCCGTTGTAATGATGGGGGCCTCATCATGCACAGAGGCAGTTGCTGGTGCTAGTTTACTGATCAGCGGCAGTTGCCTGAATGCAGGTGCCATGCCCGGCTGGGAGGCTCAGCGGACTCAGGAAGAGGAAGAACGCTGCAGCGGGCGTGCAGGTACTTTCACTCAGCATTGCATCATCCCACATCACCCACAAGGGTGCTTTGTTAGATTATCCATTCCTTCGCCCATCACATCATGCCACAATGGCGGCGATTTGGCATATGCATGACATCTCAGAATATCTCAGAGGCGGTATAGTGAATGGGCTGCGTTCCACTTGCAGGAGCAGCTTGAGAGGAAGTTTGGGGCGCCGCTGGCGCGCACGTTGTCAGTGGAGGAGTCAGCGCGCAGCAGCGCCAGCCTGGGCACGGGCCTGGCCGGCGAGTGGCGCATGCGGCTGCTGGGCGACAGCGAGGACGACGGCGACAGCCCCGCCAGCCTGCTCCGCTTCTCCATGCCGCTGAGTGGGTGCCCTGTCAGCCACGACATATATTAATCGTATTGCTTTGTTAATGGTATTCACTGCATGCTTCGTACTCTGCCACAGGCTTGTGATGGCCTGTCATGGATTGCCGGAAGGGTTGTTTAGCATCCAGGGCTCTTGTAGTTGCTCTATGCATGCTGTATTGGCTGGCAGGCTTGCAACAGACCCTTAAATTCTTATCATGGTATGCCGGAGGAGGTTCAAAAGATAGGGCTGAGGCAAGTGTTATGTTTACAGGCGAGGAGGTGGAAGCCGGCGGGAAACGGCGACGGGTGACGCCGCAGGTGCCACGCAGCTTGGGCCACCTTTGCAGCGTGGCTGCCGCGCTGTCATCGGAATCCGCGTCCCCCGCGCAGTGCCTCGCCAGCAGCACGCCCGATGCCTGCGAGGCCGCGCAGCCGCCGCACAGCTGCCCCAGCCCCTCCTGCCCAGAGGAGCCTGAGCTGCATGTCAGCACCGGCGAGGAGCTCTCCTCCGCCTCGTCCTCCGACCTGGACAGCTCCTCCCCGGACTCCTGCTACGAGCAGGCCTACATCTGCGACGCCGGGGCGCGCGCGGCAGCGCCGGCCCCGGCGCGGCTGCAGGGCTCCTCCAGCCTGCGCCAGCAGCAGCTGCCGCAGCCGTGCGCGCAGCACATGGCGCCGCCGCGGTCCGCGCCGCGGCAGCAGCGGCGACCGCTCGGGCAGGCAGAGGTGTACCGCTTCGGGCAGGGCATGCAGCTGCGCAGCAGCCGCCTCTCCGTGGCCGGCGCACCCCGCGAATGCCACCGCACGCGCTCTGGAGTCGCCAAGCGCGCCCCGGCCTCCGAGTTCATCGATCTGACGCAGTCTCCTTCCGCGGCTCCCGGCGCGCCGGCCGTGCCCACCCAGGCGCAGCCGGTGGCCACCGTGCTTCGCATCGCCGCCCTTCAGGTGGCGGCCAGCGCGCCAGCGCAGCCAGAGCCGGTCCCCCCACAGGTGGCGGGGGGCGACCAGCCGGCGGCGGGGGGCGACACCACGGTGGCGGTGGCCAACCTGATGGCGGGCCACTCCCTGGCGAGGCTGCCCCCTGCGCAGCTGGCGCTGCTGATCGCCAACCACAACGGGTCGGACCCAGTGCTGACGCAGGCGCTGCAGTGCGCCATGGCCGCCCTCTCCGACGCGCAGCTCGGCGCCGTCGGGTGCGCCTTCCAATCCCCTTACAAAATCTGCTGCTTCTTTGGCCCGATCTCAATCTGCGCGATTAAAAAACAACAAACAGCAGATCAGTTTGAAATACAGAGCTTCAGCTTCCTCATACAGATTGTTGTCTGTGCCTTGAGCCTGTCTGTTGCCTTGTTGTGAAACCTACGTTTCCGCCTTGGCCCTGCTTATTGCTACCTGCTTAGGAGCAGAGAAGATAGTGTCAGGTGCCTGACATGTGCCGGCTGGTTGTACGCAGGTGCGCGCTGCAGGAACTGAACCGCGCGCTGCGGGGCCCGGCCGTACACAGCACGGGCGTAGCCAAGGCGCAGCGGCTGCAGCCGGAGGCTGTCGATGTTGCGGCCAACCCAGCCGGCAGTGCAATGGTCACTGGTGTCAAGGTGATCATCTCTTCCGCAGAACACCAGCTGTAATATAGCCAAGATACCATCCTGGATTTAGCAGCAAAAGGCGTCCTCAACCCATCAAGGAACCACCGGTCAATGTTTGAAGCTACTAAGATGCTTGAAGAGGGAGCTCCATTCCATGTTGTCATCCCAGGCAAGGCATCCCAAGCACTGCCGAAGAGATTGTCAGTTTTGCACCTTGTGCTGAGGGGATGCGGTGCGCGCTGTAGGCACCGGCGTACAACGTGCTGCGCATGCCGCGGCCGCTGCTGCCGCCTCAGGCGCAGGTGCAGCTGGAGCTGTGCCGGGCGCTGCAGGCTGGCGCGTCCGCTGCGGTCTGCGCGCCCTCCTGGCTGCAGGTGCTCACCATGTGGAGCCGCGGCACCGACATGGCCCAGGCCGACACCCCCGCCTTCGCCCTCCACCTCTGGACGCGCGTCCAGCCCCTGGTGCGCACCTTCTCCGCTGCTGCCTGCTCTCAACCGGCCATCCCTTCACCTCGAAGCAATGCACTCGCAAGCTTGCACAAGCGTCAGCATCAAAGTTATCTTTCAGCCTGTCTGATGCCTGACCTGCTCGTTGTGCCTCTCTTTCTGGCATGCCTTACGCCGCCCTGCTGACTGCGCAATAGGGGTCCTGTTTGGCACGGCAGGAGAGCGCATGTTGTGGCCCTCGATTGAAGGCACAGTGGGCTGACAAGTGGTCTTTTGCTCTTCCATAGGTGTCGGCGGAGCACGTGGCGAGTTTGGGAGCGGTGAAGCCGTGGGAGACGGTGGTGCTGGCGTGCCTGTGGGTGGCGGCCAAGCACGAGGAGGCGCGCCGCGCGCTGCCCCCGGCCAGCCGCATGGCGCCGCTCGCCTCCTGCAACGCGCGCACCCTCTGCGCCGTGGAGATCCACGTGCTGGAGCTCGTCCGCTGGGCCCCGCTGTCCATGTGGGACGACCGCCACCACACCAAGGGCGTGCGCGTCAGCTTGCAGGAGCTGCCGGCCTGATCTGGCGCCATGCGCTGACCTGGCATGCGCGCCTGATCTAGCGCCGGCCGCCGTCGCCTGACTTGGCGCCAGGTTGCGCCTGCTTCAGCGGCTACCCGGAACACGACAGATGCATGGGGCATCCATGTCTGGCCCATCGTTGGGGCCGGGGTTTTAATTGCTTGCCTCAGCGGGAGGAAGGGAGGGGGTTTGAGTATGGGAGTAGGGATAATTTGGGGAATGGGTTGTGTGACAGGGATTGTCCTGGAAGTGAAGGAAGTCACCCAGCATAAGGAGTAATGTGGCCGTCCCTGCACTGACGATGGCACTCAAGTAGCGACCCTGCACCTTTTTTGTGTTCTTTAGCGGAGAGAGCGCCCTGCGCCCCATCGGCTGCAAGGGGAGGTGTGAGTTAGAGGATACAGGTCAGTGAGAGGCACTGAGAGTGAGCAGCCCTGGAGCAGAGCCAGCGGTGAATTGGCACCTTTGTGCCTGAGTGGAGGACGGTAGTGGGTGGCCTGCCTGGGTGCAAGCAGGGCTCTGATTGCCCCGCAACTCTTTTCAAGCATCATCTGCCCGGAAACGGATTGGTTTCCTTCAGAGTTTTACGAGGCACGGCTTCAAGATCACCATGCCGAGCCCTGTTTTATCTGATGTTTTGAGACGGCCGACCCCTGGGCAAATATGTATGCATGCAAGTGCGACGGAACGAACGAGGCCTGGTCATGTGCAACCAAACAAATGCAAGACAAGAGAAGCAATGAACGTACAAGTGCAGCCACTCTGGTTTGTGATCCAGAGCTGGCTGTTGTGGTTACTGCGAAGGAATGCATCAAGAGATCTGTCCCCCAAATTGATATCTGTCCAGAGACTCTCTCTTGTGCGTATGCACACGCTGTGTCGGATCCTCTTTAGTTTATGACACTGGAGCCCGATGTGCGTTGCCCGTGGCTGTGAGCGCTGTTCAAGCACTTAGAATTGCAATTGCCGCAGTCTTAGTCAAATCTCTGCCCTGTGCGGATGCTGACTTCGTTCTGATGATGCACCTCCCGTGGGCATTTTGCTGGGCGCCTGAGGGCGACTGCATGAAGGTGCAGCAATTCTGTGGAAATCGGTCAAGTGAAATTGTTAGCCGTGTGATCGGCGCAAATGTTCCCAGATGCGCTGTCACTGCCATATTCTTTCAACAGCTCAGCTGTTTGAAGTAGCTGTAAGGCTGTCCTCAAGACTGGTGACATCTCTGTAACATGATTTCCGCTGGGTGGGGCAAATGGCAGCTGTTGCACACGCATACATGTCATGATATGTTTTGCACGATCTCTGAATGCTTGAGCGCGGTTGTTCAAAGAGTGACTGCGAATGCAAAAACGCTTGTATTACATGCATGGCAACTCACTGTCTTCATCCCACATCCTAATTATCCTCTCACTGTCAAGATGTTTACAAGAATGCATTTGTTCAGTTCATCGAAGCACACATGCAGCCATAAAAGTCATTAGCAAATACTCCACGCCACAGAGAACCCTTCAGCGCCTGCGGGAGAGCATGCTCAGCGCCAGGGCTTCTTGGTCTGCAACGCTCAGCTGCGCAATCGCTGAGCCCCTGGAGGCAGCGCCTGCTTCTGACTGCCTGGCCATGCCCATGTGCGAGAGCTCCGGCGCAAGCCGCTTCCTAGGTGCTTCCTCCCCGTCTGCACCTCTGCCGCGCTTTCTGCCTTCTGCCGGCCTCTCATCATCCATGCTTGCGTCAGAGTCAGCTCCGCTAGTGCCCTCGCTGCTTCCAGCATCAACATGCCCCTCCTCGTCGCTGGATGGACCCTCCTCACCGCCTGTCCACCAATTACAAATCGCAATGACAAGTCCATGCTTTGGTACCTCTTTACACCTCAAACAATGTGCCGTACAGGCAAGGCTTCCGCTTGGTCTGAATTAGGCAGGCCACAACAACGTGGGCACCGCTTCCACTAGCGCTCCCTAATTTGAGCGGAATAACCATGAACAGGCACAGCGCAGCAAGAGGGGCTTGGCGGTCGGGGGCGTGCCTGCCAGCCTCACGCCGGTGCCGTCGGCCTCGTCGGCGGCTCGGGCGCGCGCGCGTTCCTTCTTTTGCTGCGTGCGCTGCCGCCGCCGCTCCCGGTAAGCCTCGCGGTCGGCCGCGTCTCGCGCCCGTAGCTCCTCACGAGCGCGCGCAAACCGCTCCTCCGCTGTCAGCTCCTCTGCGCCCGCGTCCCTGCAGCGCAGACTCAATTCTCATCTCCGCATCATAGCCTCATTTGCAAGGAATGATTCACAATGAAGTGGCTTGTTTTTCTGTCATGGCTAGCTACTGCTGACAACATGACAAGCAAAGTTGACCATAGTGCACCATCACTGCATGCCAATGAATTTAGAGGGATCATGTGCCTGATCAGAAGCCACTCTACTTTGCAAGCTCAAGGCCAGTCAGCACACAATCGGAAGCATGCTGAAGCTTGCTTTGGTTGAATGTATTGTTTAACAGAGCAGGGGCGTGGGTGGCTGCGCACTCGGCAGAGACTGACAGTGCCAGCTGCGCCAGCGGCTGCAGAGCCTGCCCCTCCTCATCGAACACCACGCGGCTACCCGTCGTCTTGCCCACCTTGATCTTCAGTGGCTTCTTCTTCTTGTTCTTGGTCGCGCCTGCACACCAATCCTCTACTCAATTCCCTTGTGATCCCTTGCTACAGGAGCATGCACAGTCATGCAGCTGGAATGCAGCAACCGGGAGAGTGCCAATCCGAAATTCCTTTCATGTAGGAGGGATGACCAAATTGGTCAATGGCTCACGTGGTTCCGGTATATCTTCCGGCACTTCAGGTGCAAGGTCCAGGTCATGAATGTTGCGCCTCTTCACCACAAACCCGCCGTCATCACTGTCCTCCACGCTGCCGCTGCCGCCGCCTCCAACCCCCGCCTCTTCTGGCCTGCCCAAGTCCAAGTCCACATCTCCCGCCCCTGCCCCTCCGCTGCTGCCCGCGCCGGCTCCGCTGACTCTGCGCGCCTCATTCTCCATGTCATCGCTGACATCATCATCGTCAATGTCATCGTCGTCGCTGACGTCATCGGCCTCGCTGTTATCGGCACGCGTGCCGGCCGGCGCGGCCTTAGCGGCGGCCTGGGCGTTGACGCGCTTGAGGAAGCGCAGGCGCGGGGCCGAGGCGAGGCCGAGCGAGGCCGCGTACTCGGCTGCGGGCAGCGCTGCCACGTTGAAGACCGCCTTGTTGGGCTGCAGGAAGACAGAGCGCATGTAGGACACCAGCGCCCGCTGCGCCAGCTCCTGCACCATGACCGCAATTTTTGCATCAGCAGCTGCACCAGTCAGACCTCTCTCCGACATACTACCTAATAGAAGTCAATATCTGCAACAAGTTTTTCTGACAAGCCGGTGAGAACCACCCATATTTACACCTGCCTCCTGTCTGCAAGTGACTTGCAATTAATTTACTAGATTAGGAAAATTTGTACAAGGTGAAGAGCTGGCAGGTTGGGCACCTTTAGGTCGGTGCTCTTGGAGAGCATGGCCTGCAGGGCGGGGCCGATGGGCTGGGTCTTGTTGGGGTTGATCTTGAGCGGCTTGATGGGAATCTTGGCCTGCTCCAGCTGCCGCAGCATCGCCTCCTTCTCGCTCGGCAGCACCATCAGCAGCGACCGCCCGCCTGCTCGCACATCGACACATTGTATTTCCCCACACAGTGAATCTCCGGGACAATGAATGCCTTTGCCAGTTGCACTCTTTCCCAAATTGATTTGATACCTGTACAGTGCATGCCACCACATGGGTGCAAGGGCATTGAATCAAGCCCTTGCAAGATGCACACTTCCATTCTACGCCTGGATGTCCATATGGTGCATGCCGCGACATGAGAATTGCTTGCTCATCTGAAGACAGATGGAGATCTGCTCGCTGGCGGGGCCTTGTGCATGGATGTGAGCGGAGAGTACCTGACACATAGCGGGCAGTTCTGCCCACACGGTGGATGTAGCAAGCCACGTCCTCGGGGCAGTCCATCTGAAGGACCCAGTCCACACTGGGGAAGTCCAGGCCTCGCGCTGCAATGTCCGTAGCAAACAGCACTGCGCCTCCCTTGGCCTGTCGTGCACAATCAGCTCAAACAGTGTGCATGCTTTCAAAGCTAAACCAGCAGACAGTCTCGTCGCCTTTCTGCAGAAAGCATGACCTGAGAAAGCATGACCTGCTCTGTGTCCTTGAATCGTTGATACAATCCTGATTGCTAGCGTCATGCATCTTGTTCTGAGGTTCGAGCCCCTGTGATATTGTCATTAGAAAATGGGTACATTTGATATGATCCTCACCTCGCTGAATTCGAGGAAGGCTGCCATGCGCTTCATCTGCTTCATTTTGCCATGGATGCAGCGCAGCGGCACCCCCGGCCGCAGCCTTCGCAGCACCTCATACGTGTACTTCACCTGCTTGCACGTGGACAGGAACACCAGCACCTTTGCCTGCGCCAAAAGAACAACACATATTACAATATCAGCAGCTAATTGCATGTTGTCGGATGCAAAGGGGGCAGACGCCTAATGTGAATCAGGGCTCAGGCAGTAGCTCAGACTCGTGGGCCCAAATCTACAAGGAGATGAAGAGGCTCACCCTGAGATGCGATTTGATGAAGGCCCACAGGATGCTCATCTTGTTGGGCAGCTCAGAGATCACATACGCCTGCGTCAGCATATTTCAATCAGTCAGCCTGTGCTCCCCTGCCAACACCCCTCCTCTTCTAGGGCTCCGATCAACTCGTGTCAGTGTGGATGACAAGCTACAGCATGTCATTGTGCATCCTGCTTTGCACGCTATTCAAGATTTTGCCATATGTAGAGGTCATTTGGTATCTTGGGGTCATCTGGTATTGTGAATCAAGGAGAAAATACATCTGGTCATGAAAGGCATCTGGTACCTTGGGTCAAAAGGGGCCCAGACCTGCTGCAGCTTGAGGGGGGTGGGCGCGACGGCCTCTGCATGAATGGCAATGTAGGTGGGGTCACGCAGGCTCAGCCGCGCCAGGTCCTTCACAGACCGCGTCTGCGTGGCCGAGAACAGCATCGTCTGCCGCTGCGGCGGCAAATTTTCTATGATTGCATTCACCGTCCCCGAAAAGCCCTGCTCAAATGCCACACCAACCATCTCATTCAAGAAGTCACTCAAGAACTAGAGGGGTCCGCACGTAGGGCGCTTGCTTAAAAATCCCAATCTGTATCTTCTTTGTGAGATTTTGCTGTTGTCTTGAGCTCTCCAGCGCTCAGATTTGGATTTAAGCAGGCAATATCTCTTTGGCCCCATTTTCTCCAGTGCTCCTCTGGATTGGGCGGAGTAACAAAGCACACTAGCCCAGCAGCTTGTGAAGACTGCACAACACTTGACAGTCCAGCAAGGCGAGACAGAGGCGGTGCATGTTCTACCTTTCTTGTCCATGTACAATGTGCCATCTGCATCGCCTCCCTGGGCTGACAGGTGGGGAAAGAGGACAAGAAAAAGATGGTGCACTTATGAGAATTCCAGCACACTTGGAAATTACAGGAGGCAGGGGGTGCACCATGTCCAGGATGCGGTCAGCCTCGTCCAGCACAAGCACCTGCAGGCTGCTGGCATCAAAGCCCGGCGTCTCATCCATGTGCTGCAGCAGCCGCCCCGGTGTCGCCACCAGGATATTCATGCCTGCGCACGCATGCAAACAAGCGCCATCATCTCCCACACTACACCTACACAGCCATGCCTCTGGCCCCTATTCCCTCTACCAGGCACTCTCCATCCGCTTCATCCGAGCATGACATGTCCAGTGAAGACATGTCTTCGCGATGAGGTGAGCTAAGACTGTGTCCAGGAGGGCAGGCAGGGAGGTGGGGTGCACACTGTTGACTCGGTCCCGTTCTTCCTTGACATTCTTGCCGCCGATGAGGAGGCCGGCGCTGAGGTCATGCTTTGCGCCGACCTTGCGCAGCTCCTCGAAGATCTGCATGGCCAGCTCGCGCGTGGGCGATATAATCAGCGCCCCCAGCCCGTCCGGCTGGCCCCACTTCAGCCGGTACAGCTTCTCCACCAGCTGCCACATAGATAGGCACAACACAACCGTGAATTATCACAATCACCTCTTTAGCATCCACATAGATAGGCCTCCCCACCATAGTCACAGAGATCCTCGGTGTTTCATGGGCGCATCCAAAAAGCTTCCTGCTTCTGTACACGCCACGAAAAGAGCTGCAGTACTGGCGTTCTTGACGAAGGCGATAGGCCTAGTACAGCAGAGTAGGGAGCATGCGCACCGGTATGACGAAGGCGAGGGTCTTGCCAGAGCCAGTCTTGGCCGCGCCAAGCACGTCCTTGCCGGTGAGGGTGTGCGGCAGGGCGGCCCTCTGGATGGCCGTCATGCGAGTGTACTTGGCGCTCTTGAGCCCCTCCTTGGTGCAGCGCGACAAAGGCAGGTCTTCGAAGTTCCACAGCCTCTCTGCTGCTGTTCCCCAACGCAGCAAACCATATGATGCACCGAAACGTTTTGACACCCACCATATCAAAAATTGGAAAGTGTGAACTTTAAATATTCTGGCGGAGAAGGAAAGTGCATTCTTGCCGGATGGGAATGACTCACGTTTTCCATCTTGGCCTCTGGAGTCATCAGCCAATGCAGCAGCTGGATCTAGCTCTGTGAGTCTGAGCTCCAAGTCTTCAATCTCTTGCGCTTCAACCTGTGCTCGTGTCGGCTTTTTCTTACGCGCCCCTGGCCCTTTTCTCATGCTGAAAATTATTGTATGTTTTACAGAAAGAGTTTCACGGCAGTAAGGCGCTGGCAGCCAGCATTTGCCTGTGCTGTGCACTGCTCAGATCACAAATTCCTTCTTGCCCCACGTTAGATGATTGTCACTGATGGAGATGAGAACAGCTCTATTGATTTATGGAGGTCATAAATGCAGAGCTGCAGGAGCACACGGGGAAAATTCTGGTGCCGGAACGAACATCGACACCGTGGGAGGAACGCCGCCGGAAGATTACGAGAGGTGCACCAGCTCACTCAACTCATCAAGCTTTTCTACTTTCTTGAAACCAAAACTCTTATTCAGGAACAGGAAGTATCTGTCGGATTTTGATTGTCACGACGTAAGCAGGGCACCAGTGCAGCGGCGGTAAATATGGCAAAGCACCATCCCGATTTGATCATGTGCAGAAAACAACCAGGCATAGGTATATTTTTCACTATTGCCGATCATTATGTTGACGAGTACGGAAGAGTTGCAATTTCTGTCCTCTTGTTTGTTGTCTCTGTACTCTCATCCGTTTTCTGACTTGATTCCTGTGCGCTGCAGCGATTGGACGCCTGTGTGAAAAATGTGCGCTTCCTGCTTCTCTCTGACTAAATCGGATGGCATTCTTATTTTTAGCTATTGATGTGCTGCCTGCTCTTTAGCATTCGGTATATTTGTATGACATGGTTCCTGCTCAGGACCTGCTGCTAGAAATGGGTATGTGTTGTCATAAAGGAAGAGTCATAAGCATGCATTTCAACAGATTATTCGTGCAGTGAAAAGTAAGCAAGGATGCCAGCAAGAGGGCTTGGGAAGCTGAGGCCCATGCACTGTGCAATTGTGATCTTCAGGTGATGGAAAGTGTGTGGTGTGCGACTCCTACGTGAGGCCAGCTACACTTGTGCGGATCTGTGATGAGTGCAATTATGGCTCGTATGCTGGCCGATGCGTCATCTGCGGTGGTGTGGGAATTTCAGACGCCTTCTACTGCAAGGAGTGCACAGTACAAGAAAAAGATGTGAGTACTTTCAACAACCTCTTTGCATGCATGGTGATTCTCTAGCCTGATGTGAACATGGTTATTGTGGCATGGCTCCATATCTAATGAGATTATGCTGCTGGATGCAGAGAGATGGCTGTCCAAAGATCATCAACTTGGTGAGCTCTGCACTGCGATTGTCACTGCCTTGGTTCAGGTTTTTTGCAAGTGGCTTCTATCACTCAAAGTACATCCTGACAATGTTCTTTCTTAGTCATTGCAAATAATGTGATACTTGAGCTGCTATGCTATGGTGCAGGGCTCTGCACGAACTGACCTCTTCTATGAAAGGTATCGATCCCCTTGTTACTCCAGACCATGCCAGACCTGACATTGTAAACAAGCTGCTGCCCTCCAACTCCAATGCGCTAGGTGTACAGAGCTGATGGGCTGTCCACGTAGTTTTCATATGATGGGTCTAGCCTCGATGCAGGAAACGCTACGGCTTCAAAAAGCGATAGCACTGGCGGAGCTCCCAAACAAGGAGCTCTCAGCTGTGGATTTGTCTCCGGCGTTTCTTTCTTATTTTCCAGCATGTTTTTGTACATCCGAGATTGTTTGTCGTTATTGATGTGCGAGGGTTATGACGCCAAATTAGCCAAAAGCTCCATGTGGCAAGCAATGGAGGTCTTCAAGCCTCAGGGAAAGCCGCATGCATGCCTGTCTGAAGCGGTGTGACAGTGACAGCCAAGCTTCTGAATTGCCTTTGCCCACCCCCCATGTGCACCTGTACTGCTGGTGCTGTTGACAGCAGATATGAGTCCTGATTTTGCTGGATAAGTACCAGACAATCCTTGAATGTTCGAACTTCGAAGTTCAGTCTGAGGTTTGTAAACTTGCATGTCTCAGGGTGCTGACAAAGCAGCTGATGCCAGAACAGGATACCTTGATGAGAACGTTAGCATGCAATATTTAGCAACATTTAGCAATGAATCTCTGCATAGCACGGCAACTTGGGTCCACCTGACATCGATAATACTTAGCGGTCATATATTTTTAAGATGTCTTCCGATGAACAAGAGGACGGGCAGACGAGTAAGTCGGCAGGTCCAAGACCAGCAGATGGGCCCAGTGAGACTCCAGCACCTTCTTCACAGAAGCAAAAGAACACCGTGAAATCTACTGACAAAACACAGCAAAATATCCTGCAGGCCTTGAATACATTTTTGGCTGACAAAGACCTTGAAAAACCGGTGAGTTCCAGCTCCCCACTTGTTCCGATGGTATTGCGTTGACCTTGATAGGATCTGTGGTGCAAGCTGTATACAAGTCCGTAAATGTTGGTTCAGTGATAAATTGTTGTGGACGGTTGAGGTAGAGAGTTTAGAGTAGCCACCGCAACTAAATCAAGAGGGAGGGATCAGCCAGCCAGATTACAACGTGCAATATACCAGACGTGTCTATAAGTGCTGTAGCCATCAGAATTTGGAGTGGCATCTGCGAGTTCCTATGGTTTGTGTTCTCCGTGCAACAGCTTTTCGTTATATGTTCCAGGAGCTTCGTCTGAATGACAGCGCGATAAAAGGAGAGGACTTGTGGGTGCCAGTCATGAAGGCAGGAGGCTATGAGGCTGTCACTTCTGGGAAGCTTTGGGCTGCAATGGGTCGCCATCTCGGCGCTCCCAAGTAAGCGCGTGCTGCTGATCGTCGAACTCTGCTGCATGCCACACCTTCCACCACTCGTGCATCTACACTTCTTGTGCAAACGGACATTTGATGAAGGAAGGAAATCAGCTCAGACTGATGCACTAACTTCTGTCATGCAGGGGGATGACAGATCTGTCGCACAGAGTGAAGAAGGCTTATGAGACCCAGCTGCTGCCCTTTGAAAGGGTACTGCTCTCCCACTGGCTGGCAGCTCCGGCACATTTGCAGGCCGTGCAGTATAGCAACCTGGATCCTCAACCAATTGAATGGACCAACAACATGCCAAACACCGTACTCTTGCACTTGTTCAGGCCTTGAGGAAAGGAGAGGTCCCAGGCGTGAGCGTGCCTCCAGAAATGGAGCCCAGCGCAAAGAGCAGGGCAGCGCCTGACATCAGCGGCCAGCACAAAGCAGCAAAGCGGGACGGCGGCCCGGGTCGCACAGCTGGCAGGGGCGAGGCAAAGCGCGCAAGGGTGCGTTCATGCTGGTACCTGTACCACTTCCCTGATGCAGGCATGCAGGGAAGTGTCATGCATGTGCAAGAATGTTAGGAGACATTCAGCTTTTCCCTGAGAAGATTTTTGCACGTTTTCAGTGCTTCTATCTCATTGGCTCCATCAGACATCAGACATGCATGGCTGATAACAGCTGAATTTGACCAATTCATGCATCACACTTGGTTGCAGCAGGGATGCAAGAACCGTCATGGATGCAAGAACCGTCATAGATACTATCTATAGTATAGGCCATGCCTGCATGCATATGCGCAGCGGTGATCCGAAGCAAAGGTGACTCCTTTTCTGATCATCATCATCATGGTCATGCTCAAACGAGCCTCTAGTACAGAGTTCTGTGAGAACAAAAGTTACAGCTTAAGTCCCTGCAGGGAGGAGGGAGGAATGGCGGCAGGGGTGGCAGGGGCGCTGCTGTTGCACGCTCATTTCTCAGCGGCATGGGGCTGATTGGAGCGCGTGTGCTCATCAAATATGATGCGGACACCGAGGACGAGCCTCCTGTCTTCTACATCGGCACTGTGAAGTCCTTCAGCAAGGTAAGTGGACCTGATAAGTGGACCTGCTTGGAATGGGGATCTTCAGCAATTAGAAGTTGACTATGATCTAAGTGAGCCTACACACGACTCCCCAGCACTGCTCCACAGATCATGTGTTCACTTGGGTATGCAAAGATGAATCTAGGGAGCTGTCTATTCACAGGAAGCATGGATTACCTCTCAAGACGTTTGCCTGCCAGTACAATAAAGCGGCTGCCTTGTGAGGAGGCCATGAAACAATTAATACGGTAAGCAAGTGCCAATGGGGTTCTGGAGCTTTGTGATGTGCTGGACAGGAGAGGCATCATGTGGACTTTGATGACGGCGACACAGAGGACATTGACCTCTCTGAAGAGGTGTGGCGCATTGCCAAAGCAGAGGATGAGGCTGAAGCCCAGAGCGGTGGCAAGGTTGCCATGAAGGAAGCCGACCTGGCCAACATTGGTATGCTCTCTCTGCCCGCATTACATCCTATGACTGCTTGTTGGCCTGCACTTGTCTTCTGGTGATCTAGCTACTGTTCCTTTGTCAACATGTCCTGTCACGCGCACATGGCTTCCAGGCCTGGCTTGTTTTCCTGCTCGAGTTACAGTCACGTCAGACACATGGGGGTTTGTGTCTGCAGATAAGGAACCTGGTGCGCAAAAGAAGGACTCTTCTCAGGACGCAGAGGCAGAGGCTGCAAAGCTGCAAGAAGCTGGGGTTGGCGGCAGCAAGCCCTCAAAAGATAGTATGTATCAGATTGAAAGCCTCTTGGATTCTTCCAACAACATTTACAACTTAAGGGTGCCTGTATCAGCGATGCAAACGAGTCAGTCTCCAAAGCTCACAGAGTGTCACATGGTGGCATGAGAGAAATAGTGAAGTGGCTGCATGCAGATGCGCTGGACCAGAGCGACGAAGAGCACTTCACTCAGGCAAAGGAACTGCAGGAGCCCGATGTTGTTGTGCGGGGTGAGCGCTTCAAGGTGCGTCGTATCTCCCCTGACGTATTCCTGCACAACCATGCAAGTGACCCTTGTTGGCACTGTTACCTATGCCAACACTCGCTGCAGTGTGCACAGACTTGACATGGCTCTCCATCATTATTGTATTCTCATTATCATTCTTATATGCTTTTCCTGCCAAGAGGCAAGGTGCGTCCTGCAGACAAGCTGCAGTTGAAGCCTGGCTGCCACATTATTAACCCTTGTTGGACTCGCCAGATCCAAACAAGACCCAATCAACCGCGGGCACAGTGCTCAATATTTACACCGCCCCACGCCAGCCGTACTTCCATCACAGGATTATATTCTGCATTTTTCTGCTCTGTATTGGACATAATGTGCTCTGCCTGGCAGGTGCGCGAGGGATTCATTGAGGGGGAGCGCTGCTATGAGATCTACGTCATTGTGGGACCCATGGACAAGGACGACATCAAGTGCGCACCCTCTCTCGATCTGACTACAAAAACATTCCTCTTGGACATGGAAAGACCCCCATGACAAGCATGATCTATGCTCAGGATATGCACCAGCGTCCCTAGCTCTACCTTTGCTTAGCTCAGCCATGTTGGGAACTGTTGTATGCACCAGATTTGGGTGCACCAGATTTGGGTGCAGACGACATGTGGGCAATGAAAGATCATGTGTGCAGGGTCAAGTGCTGGCCGGAGGGGCATGTGCGTGTGACGGGGACACCTCATCCTGGAATTGAGAAATGGACAAAGGTAATCCCTACTCAAGGACACAGCATTGCCTTCCTGCATTCCTGCACAGCAGAGCTTGCTGCAGCTGCTGCTTTTACGCCTCAGGTCAACTCTGCAGTGATTCACATCATTATGATTGGAAGTCGACGTGGAATTTGTGTCCAGGATCCAATTGAGCACAACATATACCTGCCCTCGCCAATTGACCCCTACTCAGCCAAGGCCCTCGTCACCCTCCATGGCCTGCTGTACATCAGTATTGTCATGGCAGCCTCCACCTCTTGAGGAGCTTCTCAGTACGCAGCTCACCTCACGCTGTGTGCAACGGCGCTTGAGACTTGCAATGGAGCACGCCTTGTAATTGTTCATGTGGTTGGTCGTGATATTTTGAAGCATCGTGGGTAATGGACCCAGTGGATTGTCATGGTCATGAACGATGTGTACCTGTGCTGTGCCAATGAGTTGTTCTTCTTTCTGTGCGTCTAGTTGTACCTGATAGACACCACCTGCGCTCCATGCTCTTATTCCTGAGCAGCAAGTCCTGGACCCAAGGACACCACTTTCTGTATCCCTTGAGAAAGTAGAAATCAAAATTCAGGCCTATGATAAGGACAGGGCACCACCTGTGCTGTCAATTGTGCTCATGTAGGTTGCAGTGTACACACATGTCGCGGCCCACAGCTTTCTTCTTCAAGTTCCAGCGTCAGGTCATGGCGTGGCACAGAGAGACCGTAAAAGATTATCTACATGTACATGCCTCCAGAACTGCTAGATCCAGCTGGGCTCTGCTTGTTCCAAGAAGCCCCGGCATGATAGGCAGCGTGCAAATTGTAATCAAGCTACCGTAGCCCATCGAGGCCGGGCCGGCGCCGGGTATAAATGTTACCCCAGGCTGGCCGGCCGCGGCTGCACACTGCTGCAAGTATTATTATACGGTACTACTGTAGCATATATACCATAGCATGATGCTGTGACTGGCAGCAAAATCTTGAAGGCGCCCTAGCATGCATGGTTGCAATCTGTTGGGCTATCATAAAGTACACAGCACGAGACCATCCCCTTTATGATATTGACAAAAGCACAATGTTTCCATGAAGCTCTGTGTCCTTGTCACGCATGCAGCCATGCAACGGAAAGGATTCCCTGTCTGCAGTGGCGTTCCTGCTAACCAGCTTTTCTGTCTACACCATGATATGATTTTCCGCCGTGGAATAGTGATCTGAGACCTTTCAGCTGTCAGACAAAGGCATAGTATTATTCTGTACAATGGCGTTGCGTTCAGGCGTCGTAAAATGGCGTCAAGGTTTGCAACTGGCGGCTGGTATAGCTGCAGGCAGTATGACTTATGCTATATGTGAATCGGACGCCAGAGCCCCATCGTTTGATCCTGAAGCGTTGGAAAGAGGAGCGAAAGCTTTGAGGGAAATCAATGCCTCCCCAAATGCGAAGAAGGTAACGACATGGAACTTGCGATCTGTTCAACTTTTTTCAGGAAGCAATTCAAAAGTTCCGATCAAATGGTGGATTCATATGTTGTACTTTGAGCGTGGTTCTATCTATGTGACGAGCCTTCTAGTTTTGGATGTTTTCCTTGTAAGACGCGGCTTCTCGGAGCTTCTATTTACTATAAGGACAGGCTTGCACAATTGATCGAGAGCAGCAGCTGAGGATATTCATATCGCATTCATTTTGGTATTTATTCTGACGATAAAAGTCAACAGCGCTTCGTCTGATGTTGCAGGTCATCGAGCTGTCTAGGCAGCAGGAAGTCACAAAACAACAGGAGTTCAAATCAAAGGAGGCTCAGTATCAGGCTGCCGCTCAGCAGGCTGCGATCGTGAGCTCCTAACACTTCTCACTGCGAAACAGCTGATCATACCAAGCTGCTTGCTCAATTACAGGAAACAAACCCAGCGTAGCTAGTATTGGTCCGTCAAACTCACCTTCAATTTGCAGGAGCGTGAGAAGGTGCACTGGGAGGAGCAGCGGAAGTCTATGCAGGCAGACCAGTACAACAAGGCGGAGCTTGCCAGGTACACAGCTCCTGCATCCTCCATGTTTGTCAAGAGATTCGCAGAGACCCATGCTCGATACAGCATAGGGATCATGCAACTCTCTGCCAGCTCCAATGCCTCAAGCCCTTCTTAACAGAACGATCGAAATATGGGGTGACCAGAAGCCGTTGAGATGGTTGAATACTTTGGCTGCCACGATGATGAGAGGATGCAACAGCTTTTGCCGATCAGCTTGAGTAGTATTGAATGCAGTCCATAAAGCAGCATCTTGAGTTGTATTGATCTCGGAATTTGGGAACAGCGTGGTCAGGTTGGCTGGCTGGCTGGCAGGTATGAGGATGAGCTAGCGAGGAAGCGCGCAGAGGCGGAGCATGAGAAGCAGCGAGTGAGGCAGGTGGAGTTGGTGCAGCTGCAAGAGGAGAGCGTGGCCAAGCAGGAGGCCAAGAAGTACGAGATCCAGAAGCAGATCGAGGCCGAACGCCGCGCCACCGAGCAGTACCGGGTGTGCACTCTGCGCTATTTGCATTTGGCAAGCGGAGAATTGCCTGTGTATTTACCTTAAATGATGGTTATGCAAAGTGTTCATGATGGCGCGTCAGTGAAGGTCAGCGGTCTTCATTGCGCTTGCCCATGCAATTTGCCGATTGGCAGCGACTGCACCATGAGCCCCAGTCTGCTTCCCACTGGTCATATGGAGGAAAAGCAACATCTTAATTCAAGGATTACAGGCATTCCAAACGCTCTGCCACAAGTGTGTGACAGGTCAGATGCCTCAAGAGCTGTTAAAGAGCGTGCCTGCCGGTGTTCAGGCGGAGCTAGAGAAGAAGGTGCAGCGGGAGAAAGCACTGGCGGAGGCGGAGGGCCGGGCAAGAGAGGCGCGCGAGAACGAGGATGTGAACCGGCGCGCGCTCACACTGCGGCTGGAGGAGGAGCGCAAGAAGCTGGTGGAAGCCATCAACACGACCTTTGGGTGCGCACACTGAAGCCCTTGCATTGTCCATGAAGCTGTAGAATACACGATAATCATCTTGGCCACAATGAAGTCGTGTCCTGTGTGCCAGCGCTAGGATGATTCTGCAGCCCAAAGAATGGCAAGTAAAAGTTTGGTTTAGTCAGCATGCAGACTTGACTTTTTGCTCTCCATATATGTTAATCATCCTTCACAGGGTTAGCCACATAAACAGGGCACTGGTGAGCGCGTGGAAATGGCTAGTAAGGCGATAATATCCTTGAGGCCATGTTTGATTGCTGACACCTTCTGGCTGGTGCAGGCACTTGGGCGCCGGGGTGACCTCTTTGTTAACGGATGTGGACCGGATGACCACGCTCATCGCCGGGCTGTCGATTCTGGCGCTCGGCGTGTACAGCGCACGCGAGTCAACCCGGGTGGGCGGCAAAGCCATCGACAGGTGGGCACGATACTCTCATCAAGGCCTTTGCTGCCTCTGTTCTGCCTCTGTATCGCATCAGTGCCAGGACATTGCGCAGCCCCAGTGCACATCCTCTCTGCTTTGTCAGTGTCTGCACTGGTCTTTGGAATGGCTCTTAAATACCCTGCTTGCCCTGGCGCCTATTGCTTTCTTTGCTTCATGTGTGTTGGCTGGAAGGACAAAGCAGAGCTGAGCGCTCTGTGCTGATGAAGAGATATGGGGTTTGTGGGCCTATGCTGCACCTCCCAACGGGGTTACACAGCTCAACATTGCATGCATAGAGCGATTGCAAGGGGAAGGTGCCGGTGCCCAAGGGACTTTTGTTGAAGATTGTGGTGAGCTGCTGCCGTGTGTCAGGTGGCTGGGGACGCCGAAGCTGGTGCGTGAGACGTCGCGGCGGCACTGGTGGAACCGCGCGGCGGGCGGCGGAGGCGGGAGCATGGAGAAGGCGACAGAGGCGGTGAAGCGCGACTTCAGCGATATCGTGCTGCCGGGCGGCCTGCAGGACCATGTGCGCGCGCTCGCGGCCGTCACCGCCAATACGCGCGCACACGGCGCCCCCTTCCGCCACATGCTCTTCTACGGGCCCCCCGGTGCGCGCAGTGGCCGGCCGCCTTTCGTAAGTTATTAGAGCTCTGAATGGTAGAGATGCCTTATCGTGCATCTCTGGTCTAGGGTGGGTGGTTGACTTGATAGGAGCGGGGATCTGCCCTGTCTAGCAGCAATGTCAAGCGTCATTGTGGTGGCTGAGTTTGTGGGGGTGCGGCGCACGACTCCGTTCCTACCTGTCAACAATAAGCATGCGGGGGAAGAGATTGTGAACACGGTGCTGCTCAGTCAGCTATGGGGCTAGGGCTCAGAGCCGAGGCAAGGCTTCCCAAGATGAGTTAAGCATTATGTTGCTATCCCTCATCTTGCCTTTCTTTGCTATGATTTCTAACCCCACTGCTGTCTCAGCAGCACTTCCCCATGTAACACCGAAAACAGGAAGGATGGCAAGTGCGACTTGAAGCAATGGGGTGTACAGCTGCTGGCGCTACAGATGTGTGTTCTGATGGGCGTTGTACGTGCTGGGCAGGCACGGGCAAGAGCATGGCGGCAAAGCGGCTGGCGCGGACGGCCGGGCTGGACTATGCGATCATGAGCGGCGGTGACGTGGCGCCCCTGGGCGGCAAGGCGGTGCAGCAGCTGCACGAGATGTTTGACTGGGCCGAGAGCTCGCGCCGCGGTCTCCTGCTCTTCATCGACGAGGCCGACGCCTTCCTCGGCCGTCGCGGCAACCAGATGAGCGAGGTGCGCGCAAGCAACAATCTCCATCCTGTCTCCGCGTGAGTGGTTTGCTTGGCAATGCCGAACCGGCTGTGATGCGCCGCATGTGTTTTTCTAAACAGCTCAAATTAGCTACGTACGTGTTGACTGCTAGCAGGGGCTTGTTCTGAGGACAGGAGAAGCCCTCGTGCAGTGCGCCATGTTTTTTGGGTCCCATATCCAGAGCATTCCACATGCACTGTGCTGTGACATGCCAAGCAATGTCTCCATTGTTCAGCTGGTGTGTGGTGCAACTTTTGGGTGAACGCTCCTCAACACTGGCCTGACGTATAGCTTCCCCAGCAAGTAAAGATGCGATGCAATGTACTACAGGGCCTTCGGGCGGCGCTGAACGCTGCGCTGTTCCGGACGGGGGACCAGTCGCGCGATTTCGCGGTGGTGCTGGCGACCAACCGGCCGGCCGACCTGGACCCGGCCGTGCTGGACCGCATGGACGAGGCGCTGGAGTTCCCTCTGCCCGGCCCGGCCGAGCGCGCACGCATCCTCGACATCTACCTCAACTCCTACATCGCCAAGGCCGGCTCCGACGAAGGCGCGCGCCCTGCGGCTCTTGTGTACTTTTCCTCTTCAGGTCACCCTTCGATATGTCTGGCAAAGCCCAGTCGTAACAAAATTGTTTGAGAGGAAAGGTGCATGTTGCACATGGATGCACCAGATACTGGGCATTGACAGCCCATTGATGATGCGGCGATTGGGATCTGCTACATGTTGTTGGAGCCAACTTGGCTCTTCTTCAGGTCATTGTGCCATGACCTGCGTGAAGAGCAGGGAGGATCAAACGATGTGTGGCGGCCTCTTCACAGCCAGCCACCGCGCTTCGCACACATCAGGTTGACCTAATTCCAGGCAAGCACAGGCGCGAGCCTTGCAAAAGATCAGGAGCCGAGAAATGCGTTTTGGGTGCGGCAGGTGGCGCGGGGGCGGAAGCGCAGAAGGGGCTGGGCGGCCGGCTGAGGGCGTTCCTGCGCGGACGCTCAGTGCGGCCGGATGCAATCCAATTGAAGGGGATCACGCCCGAGCTGGTGCAGGAGGCGGCAGCCACCACCGAGGGCTTCTCCGGCCGCGAGCTTGCCAAGCTTGTAGCCAGCATGCAGGTGTGGCGCTCATTTACCTCAGATAATAAAGCACTGCTTTCAATAATAGCATAGTGGTCGTTGCCTCAGGATTGGACCGTGTCAAGTCTTGCCTGCTTTGCGTCAGAAGATTTGCTTGCCACTTCAATTCAGGTGCTGCCGTGGTTCGCTGAGAGGGGTGTGGTATGGTTTGGCTTTTCTGAGCACGGTTGCTCCTTTTGTTCCCATCGAGCGGAGCAGTGTTGCCTGCGTGCCTCACGCTTGTCCCTGTAGCAAATGTTGCCGTGCCATGCATCAGGCTTGGTTTGGGAGGTGGGTTTCTTTGTTCATTTGCAGCCACACCACTTAGAAGTTTGGCAGCATTGTGAGGGCGGAGTTGTGTGGGTCCAGGCGTCTGTGTACGGGAGCAGAGAGGCGGCACTGACGCCCGAGATATTCAGGAAGGTGCTGCAGATGAAGCTGCGCGAGCACGAGCAGCGGCTGCAGTTTGAGCAGCAGGCTGGCGAGGAACAGACACAACAGCCAAGCCAGTGAAATCAGGACCTGTCATCTGCCTGCCCCTCCAAATAATAGGGGCATTTATATACAAATAATGAATAGTTTATTGTGTTGAGATTCTGAGGTCACCTTGGAAAGCCTGACAAGAGACACAGCCTCTGATGACAGCACTGCAATTGTTGCAAGTGCATCAACATGACGAGGACTGGCAGTATTGTGATGCGGGCTTCAGGCATTTGTAATGGAATGCTCACGTTTTGAGACTTCTCAGAGTCTGCTCAATGCCCTTGTGCATCCTCGCAACATATCATTATGAGCCATAGCAGGCAGGATGCATCATCACATGTGATGATTTACATGAATTGCTGCATGCATGCATCCTAGCATCTTTAAAAAGGAAAACAAGCGATATACATGTATAGTGATCGCTGACACAGACAATCACATGAATATGTTTTCAAATTTACTCCTACCGATGCCATACTTCAGTTCTGAGCATTTCCCCTACGTTCCTCCCCAGCCTTCTACCTGATCCCGCCATGATCAGTACAGATGTACAGCAAATGCCATAAGCAGAAGAACATTTGCGCAATTCAAAGTGCCGGAGAGATGATCCTCACTTTCAAGCTCAGTGTCTGTGCAGGTCTTGTGGAGTCAGTGTGTGCAAATCCACCGATCAAGGAGTAGCTGTGAAGCTATCTCCCCACCTCAAATGGGCAAGGCATGCATTCATAAAGCATGCAGCAAATTTCTCGATCGCTGGCAGCAGGGCAGCTGCATTGGCTGAGCCGCCACTACCTGCCTTGACACAGGCGGCATGCCTTTCTGAAAGCGGTCAATGGCCCAGCACAAAGGTGGTGTGGAAGGCGTGCTGGAGAGCATCGTGGATTGCATAGCTGGCATTCAGTACTCGGGCCAACTCTGGGATGTCCTGCACTGGAATGACCGGCACCGGATATGTGCCACTCCTCAGAGAAACCCCACACTCCTGCAGTCAGCAGGAGCAGCTCATCAATGAGTGTGCTGCGCCATACCAGATCATATGGGTCATGACACATCTGCCTTTTGAAAAGGGACGGGAAGTCATTGTTCGTGGCATGTTCTCAAAAATGCATGCAGCAGCGATATTGCTTGTGCTGGTTTGTCTTCTATGCAGGTTTGAGATTGGATGAAAAGTGGCGGCGGTGGCACACCAAATGGAATGTCCGCGGGTCAGGGACGGGGCACTCGCTGTAGGTGGTGTGGTCGATCTGCTCAGTCTTGAGGCCCATCTTCTTGAAGTCGCTTCCCAGCACGCCCGACGCCCGCCTCGAGCTCAGCGGCACCGTCAGAAAGTCAGCCTGCCGCACATGGCCCCATGTCAGCCTTTGGAAACCAGTAATGCTTGCGCAAAGCCGCTGTGAGCAGAACTGCGCGCTCTCTCAAGGATTGCAGCACTGGTTTAGAGTGCTGCTTCTGGCATCAGGATCACTTAACGGTGTTGCACAGACGCACTGTCTTTCCACACCTGCTTTGAATATCATGTAATAGATTGCCCCGCCAAGAGGTCAAGCTGGCGTTGCTATGATCCACTGAATCAAGGATGTTTCGGGGAAAGATGACCCGGAGAACTGCAAAAGGGAAGGGCCGCGCCTTTCTGTAGCCGTGGTTGAAGGGGTAGACCTTGCCCTCGGCTGTGCGGTGCAGGAATGCTGGGAGGCCGCTGGGGTCATGCTGCACCATGCCCGCATGCAGATACCGGATCGGCTCCGCCTGCGCATCACCCACGCTCACCTTGTCATGGCTCCTGCCCTTCACATTGGTCACATGATCAGCACAAATACAGCCAGAGGCCATAGGGAACACAACGCAACGCAGAACAACAATACTGTGCTCAGAAGCCGGCACGATTCTGCCACGTATCAATGTTACAGAAATTTGTGCGCAATAATGCAGGACATAGAATGAAAGGATATTTGAAGGAGGGTGGTGAGAGAGCCTGGGAATCTCACATTCTGTGCTGACGCGTCCAAGGGGCAGCTGGGCGGAATGGGCACCTGCGCAGCAAAGATACACTATGACTCAAGCATTCTACAGTTATATTATCCTCATTCTAAATGACTGACCACTTTGCTACAATTCAATGTGAGTGCTGATGAGGTGGCGGGCTGACCTGGTGATACTGCGCTGCCTTGCCGGCCAGGTGGAAGGCGAGGGAGAAGGTGTCCTTGTCACCATACATGAGCTTGTAGATGGTGTCCGCGTGCGAGTTCAGGAACCACAGCCACTCCAGCACGTCCGCATGCATGTTCCTGCGTGCACGTACAGGTGATCGCCATGTGCCAGAGACACTATCTTGGGCCCAAGTGACGTGAACACACTGAATTTGTCATGCCCCCAAACTTTTGCATGACTGCCGAAGGCTGCACAGACAGGCGTTGACCTCTATGCAGGCGCACAGCACCCTTGCTGTTAAGCATGCATCATTCCGGTTGCAACGTGCAAGTAATGTAAGCTGGGCACAGCAAGATTGGGCAGTTAATCATGGCCTGAAGGGTCTCGAGAAAGCTTTGTCAGCCGTCTGTGTCCTAATAAAAGCCCGTCAAGAAGACAGCGAAGAGCACCTGTTGAGCAGCAGCTGGCCGGACTCTGCGGCGAGCGTGGCGCCGGTGTAGCCAGGGAACTGGAGGCCAAAGGCGGTGTAGGCCTCGGGCTTGACCCACTCCAGGATGTCCCACCAGTCACTGAAGAAGAGCGAGCCGCTGTCCAGGTACTCGCGCGACTCAAAGAGGTACTCTGGGTTGCGCAGCGGCAGGTTGTCAGAGTCCAGCATCAGCACCTGCAGATATGCAAAGAATTCTGACAACGCTGTATCTTTGCTTCACATCGCGCATGCCAGGCATGGGTGACACGGCATGCACCTCTGTGTTGCCTGCATTTGTGCTCATCAGGGACAGTACAAAATGTGGCGAGGATTGCTTGGCTAGATGGTGGCAGAGGCAAAGATTTGCAGCAATGCAGCCCAATCCAGCGCATTGAAATTTTGCTTGGCAGACACTAACACTTTCCTAGGGGAGGTCTCCTTATGCTCCAGGCCTGTGCATGACTGGAGCGGCAAATCATGGGGATGCCATCAATGCATCTTGCATCTTAACTTCCTGAAACAGGCTCCATTGGGGCCGCAGCGCACCTCGTCGAAGGAGGTGACGTAGCAGAGGGAGAAGACTTTGAACTGGAAGCCCTTGTGGTCCTTGTGGCCCTCGTGGTCGGCCATGGCTCCCTTGGCGCCCTCCGAGTCGTCATGCCCCAGCTTCACTGGCCGGTGGTGCCCCGGGTACCAGTTGAACGCGCCCGCGTCCACACACCGCACCCCCGTGAAATCCCCCTGTGCGCGCCATCATCAGAGGAGTAAATATTAACTTGTTTTCTTGGAAAAACTCCTGAATGTACCTGATCAAGTTGTCAGTAGTTACTGGCCAGGTGGTCTATGTGGAGATACAGCTCGACACAGCATGCACAGCTGCCAGCCAGTCCAGAAGTAGACAGCGCTCTGCAATTTGGCAACTTTTCCCAGGGGTAGGTGTGAATTACAAATAGAGAGACAATTGTCCAGCTGGGTGGCTAAAAAAGGGGAGATGTACGCTTTCACACCGCTATAAGAGCCAATCAAATGAGCCTGGGCATGGCCACGGGCCAGTGCATCAGGTAGGGCAGCGATTTTGGGCACCATTCAGGCAGCCAGCCTTGCCTGGAATTTGGCGCAGGTGCGGTTGTCCATCTCGCGCTCGCCGTTGTACACAATCTCCACCGGCAGCGTGCACCCCAGCGTTTCCCTCAACACCTGCACCGGATTTATATTCAAAAGTCAGAGCAGAAAGACAGCCATGATCCGCGGCGGTGTGTAAAATGGCAGCATGCTGAGCTGTCAGGGATGGGAAGCACCGCTGTCATATTAAGGGGAGGAGAGCATGGAGGAGGTGTAACCTTAATGGTGGCATAGGCATGGTTGATGAGCGTGGTGCCTCCGCTGGGAATCAAAATGCCCCGTCTCGATACGCCATCCCCCGCCCTCCTATGCCAGCCCAGAAGTAACCTTCCTTGAGCCCCTCCGGAGGAAATTTTTGAACAACCATGTTCCAGAAGCTGCTTAAATTTCTCTTGATGCAAGATTATGTTATTTTGGCAGTGATGTTGCGGTCGGCAGGAAGCATATTGAGTGCTATGGACATGAGGCTCGCATTGGTGAAGGTGCTCACCCATGCTTCCTGAACCCGGCAAAGATGTCTTGGAAGGCGCTGCCGGCCAGCACCTGCTGCAGCTTCTCGGCGTCTGCCAGCAGCTGCGCTCCCAGCTCGTACTGCTCCTCCCCTGCGGCTGCCGTCATGTGATCCACCTTGGCTCGCGCCTCCCTCTCTGCTACCGCCCTCAACTCCTCCTCAACCCTGGCAGCCGCCTCTGCAGCCAGCACTTTACTGCTTGGGCGCAGGTCATGGTGTTGCTGCCCATGTAATTATAATAATTAACAGACTGAATGCCCATGTGACCACGTCAGGCCTGCTCATGCATCCCTGCCTTTTTTACCAGTGCCTTCGAGTCTAGCAGGTCTGGCTGGCACCTCAGAGTCGAGTGGATTACAAGTACCAGCATGGCAACGAGCAACTTGCTGCTTCAAGTGCTCATGCAGCATAGGAAATGCTGAAAGGGTTCCATGTAGTGACCTGCAATGCACACCTTCTCGTTGCTGCCTCACTGCATCCCGGTCCTCCCGCCGCCGCCTCTTCACTTCCATTTCCTCCTGTCTCCTCTTCTGCATCGCATGCAAGGGCTGCCTTGATAATCCAGAAAACACATTAATGCTTTGGTATTTCCTGCTGAGCTGGTGCTAGACAAGGGCTTTATCTGCTCAGGAGCAGCACTGTAGCAGACAGACTATCAAGGCTACAGCGGAACTCCTGTGTAGCCCAGGCATGTGCTTTGAGCCTAGAGAGCAGGAACCACACCTTAGCTTCCTGCATCTGCTCCCACTTCCTAGTAGCTTCTTCCTGCTCTGCAATCCTCTGCTTCAAGCGCTTGCGGTGCAGCCGCCCCTCCTTTGCACTCCACCGCTTTGCCATGCCCTGTACGATGAATTCTCAGCCCTCTTAAGCCCAAGCTCAGCACAGAAAAGATGACGATCATAGCGGGGCTGCTCTGAAGATGCACTGGATGTGATGTTGCTGACTGATGCAGCCACACACACAACCCGCTGACAGAGCGCAGTGCTCGTGTGCTCACCTTGAAAGCTGTCAGGATGCCATTGGAGAGCTGGGATGGTTTCTTTCTATCCCAGGATTTCCCCGGCAGTGCACCGATCTGGTCCTACAGCAGCAGAAAGCAGCTTCTAGAAATAACACAGCAAGACAGGACAACGCAGGCACGCAATGGTGGACATATGAGATTTCCCATACGGGAGCCTCACCAGGAGGGCATTCACTGCATCTGAATTCCCACTGTTCAGATCGAAACGCTCCTGCATCCACATTACATTCATCAAAGCCCGAATGTCACTTGCGGAAGCAAGGCAATAGGCTTTCAGGAGGGACCAAGACCTGCAGCCTGTGTAGCATGGCGGTGATATCTTCCCTGTCTTCCTTGGGATTGATATCCTCTCCAATGACTTCAAAGGCTGCATCCTGTACGTAAGCAGCACTCAGTTGCTCAAATATTTGTTGGCTTGCAGGTGCTTAAACCTGGAAAAAGTTGCAGAAGGAATGGCACCTCTTGGGAATTTTTTAGCTTGTCTGCCAAAGAAAATTGCAAGTCTGCTGTCTTCTGATTGTGGGTCTGCTGAGCCCCCGCTGTAAGGATGAGGCAGGTGAGCAACAGATGTAGGCCAGTCCCGGTAAATAGGTGCTGCCGCCCAGCCATGCGGATATCAGCTGAAATGGACTGGCCGAATCATCGGACGCCTGCACACATTAGCAGGATCCCTCACTTGGATTCTGCAGACTATATAATACCATGCATTCTTACCCATAAGGCTGACTGAAGGAAATAAAATCCAAAAAAGTGATCCCAACTTGCACAGCAATATCAAGCGCATCTTTGAGTGGCTGAGTCTTGTGCATTCGTCAATTGCGATCGGAACAGGATGCCCGATTCAGGGCAGCCAGATGCACATCAGGAGCAGGGCTTACTCTAAGAAAGGTGTGATTGTCGAACGGGCCAGGCACATCCATCATCAATACATATCATGCTGGGGTGCATCGATATGCCATTGCATCAAGTTGCGAATTATTCCTCTGCAGTGCCCTTCGTTCCTCAATCTAGACGTCCTTCACCAACTGTCACGTCTGATCTGAACCAACTCGGCGAGAATATAAATCCCTGTGACGTCCACAAGACCGGATATGCATCAGCCGACATGGTTTGACAAATATGCATGGGAAATTCACTGTCATGGAACCAATTTGCTTTTTTGGGGTCCGTCTACTGCGGCGTTCCTGAAGGGGTCCAAGGAAAAGCAACTTCAACACGGATTTCACGAAGAACAGCAACCTGTCTCAAATCAAGCCGCTGAGATAATTGCAAATAATTCTCGGCGATGTCAAGTTGACTGTCGGTCTCTTTGCTGTATTGATTGAGTCAACACAGCGAAACCAGCCCAGCCTGTGGTGCTGACCTACCTTGATTTTTGTCCTTCAAGCTCTGATTAGTCGCAGAACACGTCCTCTTGCCACATGCATCGTCTTTCGTGGGAATGGGGTGATACGAGCATGCTGCAATGAAGCAAGACAGGTTCATGACAAGTAGTCTCGGGGAATTGAGTCCTGCACGCATCGATGCAGTGATGGTATGTGTCTTTCATCATCCTAGTTCTCAATTAGGTCGTCAAGGATTGTTGAGAGTGCAGTAGCTACTCCCTTACGAGGGGTGACTGTGAGATTCTTCGAGGAAATGTCTCGAGACAAAACGGTGGACCCTCAAGCATCCTATCTCTACTGTTCATGTAAGAGGTCAATCAAATTGTAAGCACCATCTTGCGGATTGTGCAGGCGTCAAGTCAAGATTAGCGGCTCACAGGCCCTTCGGCCTCTTGACATGGCTCCCAGAGTTATCAGAGATACTTATGGGTTTGCCCTCAATTGCACGGAAGAGCAGTACATCACAAGGCAACGATGTGATGAGAAGCAAGCACATCAGGCAGCCAAGTGGGCCAAATACTCAGATAAAAAGCAGCTCCCCAAGGGCGAGAAGCTGAAAAAGCTCTGCCGGAAGGCAAGTCAATCTTGCTGACCGGTTTCCCTGATGGATCTCCTTTCAGTAATCGCAGCAGGGCAGAGGAGAGAAGAGAGACTCCACTGCCCTGGTTGTCACAGCATACCACCAACAAGTACATATCAAGTTGCCATGAATTATCAATCCACAAGCAGCAGAATGGATGCGCAGGGAATACCTCCACAGTGCAGGCCCTGGGTATGGTTGAGCTTGAGCGGAGCAGCGGAGAAGCAGCGCGAGCACATTGCCAACTACTATGATGCCATGGTGCACATGGGCGAGTCCGCCTCAGAATTTGCACACCAGATCGACTTGGTGAGACTGATCACACACCCTCTCACTCCATTGATCCAGGGGGATACCAATATATCCAGGTGTTTTCCATATTGCCCTGGTTAAGGAAATGGGGCAGAGATACCAGCATGGAGGGCTGATTATTGGTTCTGGTGTAATTGCAAAGGACTTAGCGCGCACATTTCCAGCCAATGACTACATGAGCACGGACGAGGGCCAGGCGGCTCTTAGAAGAGTACTGCTGGCCTTCAGCGCACACCAGCCAGCGGTAGGAGCGCAGTGCCAATGATGGGCCATCCCCCTAGCTGACCTTCCTTCATGCTTCCATAATGCTCAGGATTTGCAGGAAATTGATGTTCAGGATTTGCAGAAAATCGGTGCATCTTTGTGTGTGCAGGTTGGGTACTGTCAGGGCATGAATTATCTGGCAGCTATGCTACTGCTGGCCCTGGAGCGGTCTGAGGAGAACTCCTTCTGGCTTCTTGTAGCCCTCATAGATGATGGCGGTAAGTCCTCGCTTGCGGCCGTGCTACATCAATCTTGTGATACATCTGCAGCTTGGGTGAAGTTGCTGGTGCTCCGTAGGAGGGACTGATATGTTCCTGACGCCTGCAGGCATCCTTTATCAGGGATTGTACTCGCAAAATCTTGTGGGCGCGCATGTGGAGATGCGGTCATTGCAGGTGACTTTGCTGCTTGAAGTCATGCTCGTGCATTGTTGTTCTGCTAAGCTTTCATGTAGCTCCAAATGCACCAGATCTACATGCCAAAGGGCTGACCCTGAGCCTGTGCATTGATCAGGAGCTGGTGGACGCCAAGCTGCCGCGCTTGCGACAGCACCTGGAGAATCTGGGCTGCGACATGACCATCATCGCCACCGACTGGTTCCTCTGCCTCTTCTCCACATCCCTGCCCTCCGAGGTACGCCCTGATCCAGTGCCTGCCCTCCACCATCCTCTCTGGCTCTCTGCCCTCTTTTTACACCAAGATGGGCCTCCTCTCTACTCTTACTTACCCTTCTGAGGCTGACTACAAACAGGTGCTTGTAGAGTAAGTGCTTTCCAGAGACAGCGAAAGGAGGTTCTCTATTAGCCAGCTGCTGCCATGCTGATGTTCATACTTCCTGTGTTGTCGGCTGCTGCAAATCTGACAAATGTGCTTGCTGCGTAGACGGCGATAAGGTGCTGGGATGCACTGCTGAGCGAGGGGGCCAAGGTGCTGTACCGCGTGGCGCTGGCACTGCTCAAGACGCACGAGGACGCACTCCTGGCGCAGGACAACGCCGGCTACGTGCTGCGCGAAATGAAGCTCGCCTCCGCCTCCATGCACGACCGCGACGCCCTGCTCAAGGCAAGCCGCTTTCCTCTGCTGCTTTCCTCCCCTGCGCGATGCGATACCCCTGCCAGACCTGGCTGCTTATGGCTGCTTCCCGCTCATTTCGGTGTTCCGTCTTCGGTGAATGGGTATGTTGTGCTATCGGGAGAGCTTGCAAAGAGCTGGCTTGGCCTATTTAAACTTCCGACTCTGGCAGTGTGGACATGCCGAGCGTCAGTGCAGTGCAGCGTGCAGGGCATTGCTCATGTTCGAGGACGACAGAGACACTGTGCACTAGTGGGTATCTTGTGCTGAGTGTGCGGCGGTGGGGGGACAGGTGGCCTTTGACGGCGTGGGCAGCATGCCGATGGCGCGCATCCGGGAGGTTCGCAGCGTGAAGCAGGCGGTTGTGGACGTGGAACTCGCGCGCCGCGGCCGCAGCCGCTCCCTGCGCGAAGCTGTGCGCGACTCCGAGCGCCATGCGCCCTTCGCAGCCGAAGGTGCGACACTGAACAAGACCCTCAAGTGTGCTGCTTCCAGGGCGCTAAAACAGTCAAGGCTTATAGTAAGGGGGCCCCTTTGGGCCGGTCTGGCCTGCTGTGGCATCGTTCTTGCACCAGCACGTGGCCTCAAGCACAGTCACTGTCAACGGTTGATATCCTGAGTCGCTGCTGGTCCGGTGCCTTGTGTCGGATGCTGCGGCGCTCTACATCGACCGCAAGAGGAAGGGGTTGGACTGCGCTTTTCATGCTGGGCGGCCAGCATGGTGAGTTTTGGGGTGTTTTGAAAAAGGGGGGATCAGAGACAGCAGCTTGAGCGATGTTGGGCCTTGATGGGTCTGTGTGGGTGCAGGGATGGCCAGCCTGGCAGACCGAATAAAGAATGCATACGCAGCGCGCATGGCGAGATCTATTGAGCATCGATGACGGGAGGCAGTCAAATTGCGATGGAAGTGATTAAATACACCGCAGAACTCATTTTGTGTCTGAGCGCTGTCCCACCATTGTTGTGCTGCGCCAAATTCAATGGGCATTCCTGCCTGTTGCTGTTGAGATCGATGATTGATTAGTGCATCTTGAGCATGGAATGTTCTGAGGTTCCTGTTGCCTGCAACCTGGGGCATGAGCAAAATAAGTTTTTAGAAAAGTACTTTGCACTGGATTTAGGGAGGGCTTTGCACTTGTTGACGGATCACACTGTCTATTTCTGTTCCAACACTGACATGTTTGTTTCTTTTAAAATTTTTGTTACGTAGAGCACTACAGACTAGTCCATGCTCTGGCGTGCATGCTGCAAATGCTAGCACGCACTTTGACAAAGTCAGAACTGCAAAGTTTTCAGGAGTATTAGCGCATTGAAGGGAAACTTCCTGTGTGAATAACGTTGCCCTTCTAGCTGGCATGCCGGCATGCGGGCGCCCGTATGCGCATATGGATATCTCTAGTATCACACGGTGTATAGCAGGCATTTTGTGAAATCTTGGACACACTTGTTGCCGGAGCCTTGGCATGGAAATATAAGGGTGGTTGTGAATCAGCAGCTGCAGCCCATATGAGCCCGATTGCACTGCATGGCATGTGCTGCGCAGCTTAGCACCGGAGGCAAAGCTTGCATATGCATGCTTGTGCACATGAGCCTTTATTTTTTAAAATATATTTTGTCAACCTTTGGCTAGTGAACATCAAAATGAAGATGCACATGATTGCGACGTAAAATAACTTGACTGCATCAGGTGCTGCAAAAGCAGAACAGGACTGAAAACCTCTGGCCAGGGATTTAAAACCCCTGTAAGGGGCGGGAATTTAACTTTATCGACCACCAAATTCAATTCGCAAGCTAGCGCCTGCAAAACGCAATATCCTTCAGTCATTCTCATACAGCTTTCCTGCACAGCAAGGGCGTCTTGAATTGTCCAGGTGAGCCGTCCAGACTTGCCGCGCACTCTGTTAGAAACGTGCTGTAGAGCAATGCAACAAAAGGATGGAGCCCCACCTGGGATGGGCTCTACATGCCACTCTCCGCAGATGTTTTGATCAGCCATTGTAGGTTATGTACTGGTTTCTTGAGAGAGTTCTGCACGGCGTCACCACCAGACGGGCCCGGTGTGCCGAGGGTGCCCGTGTCCACCTGTGTCCACCGTGTCCGCCCCATTGCGGAGCTTGCTGCCCAGAAACAAGTGGGCGCAGAATCAAAAATAGTTGTGGTGCAGTTCTAAAGTGTCAGTGAGTGCCAGATAACTGCCCATCTCGCTACATGGTGATGCGGAATTGGGTCTCGAAAGGTCGCAAACTGTTTGGCGGGGGTACTTGGGTTGGTTGAGGGAATAATTTTGAAGCAACCACCTTCGCGCGACTAACGCCCTGAAGCAGGCAAAAACATGTACTAGATGTAACAAGTAGGTCAGGAAGGAACGTATCGGTGCGGTAGTGCTCTGGGGCAGTCTGACATCGGTCGGGATGTTTGCCTGCAGGTCCCCTTGCTTAATTTGAATTACACAGAAGGACTGCAGATTTACGGTGTGTTCTCTTTTCTGGTGTCTAAAAGAATCATCTGGCATACAAATGTGCTCTCATGCTGCACAAAGAAGCCAGTGGCAAGTTCCACATTCTGTGCCCCTTGGGTCCCTGTTTTACATTAGTTGCAGCTCTTGTATCACGAGGTTGTCATTCGGATCTGCAGAGGGTAATGTCTCAACACTTTCCTTACCAAGACCGGGAATTGACCTGCTTGCAGTGCAGCTGTGATGGCGTGCTACAGGATGCTCGCCGTGTTGGCAGTCCTCTCTCTGGCTATCTCAGCCCACTGCCAGGATGCACAAACCCCTGTCACAGTTGTTTCCACCCAAACACAAGTGGTCAACAGGCTTGTACCTGTCACCGCCCGCGTTGTGGTGCGTTCCTGTGACCTTTTCTAAAATTTTGGGTGTCTACACTCGAGTGCCTGAGACATGCTGGGCTTCAATGGTTGCAAAGAGGCAATGACCTGATGTGCCAATGTGCAGAACACCGGCGTTGGAGCCATCGGCAAGACCCCTGCTGCACCCGCGGTGCGCTTCAAACTCCCATCGCAATGAAAAGTTGGTACCCCGCCTGCCACCTTGATAATGCATCATCGCGATAGCAGTTCTCACTATTGTTAGCTTTTTGTCGCAGGGCCGCAAGCTGCTGCAAACCATTCCCACCTTCGGCCCGACCCCTGCAGTGCTGTCCCCCGGCTTCAGCAAGACCATCCTGCCCATCATCAGGAAGACCAACACCTTGGCCTTCCTCGGCCAGTGCGCTCCTTCACCACCTTTGATACCACTTGTAATCCCTGTGGATCATCCACTCTCTACCCAGTCCAGATTACCATCACGTGTACCCACTAGCGCAACAGGACATGGGTTGACATGGTTACATATCCGCTCTTTCCAATTCTCAATGCTCTTTCCAATTCTCAATGCGATAGAAAGGGCTGGTGGGGCAGAAAGCTGCTTCCAATGCAGGTCAGAAATGCATGTTGCTGCGCACTAGAGGGCCTTGCCACAATTGTTACCACGCGCACAAAACATGCTCAAATTGCACTGGCCTGGTGCAGGGCAAAGCAGGAGTTTGGCACTGACAAGGTCGGCTACACCTTCATCTTCGGCGAGGAGGCACAGCCCTTCCTCAAGAGCCTGGCCGTCTCCGGCTCAGACTTCACATTTGTGGGCACCTCCGCCATCCTGCCCGCTGACCAGAATGCTGTGACCGTCCCCAACTCCCAGTTCAGCGCCACTGGCTTTGTCAGCGCTGATGGCTCCGCCACCACCGCCCTCGTGACCACCCAGGTGATCCACCTTGCACCCACCCCTGCCTTTTTGTATTCATCTGATCATCAGTGACCACATTACCTCTAGATGGGGCACCCAATTACAAGCACCCCATATGTATGTCAACAGCTAAGACTAGTACTTTAGTAACCCCTTATGTCAGGGCTGACTGCGCTGTCTCAGATGGGGTATGCCACAGTTGGACACTTGCATCCTCAGTGGCAGTGCAGCCCAGTATGGGTGCTACTGACTTTGCAGCCATCTGTTTGGAAACATGCTCTGTGCATCTGTTTGGAGTGAGGGGCGTGCCCGGAGCAGACTTCAGGGACACATTGCACTGGACACAAGTTCTGCTGGGCTGACATGTCTGCAGCAGATGTTCTGCACCCAATATCACACTGACACACGTGCTGTGCGCAGACACCCTCGGGTGTCATCCCCAACGTTGCCCTGCGCTTCGACTACACCCAGACCGTTGGCACCCCCGCCATCTCCATCTACTACACCGACCGCAGGCGCGCTCCTCAACCCAATTACTCGCTCCCATAAGGTCCTTTTAGGCGTCTTTCATAGAAAATACACCACATGATTGAAGTGCAGTAGCGTTGTCAGCATGTAATGTCCTGAGTAGTGAATAAGGGGATGCACCTGTCAGGTAGCGCTGCAGTTTGCACTGTCAGCTCGATCTCAAACTTGTTTGACATCATGGGTAGTGCTCAGACAGGACAGCAACGTACATTCAGACTTCTTGAGGGATTCACTGTTGTGCACAGCATCTTGGCACATGGGGTGGCTGCCAACAAATCCACACTGCTTGGACAGCACATGCATGTGCAAGAAGAGAAGCACTGGCAAGGGCTGACTTTGGTGTGGCTGCTGCAGGGCGCCATTCGTGAACGGCGGCTTCAACGCAACCGGCAACCTGGCCCAGTCATTTGGAGTCTACATCGCCCCCGACGGCACCGTGTACCCCGGACAGGGTTGATAACCCGCTGTGCCAACGCGCCTGATCTGGCAGCACCTGCACCATGGCTTCCATGGCAGTGCTCCGATTGTGGGGCGTGCCAGAAACATCGGGGTGGCAGAGGGGCGCATGCACCCATGGCTGCCAGCAAGATATTAGGAGTATTTGATTCGTCCCGTACCTCCAGTGACTGGGGCTCAGCTGTGGTCTCATTCTTTTTGTGATGCACCTGCCTGGCTATTGACTGGAAGAGGCCCTCTCTGGAAGGTGACAGTGGCTCTGAGCAGCAGGCAGTGCAAGCAGCAGTTGGTTTTGTGAACCCTTAGACATCGCGGTTTTGTAGATAGTGTGTCCTGTTTAATGAGGGATTGTCCTCGTAGAAGTGTGTGGTAGATCATGATCGGGCCATTTTGCAACATCATGGCAATGTGCAGTCTGACACGACGTTGTAATTGCCATTGATGCACCATGCGCTTATAGGAATTTTTCATGCTGGTACCACTGGCAGCGTGCACGCGCGTCCTGCAAACCCGCTTCATGCTGCAGTGCATGATGCTGGCCAAAAGACCATTGTCATGCTGTTTCTGCACCTTGCGCAGTTCTTCCTTCTTCTGGATATCTCTGCAGAATTGCAAAGCACAACACATTGCAGGGACTAGCATGCACACACTGTGACAGTTGCTTTGGTAGCCTAATCAGGATACAGCTGACAGGTCCATCCATCCAAAGGCCAACCTTTGTCCCACTTGAAAGCAGAAATAAGGTGCACGCCAGCAAAATTTATGCTTCTCGAAATGTCTGCACCTTGACGTCCAATACTGTTGAAGGGTGTTTTTTACCTGCACATCCGCACACAAACGCCAGATCTTGTCCCAACATTTACCCTATAAGCTGTGAATAACGACTGTCATCCGAGCGAAGGAAATAGAAAGAAACAGCTAGCAACACAGCATGGTTGTTCCTGCGAAATTTCTGCTGCAGAGGCGCGGAAGCTTCTCATGCAGTCCCCAGATGCCCATGGAAATGTTGCAGAAATGGCACTTGCTGGCACTCTTCAAATGCTGATGGCAAACTATATTGATCTCACTAAGTTTCTCACTATACTGTACTTCTTGATCATCACAGGAAAGCATGTCTGCCATATCACTGGCCAGCACGCAACGTCCGAGATCGGTGCTGTTACTGCACTGCTCAGGTTTCAGCAAGCAGGCCTCGGTCACACATAAGAAGGCTCGTCATCAGGTGAGGCTCGTATCTGTCCAGATCAGTCATGCAGTGCATGGCATGCAATGCACACCAGCTCTAGTAGGGCATGCAGTCACCAACATTCTTGGTGGATTGCTACCAGGCCAGCAGAATCAGATGCAGAACTTAGAGCCTGTGCCACGCTCAGAGCACAGTCCTTTTATACCTATCCTCCAGAGAGGAGCTTTGCCGGCCAGGTACTGGAAGCGCCCTCACAACTCTTCACCCGGGGTTTTCAGCTTGCTTTTGCACAACAGATTTATTTCGGAGCTGACGCATCCCTGTGCGCCACCAGATACACCAGATTATGAAAGGAGACGAGGAGTTTGAGGCCCTGAAGGAGCAGAGGGACCTCAGGAATGCGCGGCAGCCCAATGAGAACAGCGCTTGCCTGGTGGCTGTGTGGCCTTCTGAGAGCCTAGAGGTGCGTGAGAGTAAGCTTGCACAGCAGAGCCTGTTGCTTGCATGGGAGATCAATGGATTGGAGAGGAGCCTTGTGGTTGCAGGAGTCCCCCTCCTCGCTGGGGCTGCAGGCAATTGGGGAGGAGGCTGTAGTGGGCACACTTGACCTGTATGCCATCAGGGCCATGCCTGGAGAAGTTCTCATAGGTGCGGAAACATCCTTGTCCAATGAGCACCATCTATCGTATGATCTCAACAGATGCACCTGGGAGGTGTGGTGTGTGTAGGTGTGGGGCCTGCCTGTGCCTACCAGTATCATTTGTGGAAATACCACGACATATGTCACCTGCATTGTTTTCTGGGCGCGCAGGGGATTGCAGCAACCCTGCATACCTGGCAAACGTGTGCGTGGCGAAGGCAGCGCAGAGACAGGGCGTTGGACGTGAGCTGATCCACAACGCAGTAGACCTTGCCAACCAATGGAGTACGCGACTCCCCTCTCCGTTATTTGTCCTTTCAACCCTAAACAGATGGAAATGTCAATTGCAGGAGTCCTAGGCAATCGGAGGGTGGAGTTCATCCTCTCACGGTGTGGGTGCAGAGACGGAGGCGCTATTCGTGCACATTTTGTGGGTGAATGACAAGGCGCGCATGTTCTATGAGAGCCTGAGCTTCCGCGTGGACAAGGAGGAGAGCTCTAACACAGCGCACTACAGAGGACACTGCCTCGAAGGGATAGAGGGGCGCGGCCGCACGCTCATGCTCAGACGAGACCTCCCTTAAGTCATTTACGGGAGACGTGAATTGTTGCAAGAAGTTTGTGTGAGCTAATGCATGCAACTGCATTACCTGATTAGCAGCATTTCAATTGATAGTTTCTGATATCAAAATATGCATGGGCCCGTCATGCAGAAGAGTACCGTACTAAACGAAGTACGGTACTCTTTTAAACTGTACAGTGCTTTTTAAACAGACAATGGATAAACTCCAGCTTGAGTTTCTGGGGCCCTCCTAAGTAAAAAAGGATTTCGAAACCAAAGCAAAAGGGCACGGGTGGAGGTTTCGAACCCCTCACCCGTTGGAGCCCTCTTATTATACGCTTTTGGCAGCACTTAGCATTTAACATGACTGTCTTTGCTTTTTCCTCTTTACCAACAGAGCAAGGTGGAAGTAGAAGCTTGAGCATGCTTCTTGCATGGTGGCCTTGGGCAAGCTGATTGATTCTGTTCGCGGTAGCTGCCTTCAGTGGAGGCGTTTCCTGAACATGTGGTATTTATAGAGTGAAATGGACAGCCGTACTATGTCCCGTCTGCGGACTGCATGGATCTGCTCTCATGGACCACTGCAAGAACCGTTGATGTAATCAGGGCCTGATTATTAGGCTCTCAGGCAGTTACTAGTACCGCGCAGCCCTGCAAGCCCTGCGAGCGCCAGGTAGCTAGTACAAGCTTGTGGTTTGCTGTCGCCCATGGGCTTTACGTACAGATGCGATGCAAACTACTGCATATGCATGCATGCACAACATATCCGCACCAATCACATGGTTCTGGAACTCCTACGCTTGCCATTCAGACCTGCAATGCTACTTCCACTCCTTCCAATGCATTGCATCATATGAAGATTGGTTGCGGTGACATCGCGCAATTGTTTCTCTGAGCTAAGATTCCTGAACAAGAGGTGTACACTGTGGCCCTTGTCAATGCAGCTGGCAATGCAATGAGGCCGGGTGGCACATAGCACCCAATGCACTGCATCAACAGCATGCGCAATGGTAGGTCAACCTCAACTTGACATGCACATTCCTGTATGCGCACTCTATCAACAGAGCCCTGACTGCATCAGAATAGCCACATTGATGTGGGAGGACTGCCGTATTCCTTTGCGCAGCTCATGATTGGTTGATTTTACTAGCAACCTTTTGGGCAGCATGCTGCGCTGCATGATCACTGAGAACTCCTTGTACACGTGATACTTTGACAACCGAAAGGGCACTAACAATTGCAGTACTGTCATTAATTTGTTTGGCACAACAGTCACGGAACAGTGCTGCCGCCAGCAATACTGCCGAGCAATTGTCCAATAAATAAACAGAGCAGACAGAGTTCACATCAGTTCCTTTCTGGTTCCCAATTCCTTTCTGATTAAGCAGACTACCGGCCATGGCTTACAGGAATGCCATTATTAATGTCAAGCTGCTCTTGGCGCAAAGCTAGAGTGCACTGTCCTGCTGGCGAGCCATCAGAAAGCTGCGCAGCTTCTCCAGGCTGTCTCCCTCCAGTGCAGGAATGACGTGGCCTCGCGGGTGCGTTATGAGCGTGGGATTCTCAAATGTGTCCATCAATTTGTGCGACCACTGCGCAGTGCACACAATTGGACTGGTGGTCAGATCATAAGCGCCAACGGCCAGGACCTTCTTGCTCAAAATGGCAGCCATGCATGCACAACTTCATGATGCCATGCACTGTATATTTCTCCCTGCAGCTGCACCCATGCTGAAAAGGCACAGGGGCATGCAAGTCATTTGATACCTTGTTCACATAGTCTCTGCTGCCAATAATGTGCAGGGAGGGAGGCTGCAATTTCTTTGTGAGGAGTGTATCCGCTACAGAGGCGCCTGGTCTTATCCCGGCAATGCACACAATGCACTTGAAGGGAGGATGGCTCTGCACAGGCACAGGCGCACTCAACCAGGGGTCTGCTTTTACCTTTCTGACAAAGTCTTTCTCGCCTATGCAGTGCAAAGAGTGGGCCTGAATTTTGCTGGCGGGGTACACATGCTGCATGATAGGGGCTGCAATGACTCCACCAAAGCACACTGCAAACCTCGGTGCGCATGCCTGCTGCACCGCACAGACAGGTTTCTAGGATCCACTTTATGACAGCAGTCTTGGATGCTGGGCATCCTTATGGCAGGCCAGATAGCCAACATTTGCGCACCTGTAGAATGAGATTCTGCTGCTTCATCGCGAGAAGAAGGGATGCCAGAATGGTGCCCTGCGCACGCGGCACTACTTATGAAAAGCATCGATCGATGCCCTGAAGGTGCAATAAATCACACTTAGATCGACATGGCAGCCTAAGCAATTCTCTTGAAGGGCACATGCCTGTGAAAAAGCCCAGAACCCATCGAAAGGGCCATGAAGAGCGATGTAATCCTTGATGAAGGCCAGCGACTCATCCCACCCCTTGTACCTCAGTATCTCCTTGGTGTCTGGATCCTGTGCCACCACGCCATGTCAAGGCTATCTTGTATCACGCTGAGCTCCCATTAGCACCAGAGTGTTCAATGTGATCTGACGAAGCTTGATTGGCATGCTGTTTGCAAATGGCCCACCTGCTGCGCATTCCACCATTCATAGTAGGGTCCCTTGAAGATGTCTGATGGGACATCTGCAGGTATAGGACCACTGGCGGCATTTGGTGCATCTATATACACCTGAAAGATGGCCCAACACGACAACATTTATAAAGAACATGAAGCTGGGAAAACTAGGATGTGCGTTTTCTAGGCGATTAAAGCGAGGCTTGGGAGCCTCACGATGTCAACAAGGTCTTCGAGCAATTTGTTGAGACGTGAAAACTCCATCTGCTGCGCAAGTATCGCTCCGCTCGTTCTGCAGGACGCCAGATCAGCCAACTGGGACAGACTGATCAAACACTCGCTTGCACCATGGCAGGTGGGCCAATGACAACCAGATGTCGCACCTGAATCCATGAAAGCCAAGTAGCCTCAGTTTGTTTGACCCGCTCCCCATAGTCAAAGGCTGTGGAGGTTCCACATGTCTGTGGACAGCACTTTGGACAATAAGCCTCCCTATTGCAGGAATTAAATTCACGATGATGGCATCTTCAAGGTTTCCACTTAAATGAAGGATGACCCCGAGAATGGATCCGTGAATTCTAGATGATGAGGAAGGAATGCGTTTCCAAGGAAATTGCCAGGGGCAGACCATAACATGTTCATTATGTTTTGCTCTGCCATGCACGTCGATCCAGGATCTTTTTTATCCAACATCTAGTAGGCAATCGGCCATTGACAGACTTTAAGGGCAATTTATAATCTGTATAAGCAAGAGCGGTTAATATGCAGCTCAGCGGCGCATGGCAACCATGGCAAACATCGCTGTTGCATGAGCACCAAACGCTACAGCTGCATAGTCCTACTGCATAGTATTCTAAGCGTCTTGGGTCAAAACTCAATCTAAAGCAGATGTCAATCCACAAGAATGTTTGCTCTACCGCAGCTGCCGCATCAAAAGACAACTTATCAGTCACAATTGTCGACAACCAGTCAGGTATAAGTCATCTGGTTTCTCATGCCTGTAAGCAGGAAACCATCCGGTTCCTGGAAAATCTGCGGCACCAAGCTCAATTATTACCTGGACCACCAGGACCACATCTCAGTTCTCCTCCCAGTTCATCGTCTCCAGAACGCAGTTTTGGAGACACCCATTGCCTGCACCCTCAGCAAGTGCAGAATCTCTCATCCCCTACTCCACCCCTCTCTGCCTGCACAGCCTCTCAATGCGCAGCCGGCCTGCTGTGCAGCACCCCACCGCCCTCTACCACCCCCGGCACTTTCTCACAAAAAGCCGCGCTGCCACAAGCGGGGAGCAGCCACAGCAGCCGTCACCGGCTCCTGTCAACAGCCGGCAGCACGCACACGGCTCAGCGCTCAGCCGGCCTTGACCCACTGCTGGGTGATGCAGTGGATGTTGCCGGCGTTGAGCAGAACTTCGCGGGACTTGACGCCGACCACCTTGTAGTCCGGCCCGTAGGCCTCCTGCAGCGTCTCGATCGCGCGCGCATCCATCTCGGCCGCGGCGCCGCCGAACTGTGGGACGACCACGCCGCCATTGGCGCAGTAGTGGTTGATGTACGTCGCCGGCATGCGCACGCCTGGCAGCCGCGGGCAGTACCCCTTGCTGATGTGTTCCGGCTGCACAGAAGCACCCACAAATGAGTTTTCAAGAAGCTCGGGGATTTTTGAGATCTACCTACCTGCCTACCTACCTACCTACCTTTCTTGTTTGTGGGCTGAATCTTCTGGCAGTCATGGAACAGATGGATGATGGGCACCCACTGGAATCGTGCAGGTGCTGGGCTGACTGAGAAAAAAGACCATGCAAGCAGGGTTGTAGAAGGCGAGGCATGGGAAGGGGTGCATCTGTGCTTGCGGAGACGGCAAACGTGTGCTGTGTGTAGGAGGCGGTGAATGGAAAGAAAAGGGGCTCACGTCGACGCCGGCGGATTCGCGGTAGGTGCGGAAGAGCGGCGGGGGGCAGTGCACCTTGAACACCTCCAGCTTGCGCCCCTTGGCGTCCGTCGAGTTGTTGAGAATCTCCAGATTCCTCACACCCACCTCGTGCTGCGCGCCACAACACCCCCTCACATCTCTGTCTAGCCCATGTCTTGCAACTTTCATGATGTTGGCATCGCTGAAACAGTGCCAGCACTGACTTGGCATCCCTGCCTTTTCTGCCAGGTGCCTTCGTGTTTAGCAGGCCAAGCCAGCACTTCTTGGACCAATGCCTTACATTCCATACATTCCGTGCTGCCCCTCACGCCAAGGGTGCAATGACCAACACAATTGCAAAACTTCACTCCACCAAGGTCTGAAATAGAAGAACTTGGAATCAAGTGATAGTGCGTGCGGTTCTACGTGCTCATTCTTGCCTACTAGAAAGTGTACTCAAGCAGAAGGGGCTCGGCACCTGGGGGTCGTCCTCGTTGTCGCTCCAGGCAAGGGCCACAACGCCCGGGCGGATGAAGCAGCACATGTTGTCCACGTGGCCGTTGACCACCTCGGTGTCACCCTCCATTCCCCGCCACAGCCAGATTACCTTCTCCAGGCCCAGGTACTCGCACAGCACCTGTTACCCATCACAATCCTGTCAGCCCCCATGAACCCCTGCAAACACTGCCTTTCCACTCACTGACAGCAGCATGCTGTCCGCATCACTTATGCTGCCGCAAGACTTGCCGCTCAACACCCATCTTCACCATCGTGACAAACTGAACCGCAAATGATGTGCAAGATGGTCCGGCACCCAGTCACGCAAAGGACTCGACAACAAGAGAAGAGAGGGGAAAAAACAGAAGTAGAAGACACCCTTAGCTAGAGAACACCCAAAAGTGGCGTACGTTTGTGATGCCTTCCTTGTCGAGGTGGGGGTTGCGGCTGGGGTCGAGCAAGCACTCCTCAGTGACCACCAGCGTTCCCTGCCCATCGCTGTGAATCGAGCCGCCCTCCAAGTGCAGCGGGGCCTCAAACACTGGCAGCCCATTCATGGTGAGCAGCGTGCGCCCGGCCTCAAAGTCCTTGTCCCAGTTGGGCATCATGGCCGGCCGGCCCTGCGCGATCTTGCCAGGCGCGCCGTAGCAGTCGTAGTCCCAGTGCACGCCCGCCACCTGCCGCTTGCCGTCCACGTCGCGCGCCACGCACTGTGCACGTAACAGTGCCCTTTTAACCCCTTAAATTCAAATTTAAATTCAGTGTTTCAGCGGCCTTCCCTCCACAAGCTATTGCCAACTTGCTTGCAGACCAGAGAGACATTGGTTCCCCATGTGCCATTCCTCATGTTGAACATGCTTGGGAGCTTCAAGTGGAAGGGCAAGTCAGTGCAGCACTTGCAGTGACTATTGCACTTCTGCAGAGCATGGGATCTGCAGCAGGTCAATCTTAGTTGTGCAGGCTTACTGAAGCGATGCGGCATGGAGCCAGCCTGGAAGGCACAGAATTGCCATCAAATTCCCAGCGCTTCTAGGGGGAAGATAGAGCGACTCACAGAGGGGCCCCAGTCGCGAGTCCAGCCGTCATTGACGGGCACCTCGATGACCGTCACGTTTGGCGCATCGGCAAAGACCTTACGCGCGTTTGCGGCCGCCTCGCCCGGGTTGGCGGCCATGTAGAGCGGCTCGAACTGCGAGATTGCCTTGGCCACGTTGGCGTATGCCTGGCGAGCAGGCTCGCCGCCGTCGCGCCAGAGGTACTTTGAGTCATCACTCTCCGGCCACCCCATCCAGCAGCCCTCATGCGGCTCAAACTCGCCTGTGTTTCAAATTTGAAAAGAGCTGAGCTGATCAGGGGCATCGATCATCGTTTGAGCCTGCTGCACTAGCCTGCAGATCTTTGGAACCGAGCAGCATGGTCTGCTGACACTTTAACGAGCTCAAACTCTGCAGCAAGAATCACTGCTATTCAGCACCTCTCAGCGCGCGCTGCAATCTACTGTTGACATCAGTTCCTTTGCGATGAGCGACGTGATGTGCTGCCTTCATCACCAAAATTCAGCACCTCTCGGCGCATGCTGCAGCTACTGCTGACTCAAGATCTTTGGACAGGAGCAGGGTGAATTGGTGCGCCTGAAAGCAGAGCCCTCGCATCTGCAGTTACCCTGGACATAAGATCTTCGGAGATGAGAAGCGCGATCGCCGCCCCATGGACACACACAGAGTCCTCGCAAACATGTATGGAGCGTCTTAGGGTGGCCATGCATGGTGCCTCTGTGCACGTATGGGAGAGGGCCTGGGTTTGATGAAGAGAAAAGAAGGGCTGGTGCACACCTGGCATGGTGAAGCCCTGCGACTTGGGGCTCTTTGAAGTGTCCACATCGGCTGTCGCCGCAAAGACCCTGAAGCTCGTGAATGCCCTTGCGCCGCGCAGTTCTGCCAACAGCACCACAGCAGTCAGGCTTGGTCTTACTTGTTACATAGCAACCCCAGAACACCAAGCAGATACTATTTGGATCCCACAGCTCACCTGATCTGTGATACCTGGCAGCCTGTTGCCTCCTTTGCAGCAGTTGCAATGGAGCCCCCACCGAGAACTGACACCCTGTGACAAATCACCGAGATCTCAGCAAACAGATGGCACTTGCTGTAACGAGAGCAGTCGAAGCAGGACCTAATCGCCACAACTTTACGGCACTACTCAACACTGCTCAGAGCTGCTTATGTGCCTTATACTGACCACCTTCGATTACAAGCGCACAACTGCAATTCTTAAAAGAGGACTTCCGTGCTGATCTGACTTACTCGGTGCTGCACAGCTCCTTTCGGCGGATGCGTTGTGTCTCAGGAGGCTGTGACGAGCCGAAAGGCACTGCATGATGCCTGCACCGTGGACTCGGTCTCTAGTCCTGTGACAGTCGATATTAGGTTAGAAAAGTGGACCGCAACAGAAATCAAGGAGGCGCTCCGGCGTGACAATTTCACATGCGTACTGTTCGACAATCTTCACTGGAAAAGGTTCACGGGATGTTCTCGTGACAGCAAGCCCAACTCACGTATACTGGCTGCCCTAAAATGATCGTAAAAGCGATTTCGACCGCCAAATTCACATCCGCACTTTCAACTCACCTGCTGTCAGGCCGGACGGTACTTCGTTGTGCCTGCGGTGAAAGACCAGGTGTGCGATCGGGAACAGATGGGAGGAAAGTCTCAAAACTGTCTGAAAGTAAAAAGTATCCTTCCTAAAGGGTGCTTGTCCGGATTAGGGGGCGCTGCTTGTTTCGGCCGAATGCAGCAAAACACTTTGGCTTCGGCCGATGACAGCAACCACGTGGAAGACCAATTTCGGGCTGCCCGAAGATTCCTTACATAATATTTGCTCCCACGTGCGCCTCCAATATTGTACATCAGTCATGACATGCCTCAAGTATGCCCAACATGCAGTCACAGTATCGACAATTCTAGAGCTCAATCCTCCTTCTCTATGGCATGTGTAAATAAGGCGGCATCTAGAGATCCGATATCTGATCCTCTAATATCCGATATCTGCTGCCAATATATATGCACCAGGCCCTGCTACTTGCTATGGCTCTTAGTAACAGGGTTCCTCAGGGGCAGCCCGACGGAAGCAAAGCTGCTGCATTACCCTAGTCGGATGTGTATCTGACGCTCGCAGCGGTGAGGCACTTGACGTGAAAGGAGCAGTCTGTTCTGCTGTGCCGGTCGTAGCGGCCCAGCCCTGCGCCTAGGCCATTGTCTGTATACACCAGCAGCTCCACCTCGAACGCCGTTGTCCTGTACAAGTTCTCGCTGATCGCTGCTGACACCTCAATGCTCACCTTCCCCTGCCGCACCAGACATGAATTATTTTTCGAGAGCTGCACCTCCCGCTTTGCACCGTTGAAGCTGGCTGCATGAAACATGAACAGTCTGCAATGAGACATGCACAGAGGGGTGCAGCTCCTGATGATACTGGGGAGATGCTGTCTGCTTCCTGCATTCTCAAAATGAGAAGCAACTATGCGTGATCGTGATCCTTCAAGGTCTTCATCACTCGGGGGAGGGGATAATATGATGGCGCACATAGGGAGGCAGGTAGCCGCTGGCAGGGTGGACGTCGAGCCATTTGGGGATTGCTCCTTCGGCCGTCATGTCGGGCGACGCCTGCCCAATGTGGAACGCAGTCCAGCCAGCACTGTCGCTCGCCAGCTCTATCCGCCCCGTTGGCTGCTCAATCTGCAGCGGCAGCATGTCGGAGGCGCTTCAGCAACAAACCCCTCCTTCACCATAATAATTCTTCAGATGCTCGCCAACACTCACTTTCTATAGGAGCTGCCAGGAAAGCATTTCGTGTTTGGCTAGCGACAAGATGAAGCCAGCTCCTTAACAACAGCAGAGTGGGCCCCTCTAATCATCACAACTGCGGAGGCCTCAGGGCTGCTCTCAGAGAGCTCACAAACACCATCCAACACCCCTTTCCGGCTCATCATGATGAATCGTACTGGCAGACCAGTGATTGCAAGACAAGCCTTCCGGTGCATCCTTGCCCTGTGCAGACAAAGGTGGTCTGGAGTCCAGGGCGGAGAGACGGCAACTTAGAACCCATCCTTGTAGCCATCGTGATATTTCTCCCAAGGCCTCGCAAGTCCTAGGCTCACGAGGTGGCAACCAATAAAGGCTGCAGTCCCCTACCTGGTGCAGCTTAAGCGCAGCAGGGGAGACGGCGAGTGCGGGTCCCGGGGGCGCGCTGGCGGCAAAGACGGCTCTGATGAGGCGTGCGGCCAGGTGGCGGGCCTTGGCGGGCGCGAGCACCGGCAGCACGGCGCTCAGCAGCGCACAGACGGGCTTGTGGTCGGAGTCCACCACGTCCATGCACGCGCTGTACATCTTGGGCGCGACTGTGACCTCTGCACCGCTCACCGCGCGCTCCCGCAGTCGCCCCGGCGCGCCCGCCTCCTTCACCGCCGAGGTCGCCTCTGCGCGCGTGACAGTCTGACCGTCAGAAGCCAGCCTGTCTTTCCATCATAATCACCTCTGACAGAGCAATTCATACTTCAAAGTCCTTTATACTTCCTTGCCTTCCTGGCTTGCTCTTGAACACAGATCATTTGGATTTTCAGAGCCGCCATATTCGACAAAGGAACCGAAATGTATCGGCCGTAATTTGTCTTTCAGTGTTGTGCAGGGTCTCAGCTGGATGTGGTCCAGGTGCGCTGTTGATTTGAACGGATGTGAATGTAGTGCAGCGGGTGCAGAAAGGAGTAGAATTTTCACCGGCGAATGGGCGCTCGTCGTCGCTGTCAAGGGTGAGCAGCGGGGCGGGCGAGTCAGACATGGAAGCCACAGATATTGCAGGTGTGGAGCCGACACCCCTGAAGGACGCGCCGCCGTGCAGGCTTCCATCCTGTAGGGCCAGGCAATAAATCACTCAATTTCAAGGTACCATGCACATTCGCTTCATCTCCACATGCAACACTGAATCCTCCTGGTAGCACGAAAAGTGCCTTGCACAGACCAGGCCATGATGACATTCCATCACATCCCGCTGTCTTGAACATACTTGAGCTTAGCTCGTTGGCTGCTCGGCTCCTATATGCCTGTTGTTCGTGCATCGCGGCAAGTCCTGTCTGACATGAGAAAGAGGCTCTGCTGGGGAATTTGAGCGCTGCTGCTTGCGATAACCTTTCGTGCATCGCGGCAAGTCCTGTCTGACATGAGAGAGGTATTGCTGGAGAATTTGAGGGGAGTGGCGGTAGGGGCGGGGGCGCACGGAGTGGGGCATGCGGAGCTGGGTCCCCCGGAAAAGGATGCGGTCTGTGTAGGCTGGCACGCGGCGCTTCTCGCTGCTGTCGTAGTCGAACGGCTCCACCTTGTTGAACTTGTACGTCGGCCGGAACGTGATCGGCGCCTCCTGCAGCGAAGTGAACGTGCGCCCGGCCGCCATCTCTGCCCGCAGCTGGTCCTGCAGACAATTGACACCAGATTATTGTGCAAAAGACCCACCGGCGGAACAACCATATCAGGTAGCTGTCCCTTGCTGCAGCCAAAGTGAGAGGGCGTCCAGAGCCTGATGTGCACTTATGCGCGTGTGTGCAAGGGTTCTTGAAGCACTGCCATTTCATTTCGGGTAAACTTTGCTGCAAGTCTCCGCTGCAGCCAGCACCGTCAGGCTGGCAGGCATGCAGCTGCCATACAACTCAGCGGGGGTTCAATAGGCTAGACAGCACTATCGGATTCCTTAAGCCGCAGTAAGCTGGAGACCAGGTGCTCTGCTGTGTATTGTAGTGCATGAACGATGGGATACCTTGGCGAGCAGTTCTGTGAGCTGGTTGCGGTGCGCTAGCTCCTTGGCGTGCTCGTAGGTGGCGTCGATGCGGTAGTTGAAGTCCCCCATCCACACCAGCATGTCCACCTCCTTCAGCCCTTGCCCCTGCACGCATGACATCCCAAGAGCCTCAGATCGTCCTGACATTCAAATGTTCCCAAGATATGAGGCAAGGTCCAGAGAAAGACACCGGCCTGATGCTCCTGAGGCTCTCTGGCACCCAGAGCAAGCCCACCCGCAAAACTTCGAACCCCATCATGCAGAAACAATTGAGCATGTGTACTTTCTTCACCGACGCCTGTCCAATCTAGTCTGCCCTGCAGGGTCCAGAGCACCGCAGCTTTGATATTACAGCAGAAGAGCATGCAAGGAATTTTGATAAAGCATGTGGGAAATGTGCAAATTGAGGAACCCACCCGCAGCAGCCGGGGCTCAGGCGCCTCGGTGTCGGAGTCGGAGCCGTTGTCGTAGGTGTCGGCGGCGGTGTGCTGCTTGTCGGATTTGCCAGAACCCTGGCCCTCTGCGTCCAGGTCCACGTTGGGCGCCCCCCGCTTGGCAAACGACAGGTGGCGCACTATCGTGGCATAGTTGGCGTTCCTGGCGTCCACCATGTTCTGCAGCCACCAGAGACAGTCAAGATCTCTGGAATTCTATGCAGCAGCTTCTGCGCCTGCCCCTTCTGTCACATCTGGTATAGAGCAGCCCGTCTCTAGCATATCTTTCAGCCAAGATGGTTGATCATTAATGCCATATGGCAAGAAGAGGGCCAACGTCATATGGTCAAGTGAAGCTCTGCTTCTGACACTTGCAGGCGGAGAGCTGCTGCCCATGACGGCTAAAAAGGGACCTGAAGCCCAATGACAGCAGTAAGCAGAAGCGAAAAGTAGGAGGCTGCATGTTGCAGCAAAGGGGGCAATGTGGATTCTGTAAGAAGGTTGGAGAGGAGGTTGTCACCTGGTGTGCAGCAAAGTGAGAGCAGACTAAAGCGATGCGGCGGCGGTAGAGGGAGAAAGAGACAGCGACTGCGCCCTTGTTGCCGCCCATGCCCAGCACGCCACACGCCACGCTAGCAGTGCTCACCTCGCCAATGTGCTCCTGCCGCAACACATCCTCCTTAGCTTCATGAAAACACAGTCCCGCCAAGTAACCAGCCGATGCGCACTCCCGACTGGCTTGACTAAGCAGACCAACAAGGGACACTTTGCTTGCAGGTCATGTGCCCTGGGGAAGCCATGCAAGCAAAATGGGCTGTGAGAATGTGGCCGAGACGGTATAGAGCGTCGCACCAGGTACTGTGAGCGCACGTAGACCAGGATGAGCATGCCGGACAGCTGCCTGAGTCCCAGCCGCGTCCACTCGCCTCCAACTGCCATCTCCATAAACGTGCTCCACGCCTGGGCATTGGCGTTGCCTCTCTCCTGCATCAGCCATAGAATATCATTTACGTGAACAACACACTTCACGCTCACAGCTAAATAACGTCAAAACTTTTCAACAGGTGACATCAGGCTTTGGTCGGCAGTAAAGTGCTGGCCATGGCAAGAGCTCACAAAGTTCACTTTTTGGCTTGGTCCAAGGGCACAGTGACAGTGGTATCAGAATCAACAGTATAGAGAAAGAATTGATAGGCGGCCCTTATCTTTCTTTCTTGTGAGCCCTATGCTATCTGAGCTGTGCTAAGCATCACCATTCTGCGCTGCTCACCGGCACATCAGATGCTCTGAACAAGCCAGCTCAGGCACTCAGGCTAAAGACAAGGCACTATGCCGGCGTCACCTGCTGGCGCGTGAGCAGAGCGTCCTTAGCAGCAGCGAGCGCGAGGCTGCTGCCGCCGCTCTCGATCTCCTGCAGGGCCACCACCAGCAGACCCGCGTCGCGCGACAGGTCGACCACCCAGCGGTGCAGCGCATTGCCCGCCTCCGGCCGCGCCTCGTTCACATTCCAGGTCAGGCA